GGAAGAAAACGTATACCCAATCCCATACAATATGTTTAAACTTACTATCTGTTTTGTAATGTTAGGCAAACACATCGGCTGAAGTTATTCATATTCTTGCTCGTCTTGTATAGAGATACATATTTATCTACCCTTAACGAGGAAGTTGGGCCTGAAGTAATAATTTCTCGTCAAATATTTACAAGATAAGGTTTTCTCCAAGCGTTAGCCAGTAATAGCATACAGGATAACGCGGCTCATGTGTTCGCTTGGAGGTATATTTATACCATAGGACGTTTACATGGTGTGTTTTGTCTGGCGTAAACATTTCAAGTGCTGACGTAGGTGTGGGGTCAACGGTGGTTCCGGGTTTGTTTTTGTTGATACTGATAACGGCGTTAAAGGATGTATGCATCACTAGAATGGTCATCCTTACGACGGACAGTCCAGGCGGGCTAAACAAAACTGACAAAAATCGAATCTATCTAAGTAATTTCGAGTTCCAATTGTATCGGATGCAAGGCGTCATCCCACCGAAACGGGCTAGTCAGTGAATTAATATTTACCGTAACATCAGCAATATGTCAGCCTTATCGTCACCAGAGAAAACTATACGACAATTATATGCAAACGATATAAAATCCTGTCGTCAAAGGACAGTATAAAAGCTTGATTGCCACATTTTATTTAAAACTTGTTTGAGATCATGTGTCATGTCAACTTTCAATTAACAACACAATATAAAAAAGGGTCAGAGGTTGCTGGCAGCCAAAGTTCACCGAAACGAAAACAAATAAATAATTCTAAATAATTGGCGACATCAACATAACAAAAACATTTCTTGTTTGTGTGAAAGAAGAAGCCGAACAATTTCTTTTTAAGACGCATTTTTTATGACACCGAACATGATAAGCAAAAAAGGAAAAAGTTATCATATATTATTACACTATCTAATCACTGGTCCCTCAAGGTCGAGATGGTTAAACAGCCATGTTCCGGCTATATGACGTCCGTCTGTAAATAATCGAGTCTGGACCAGGCAATCCAGTGATCAACGGCATTAGCATCCGTCTGTATATACGCAATTGTGATACGATTGGTGTAAAGAAAGTCGGCCCACAGGAAATATATATCAAACATATCATGGCAGTGGTTTTCCAAAATCATGAGTACTGGAACCACTGACGCCTGTGGGCAACGTCAGTGGTTCCTCGACCAGCAGCGGAAACAATCCATTTTGTAAGTATTTTCGTGCGCGTGACTATCACAAGACGCAACACTAGTTGGTTGTACTTCCATTCTCTACCCGTTATGATCCGGGCGAGAATTGATCTTCAGTAAACCGCGCTTGTCGTAAGAGGCGACTAACGGGATCGGGTGGTCAGGCTCGCTGACTTTGTGGATACATGTCATCGTATCCAAATTGCATAGACCGATGCCCATGCTGTTGATCACTCGATTGTCTGGTCCAACCTCGATTACTTACAGACCGCCGCCATATAGCTGGCATATTGGTGAGTGTAGCGTAAAACTAAACTCACTAACTCACTTGCAGTCTCAATAGATGCAGTGAGATGTGTTGTATTCGTGAAGGTTTTTAGCACAAGTCATCAAGTGTGGGTTATAAACGCCGTTTGTATAAAGACACTTTGCTTCAATAATGAGACAGAAACATTTAATGTAGCTCACTTAATTCGTTAACCGGCTTTCACAGACACGTGACATAGCATATGGGTGCATATTTGGAATGCAGAGATTTCACTGATTTCTCTTTTTAACACACAACATTGATTTTGGCGCCGTGTTGATGCCTCGCATGCAGGTTTTCTAGTCAGGGCTTTGCGCGTCGGCATCTGGCTTTGCTTGCATTAAAACACTGTCGACACTCTATCTTGTCAAGACGAATTGTGAACGTATCGGAATAAATCGGAGAGACCTGAAGAATGGGCGGAAGCTTCACGATTCACACATTCGTTCACATACGGTAAGCCCCTGTGTGAATCATGTTGTGGTACATGTATGACGGTAAGGTGTTGTTGGTTTGTTTATTTAACGCCGCACCCAGCAATATTCCAGCTATGTGACGGCAGTCTGTAAACGATAGATTCTGGACCAGAGAATCCAGTGAGTGACATCATGAGCACTGATCTACGCAACTGGGATACGAAGACATGCATCAATCTTGTCAGCTAGCCTGCATGACCACCCGATCCCGTTAGTCGCCTTTATGGCAAATATGGGTTACTGAAGACCAGTTTTAACCCGGATCTTCACGGGTAACGGTAGAGAGAGACCTGTGGCCACGGCTGCTATGTACAGTCTCAGATGGCGTCTTTTTCACATAAACTATCAGCACAAGCCGTTTAGAGTGTTAAAACACCACGGTCAACCGAGGAAGGTTTTAGTCACGACGTGTCGTTTCTGTATTCATTTGTCGTTGACAGATAATGAGTGAGTGAGTGAGTTTAGTTTTACACCTCACTCAGCAATATTCCAGTTATATGGCGGCGGTCTGTAGTTTACAGATAGCATAACAGTAACCGCATAATATTTCTAAGTCAGCAGCATATCAATTACAGGACATCGTTCTTCATATGGCCGAGACGACTCCTGAATCAGTGGAGTGAGAAAGCGATTATATTTTTATGCCGTTTTTATAACTATTTCAGGTATATCACAACGGTGAACACCAGAAATAGGCTTCAAGTACTGTGTCCATGTCAAGTGAGTGAGTGAATTTAGTTTTACGACGCATTCATCAATATTCCAGCTATATGGCGGCGGTCTGTAAATACTCGAGTCTGGACCAGACAATCCAGTGATCAATAGCATGAGCATCGATCTACGCAACTGGGAACCGATGACATGTGTCAACCAAGTCAGCGAGCCTGACCACCCGATCCCGTCCATGTCAAGAATCGACTTTAGCCACTTGGCTATCCTACCGCCCTGTGAATCAGCCAAGAAATAGAGGATTGCCAAGAGAGGTGCGGGCTAAAGAATTCCAATACCTACATTCCAATACCTACACTAAATAGTTGGTGTTAATTTCCGGCAGCCGGATGTGTTATGATCTACTCAACTGCCGACTGACTGGAATGGTGAAGATTATGTTTGTTGGAGTGAATCACGCCTATCCCAACAACCCATGTTCGAACCACTGACCTTCCGCTCGCTGGGCAGACGTTCAGTCCACTGGGCCGAGAAGCTGTCTCGGTGAAAATCCGGGTTAGAGTTGGCGTTAAAAAAAAGTCGTAAGAGGCAAATAACTGGATCGGGTGGTCAGGCACGCTGACTTGGCTGTGGTATGTAGATGATCGGGTGGTCGGGCACGCTGACTTGGCTGAGGGATGTAGATGATCGGGTGGTCAGGCACGCTGACTCGGCTGAGGGATGTAGATGATCGGGTGGTCGGGCACGCTGACTTGGCTGTGGGGTGTAGATGATCGGGTGGTCGGGCACGCTGACTTGGCTGAGGGATGTAGATGATCGGGTGGTCAGGCACGCTGACTTGGCTGAGGGATGTAGATGATCGGGTGGTCAAGCACGCTGACTTGGCTGAGGGATGTAGATGATCGGGTGGTCAGGCAAGCTGACTTGGCTGTGGGATGTAGATGATCGGGTGGTCGGGCACGCTGACTTGGCTGAGGCTGTAGGATGTAGACGATCGGGTGGTCAGGCACGCTGGTCTTGGCTGAGGGATGTAGACGATCGGGTGGTCAGGCACGCTGACTTGGCTGAGGGATGTAGACGAGCGGGTGGTCAGGCACGCTGACTTGGCTGTGGGATGTAGACGATCGGGTGGTCAGGCACGCTGACTTGGCTGTGGGATGTAGATGATCGGGTGGTCAGGCACGCTGACTTGGCTGAGGGATGTAGACGATCGGGTGGTCAGGCACGCTGACTTGGCTGAGGGATGTAGACGATCGGGTGGTCAGGCACGCTGACTTGGCTGAGGGATGTAGACGATCGGGTGGTCAGGCACGCTGACTTGGCTGAGGGATGTAGACGATCGGGTGGTCAGGCACGCTGACTTGGCTGTGGCATGCAGATGATCGGGTGGTCAGGCACGCTGACTTGGCTGTGGGATGCAGATGATCGGGTGGTCAGGCACGCTGACTTGGCTGAGGGATGTAGATGAGTTGCATAAGAGGCATGAGTGTAGTAAATCGATGTTTAATGACTCCATGGGGATAACATCAATCACTGGATGTTCTGGTCCAGACTGGATTATTCACATGCCGTTGTGATATGTGAGTATTATAATGTTGTAAAAAAAAGCTGGATGCGGCGTTAAACAACAAACATCTTTGTCACTTGGAGTTTGAGCTGATTAGAAGCTATATATATATTTCTATGAACGTTTGAATATATCAGCCTCCTAAAAATATAACTTGTCCCGTGTAAGACTTTATAGAAAACAAATATTCTTCATTCTTTGACACTTTCATGACATTATTAGTTGATCACCAACTAAAAAGTCTTAGGATAATCTGCGGAATATGTACCCATGTTGTCAACATGCTGAGATAATACATATAATTAAGGCTAAACAAAAAGATGATGGGACCGTTGAATTTAAGAAAAGGAACGCTATGGGTATTTTCTACGTCCTACTGTTGTAGTTATCAGAATTTGGCACGCATGTTAGCGCTCTCTTAGTCTGTCATACAGACCCTGAAACAAACATATCCAAGACAGCCCATGCAAGTCTAGATTATGTTGCAAGTCTAGATTTCCACAGTTGCTGAAAAAGAAGAAAGTTTCTGGGGTCCTTTTCATTATATTTTGTGATTATAATTTAGGAACTGATTTTTTCTGTAAGATATGTTCATTCAGAGACTAGATGTCAGTCAAGCGCTCTCTTTATTGTCCCAAGTGGATAACAGCCGTCTTTTGGTGATGATTTTATTAACACTTCGGGCAATATTGGCCGGATGTAGTTTATTGCACACTGAATGGTCCCTAAATTTTGACTGATTTTGTACTGTGCCAGTTGATTGGCTTATGAACGTATCGGAGCATTTCATTGGATGTCGATCCAGAGAGTGCAGTGTGGTCAGTTCAAACCGAAGTTAGGCTTTGATTGAACAGTACTGATAAAAACATATCGCTTTTGACAAAGATGGCAAACATGTTTTTTGATCAACTTTCTTCTAGCGCCAAAAATAAAGAGAAAACGTCTTCGTCGCCTTCGTCTAAAGATAATCACTCAGTGACCAAAAGGTAGGATTTATGTTGAAAGTGTTTCTATATTTGTGTTCATTCTTTCTGTTCGTAAATGAAAACCGATTCCACATTGATTTATGTGAAACCTCGTGCGCATTCTGCAACAAATCGTGAGGACGGCTTAATTGGTTAAATAAGGTCCTAGTTACTGAAAACGAATGGGGCAGATGAAATCCATTTAGACCAAGGATTCCCTCATTTTCAAAGCTGGAGATTTCAAATTGGAAATTTCAGTATCGATATATCGACTCATAATAATCACAGTTTATCAACATATACTTCCCACGCTTGTATGAAGATAAACCGTATCTGCAACTCGTCTGATTCATCAAATCTATGAACTCAGACTTCAATATTTTGGCTTCCTATTGAAAGAGTTGTAATCTTTGATAATTGGGAGTCTTATTTCACACAATTGCACTAAGAAACAACAGAACCTTGATGCATTGCGAAAATATGCAGCAATAAGATTGGAAAGATTTCCTCCCGTAACCCCCGTTTTATTATTCTATTCCTAAGATTTATAGTAAGAACAGATGGCTTTTATAGAAAGCCTATCCTAACCCAAAACCTAACATAATGCTGAATCTAAACCCTAAACCCTAACCCCTTGAAATAATCATAATAAATAGAATACTTTTCCAGCGGGGGTTACGGGTGGAACTCTTACCATAAGATTTACACCGAAACAACCACTAAATGTAAGGGAAAGAGTTCCTTACGTACCCCCTGCCTATTTTTGTGATGAGCAAACACTATAGTTTATAGTTAAAAATTAGGTGGGGTTTACTTAATGAACTCCTACTAATGTAAGAAGATGTGTAACTCCCATGAACACTTTAAGAGAGAATTCTATGCTTCAAACTAATAAGTGTAGAACTGAAACTTACGCAGGATTATTTTACCTGATACCGTTAGATTCATCCCTAGTGTAGCATATAACAAGACTTTGCGCTATACCAAGGTGTGCTCTATGTAGGCCTAGGGTGGTCTACGAGTTTATTCGGTAAGAGTTCCCCCATCCCAAATAATATGTATAAATATTCTAGAATTATAAACAAAACTTAACACAACAATTACTAGAGAACTCACAAAATGATTAAAAGTCCAAAATTTAAGTTAGGGCTAGGTTTAGGGTTAGGTTTAGAGTTGGGGGAACGGAAGGAACTCTTTCCGTTTATTCATATGAACTAGATTCATCCCAAGTACAAAGTACTGATAAGTTCATTAGCTTTCAAAAGGCATAGTGTAGTTCCACCACAAACAATATGTATTCAAATGAAACCAAAAACATGATAGATGCGAGGGAGATCCCAATTGTGCCTCACCTTAAGCAGCACAAAATCAAGATGAATCTTGTTTATTTACAGGTTGCAGCAGGAACTAATGACCTTGTTGGTATGTATAACTCTGTTGACTATGAATATGGCTGACATGTTTAGATAAGATGCCGAATAGCTTATTCACTCACATATTATAAGTTATAAGAGTCTTTTTAGCATGTTTAGTTTTTAAAAATATGTGATCCTCAAAATGTATAACTGTCTGTATTGAGAATGCTAAAAAGACAGTCAGTCATAACGTATTGAAAACACTTATTTTTCCCTTGTAACATGAAATCCGTGAAGATCCGGGTTAGAATTGGTCTTCAGGAACCCATGCTTGTCGTAAGAGGCGACAAACAAGATCGGGTGGTCAGGCTCGCTGACTTGGTTGACACATGTTGTGTCCCAATTGTGTTGATTGATGCTCATGCTGTTGATCACTGGATTGTCTGGTCCAGACTCAGTTATATACCACCATACAGCTGGAATATTGCTGAGTGCAGCATAAAACAAAACTCACTCACTCCTTGTCACATGTATATGGGGTGGACACAATGGGATATTGACAGTACATGTGACCTCATCTAGAGGAACAATACCAAACCAGCTGTTGTTCATTTTCCAATGTCAGTATGTTGTGTGATTATGCTGTCCATAACCATGAATGGATTTTGGGGGATGTCATGACAAACGCAACTCCCTGCATTCAGAGCTACAGATAACTTTTTGGGTCATTGAGTTATGTACTCGCTTGTGTTCATCTCAATTGGGTATCCTAATTTTCCTTTGAGTAACCAAATAAATTGTACTCACCTCACTCAAACTCAATTGGGTATTTTGCCATTTTCCATTAATTTTAAAAATATAATAAAGTTTAAATGTTAGTGTTTGTTATTTATGTTTCATCTGTAATATGAAAAATGATAAGAAAGACTGCAAGTTGTCATGTTCATGTCCCGAAATAGAACCTCTCAATATACATCAGTTATTTTATCTATCCACGGTACCCTAAGATTTGACATTTTTGTGTGTGCATTTCAATTTATTGAGGTTCACTTTAAATAATTAATAGGAATTGAGTTTTCCCAAAAACAATGGTGTTTGAATGGCTTATTGTTTGTGCATTAATGGTTCACTTTAAATAATTACGTATGTTGTTTGAACGGATTGTTTTGTTATGATACATGTAACATACGATACATAATACATATAAAGCTCAAAGTTGTATTAGTTGACATTCATCAGCTGATGAAGACAGTAGGGCTGCACAGTATTACCAAGTATACCAGTATATCGCGCTACTAGGGCTGTAACGAATACACTATGTGGCGAATATGATACGTATCACGAATATTGGGTAACGAATACAAATAATTATTCATGAATATAATATTGAAGTTAAGTGATTGATGCACAATATTGAATGCCCATGTTGACAGTGTTAATTTGTCACAGCAATAACCAGTGATCTCATGACACTCAAATTTGGTATCTAATAGTTATAGCTGACAGTAACATATGCGGCCTTGGAAAACTAACATGACTTGGGCTACTACAAGGCTAGTACATACCAGTATTTCATTCTTGCATATCTCATTTTGAAAAAGGACATAAGGGTTCAAGTAAAACGGACACCTTTAAAAATATTGTAAATATTCATGAATATTCGGTTCTGGTGGCCACGAATAACAAATTGAATTCATGAAGGGCTACGGTTCGATTCCCTGAATATGCGAGTGAATCGTAACAGCCTTACACGATACACTTTTCAAATGATACGTATTGCAATATGTTTTTCTGAGAACCGGTATACTGGATAAAGAACATATATGAAGTTATTGTGATTATATTTAAGATTTAAATTAAAATCTACACTAACTTTCATTCACAACAAATGTTTTCCTTCATTATTCAATGACAAAATGGCCAACTGTAATACTATAACTTTGATGAAAAAGAAAATAGAATGCCGGACTATGCAACCAAATTTTGAGATTGCTGTTATCAGAACCATATCATATATGTTTACAGACTTACAGTGTAGGAACAGAGGTACAGATAAGCTGCGTATCAGCGTAAATTACGCAAATATTTATGTGAGAACTCAATTCCTTTTGAGACTTTTGTGTACAGGTATGCTTGAATCTTTGTCCATTAATACTGAATACTCAATACATTTTATCTTAGCTTGCATACCGGTAGATAGATAAAATAACTGAAGTATATGGAGAGATTCTATTTCAACACATGAACTTGACAACTTGCGGTCTTTCTTGCCGTTTCTCATATTACAGATCAAATACAAATAACAAAGACCAACATTTAAACTTTATCATATTTTACAATTAATGGAAAATGGCAAAATACCCAACCGAGTTTGAGTGAGGTGGGTACAATTTATTTGATTACTCAAACGAAAATTAGGACACCCAATTGAAGTGAACACAAGCAAGTACATAACTCAATGACCCAAACAGTTATCTGTAGCTCTGTAGAAAATAGGATTGACATGCACAATTAGTGTCACTCACTGTCAAACACATTTGTTCCCAATATATCACAATACGTATCGCAAATCAGGTACCTGAATCGCAATATATTGCAATACAATTTATTTGCCAATACCCAGCCCCATGTGAGCCAATTTTTCCATCAAGCACTTCATGCAGCAAGACATGTGGTCACATGAGGCACTGTCTTCTAGGTGACGAACTTGAATCCTTAAATGTATGTCATTAGGCCTAAAAAAAAAAGGCTTGTGGTTCCGATTGACCGACCGACCCTAAATATTCCCGCCGAGCCTAACAATTTTACTCACCACATAATAAATTAAATTTATTTTCTGACACATGAGTAATGTAAAAATATTTTGCACAAAAAAAATTAAAACCTACCTACCTACCCTAGTTCTGAAATGTAGGAAATCGGAACCACAACATTTATTTTTTTTGGCCTTACCATCCTACTCGGGATACCCAGGGATTATCTACAAAGCATGTGCCTCTGTGAAGATCTGGGTTTAAATTGTGTATCATGCAGCTGGAATATTGCTGTGTTTCTGTTTAATATCAAATGTCCACTGAGGATCTTCTTCCTTAAATTCCATGCATCACCCCTGGTGAACAACAGTTCTCATGATCTGATGACCCATGAAGATCCGGGGTAGAATAGGTCTTCAGCAACCCATGCTTGCCACAAAAGGCGACTATGCTTGTCGTAAAAGGCGACTAACGGATTGGTGGTCAGGCTCGCTGACTTGGTTGACACATGTCATCGGTTTCCAATTTGCGCAGATCGATGCTCATGCTGTTGATCACTGATTGTCTGGTCTTGACTCAATTATTTACAGACCACCGCCATATAGCTGGAATATTGCTGAGTGCAGCGTAAAACTAAACTCACTCACTCTTATGTACTGATAATAATCCTTCACTTTTTCCACTTACAGAAATCAGGAGAGCCTGGTGTGTCAGCATTTCCAGATGGTGACAATCTTTTCTGTTGGGTTGGCACCATTGAAGGTGGTACTGGAACGGTAAGTCTGGCAAAAATCTGGTTCCACAGGCTGTGCATTGTTATGTGTTAATTTCAGTAGATTTTACTGACACTCCATAACATTTCGAGTGTGGTGGTGTGTTTACACAAGTACTCTCTGAATATATATAATTCTGATACAAGAAAAAAACTCAGCAAGCTCCTGAACCTGAGGAAATGTAGACTTGCTACATCTACAGCTTTTGCATTGCAGAAAGGGCTGGGCGGAAGGGAAAATAATGTGGCTCAGAGACTATTATGACACATGCCAACCATGTTTTGAATTATTCTTGACTACCCTGTCCATTAACTATACATCATTTGTACAAGCTCACTATTCACCCACATACTGAAACTGTCCTGTTCTATCAAATACTTAAAAGCAAACCAAATTTTGAACACGCTTGCTTGCTTACAGTCCCTCGATAAGTCCCTGGTACTAGTATATGCAGGGATGTAAACAGAATTGTTTATATATGCATTAATTTATTATTATGAGACTTAGGAACCTTTACCAGTTTCGTTTCAAATCTTATATCTTTTTTGGCCACTAGCCATGTTTGAATATGGTACATGGACATAAACCTGATAAATTCCCTGTCAAACCCCTGATGATTTCTGTCAACTTTGCAGGCAATGACCTCAATTATGTGGAAAGCATGAAATACACTATATACTATTACTAATGTATGTCATTGATTATTCAGGACAGTGGGGTAGCATAGTGGTTTAAGCGTTCGCTAATCACGCCAAAGGCTGGTGTTCAATTTCCCACATGGGTACAATGTGTAAAGCCCATTTCTGGTATCCCCCTGTTGCGGTGTTGCTGGAATATTGCTAAAAGAGGCGTAAAACCATACTCACTCATTCATTATTCATGTTTCTGTAGGTATACGATGGACTGAAGTACAAGTTGTCGTTGGTATTTCCAAGTGGTTATCCATACAAACCTCCAACCGTCAAGTTTGATACTCCTTGTTACCACCCGAACGTGGACACCCATGGCAACATCTGTCTTGATATCCTCAAGGAGAAGTGGTCAGCTCTCTACGATGTCCGAACCATCCTGCTGTCCATACAGAGCCTGCTTGGTGGTAAGTAGCACATCATGATGGAGACGATTTCGGTGTTCTTATCCGCAAGTTGATTGTTAGGTTTCGTTGTTTTTTTCCACAAAGTCAGTCATTGAATATGAACACGTTACAGTTGTTTTACAAAATACTGTAATCGTAGTTATTTTCGTGTGGGATTAATTTTCACGCTTTTAGCGCAAAATGATCGTGCTTCAATAATCATACCGAGCCAAATATTCATGGTCAAGTCATGACAAATACTCATTGGGAACAACATGCAATTTGTTTATTCTCTCAGATAACATCATCAAAACAATATATAAAGGAATAGAGGCATCTATACTAGTAATAGAGATCACAATCAGCAAATGTTTGTTATCAGTTTGTCAGTTAATTGATAGCTGATTACTCATATTCACAAAATGAACGAAGCTCACTTACCTCACTTACCATGCTTACTGGGACAGGTGTTGTCATGTTGACACAAGTATAATCCCACCTCTCTCTGATTGTTTTAATAAACACGATTCAATTATGGCGGCTAGCGTTGATCACTGCATGTCTATTGGTTGTGAAAACTTTGTGATGGATACCAACACGCAGGTGTTTGAAATGCGCGAAAAACAACTGCGCTAACAGGTCTTTTGTGAACTTTCCTCGAAAATTGCACCCGTGAAAATATATACGATTACAGTATGACGATGACGACATACCAAACTTCAGTTCAAAGTACCTCTTTACAGGTCTGAATATTCTTAAAGAGAACGGAGGTGCTCATATTGTGCCTCGAGAGCCACAATACACTGTGCAGAGTTGCATTCCTTGCCAGGAATCTGAGATCGATAATTGCTTGTGCCAAATGTATTTCTGCGTTATCATCAAATGCTGTGACTTCAACATGGGAAGTAATGGATTATGGCATTGTAAAACCTTTTGTGTAGCAAGGATTAAAATTTGAAATTAAGGCAGTGAACAGTGGATAAAACCGTTTGGTCTTTATTTCAGAACCCAACATTGACAGCCCCCTGAACAGCCACGCAGCTGATTTGTGGCATAATCAAACAGCCTACAAGAAATACCTGCTGGAGAATTATGACCGGGATGTCCGCAGCAAGCAGAGCTCATGACAAGATCACATGTAGTGTTGCCCCTGGTTTACCACCTCTCGATACCCTTCACTCTGCCTCTCCTCCACCCATTCCACCTTTGTAGTCTTACAGCATACATTTCCAACACCCAGCATTCTCGCGTCAGTGTTGCCTGACAACACAACATTCTCACGTCAGTGTTGCCTGACAACACCCAACATATATATAAGTGTTACCTGACGACAGGCAACAGTCTTACATAGATGACACATTCACCCCTCCATGTTGTCTGAAAACATCATATTCTCACCTCAGTGTTGCCTGACAACACCCAACATTCTCACACTTATGACGAATAACACATCCCTCACGTCCATGAGGGACTACATACAACACATTCCCATGTCCATGGTGCCAGACTACACAACATTCTCACCCCCATGTTGCCTGACAACATGCCTTATCTCTATGTGCAGTATGAGCCTGTTATAGTCCTGTATGAGACTTCTGGTTTCATTACTGGTTATCCCAATGCTGTTGTGATTTAGGTCCTTGAAACATTGTTCGGAAAATTTATGATTATTTTACATATTTTCTCCATATATCATCTAATTCTAAATTCTTGATTAAGTACATTGTGAAATAAGATTACTCTTTAGTGTCATGTTGCTACAAAAATAATTTGTTGGTTTTAATGTTTTCTAAAAAAAAATTCAGGAATATGGTGCTGGGTGTATTTCTTGTGAACAGAATATTATAAAGAATTTGTATAAAGAAAGTGCTTGAAGCCCCTTTATATACTAGTACTTATTGTACCATGTTGCTTAGCAACACATTATTTGACCTCAGCTAAATAACTGTTAGCTTCAAATATCCTTGGCAAGATCATCGTTATTATTGGTGCACATAATTGATTTTGCTATGTTTTTCTCTTCACCAATTTGTGGAAATCATTTTTATACACTGAAGACATTTTCTAATATTTATCAGTGTGACATCTTGATGATCGTAATTCCCAATTTTCTATGATTTTCATCTTTAAGAACACACAAAAATTCCAGCGCTATAGTTTCATCTGTTCTTTCACAGATGGCCTGTAGAGGAGATGATACTTGTTTGTCAGTGGACTATTTATTGTTTGTCATAATGTGTCTACATGTATACACACAGAATTGAGGTCTCAGTCTGCCATAGCGTGGAAATAGTTCAGGGAGTAGTGACAGAATCCTGTGATGATGTATTTGATCCTCATGTTCAGCCTTATTATGACTCTTGGTCCGTCCAGCACCATTCCCCTGTTTGTGGGTTTCACCAAAGTGGTCAACGTCTGTGACCTGCATCATTTCGAGTGTATACCCACATAATGTTGACACATGGTGATAAAACTGTACTCTCTGCTGAGTAGCAACCCATAGCAGTTAAGTTTAAGCTTTAAGATTTACTCTAAACATTATCCCTGCTATATTCACAGTGTACAATGCTGGTGGATTTCTCAGAAGAGCTAAATGTCTGTGACATGCATCGCTTCAGAGTTTCCACCAGCATTGTTCTTACCTGGATACAAAAACAGATACATTGTTAATTTCTGGTCCCCTGAGCACTGTTGATCATGGCATGATGGCTCGGTGATTGTTCCATCTCTATGTCCATGAGAGGCAATGTCTTGGCATTGTGGTTGTAGCATAGCATTCCTATCATGGAGGGCGGTGTGGTAGCCTAGTGGTTAAAGCGTTGGCTCGTCACGCCATAGACCCGGGTTCGAATCCCCACATGGGTACAATGTGTGAAGCCCATTTCTGGTGTCCCCCAGCGGTGATGTTGCTGGAATATTGCTAAAAGCGGCATAAAACCAAACTCAGCCTATCATGGATAGAATGTGTAAAATATATTTCAGGCTCCTTGACCTTAATATGGATGGATTATTGCTAAACCTGACACAAACCCCTACTCCCTCACTCACTCCATGGACTAGTCTAGTGACCTGTTTCTGTATGTGTATATGTTAAGTTTACTGTATTTATGATGGTGAATTACAAGATTTTTGTGATCGCCCTTTCTATGTGCATGTGCTGTCAACAGCTGAGGAATAAACAACTGTAAATAACTTATTTTTGTTGGTTTTGTTGGCTGCACTTAAATGTCTCAAGTCAAGTAGCTGGAAGACTGGTGATCGTGTAGAGGATTTTCTTCATTTCAACCGTTTTCACAAGCGTTTCAATAGTCATATAATAAAGTTTCAGGACAAAAGGGGGTGGGGTGGTGCATCCATCCCCCCTCTGGGTCCTCCTATGTGAATGTTTATTGTAATACAGCCAGATGCTTGATAGATCAAATGATGAACTGATATTGTCATCTCTTTTTAACTCTTGCCGAGAATGCCTGTAGTATTCAGGTCGGTGAGGTAGCCTAGTGGTTAAAGCGTTCACTCATCACGCCGAAGGCCCGGGTTCGATTTCCCACCTGGGCACAATGTGTGAAGCCCATTTCTGGTGTCCCCTGCTGGAATATTGCTGACCTGTGAAGGTCCAGGTTAGAATTGATCTTCGGTAACCCATGCTTGTCGTACGATGCGACTAACGAGATCGGGTGGTCAGGCTTGCTGACTGGATTGACACATCGTATCCCAATTGCGTAGATCGATGTTCATACTGTTGATCCCTAGATTGTCTGGTCCAGACTCAATTATTTACAGACCGCTGCCATATAGCTGGAATATTGCTGAGTTCAGCGTAAAACTAAACTCACTCACTCACTGGAATATTGCTAAAATCGGCGTAAAACCCAACTCACTCACTCACCTGTAGTATTCTCCATTAGGCACTTGGGTTAGAATTTGTCTTCAGCAATCCATGCTTGTATAAGGCGTAAACAGGGATCAGGTGGTCACTCTCTCTGACTTGGTTGACACATGTCATAGTATCCCAATTGTTTAGATCCTTGCCCATGATGTCAATCACTGGACTGTCTGGTTCAGACTGTTATTTAAAGACTGCCGTCATACAGTTAGAAAATTGCTGAGTGCGGTGTTAAACACCAAACAAGTCACCATTAGGACACCTGCTCCCATGCTCGCAAGAGAAGTGGAGAGTGCTTGAGACATTTGTGATGTGTCAGATACAAGATCTGTAAATTTTAACATTATATATTTTGAGTGGATGGGTCACCAAATGTAAAATATTCCCAAGTGCCTTCAACCTCATCTTGTATAATTAGGAGATAAACCTACTGTGTGGGAAAATCAGAGGTATATAACGAAATTATAATAGCTCTAAATTTCATTTAAAACCGAACGCGTAGCGTGAGGTTTTAAATGAACAATTTAGAGCTATTATAATTTCGTTATATACCTGATTTTCCAACACAATAGGTTTATCTCCATTCTACCATGACAATTTTATGAACAATTTCAGGTGGAGCTCTTTCTTTGGTTACGAGTCAATACGTGAAGCGGCCTCGCATTCCAATCTCACGTGGTATCGCCCGAAACGGGGTGTTTGGTGGCAAACCGTCAATGACTAACAAACTCCAGATTCAGTATTAACAAATCACGTTTTGTTTTTTCAATGCATCAATCACCAATCATTAACTGATAAGTTGGAAAACATATATCAAATAAGTTTAAAAAAGCTTGGTTCACATTTGAAAATTCCACCGTAGACCCTTTCCCCACCAGAATAGTGGCAGCAACCTCATGGCCTTGACCTTTTCTCGAAGTCATTGTTTACATTTGGAAAGATGCGACAGGAGAGCCACTGACAGTTTGCGCAAGGTTAACCTGATTGTATGACTGAGATAGTCTTTGATATCTAATTACTGGTACTGGTACAAAATTTAAGGGTAGGGGGGGGCTTTTGCTGTAACGAAAAGTCCGTGTTGTACCGAATTTAGATACTGTTGAATTTTGCGCCCTGTCAACTTGACGATTTCACGCACCTCTACGTCTGCGTGCGACAGCTGTGGTGACTCTTACACACTCATGTGTGTACTTTGTGCTCAAATTCGATTCTACGGATATTATTTTCTACATTTTGGAAAGTGTTTTGTGACCTAGTGGCTTCAAAGTGTAGTGAATTCAAATTGAATCGGATTGGCTGGCATGTTCGCGAGTCTGTTGACAAAGAGCCAGATTTGTGGTGATATTTCCGAAAGGATGGATCAGGACACGAGGGTGTACCTCTGGCATAAACACGGTAAGGTAATTAATTATACTTTAATAGACTACTTTAGATCAAGCAGTGTAATGGATAAGAGGGATCATGACTAAGCTAAATAACTTTTCAACGATATTATACATTTAGAAAAAATATGTTGTTGGGCGAAACAGAACGGTTTGCAGATTCTGTAGATCTAATTGTGTTTTACTACCGCTAAATTTGAAACAGTACAAATTTAAAAATATCATTTTGTTTGAATTGATAACCCAACTGTTTATTTATGTGGACGGAAGGCATTAGAATCTAAAATTTCTTCGGCGTTCGATGTTAATGCATCCTCCGTTACCGGATCAAGATCAGTGGCGATATCGTTGACGAAAGCTGATAATAAATTTAACACGGAAATTTTGTAGCAGTCAATTGCTGGATCTATTCTGACATAACATAGAATCAACGTAAACATATTTATTTTTGCTGAATTTTTATTCGGAAAGCAGACGATGTTTTGATCTTGTTCGACTGAATATTTGTTTCCATGCTTTCGAAGTACTTTTGTATGTATAAACACCTATTGCTGTGATTTACGCAAGTAGTGAGTCGAGCCCGTCATCGCTAAATCCATCTTTAAAGACATGTGTAATTTCCGACAGCAAAATCGCCGTAATTTATCGATGCATCGGAAGGTTGTTCGGTGTCCGCCATGTTGGTGGGCAGACAAAAATAGTGCATTACCGTAAACCATGTATGATTGCGCAAGGGAAACAGAGACCTGTATAACGTGATTATATACCTCTGAATGACTTTAATTAACCAATCACAATCCAGTGTTTACTGAAGTCATGGTAGAATCAGTGATCAGTTCCCAAACTGGATTCCTGGGTGCCTAACCCATGGAGATCAGGGTTAGAATTGGTCTTCAGTAACCCATGCTTGTCGTAAATGGTAACTGAGGGGATCGGATGGTCAGGTTCGCTGACTTGGTAGACACATCATTGTATCCAAACTGCATAGATTGATGCTCATGCTGTTGATCACCGGATTGTCTGGTCCAGACTCAATTATTTAGAGACACCAGTGCAGTGTAAAACAACCAAGTCCAGCCTGCCTAACATTTAGCCACCGTATGAATGGAGTATTTAAAACCAGCTGCTCGGAGCATTGTCTTTGGTAACAAAGTTTCACAAATTACCTCATCAGGTTTTGTGATGTAATTTGTAAAGATTATTTACACAAGGAATGACATCTTAACTTCTACATGCAACAGGTCATTTCAATGTCATCTGTTTAGTTTCATTCAACTGATATACCATAAATGTGAGTCCCTAACCAGATATATTGAGGCCAGCGGAAGTGAAACTGACATCCATGATTTTACATGAACTTCTTTCACATATCTCGTCATGAATTTGTCAAAAGGGGCAGGTAACTCTAAATCAAGTGTAAGGAAAACAGAAACCAGTGTTCGAGAATAAACGATTGTTGCTTCAAGACTCCGAGAGTCATGAGAGGAATGTCAATGATGAGGCTTTGTAGAAGGCACATGTCATTACTTCTTGAGGCACAGAATCTACCCAGATCATGTAGAAGGGTTCACGGCAAAGGATCTCAAACTCCAATTGAAGCAGCTTCGCAACAGTCCGAGCCGTTTCTCAACCAGCCCCAAGCTGTAGCTGCGGTAGAGGTCACTCCCAGAGGGACAGGTGCTTCGAAGATCGATAGTACAGAGACACAAGAAGTTTCTGAAAGCACAGGTAAATTGTCAGCTCAGCAGTCATCCAAATTTCAACGAAAAATGTGTTGATGAGCAGTATGATGCAATCTTACTAAGAGATTTGTCATGCGCTAATGATTATGCTCATAACCGTGAAATTCTTTTAATTATTGAAATTTATTATGAATGAGAACATTTTCTACATTAATGTATTGAGGTTTTTTAGCATATATTGTTAGTCATGGCATTAATCATCAAATTAAAGTCAATGCGAGTGTTAACATCTGTGTCATGAATAATTTATACGTAGGTCCAAACGATTACGGTATACACAGGCCTTTATTGAATTTAATCAGCAGATATTCACTCTGGATGAGCAGTGTTTTGTTTTTAATTATGAGATTGACAAGGTTTGAAAACTGCCAGGACCATCACATTTCTTGTCAATCAAATACAATGATTATTACTATTCATGTAATGTCACAGAATATTTTGCTTCATTTGTGTAACCAGTGATACATTTCTTTGTCATGTAAAACACTGTGCTTGATATCTTACACGTCAATTTTACATTATGCTGCCAGTGAATAGCTGCAAAATTGCTGATGTTGTGTCAAGTAAATTTACTCAATCAATGTAAGTAAGCAGTTAATAAACTGAGGCTGTCTCTAATCTGTCAGGCCATGTTGAAATACATGACAATGGGAGCGTCATTTAGAGTACTTATGGTTGATAATTGCAGTGCTATTTCCATTACACAGTTTACTGCCTAAATCAGAATGTGATATGGCAGTATGTTTTCTACTGCAAGGGCAAACACCAGTGAATGCATTGATAAGTGAGTTAGTGTATTTATGAGACAGGTGGCAGACCTGTGGCATCGTGTGTTGAATACATTCAGTATGTTTTAATATAACCTGTCGTTTATCATCGATGGTGTTCAACAGGATTTCATTTGAGCATCTCTTTGTGTGGCTGCTCAACTTAACTCTGGGATAGGGGGTAAATTTAATTTAGGACTACGCGGGGTGATGATGATTTTAAGGGGGGTCACCCATTTTGTTTTTGGGAGGAAGGGGGTCATCAATTTTGTACACATGTACTAGAGGGTCAGCAATTTTGTACATAAAAATGTTAAAATATTATGCTTAAAAATTATCTTGATTTTGATTGACAAAATTGATTTCGTACATGACATGCAGGGAGGTCACTCACTTTGCACATAAATCTTAGGGGTTCATTGACACTGTACATGCCTCTCCATATATATCATCATCATCATCATCATCACACACCCCTAGCCTAAATTATGAACAGTCCCTAAGCTTCCTATTTATGAAATTTACACAATAGCCAGTGGTTTGTTTGCTTTAACTCAAAACTCAGTTGTCGAGAATGTAGCATTGTTCAGAGCCTGACATTCATCCCCAAATCTGTGTCATATGTATCATGATTTCCCGAGTGTATTGAAACGTTTGCCCATTTGTGTTAAAAAGTAATTACTTATTTTATGGTTTCGTGGAAATAAACGTTAATTTTACTGAAAACAGGATCCGGTGGTTTGGCCGAGTGGTTTAAGCATTCACTCGTCACACCAAAGAACCAGTTTCGATTTCTTTGTTTTATAGTTATGTATTTCCATACAATCACTGTTTTGGGGATACTTGCAACATTGTGAAACTAGGATTTAAACATCAGACTCAAATCAAGCATGTTCTGTGTCATGTTCTCAGAAGGCTCCAACATACTGCGTCCGGTGGCTTACAATGTATGGCACGTGGACCCCTCCACAGTCAAAGAGATCTACTTCTTCAACACAATGGAGCTTGTCAAGAAGCTGGAAGAGAAGGGTGTGTAATTTTCACTTAACGTAAACTTCCTCAAGAAAAAAACCCCATAGTCACAAGAGGAGGAAACATGACATACCATATTCTCTGTATGAAGCGCTTTGCTCTTACGAGTGCCCTGACTGACTTATACACAAGCCTGTATTTAATTTAATGTGGGGCGCGGTGGACGAGCTGGCTAAGGCACCAGGCTAATGATCCAACGAGGTTGAGGTGTTGGGATCGAGCCCACCTGTGACCGGGTGTAAAAAACCTTGGAGTCAACTTTGTGTGCATACTCTTTCAGTGTTGTCACAACCCCTAGTGTACAGTACATAACCCTGTGCACTTAAAAGAACCCACGAATCGGTTGGTGTATGACCAGATGGTGGCCACATGAATATGTGCAAACACCTAGTTGCGGGTACAGCAACGTGCAGTGAACTTGGACAAAGTACTGTGACTATGTGTCCCAGTCCACCCAGCTGTGAATGGGTACTCGTTAGGATGGGAAAGCCACAATAACTTGGTGCGCCTAGTGGCTGCAAGAGTTGTATACTCCCCAGGGAGTTGAGATTGATAACAATGTGCCGTTGAGACTGACATCCAATGATCGAGGGAAAAATACCAGCGCCTTGAGCAAGCACTAGATATGTGCGCTAAATAAATATTGCATAATAATAATAATAATCTTTATAAGCACACCATGTAAGACCAATAATTTACATGACAGTCCATATTTTCCGTGTATTTAAATCATTTCGTACACAATACAGCAGCACACGAGGAGTATAACTGTCAAGTGAAAATTGTTGAAAATGTTTTTGTTTGTCCACTAGTGCTCAATCCCTGATTATAAATTTCAATCCCCACATGGGTACAATGTGTGAAGCCCATTTCTGGTGTTCCCTGTAGTGATATTACTGGAATATTGCTAAAAGCAGCATGAACACAACTCACTCACATTTTAAACATGGTAAGTTCTAAAAGTTTCACCATTGGCAGAGATGTATTGCTAGCTGCAGTAGTAGCCAGTATTGCCTGTCAGCTGAAGGACAGAAACAAATACACCTTATGTTGATGTGGGGGAGTAGTCTAGTCGTTAAAGCGTTCACTTGTCACACCGAAGACCAGGGTTCGAATACCACATGAGTACAATGCGCGAAGCCCATTTCTGGTGTTCCCAGTTGTGATATTGCTGGAATATTGCAAAAAGCAGCATAAAATCATGTTCACTCACATTTTTGACACAGTAAGTTCTAAAACTTTCACCATTGGCAGAGATGTATCTGGACTTACTCAGAGGCCAATGGTAGGCATCAACGCTGAATGGAATGTTTTACCAAATTCCCAAACTGGATTTACAGGTTTCCAAGTTCAAGTTGTGACAGTTATAGCTTATGTTTCAACTTTGTAGGTATGCCTTGTATTTCACTGATAACAGGACTGACAGAGAGGAAGAAACTTTAATGATTAGTTTTTCATTATGACATCAAATGCAATGTTAACTTCAAAAACCTTTGTTTGCAGAGATGAGAAGTTTTTCCCACTGAGCACATCATACTTTCAGGGATCATTTCTAAAGTATGCTTTGCCATGACTTCTGGTATACTGACAGTCTACCAAACCACGAAGACGATATGGAATCCTGCATTAAACCAGTATAGAGTGAATGTGGATGTTGTGATTATCAGGTGTTGTTTCTGTTGTTTCTGTATAAGGATTTACTCGTGAACAGTCTGAAGCGGTGGCGAGTTGTCTGGTAGAGATTGTGAACACGACCATCCAGCACCAATCTAACCACATGATCAGCAAGTCGGAGCAGGAGATCCGGGTCCAGAAGCTCATGGCAGAGATCTCCTCGGTGAAGAAGGACATGGTCATGTTGCAGAAGAGTGAGTTCTCCACGCTACGCAACCAGACAGAGGTGAGTCACGTGGCAGAAGAGTGAGTTCTCCACGCTACGCAACCAGACAGAGGTGAGTCACGTGGCAGAAGAGTGAGTTCTCCACGCTACGCAACCAGACAGAGGTGAGTCACGTGGCAGAAGAGTGAGTTCTCCACGCTACGCAACCAGACAGAGGTGAGTCACGTGGCAGAAGAGTGAGTTCTCCACGCTACGCAACCAGACAGAGGTGAGTCACGTGGCAGAAGAGTGAGTTCTCCACGCTACGCAACCAGACAGAAGTGAGTCACGGGCAGAAGAGTGAGTTCTCCTGCTTAAACCAGACAGAGGTGAGTCACGTGGCAGAAGAGTGAGTTCTCCACGCCACGCAACCAGACAGAGGTGAGTCACGGGCAGAAGAGTGAGTTCTCCACGCCACGCCAACCAGACAGAGGTGGAGTCACATGGCAGAAGAGTGAGTTCTCCACGCTACGCAACCAGACAGAGGTGAGTCACATGGCAGAAGAGTGAGTTCTCCTTGCTACACAACCAGACACAGGTGAGTCACATGGCAGAAGAGTGAGTTCTCCACGCTACGCAACCAGACAGAGGTGAGTCACGTTGCAGAAGAGTGAGTTCTCCTCGCTATGCAACCAGAGTGAGGTGAGTCACATGGCAGAAGAGTGAGTTCTTCTCACTGAGCAACCAGACAGAGGTGAGTCACGTGGTAGAAGAGTGAGTTCTCCACGCTACGCAACCAGACAGGTGAGTCACGCGGCAGAAGAGTGAGTTCTCCACGCTACGCAACCAGACAGAGGTGAGTCACGTAGCAGAAGAGTGAGTTCTCCACGCCACGCGAACCAGACAGAGGTGAGTCACGTGAGAAGAGTGAGTTCTCCTCGCTACGCAACAACCAGACAGAGGTGAGTCACATGGCAGAAGAGTGAGTTCTCCACGCTACGCAACCAGACAGAGGTGAGTCACATGGCAGAAGAGTGAGTTCTCCACGCTACGCAACCAGACAGAGGTGAGTCACGTGGCAGAAGAGTGAGTTCTCCTCGCTACACAACCAGACAGAGGTGAGTCACATGGCAGAAGAGTGAGTTCTCCTCGCTACACAACCAGACAGAGGTGAATCATATGGCAGAAGAGTGAGTTCTCCTCGCTACGCAACCAGACAGAGGTGAATCATATGGCAGAAGAGTGAGTTCTTCTCACTACGCAACCAGACAGAGGTGAGTCACGTGGCAGAAAAGTGGGTTCTCTTCTATAGGTAATAAGAGAGTGAGTTTAGTTTAACACCGCTTTTGGCAATATTCCAGCAATATCACGACGGGGGACATGAGAAATAGGCTTCACACATTGTGTCCATGTGGGGAATCAAACCCGGGTCTTCAGTGTGACAAGGGAATGCTGTAACCACTAGGCTACCCCACCGCCCTCTATAGATAATGATAATCTGTATGAGGATGACTGGAAAGGACAAAGGCCCATATAAGCTTGAATCAACAGTAATGTGGTATGAACATGATATCCAGCATGGAGAAAGTGCCATAGAAATGGATTATTGGTATTTTGTTAAAGTTGATTGGCTGTCCTGGTAGGCTGCATGTTTAGCTGTCCATCTCACCTCTAGAGTAGGATCTCTATCTGCTGTGTTGACTAGTCATGTATCTATTGACAATTGTTTACCAGAAGGTGCTATGAACCACACCTTGCTTGTTATTCAGAAACAGTCATTTGAAATCCGTCAAATCAAAGACTCCTTGCGGGATGAGATTGCAAAGTTGAAAGGTCAGATGACCCTCGACATGAACTTGGAGCGGAGCCGATCAGTGGAGGCAGTAAGTATAGTGACCTTCTGTACAGGGCTTCAGTTGTCTTTACACATGAAACAGCCCCTGATCTGGGAGAACACTGTCCCAGTCACATGTGTAGAAGTTTTAGCTTTTAAACCTGTCCCCACAGTCATGTCTAAGTAGAATTAAATATTTTACCATGCAATATATCTGAAGTTGAGGAAGGGCTTGATGTGTAAAAGGCAGAGCAAGTGAAAAGGTGGGGATGAGATCAGTTGAGGCGGGGCTTGCTTTTTAAAGAAGGGCTGTGAGATGTGTGGGCCAAGGGCTTGTGTGTGAAAGAGCTGTGTGGGGGAGGGCCTTGTGTGTGAAAGAGGAGCTGTGTGGGGAAGGGGCGTGTGTGTGAAAGAGGAGCTGTGTAGGGGAGGGGCTTGTGTGTGAAAGAGCTGTGTAGGGGAGGGGCTCGTGTGTGAAAGAGGAACTGTGTGGGGGAGGGGCTTGTGTGTGAAAGAGGAACTGTGTAGGGGAGGGGCTTGTGTGTGAAAGAGGAGCTGTGTCAAGGAGGCGCTTGTGTGTTGACCTTTTTGAGGTTTCATGATCAGAAAACACATTGAGATTTCAATTTCCCAATCTGGTGAGCAATGATCTGTTAGGTCGGATATAAGGTTGTTCTTATATGAGTGAGTGTGGTTTTGTGCCACTTTTAGCAATATTCCAGCAATATCACGGCGGGGGACACCAGAAATGGGCTTCACACATTGTACCCATGTGGGGAATGTTCTTATATGAGCTTTAATATGCTGTCTTCAGACTACATGTAGCAACAGCAAGCACTGAGACCCAATTTCTATACTGGAGGTGTGTAAGGTGGCGCGCTTTTGTAATGCATCATGCTTGATGAAACACACTGGTCTGACAAGGTGATCATGTTGACATTCCAGCATGCAGAAAATCAAAAGAATCTGACCAAACTTCACCAGAAGATAGAGACACAGGTTGCACATCTTCTGACCAAGTACGAAATATACAGGAACGATGTGTTCAAGTTTGCTGGAGGTACGTACCCTGTACCATCACATACATGTCACTAGAGCTGTGACGATATATCGTAGTATCGATTATCGTGATACTTTATCTGACGATAAATATATCGATACGTATCGTATCGTTAAATTTCTGTATCATTACACCTCTACACATCACTGTTCCCAATATATACAGGTTACTCACAATACCTGGATCCATCCCTGAACAAAAAACATTCTTCGAGAATATTTTTTCTGAACAATTATATTCAGTTTGATATCAGGTATGTACTAAGTGTGATGTGTGTTACACAGGTACGGTGCTGACATGTGCAGGATTGTGTCTGGGAATAATACGACTCTGGAGCTGACGACAACATGCTATACGCGACATCAGTTCAACTACAGCAGCAGCAGCATCGTCACTCAGGATAAGACCTACTCATTATAAGTGTTTTGTGTTTGGAGTTTGTGTTTCACTTTCCCTTTGTAGAACGTCAGAAAGTGTTTTGTAATAGTTATCTGCCATTCACGTAATTTACGTCGAATGTGCATCAGTAGTGAAACACTGTTGATCAGAGAGAAATGTCCCTGTGAAGTTGTTGGATTTAGGAATTATGGGTCCAAAGTAAAGTGAGTGGGTCTGTTTTTACACCACTTTTAGCAATATTCCATCAATATCAAGGTGGGGGGCACCAGATATGGGCTTCACATAGTGTACCCATGTTGGGAATCAAACCCATCTCTGGTGTAATGAGCAAACACTTTCTCCACAAGGCTACTCCAACAACCTGTGAGTTCATTTGTTATATATTTAAGTTAAGTCTTGATCGTTCATTAGATGGGATCACAGGTTGGAATGTGTCATTTATCAATATCATGTTCCGATTAATCCAGAGAGGATTGATGGGTGATATTATGTCTCAGGATTATGTAACTTTTGGCTCACCCTCTATCTCCAATGATTATTCATAATAAAATATAGCTTGATCCTTTTACTGGCACAAAATGCACTTTCATATGGCCAGTGAATTCCTGTCAGATTTATTTGCACCTACAATATTGTATGTAATCAGAATGGTTCAGTTTACGATTGTTTACACATCAGTTTTATGTGGAAATCATGTTCAACAACAGAGCATTTACAGCTGTTTTATATATCAAAGGGTTCTGTTTAACAGGACCATCATATATTGGTGATGAGTATGTTAGGTCTGAATTTGCAATTAATGTGTACAAGCACCTCAATTGAAACTTCATGTGCTTTTATTTTTTAAGGGGCAAGTTAAGTTGAATAATTTATTTGTAATTTGGTTGTGAATATCTATTTTCCTGGATGAATCGAATCTATTTTCAAAAACTCAAAGAAAGTACTTAGTGTTCAAGTAAAACTAAAAAGTGCCAAAATCACATACAGGTTATCAGCTTTCAAACAAACCTAATCCTAAAACTACTAATGTTGAAGTGCATGAAAAATGATTCATTACCTGAATGTAATTAAGCATGATTAAGCATGCCATTATCACAGCGACCCCCAAAAGACAGTCACATCAACCAATGGTTGATATAGTGAGCAACATCATCAACTAGGGCATCCAGCTGATACGTTTCCAATCTCTTAGACAAAGCACCCGTGAAGGTCCGGTCTAGTATATTGATCTTCAGTAACCCATGCTTGTCATAAGAGGCGACTAACATGATTGGGTGGTCAGGCTCGCTGACTTGGTTGACACATGTCATGGGTTCCTAATTGCGCAGATCGATGCTCATGATGTTGATCACTGGATTGTCTGGTCCAGACTTCATTATTTATAGACCGCCGCCATATGGCTGGAATATTGCTGAGTGTGGCATAAAACTAAATTCACTCACTCTTAGACAAGCATAGGTTACTTTGGGTTGGTTGGTTGGTTGGTTGGTTGTTTAACACCACACTCAACAGTATTCCAGCTATATGGCAGCGATCTGTAAATAATCAAAAACATTACCACCATAATGGTTTTGGTAACGGTTTGGACCTCCAGTGAATGAGTGAACTGGCTGATTGATTCATGTTGCTGTCTAAATAAACTTAGGCTCAGTATTATTCGTTATGCTGCTATACTGAGACTAACAAACCCCAGTAGAAGGTCGCGTCAGCTAACCGTTAGAATTGACCACAGAACACAGCATACCAAATCGTGAAAGTTAACATTCACACATACCGTTTGAACTTTTACCCCGAAAACATTTTGTTCTCGAACGATTCAGAATGCTATTTTCCACACGATCACTTCTGAGCGATACACAAGGAGGACACCATTATTCACAACAGTGAGTAAACTGTCGCTGAAAATAGCGTTTTTGTCAATATTCCAGGATGTCATCTTGTGGAAATATAAGCTAATAGTAACCATGTCATCAGAAACCCCTAATCGTATATACTGCAGGTAAAATATCTGTGTTTTATGCAGATTTTCGTTTGTTGAGAGATCCGTGTCAGCGACCAGGAAGAGAAAATCCATTTTGTAAGTCCCGTGAAAATGGTAGCCGTTGTCTGATTGGTTAAATTCTTTCCATCCATCTCGCATTTGATTGGATGGTCATAGGTCGTTCAAAGGTTAACTGACATGACCTTCTACTAGGGTTTGCTAAGACTCAGAATAGCACTGTAACAAATAATACTGAGCCTAAGTTTACTTAGACTGATTCGTGTTGGTGTGGATCCTTGACAGCAGCACTGCCAAGTGCCCACTCAGTGGTTACCGTGGGTACATGCTGACAAGTTATTAACCATTCAGTGAGCACTTTTGCCCGTCAGGTCATCATGATAATCATCCATAATTATTATTTTTTATTATTTATTTTTTTAAGTTAAGCAAAAACTTTTCATCCCTAATTTTCATATCAGTGTCATCCAGTGGTAATTGTTGTATAATCTGAGTTTGTTTGTTTCTTGGAAAAGGTTGCAGGAGATAAAGCGGTGTGTGTATGGACATATACCCATTCTCACATTCACCCTTCAAGTTAAATTATGTCATAACCAGTTCCAGTGGTATAAGTGTACTCAATAATAGTTTTAAAGTATTATCGCTCTGATCTGAGATTTCTTCTTATTGGTGCTACTAACTCCTTTGGTGCCTAGTCATCATTTATTTTTTATCACAGCTTTTCTACATTTACAGCCACCAAGTATATTCAGGCTGTAGAAAAGCACCCTTTTTCATTTACATATTGTGTTGGTATAACTGCTGTTTGTACAGATAGTCCATCATGCTTTATAAGCAGTGTGTAATTTAAGAGCTGGGTAAATGTTTCGTATGCTATCAAAAGTACAGACACACAATACTGAACAAACTTTATGGATAACAACTTGTTATATTTCATGAGTGTGACGTTTCGATACAGATACAGGAATAAATGTGTCATTTATAATAGAAACTGTGATTGTGTAGTGCTACATAGGCGAATCATCCCCACCCATCAACACCCGAGTGAAAGAACATCAGACATCTACCAATTCCGACAGCAAATCAGCCATCTCTGACCACATGAAAGCAAACCCCAATCATCAAATAGTAGTGTGATATCACCATTCGTTGTAACAATCAAGCGGACTTCACTAAACGCAACGAAGCCACGCCAAAATCCCACCATCAACCGAGACCAAGGATACTTCCTTCCATTTGCTTATGATGCACTCCTCCACCAAGCCCAATCTATTGTATGAGCATCTGTGCAAATACATGAATGCTTGACAACCGTACATAAATCTGCAACGGAAAGTCGCCCTCTTGAAATAAAAAAAAGTTGGTATCTGTAAAGCTTGTTCAATATTGTAAGTCCCAAACGCTAAAATGCCACTCAAAGAAGTACAGACAAAAGCCGAGAACATTGAGAATCTGGGAGTGAGTGGCTGATGAATGCAATTGGCATGTGGTATTTATTTTACAGAATTGTATGTATTTTTCTTTTTGTTAAACATCAATTAAAATAGCTGGTTCTTATCAGGTGTTTGTTGTTTTGTTCAGGATGATGACAGCTGATGTCTTGTGTAGTGGTGTAACGATACGTCAGCACACAGTATACAATAGGGTGGCGGGGTAGCCTAGTGGTTACGGCGTTCGCTCATCACGCCGAGGACCCGGTTCGATTCCCCACATGGGCACAATGTGTGAAGCCCATTTCTGGTGTTCCCCTCCGTGATATTGCTGGAATATTGCTAAAAGCGGCGTATAACTAAACTCACTCACTCACTCATGATACAATACCTTGCTTCATAACTTCTGTATCACAATACATACAAATTATTATTTTAGGAGTTATACTACTGGAAGAAATTGTGAATAATTTTTTCAAGAACCAGTTTAGGCAGATTTTCTAGTGTTTCCAGGTTGGCAATAAACAGCAGAATCGGCACAGTGCCCCCAAGCTTATGTGTACCTACCCTACAATATCCCATCGCTTCTGTTTGAACCTTAAAGACAAATGATTGCGATTCGTCTGCAGAATGGGAGAGAATATGAACTTACGAAATATAAGTACTTGCATCGGGATCACGAATCATGTTGCACCAATAATATTATTAATGACCATATGGTATCATTGTATTGTCACACCTGTTGTCTTGTGAGTAGAAGTAGTGAGTGGGTGAGTTTAGTTTTACGCCGCATATTCCAGCTATATGGCGATGGTCTGTAAATAATCGAGTCTGGACCAGACAATCCAGTGATCAACAGCATGAGCATTGATCTACACAATTGGAATACGATGACATGTGTCGACCAAGTCAGCGCACCTGACCACCCGATTCCGTTAGTAGCCTCTTATGACAAGCATGGGTCACTGAAGACCAATTCTAGCCCGGATCTTCAAGGGTAGTAGATGAGGTGGGTTTTATGCTGCTTGTGAATATATTTAAGTTATACCATGGAATGTCAGCTGATATTTACCATGCACTTGCAAACCGAGACACCTGATCAGGGTACCTGGTGAATCTAAGGGACACAACTCTTCACACTGAGTTGTGTTTCAGAAGACGAGGCTATACTGCCCCTCATACAAATAATGAACATGAGAAGGCTTTACTCCTAGTTCTGTGCAGATAGAGTCCCCCACAGTGATGTTGCTAGAATATTGCTAAAAGCAGCGTAAAACTAAACTCACTCACTGTGCAGATAGATGTGTGGCAGATAGGCGTGATGCACACATTATCAACCATTGGTTTGTCTGATCCAAAAACTATTAATGTGCTGGCATTATGACTTACTCTACCATGTTAAGGGGTAGAGTAAGGAAAACCTATTCGCCGTTTGTCAGTGTATATAGACATCACAGAGGGGCATGTTCTATGGTTTCATGATAGAACTACTTTGGCATCAAGATAAAGTGGACACACATAAGTATTTTTTTTTTGGGGGTGGGTGGGTGGGGTGGGTTTTTGGGGTGTATACCATGAAACATGTAACTACTGAAATGTATGATTTCATCAAAAGACAAAATGATAAAAACGAAATTTTTAAAGCATTCCCTGTTTATACTTATGCAGCGGAGGTGGCCACCTTTAGTAAATGTAACAGCCCCACCCCCACCCCAAGATAACATGTATATCATTTTGGTTCAAGTTACATTAAAAATCAGAGGGGGACACCAAGTCGGTGGTCAAGACTACCAGTTGTCCGACTTCCGTTTCTGTGGTCCGTGTGGAAGCTGCGATGGCTAGTTGGTTAGACGGCTGACTTTGTGCGCTGGCAAATAAGTGCCCGACTTTAAGGGTGTGGGTTCGCATCCCGGATGGGACTCAACCCATTAAAAGTACTAGAATCTGTACTTTACGGAGAAAGTGTAATCCCAAATGCAACGCGTTCAGTTTAAAAAATGCTTTCCGTATTTTATATGTAATTCTTTAGTAGACTTCTTCCCTTCTTACCCCGGAGTTACTAGGATGATATCCTTCTTTTTCCAAATCCTTGAACCACCCACCCCTGTATATAGCTTACTTTATTGCGCGGTGCTAATATCGTCGCTCTCCAATAGCGCGCTCCCACATTGTCATGTATGACGTCACCAAGTATTTCATTGGTTGACAGCAGGGAATACCTCCATTGTTGATGCAACGGTGTAAACAATGTGATAAGGCTGTTGGTATCAATAAGTACCCACTGTCATGGCCGGAAACGACGACGATACTCCACCAACGTACAGTGAGGCCGTGCAGGTGCTTACACGTGAAATCCGGCACAAATATGGAATCGACGCATCTGACGTAGGGCGGGCGTTTCTGATGAGCAACTCAGATGTTGTCGCTATATTCCCACCTAACGAAGACGACGCCGGAAATCATGGGTAGGTACGACTATTTATTGGTAATGTAGGCCACTGCATTGTTCAGGTCGGACCATAATAAGTGAGATATAATGGTTCTTCAACACAGTTGTTCAGAAAATAGACTCCGAGTCATTAACAGTACAACTGCGAAAAAGCAACGGTTTCCGCTCTCAGTCGATAACATTCGTCACCACTCGGCTCTTTCCGATGCTGCACGTGTTTCGGGTCTCGATCCACATAGCGTTCGTAACTTTACGAGCTAGCGTAACTGTATAGTTTATCATAGGCTTACGGATGACGTAGTGCTACGATCGCTTTGTTTATCGGGACCCTAAACACTTGTCTATGGAATGTACTTAGCTAAGATACATAGCGTTCACTGACTAGCTAAGATACATAGCGTTCACTGACATACGCTATGTATCTTAGCTAGAATGTGCTGAGCTGTCGCATATTTCGTACTTATATATGCAACTGTTTGGTAAGATTTCCGATCGTACCCTCCACATGAATTGATACAATTATTTGCCATTTAAAACGTGTATCATATCTAACAGCGATGTGAAAGTGAAATGGCTATGAATAATAACCCAACCCTAAAATAGGCGGATCCAGGAATTGTGTGAATTATGTGTGTGTGTGTGTGTGTGTGTGTGTGTGTGTGTGTGTGTGTGTGTGTGTGTGTGTGTGTGTGTGTGTGTGTGTGTGTGTGTGTGTGTGTGTGTGTGTGTGTGTGTGTGTGTGTGTGTGTGTGTGTGTGTGTGTGTGTGTGTGTGTGTAGAGTGTGATAAGTAAAATGTGTGCTCCAAAACCACCACCCAACCCACCCACCCTGGATCCGCCAATGCCTAACCCTAACCCTGTCCACCCAAAAGCAAGTGGCAGGATAGATCGGAATTCTTTAAACGTGTTGTTTAATACCGCTCTCCGTCCGATATGACATCGGTCTGTGCACCATCAGTACACCAGGACCAGAGAATCCAGGACTTGACATCCTGAGAATCAATACATTGTAGACGACGTGCATGAACCTGTTCGGCGAGTTTCGCACCCCAAGTCGCCTCCAACACCAAGCATACATAAGTTATATATACCTACCCTCTAAGCTACTCACTGGTAACACAGGAACATTCCAACCCCAATGTCATAGGTGTCAAATGCATTGGGTAGTCTAGTTATTAAAGTGTTCTCTCGTCACAATAAAATGTTTTCGATCCCAGAGTACAGTGTGACAACTCGCGTCCCTCTATGCAGTGTTTTGATAGAATATTGCAAAATGCGCTATATTGATAGCACTTACTCATTCACCAACGTATTTTTGTCATGATATACATGGACTATTTATTTTACTGGGCGGCGGTGTCGTCTAGCAGTTAAAGCCTTCGCTGGTAACGAATGAAGAGTTTTGCGCCACAGCAATATTACAGCTACTCCTGGCGAGCGCTGGTAACGGGGAAGGTTCGATTCTCCACAATGTGTGAGCCCATTCTGGGGTCCAGCTCTGTCATGTTGCTGGAATATTGCGAAAAGACACGATCTGTCAGTCTGTCGGTCGGTATCTTTCTTTTTATGTTCGGTCTTTCGATTGATTTATTGATCTATTGATTGATTTATTTATTTAAAGGCGCTGCGTGAACCAGTCTCCATCTGCAGTGACATCACCCACGTCTCCGAAAACGGGCAGCGTACCGGGCGCCTCGGCAACACCAGCACATCCTGCCTCTGAGATCAACTCAACGAGTGCCCACCAAAGAAATATAGTCCCTGACTCAGGTCAGTCAGACATTCGACCCCAAGGACAATTTCGACATCTTGTTCAGGATCCTTTGGGCGTACTTGATCAAAAGTCACGTGTACACAGCTCATACCATGTTCATCCGGGTAACTCTAGAATAGACAATGGACGGACCAATCAGGTTTCTAATGTGTTACCCAATCAGCCAATCCGGGTGGTTGAATATCCTCTACCGGTCAGCTTTGAACATGACTATCAAGAAATTCCGCATAACTGCACACAGACCGATATTACCTGGGACGCTCCTGCTAACGCTGACTTGTTCGAGGATTTAATCTACAGTTTACAGATAATGGTTTTACGCGACTCGCAGGTAGTGATTAGCTGGGAGAATCTTGCAGAGTGCACGAATAACCAGATTCGGGTTTACAGGCTTGGAGAGATGGTTATGATAAACAGAAAACGTTACAGAAGACTGTTTGGCAACCCCCCGAAACCGTTTGGGGTTGATATAAAACTGAGAATCAGAGCTGAAGGAGTCCCAAAGGACTTGGAAGTGACGAGAAGGGTGGTTTGGAGTGAAATTAATTTACGATTGTGGCGAGAAACATCGTGATTCAGTAAAAGAGTGAAGGATCTACCAGTAATCAATGTATGTCTGTGATATTAAAATTGTCCAGTACGTAATTATCATGGTATTTCAATTTTGCAATATATATTTACACGGAATTATTCTTTTAATACAAAATGTTATTTGTCCATTGGGGCGGTAGGGTAGCCTAATGGTTAAAGCGTCCGTTAATCACGCTGACCCGGGTTTGATTTCTCACATGGATACAATGTGTGAAGCCCATTTGGGGTGTCCTCCACCGTAAAACGATACTCACTCACTCACTCACTCACTATTCGTCCATGATTGTCACGAAATTTCTGTTATACAATATAGACATTTACATTACAAGAGATGGGTAAACTGAAATGGCTGTCAGTGACACGTACTGCAGGTATAACAGAAACAACTGGAATCGCACACCTATGGTTGATGAGAACGTACTAGTTTGAAGACGTATAAATACGGATGACAGTCACAAAACATACCGTGTCTGACTAATAACGTGTATATACTCAGGTGAGAAACCTGACTATCTTGTACTTAGTTAAATCACTGTTTGCACTTTTGTTAAATTGTTTGATAACCAGTGGTATAAGTGTACTCAATAATAGTTTTAAAGTATTATCGCTCTGATCTGAGATTTCTTCGTATTGGTGCTACTAACTCCTTTGGTGCCTAGTCATCATTTATTTTTTATCACAGCTTTTCTACATTTACAGCCACCTAGTATATTCAGGCTGTAGAAAAGCACCCTTTTTCATGTACATATTGTGTTGGTATAACTGCTTTTTGTACAGATAGTCCATCATGCTTTATGGGTAAGCAGCGTGTTTATACATAACAACATGTTAATTTAAGAGCTGGGAATAAATGTTTCATAAGCTGCAAGTGCCAGTATCCCCACCCATCAACAACGCGAGACAATGAATATTGAAGCAAACTGTGATCATCAAATAGGATTAAATCACTTCGTTGTAACAATCAATAACTTTTTGTACAGATAGTCCATCATGAGGCACGACGTTTTTCATAAGTTTCGATACGAGATACAGGAATACTTGACAACGGTACAAGAATCTCTTTTGAAACGTCGCACTCACGAAATAATAGAAGTTGTCATCCATAAAAGTTGTACAATATTGTACGTCCCAAACTCTAAAATGCCACTCAAAGAAGTGCAGACAAAAGCCGAGAACTTTGACAATCTTGGGAGTCAGTCATTTATGAATACAATTGTCATATGGTATTTATTTTACAGAATTGTATATATTTTCGTTTGGTAAATATCTATTAAAATAGCTGGTTCTAATCAGGTGTTTATTGTGTTTTGCTCTGGATGACGACAGCTGATGTCTTGTGGAGTGGTGTAATGATACGTCAAAACAGTATTGTATCACAATACAAGGCTCATGATACAATACATCGTGCCTGACTAGTAACGTGTATTTACTTTGTTAAATCTCAAAACGATATCATATCTTAGCTGTAGCTGGCTGACTTGGCTGACACATGTCATCGTATCCCAATTGCTTCTAACGATGCTCATGCCGTTGATCGCTGGATTGTCTGGCCCAGACTCGATTACTTACAGACCGCCGCCATATACAATGTAGCTGGAATAACCGATCAACCACAAACCTGTTATACATCAACAACTGCAATTACCGCATGGAACGTTTTAATCGTTTTTCAACATGAGTGAATATGGTAAATTGAATAACACATTACAAACGTATCTGGGGTATTAGTTACAGACTACAGGGTCATATGTGTAGAAACAACCTTGGAGAAGTTTACCAGTCAGCCTACAAGTCAGGGTATAGCACGGAAACTGGTCTGTTGCGTGTCCAGAATGATCTACTTCAAGCCATTGACACTGATGGAGCTGCGATTCTCCTACTCTTGGATCTGTCTTAAGCGTTTGATACAACAAATCATGATATCCTCTTAAATATGCTGGAATCACGTATTGGCGTCAATGGAGATGCCTTAACCCCACTAGGTGCCACAGGGACACATATGTCCTTCCAGCTCAACCCTCACTTTGAAGTCCAATAAAAAGCAAGATATCCCACGCACACAAATACACTTCACAGTTTCGAATTCTGCAGGAAATTTCCTGTTTCTTGATACCATCCACTATTATTTTAGACAAAGTTCAAATGCTGAAAATGACCTTCCAAAATAGGCTTCATCGAAAATGTCGCCATTTTTGACACAGTACGAAATCGCGATTCACAGCGTTATTTGCTGTATGTTTTGAAATGTGACAACATTTAGCAAGGTCTATTTCTCAAACCGCCAAAGGTAGTTGCACTTATATTTATAACAACGGATAGGAAAATTAATATTCTACATTTCTGTGTAATTTTATAGCCGTACGTAGATCAAGGACCACGCGAGCGCAATTCTCGCACAACGTTCACTTTTCAAACCGTATGAAAATGTGCGCCTGAAACAAAACTCGGCATCCAGGGGGTTAAAGTGGTTTGCATCATACCTTGCAGATCGTCAACAATCCGTTATCATAAATGGATTGCGATCTAAAGACAGTGAAGTTGGGTATGGCGTACCTCAAGGTTCTGTACTGGGCCCAATACTTTTCATTGTATACACCATCCCTGTTGGAGACATTGCAAGGAAACATTGCCTCAGTATCCATCTGTACGCCGATGACACCCACCCTTATCTTGGATTCAAGCCATTGGTCCCAACTTCAGTTGAGGACGCTTTGGAAGGATGCAAAATTGTATTGTAGATATCAGGGGATGGATGTCAAAAAACGTTCTCAAACTCAATGATGACAAAACCGAGTTTCTTGTGTTCTCGTCCTCCCAGATGCAGTCAAGACTGAAAATACCCAACTTGGAAATTGGTGAAATCACAATTGACCCGAGTCCAAATGCTCGCAATCTGGGTGTGATTTTCGACTCAACCTTCAGTATGGATACGCATGTTGTAAAAATGCATACTATCATATCCGTAGCATTGGAAAAATCAGCAAATATGTAGACAGGAATACCGTCAAATGTCTGATCCATGCCTTTGTCACATCAAGAATTTAGACTATTGCAACAGTCTTTTGTACAGGGCACAAGAGCAACACTTGAACAAGCTACAGCGAGTACAAAACAGTTCAGCCAGACTCGTCACCAGGGCCAGGATACAGGAGCACATTACACCTGTGCTGAAGGAACTACACTGGCTGGTTTGTCCAGTATAGTCACTCAATGGAGAAGCCCCTGTATACCTTGAAGAACTGCTTGTAGCTCACAACCCGAACCGGACATTGAGATCTGCAGTCAGAACCTGCTAACAGTCCCGCCTTTCTCGGACAAAACGATTTGGAGAAAGCAGGCGCTGATCTGTGGAATGGGCTGCCCCTGGCTGTCAGACAAATCAAGGAACTCAGCAGCTTCCGTTTCACCCTGAAAACCGTCCTTTTCTCCAGAGCATATGGCTAAGCGCATTTAAACAGGGATAACCCTAGATATTATGCGCTATATAAATGTCCAATGTATTTATTATTATTACACATTCTATGACAAATCCATGAAACCGGGAATCTAATTTGTATGGGGCAGCTCAGAACCCACACAAAGAGCCTGTATAAGTAAACTTATAAGGCTCAATATTTTTCAGTATAGCAGTTTTAACGAATAATACTGAGCCTAAGTTTACTTAGACTGTATCTGCACAAAATGAGTGAGTGAGTATGGTTTTACGCCTTTTTTAGCAATATTATATTTCAGCAATATCACGGCGAGAGACACCAGAAATGGGCTTCAAACGTACACATGTGGGGAATCGAACCCGGGTCTTCGGCGTGACGAGCAAACACTTTACCCGCTAGGCTACCCCACCGCTCCTCGTAGGATGTGGAGTAAGAGCCTAAACCATTTCAAAACCTTAATCTGATAAAGGTGTACGTCTCATAACATCGCATACAGATTGCAATACATATACTCAATAGATGTATAATATAACAAAATACTAACGAGTCTTTATTTGTGGCAGAGTGTGAACTTACGTGCATACACAGAGATAATTCAAACAAAAATAAATATATATATATATGCACGGTAGATACAGTAAATGACATTAAAAATAAAAATAACAGTAGCAACAAAACATCACTATATATTGTTATTTGGGCAAAAACGGTACGATTAAGGTGACAGACTTTTAATGACTGGAGTTTCACTAGCCCTGCAACAAGGTTGCACTGAATGCTTAGCCAATGAATGTATAGCAATACTATCCTTAAATGGCAAATCTATATAAGCGGACAGCACTAAGGACGTCAGTCTGTTATTTATGTAAATGATAATTTCCAAATAATATATATATATATATATATACACATACATATACATACATATACATACATATATATATATATTATTATTATTATTATTATTATTATTATACAGATAGTTATATATATATTATTTGGAAATTATCATCTACACTGTTTATTATTGTCAGTCTGTTATTCATATTGTTTACAAATGATCATTTAAACTATTAATTATTGCCTGTCTGTTATTTATATATATTGTTTAGAAATTATCATTAAACCATTAATTATTACATTGTGTGAGAGTTTCACTTGTTGTCAAGGTAAAGTCTACCCTGACGTCACAAACCAGTAACTCTGAGCTCAGCAGCCGCGGCTGGTGTTGTGTCCCTAGTCCGTCTAACAGTCACTGAACCACGTTATTTTCCCTACTGCCTAGCCCTCCCTGCAGTGCTTAAGCCTAAATGAAGCAAGTCTAGATTCCCTCAGATTCAGGTTCAATGGGTTTATATGTTACTATCAAAATTATATATATTCAGGGACTAAGCGTTAGTCGATTGTGTCCCCTGTACATGGCCGGGCGCATCATCATTGTATATGCATAATGTCAGATACGTAGTAATACAAATTGTTTTATGTGGTCAGTCCACTTCGTGACTCGGGAATTGCAATTAATACACCAGATGTTTGACACGTTTAGATGATATTCAATTGCAATTTTAGATAAATTAGATATTCTACAGAAGGCCTGGGTCCCTACATATAATGAGTCTGCAACGAATAAAGACTCCAAGGGACTCAGCAGCCTTCTCTCTGTTTTAAGGTAAGATTATATTATTTTAATAGTTAAAGTTTTGAAGTTAACTCGTGCCATGTGCTACACTTATGTGTACATCGTTAATTTGATAGCCTCAACAATACGTTTATACAGTTTACAATACCCCATGGCAACATGGATGCGAATATTATAGATAGGTATATCATAGTTGGTTGGTTTGTTAACGCCGCACTCAGCAATATTTCAGCTATATGGTGTCGGTGTGTAAATGCTGTAAATATTCGAGTCTGGACCAGACCATCCAGTGATCAACAACATATGAGCATCGATCTTCGCAATTGGGATACGATGACCTATGTCAACCAAGTCAGCGACCCTGACCAACCGATCCTTTCTATTTCCTGTTATATCACCGAAACCATCCGTCTTCTATCTTATATCACAGAAACTATCCGTCTCCTATGTTATATCACAGAAACCATCCGTCTCCTATGTTATATCACAGAAACTACCCGTCTTCTATGTTATATCACATAAACTATCCGTATCCTATATTATATCACAGAAACAATCCGTCTTCTATCTTATATCACAGAAACTATCCATCTCCTATGTTATATCACAGAAACTATCTGCTCCTGTTGTATCACATAAACTATCCGTCTCTATGTTATATCACAGAAACTATCCGTATCCTGTGTATCCGTCTTCTATGTTATATCACAGAAACTATCCGTCTTCTATGTTATATCACAGAAACTATCCGTATCCTGTTATATCACAGAAACTATCCGTATCCTATATTATATCACAGAAACTATCCGTCTTCTATATTATATCACAGAAACTATCCGTCTTCTATGTTTTATCACAGAAACTATCCGTCTCCTATGTTATATCAGAAACTATCCGTATCCTATGTTATATCACAGAAAATATCCGTCTCCTATGTTATATCACAGAAACTATCCGTCTTCTATCTTATATCACAGAAACTATCCGTCTCCTATGTTATATCACAGAAACTATCCGTCTCCTATGTTATATCGCAGAAACTACCCGTCTCCTATGTTATATCACAGAAACTCTCCGTCTTCTATCTTATATCACAGAAACTATCCGTCTCCTATGTTATATCACAGAAACTATCTGCTCCTGTTATATCACATAAACTATCCGTCTCTATGTTATATCACAGAAACTATCCGTATCCTGTTATATCACATAAACTATCCGTATCCTATGTTATATCACAGAAACTATCCGTCTTCTATGTTATATCACCGAAACTATCCGTATCCTATGTGATATCACAGAAACTATCCGTATCCTATATTATATCACAGAAACTATCCGTCTTCTATGTTATATCACAGAAACTATCCGTCTCCTATGTTATATCACAGAAACTATCTGTCTTATATGTTATATCACAGAAACTATCCGTATCCTATATTATATCACAGAAACTATCCGTCTTCTATGTTTTATCACAGAAACTATCCGTCTCCTATGTTATATCAGAAACTATCCGTCTCCTATGTTATATCACGGAAACTATCCGTCTCCTATGTTATATCACAGAAACTATCCGTCTCCTATGTTATATCACAGAAACTATCCGTATCCTGTGTATCCGTCTCCTATGTTATATCACAGAAACTATCCGTCTTCTATCTTATATCACAGAAACTATCCGTCTCCTATGTTATATCACAGAAACTACCCGTCTCCTATGTTATATCACAGAAACTCTCCGTCTTCTATGTTATATCACAGAAACTCTCCGTCTTCTGTGTTATATCACAGAAACTATGCACGCCTGTCACGCCACACGCCTATTGTAGTGACTGTGCTGTAAGTGTTACGTCTGGATATATATACAAAATCATAAACTGTATTCATTGGACATTAAATATTTGCAGAAAAAACACACGTTTTTTCAACAGTGCGAGGCAACATAATCTTTTACACGTGAACTGTCATTTTAATTTTTTTAGAACCTGAAAATCAAATTAATTAGAACAGATGAGCTATTCAGCTGAATTTAAAACTGAAAACATACCTGTATGAGCAACTGGTTATCTCACGGTTCTTTCAGCGCATCGCCACAATCTGATATGAAGAGACGGAGCCCAGCTTACACGTCCCAGCTCAATTTAGATTTATCATCCAAAACTGTGTTCCACAGGAGATATCGCTTGTGTGGGATCAAAGGTAATCTCCTAGGAGATATCATTTTGACAGTAGATTTTGTACAATGCCCTGACAATGCTATGACGTCATGAACTTATTGACGTCACAACGCTATGACATCGCTGCACTGCAAGTCTAAAGGTAGTACAGTGTTTGGATGTACATTTTTAATTGAAACCTAATGAAAAGTGATTTTGGATGATAAATAGAATCTCACTCTCGTGTCTTCTAGGGGTACCTCGTTGCGCCCGACTCTGATATATTTATCTATGCAAAGCCTCGATATTTACCTCGTTGATAAACTCGTTTTAAAAAAGTCCTCAGAAGCAAGCCTCGTGTTGATATAGTTAATATTACCGACATTCGGTGACCCACTCGTGTATTGTTCGCTCGAATACCTCAGGTTACGGAAAGGGGCGAGTGGTGACGAATGTATATTACCGCTCGAAATAATAACCTCTCCCCATGTACGAGCGCTTCAATAGCCGGGTTCCCTGTGTTTGCTGCGCGGACGCTTCAATAGTACTGTGCAAAATGTAAACAAAGCAAAATCGCCAAATGTAGGTGACAGCAGATAGCGTGTGTTACTTATCGGCGCCGATGATCCATTCGGGGCAAAGTGTGACTGGGGCATTACATACAGGACGGACGCTGGAACTAGATGTCAAGCTGAAGAGGTGACTTGTGAATAAGGAGAACTAACGATTGTCAGTCGGGTATCACTATCAGCTGTTTTGCTTGTTGTCAGTGTGTGTTGATCGATACTGCTCGTACCCCTAACTGAAGTCGGTCATAAAACTGTCTTCCTTATCATTGTTATTGCTGTTCACTACAGATACATATTTCCGACAACTGTTTTTAATTAGTGTAGACAAGTTGCAGCATTTTATTCAGTGTATCTAAAGGCGTTTATAAATACGTCTTTGGTGTATCAGGTTGTACGTGTTATTACATTTACAGTACAGGAAATTATTGTGCTTGCTGTGGCACATGCCTGCACACACGCTAAATATGTATTATCGTTTCGGAAAGAGTCCTAAACCTAACCCTAAACCTAACCCTAAACCTAACCCTAAACCTAACCCCTAACCCTAAACCTAACTCTAAACCTAACCCTAAACCTAACTCTAAACCTAACCCTACACCTAACTTAAATTTCGGACTTTTAGTCATTTTTGTGAGTTCTCTAGTAATTGTTGTGTTAAGTTTTGTTAATAATTTTAGTATATATTAATTTATAAATATTTGTGATGGGGAACAGGAGGAACTGTTACCATAGTTTCTTTAAGTGATATTGAGTACCTGGTATGATGAAGAGGATCAAATTTTATGGATTGACAACTTCGTTATTGCATAGATGTGATAACACCCTAATGAAGCAAGTGTCCCATCTACTTGCAATACAGAAGTTCACAATCTGTAAAATGTGTTCCTCTTCAAGTAAAATAGAGCATTGAATGCAATGTTAAGGTCCCTTCCACCTAACAATCTATAAGATCACAACTATTGATATTGTATATACACTCAACTATCCGCGCTAATGACCATAACGTCAATACTATGCAGTTCTTATTAGGGGCTGGATATTTGCCCTGATTCTCATATTGCGATATATTGCAATAATTCAAGAGATACTGCAATACATATTGTGATATATTAACTGGAAGGTTTCTGTCCAAGTGTGTACATCATAAATTCATAATAGCTCTCTGTGTGTGACATCATCTTCTTAGTTGCTGTTACACCATATGTTCAGGCTTCCCAGTCCCCATTGTATATGGGTGTATGCCAGTGGTGTACAGATAAATGATATAGAGCCTTAATGTGGAATTTTCTTTCAAGTAACTGTATTGCAACAAAGTTTTTGCAACATAATGATAAAGGTAATAGTATAACATGATTTTCATGGTCAGTTAATACTATAACATGATTTTCATGCACTTCAATGCAGTATGTAATTATTGTTACTGTTTGTCAGTGATTCATTCAGATTCAACTCCAAATGAAACAAAAACATGATTTAGGTGAACTACTGCGTTCTAAAATCTCATGTGACCTCCAATAACTAAGATCCTTCACTAGAATGTCATTATACAGTGAGTCCTACAAAATTTATAAGACTTTGGCCTTTATCATAAATTGATAACATATGTCCCATTATGAATCAAAACAAAACTAACAAAATAATGTGAATTGTGAAATAATTCAAAGGCCTCTACTTATAAGTCCAAATAAAAGATTGGTCTTTTGGAGGGCATTTAGACCCAGGAATGCATATAAAAGCAAGATATGTCAACTTTTTATTGTGAATATTCAGACCTGATGAAGGAGCAAGCATACACTCTAAACGCTGAACCATATTATGAAACCATTCAATCGTGTTTGTTAGAACATTTGGCACTTTTGCAGCCACTTATAAAGACCTTCCACTTGTAAAATTTACATGAAACAGAAAAGAAACAAAAGAATTTGGGCACTTTTAGAGCTGATTTTGTTCTATATATGAATAGCTAACTCTGATGAATATAGAAATGTTATCGTACTGCTTTACACCTCACCTCACAGCCCTAGTTCTTATAAACATCATGACTATGAATATCCCTATATCCCGACTATGAATCCTACATATCTCATTTATGCTGATTATGTCTGACCCTGAACATCCGGTTAGAATTGATCTTCAGCAACTCATGCTTGCCGTAAGAGGCAACCAACAGGATCAGGAAGTCTGGTTCGCTGACTCGGTTGATGTCATGGAGTGTATCCCAACTGCATATCCTACATTGCTACAGACTGCCCCATATAGCTGGAATATTGCTGAGTGCGGCATTAAAGACCAAACAAACAAACTGATCCTAATGTCAGATTATCCATTTATACCATAACACTTGTTGAGTGAGTGAGTGAGTTTAGGTTTTGCCACACTCAGCAATATTCCAGTGAGTATGGATTTAGTTTCACGCACTCAGCAATATACCACTGTTATTCTATATGGCGGCGGTCTGTAAATAATAGAGACAATCCAGCAATCAACAGCCGCCAATATTCCAGAGTATATATGGCAATCTGTAAATGATCAGGAGTGATCAACAGCATGAGCATCGGTCTGCACAATTGGGAACCGATGACGTATGTGTCAACCAAGTCAGCGAACCTGACCACCGATCCCGTCGCCCTCTTACTACTACAAGCATGGGTTACTAAAGATCAATATTCTAACCTGGACCTTCACGAAGTATAACACTTGTTGTGAGGAGTTACTCTGTATTATCTACAACATGTTGCTAGGTGTATCCCACTGTACGTGTTCTTACAGTGCTGTGGATGATGATGCTTGCCGTGGCAGTTGGAGTTATGAGTGGTGTCTTCATCTGGCTCTTCCTCAAACCAAGCAATCCTCGCAATGGTGTTTATGCTGTGCCAGGTAACACATTTCTGTGTCAGTCATAACACATTATTCAATCAGTTGTGCAACAGTCTATTTATTGTGTTCTTAATCAAATTGTTATTGATCGAAGAAGTTAAACTTGGTTTTGTCCAAACCTGACTGTTTGAACCTTTGCGATTTTTGCAGAGTCTTTATGATATTTGGAACCTATTTCTGCCAATATTATTAGCAAAGTACAATGCAAATGTTTCTGCACTAAGTACATTTTAACATTGATACAATGTCACATATACAATCGTTTGTTTTAGTTTGTTATAGAAAGGTCTACAGACTTTGAAAAGTTTGGATCAAACCATTCTATGCAAAATATTTGTTTTTATCAAAATGGTCAATCAGTGTTTTCCGATACCAAATATTCCAGATCTTTATGTGTCAGCTCGGTTGGTATCCCTTGTATTGTGTTGAACATATTTACTTGGATCAGTGTATGAAATAAGCCAGAAAGCCAGCCAGAGATCAGGGCTGGTAACTTCAAAATGTTACAAGCCCAAAATGGATTTAACCATACCAGACACCAAGATATGGTGAATTTACTCAGATGTATGGGACATCTAAAAACATTTACCAGACCATCAGGCTCAGGCTTGCTGTAAAATTAGACCGTCCGTCAGAAATCTATCCCATCTCGGGCGGTCAAACAGTCCTTTGTCTTACACTAAGTGTATGTTGCATGTCCTGGGAACAGTGCCAGTTGATATCAGTTTTATACAACCTTTATACCATACATTGCCATAGTTTACAACTTGTATATGTTTCTTGTGTTGATTTTGCAACATTGTTATAAAGTGTAGAAGTTATAAAAACTCCATGTTTCATCATAGAAATAGTTCTATGGTTTCATTTAGGAAATGTCAATGACTCTGGGCTAAAATGTACAGATGAAATGACTCACTTCAATTTGCACACCCCAAGTTTTAGACAAACCAAAATAGTGCTGGCTCAGCCAGTCAAACACAAAAACAACAACAGTATGAATAAATATATTGATGTTTGTGATAGGAGTGAGTGTATGTTTTTACACTGCTTATAGCAATATAACCAGCAACATCACTGCAGGGGACACCAGAAATGGGCTTTACACATTGTACCCATGTGGGGAATCGAACACGGGTCTTCAGTGTGACAAGCAAACGCTTGAACCACCAGGCTAAACCATCGCCCCTGTGACAGGACAGGAGAGTCACGGTAGAGACATGTGATGAAGTGACATTACAGTTTCTTAATGATGAAGGAGCAAGGATTAACTCTGAAACGTCATATAAAGAATAAAAAGGAGTTTTTATCCATAAAACATGTCATGTATTTAAAAACTACCCATTGAGGTGTAAACAAGACTGTATAGCTCTGTGAAATGATCGGTCCGCATGGTGATGCTTGATATGTTTTGTTTTTTATTTTAATTCTTATGAATAGATTCATACTTTTCGCCGAAACAATGGATTTGTTTTACAGGTCGATGGTACTGGTTGAAAAAGGCTGTGTTCTATTTGATGTTCTCTGCCCGTAAACGTCAGAACAAGAAGAAAGGTCAAGGTCAGTCTGACAAATTTTCAAAGGGCTACGGGAAGGGCAACACTGACCTTGCCAGCATCGATGGCCCCCAGGTCCTGGGTGAAGATCCTTATGTGAGTTATCTTGAGCTGAATGATCACTTGAATGTATATTGTAAAAGCAAAAGTTTTGATATTTCTATTACACTTTCAAAAGGTGTTTGTGTAAAGGTGTTTTAGGTTTTGTCCAAAAATGTTAACAGTGTTCTTATTGTTTGCACTTAGTATTATGGCTCTTATTGCTTGGTTTAGCAACACCATTATCTTTTGTGTTTTAGTGAGTGAGTGAGTGTGATTTTATGCCTCTTTTAGCAATATTCCAGCAATATCATGGTGGGGGACCCCAGAAATGGGCTTCACACATTGTATACATTGTACCCATGTCGGGAATAGAACCCAGGTCTTCAGCGTGATGAGCGGACGCTTAACCATAAGGCTACAACACCGCCCCTTTTATGTTTTAAAGCACTCCAGTAGTTAATGAATACACCCATGAAGATCTTGGTTAGGATTGATCTTCAGCAGCCCATGCTTGTCGTTAGAAACGAGTAACAGGATCAGGTGGTCAGGCTCATTGGCTTGGATGCCACCTGTCATCATGTCCAGCTATATGGCAGCTGTCTGTAAATAATTGAGTCTGGACCAGACAGTCCAGTGATCAACATCATGAGCATCGATCAATGCAATGGGTATACAGTGATAAATAACAGGTAAGCCCACTTGATATAAATGGCATAAAACAAAGAAATTATACAGGTATATTCCTAGCTTACCTGACATTATCTCCAAAAATCCATGTATACAATCCCTTTATCCTGATGTTCCTTCCACAGGCAATAGATACAGCCTACTATGCTGGGTTTGGAGAGGATGGTACCAAGGCTGTGTTCCGTATTGCTCGTCGCCATGGACGCAGCGCCGAACTATGGTTGTTTCTGGATCTGCCAGGTATTGGCCAGCTGCAACACCCGGTCCACCCAGATACGGATGTTTATAACACAGATGGGCAGAACTTTCTGCTGGTGGACTGACCTTTGAACTTCTTCAGCCAATGAGGAGATGGAAGATCACATACAGTGGTTTGATGAGGTACAGGGGCCATCTCAAAAACATGAAGATAATTTATACCTTTTGGATTTTCAATGTATTTATAACTGGCAGCTACTGATATCTACTTGATTAGTGAGATTTGATTAACTTATAAAAAAAGTAATTTAGTGTTTTTGTATTTATTAATTTGTCATCCTATCACTATTAAAATGTGACGTGGAACTGTGATGTTCCCCTATGGAAAAACCCTATGTGTAAGACCATGTATATGATAAATTCAGTGATAAAACTGCTTTTGAAATTTGTCTTTAACTTTGAATTGCGATACTTAGATTATTAAAGTGAAAGATTTACAAACAATAAAATGTATTGATTTCACTTCCAGGGTAGGGCTGTGCAACGATGTGGAAACCAAACCTGACCATTTTGTAGAGACCAAGATTTCCTTCATGTAAGCAAGTTGTTGTTGTTTTGGTTTCTATCAATATCAAGAGGTTGGTCAGGCTCACTGATCTGGTCAATGCGTGTCAGGGGCAGATCCAGAAGGGGATGCAGAGGTGAAAAAAATTTCCCCTTGAGGAGAATTTCCCCCTAACCTTTGGACTTCATGATTTATGTGCACCCCCCATTCTCCAAACTCCTGGTTCTGGCCCTGCAGGACATCGTATCCCAATGGCGTGGACAGATGCTCAAGATGTCAGTCACTGGATTATCTGGTCCAGACTCAGCTATTTACAGAATGTTGTCACACAGCTGGATTACTTTAACAATAACCAAACAAATTTCTCAAAATTCATTTGAGAAGTGAAGTTGTGAGTTATCTCCCTTCGTTTTGTCAGTCTATGCCCAATCCATGCTTGAGTATCAAAAACCACTTCAAGCCAAAGTTTGAAGACAAACAAATTGGTGCTTGAAACTCTCCAATCACATTTGCTGTGACAGTCAGTTTTATCAGGCTAATTTTTTATTTGAGTTTACAGGTGTTGATGGGATTGAAATGGTGTGAAAGCAGAGAAAGTCTTATCTGATTGATTCATTTTATACAAACTTCAGCTGGGATGCTTTCACTGATCACTTCAACTTTGACATGGACATCAGTGCTTCGGCCATCGCTGATGGTGTTGCTAGGGAGCTGTGGACAAAGGAATTCTGGGCCAGACTTCAAAGGTGAGTGAGTGAGTGAGTGAGTGAGTGAGTGAGTGATTATGGTTTCGCGTTGCTTTAAGCAATATTACGGCGGAGAGACACCAGAAATGGTTCTCACACATTGTACCCGTGTGGGGAGTCAAACCCAGGTCTTCAGTGTGACGAGCAGACGCTTTAACCACAAGGCTAGATTGTAAACTCTGCCATGGATGTTTATAATGCATTTACTATGTTAGAAAGGCTGACATTAAAACTATCTGTTTTGGTGTGAGCTAGGTGACCTGGTAACATGAAGTGAGGTAGTTTTGGTCTGTATATCTATTTTCATCCCAGCCATGTAATAAAAAGTTGGGTTTTTTAGTTGTGAGCCAAGGAAAAATACAAAATTTACAAAATTTGTTTCCATTTTCAATGATTTGGTTGGAAAGAAAGGGTCAGATTTTCTGTTAGAAATAGAAAAATGGTATGTACCTGACTGTTGTGAAATCAGTGGAAATCTGTTGACATGAGTGGTGTCATATTTCAGCAAGCATCAGACCCACTATGAGCAGTGGGGGGAGATGAGGGGGAGGATCGCAGTGGAGGGGTACGACGAGAGACGACTCAGTCTCAAAACTATGCGAGATCATAGCTATGGTGAGTTGTTGATGGAGATAATGATGGCTCAGACCCCTGGGTGAGCTACTGTTTATGTCTTTGATCTGGATGTACCTGTTGGAGTCATACAAGTAGACATTATCTGTGAGTGTGTGAGTATGGTTTTACGCTGCTTTTAGCAATATCTCAGCAATATCACAGCGGGGGACACCTGAAATAGACTTCAATATAGTACCCACGTGGGGAATTGTACCCAGGTCTTCAGGCAAACGTTTTAACCACTAGGCTACCCCACCACCGTTATTGATGCTACGGCAGCCCTGGTGTCTGTTGTGAGCTAGTTACTGCAATCGTGCAAGGTCTGAGAATAATGCTTAAGAGATGAGGCATTTTGTACTTGCCAAATTATTCAAGACTTCCATTTCATTCAGTTTTTGTATATTCTCCAGTGTCTGGGAAACTGACTACAGATCCATTTCTAAACAGTTTGTTTGTGTTGCAGGTGTGCGTGACTGGAGAAGCTTCTACCGATATGTGATCCACTTTGTCTATGTTGAGGTGAGGCTCACAGTGGCTCAGTGGTCCAACCACAGCATATCAAGTCAATAATGATATGTGATATGTAATAATATGCTGAGAAAGGCTAGGAATTTCTTATGAAAAAATATTTCTGTTTCTTAGGTTTTGATAAAAAAATGGTTAAGAGGACATACTGGATGTTCTTTAGAGTAATATGAACTGTGACTTGTCAGCGCTTTGAGCATTGCCCTTGTGTGGTGAAAGTCAGTGCTATACACATACTCTTATTATTATTATTATTATGGTTGGTTCTTCCTTTCACAGAAATATATTGTATATCTTTAGTGAGTGAGTTAGTTTTACACCACTTTTAGCAAGAAAAAACAGAAATGGGCTTCACACCTTGTACCCATATGAGCAATTGAACCTGGACCTTTAGCATGATGAGTGAATGCTTTAACCACTGGGCTACCCCACCGCCCCTTGAGTGAGTGAGTGAGTTTGGTTTTACGCCGCTTTTAGCAATATTCCAGCAACATCACAGCGGGGGACACCAGAAATGGGCTTCACACTTTGTACCCATGAGGGGAATCGAACCCAGGTCTTCCGCGTGATGAGCGAACACTTTAACCCCTAGGCTACCCCACCGCCCCTGCCCCTTGTATATCTTGAAGTGCTAAATGGAAAGAAAAATGTTTTGCCTAAATATAATCATTTTTTTAAAGTCACATGTTATGGGCTCCAATATCATGGAAAACTTCTATCCCATGATCTCCAATCATAGTGAGTATGTTTTTATGCCGCTCTTAGCAATATTGCAGCAATATCATGGCAGGGAACACCAGAAATGGGCTTCACACATTGTACCCATGTGGGGAATCGAAACACGGCCTTACGTGTGACCCCAGACCAAAACAGATTAGTAAACTGAACATTCTGACACTTTATTCCAGTAGTCAAGCTGAATTTGAATGTTTTCATTTACTGGTAATTTTGGTCATTGCAGCTAACCCTGGTTAGAATTGATCTTCAGTAACCCATGCTTTTCGTAAGAGGCGACTAACGGGATCAGATGGTCAGGCTCGCTGACTTGGTTGACACATGTCATCGTATCCCCATAGCGTAGATCGATGCTCATACTGTTGATCACTGGATTGTCTGGTTCAGACTCGATTATTTACACACTGCTGCCATATGGATGAAATATTGCTGAGTGCTGCGTAAAACTAAACTCACTCACTTTCTGACTAGTGAGGACAGTGAAACAAACTGTATGTCACAAGTGGAGAATTACAAGTTTATGTTTGTGTTTCAGACTGGCTTGACAGCCCAGGTGGGGATTGTCAGCCATCCAGATACAATGTCCCAGTGAGTACCTGACCTTACTCCATGTTTAGAGACCGTGCATGTCAGGTTAAAATAACTATGCATCATATATCTCTGTAGAAAAGTTGTGGTACTTTCTTAGCTGGGCTTCATGTTGGTACAAAATAGGTCTCAAGTAAACCCATGCTTATCTTCCCTTGGTGATGCCAGTAACCCATGATTATCTCCCCTTGGTGATGTCAGTAACCTATGATTGTCTCCCCTTGGTGATGCCAGTAACCCATGATTGTCTCCCCTTGGGAACTCAAGGCAAGCTCAGGTCCTAATAACCAATGCTTCTCTCCCTTGTCAGGGTGTTTGTTATTCCCTTCTTAGATAAGTCAATGCGTACACACAAAAATGATTTTTGGGGGGAGTCAGTGAATGGGGTGGGGTGAGTTCAGTATTATAAATACCTTAGCTTATCAATCGACCTGTGAAGATCCAGGTTAGAATTGGTCAACCCATGCTTGTTGTAAGAGGTGACTACCCATAGGCGGATCTAGGGATTTTCAAGGGGGCCTGAACCCCCCGCATGGATCCGCCAATGCTAACAGGATGGGGTGGTCAGGCTCACTGACTAGGTTGATGCGTGTCATTGTATCCCAGATCAATGCTCATGATGTCAGTCACTTGATTGTCTGGCCCAGACGTTAAACAACAGCAAAAAAGTCATGTATTTGTATGGAGGTGAAATGTTTTCACTATCAATTTGAAACCATGTACATGCCACAGAAAAATATAAATCTTAATTTATACCATTCTGGATTGTATTTTAATTCTAGTGTTTGATCTAATTGTTCTTGTATAACCACTGTCAAGATAGTTATTCTGTTGTGTGTCTCCAGCTTGATGATCGGGTACGTGGCCTACCCCAACGGGGACCTTGTGTCTGTGAGTCATGTCAGCCTGAAACTGTGGGAGGTAGGAGAGGACGGTACCCCACCCAAACAGTACAGCTTCACCTTTACTGCTGGTAAGTCGCGTTAGTGTAGGGGCGGTGGGATAGCCTAGTGGTTAAAGCATTCTCTCGCCATGCCGAATACCCGGGTTCGATTCTCACATGGGTACAATGTGTGAAGCCCATTTCTATTGTTCCCCACCTTGATCTTGCTGGAATATTGCTAAAAGCAGCGTAAAGCCCAACTCACTCACTCACTCACTCTTGTTAGTGTGGGTGAGCTTCAGGTCACTTCTGTTAGTGTAGGTGAACACGAGGAGAATCTCGTTAGTGTAGGTGAGCTTTAGGTGACTTCTGTTAGTGTAGGTGAACACGAGGAGAATCTCGTTAGTGTAGGTGAGCTTTAGGTGACTTCTGTTAGTGTAGGTGAACACGAGGAGAATCTCGTTAGTGTAGGCAGGGAGACTCTATAAGGGGGAGTGGTCACTCCTCGGAAAGCTCCTAAGCTATGCCTCGGCTCGTCACGTGACCAGTGCAGCCAATATGGCGGTAGCGTAGTTTTTAAGATTGAGCCCGGTTTATTTTCAACAGCTGATTACATACGCTGAGTGTTGTGACAACTGAAAACCTACATGTAGAAGATAAGTTACCTATTCTGTCACTTCATTTTAAGTCAAATACTTGTTATTAGAGTCAGTATAAGTACAGTAGCTTTGTAGTAAAGTTTCAAGTGGGCATGTTGTAGCTCACTGGCTTCAATTCTCAGTACACAGCTAAGAAACACTAACTTATATCGCTAAAACTTTTTTCACATATTCTCAAGTTTAATTTTTTAGAAGGGAAATATACCTTTGTTAAAAGGTGTTTGCAAGTAATAGTGATATTTTTATAACTAAAAACAATTGGTTAGGGTGTATTTGAGGTGTGTGAAAATATGACATATCACCGATCTGCCATTGAAATACTACAGAGCTGTTGTTTGAGTGTTTCTAGTTAGTGTTCAAAAAACATCTTTCACATACACCTTCAATTTTATGAGGGAATATACCATCAGGTGAAAGGTGTTTGCAAGTAATAGTGATAGTTTTATAATTTAAAACAAATCGTTAGTGTGTATTTTAGGTGTGTGTAAAAAATATGACATATCACGATCTGCCATTGAAATACTACAGGGTTGTTTGAGTGTTTCTAGTTAGTGTTCAAAACATCTTTCACATACACCTCCTCAATTTTATGAGGGAATACACCATCAGGTGAAAGGTGTTTGCAAGTAATAGTGATAGTTTTATAATTTAAAACAAATTGTTAGTGTGTATTTGAGGTGTGTGAAAATATGACATATCACGATCTGCCATTGAAATACTACAGAGCTTTGTTTGAGTGTTTCTAGTTAGTGTTCAAAAACATCTTTCACATACACCTTCAATTTTTATGAGGGGAATATACCATCAGGTGAAAGGTGTTTGCAAGTAATAGTGATAGTTTTTTGTTTTTTTTGTTAGTGTGTATTTGAGGTGTGTGCAAAATATGACATATCACCCGATCTGTTCTGATAATGTCCCATTGGTGCTTGTGATGCTTGAGTGTTATAGTTCTAAAACTTCTTTCTTTCTGTTGATCTTAGTATTTGACAAAACTGGAAAAGTGTTTGCAAGGCTTTGTGATAGTTCTAAACTTTCTGTTCTTGAGGGTCTGTGACAGTGTCAGTTAACATTCTGTCAATGCCCATGTCATTCCACACATGCAATAAGATATCTGAATTAGTTACTAATGTAAAAAAAAATGTCTCAAAGTAGATTTTTTATAAAAAGGACAGCTGATGTTAACATGTGTTCTACCGATAGTTTTATGCTCTTTAACATGTTTGGGGAGGGGGATGGCCGTGGTGTATCATTTATTCTTTCATTCATTCACATATGTTCTTTTTCTTTTGTTCTTTTTCTTAATTTCTTTCATTCATTCACATAAAATTCTTGCTCTTAATTCATTCATTCATTCATTGTAAAATTCCGACCTATACAATACACTGGCTGAAGTAATGTTAAACGCAGCCGAAGTTGCGCTGGGACCGAACCAAGTCACTGTGTGCGTTGGAGCATGACGAGGCACACGCTAATTAGTACAAATGGTAAAGAAGGCAAGCGAGTGACCTATCCCTGTTGTAGAGTATCCCTGGTGTAGGTGAGCTTTAGGTGACTTCTGTTAGTGTAGGTGAACACGAGGAGAATCTCGTTAGTGTAGGTGAGCTTTAGGTGACCTCTGTTAGTGTAGGCGAACACGAGGAGAATCTCGTTAGTGTAGGTGAGCTTTAGGTGACTTCTGTTAGTGTAGGCGAACACGAGGAGAATCTCGTTAGTGTAGGTGAGCTTTAGGTGACTTCTGTTAGGAGGAAAATCTCATGAGTACAGGTGAGCTTCAGGTGACTTTTGAGTGTAAGTGAACACGAAGAGAATCTCGTTAGTCTGAGTGAGCTTCCGGTGCCAACTCCTCCCTGTTATATTCACTCATGCCAATTCACCCATGGGCAGTTTCCCCCTGACATGTCTCCAACCCCCCTCCTAGGTTATTTTTCTAATTGGTCAATTTTTCCCTTCACCAAGAACTGCAAAGAAACTGTAAATATTTCAATGATTTAATACTTCAGATGTTGATATGATAACAATTAACTGATACACATGAATCGCGTTAGCGTAATGAACTCAGGCAAGTCATGTTACTTTTCCTTACATTCTCAATATACCTGTGAAGGGCATATCAGCATGGATGAGGAGGCCATTAGGAATCAAGGTGATAAAAAGGAATGACCACATGATGAGATGGTCACAGTATTCTTTCCTGGCAAAAGTGTGGAGCCCTGCCCAGGGTATCAACCAGCAGTCTGGTTAAGTGTTGAGTGAGTGAGTGAGTTTAGTTTTACTCTGCTCTTAGCAATATTCCTGATCACTGGATTGTCCGGTCCAGACTCGATTATTTACAGACTGCCTCCATATAGCTGGAATATTGCTGAGTGCGGCGTAAAACTAAACTCACTCACTCACTAGAAATATTCCAGCAATATCATGGTGGTTGATACCAGAAATGGGCTTCACACGTTTTACCAATGTGTGGCATCTAACCCGGGTCTTCGATGTGATGAGCAAACGCTTAACCACTAGGCTACCCCACCACCCTGCAAGCAGGTTAAGAGTAGACACACAGACAGTGTTACAAAAGCCAAACACTGTACCCGAATATCCTAGAAGGTGCCATGATGATGTCACTCAATATGTCAGAAATCAAACAATGTTACCATTTAGTTTTTTATGGTTTAACTCATTTTCTTTAACTCACTTTATGCATTTTACACCAAACTATATCTTGACTGTTGATATAAGGAAACCTAGAATTTGTTAATATATCTTGGTTTCCATTGTTTCATGTTCTGCTACTGCCATTTTTTTAACAGAATATTAGATCATGAATATTAGAAATGAATATTAAATAATCGGGAGTTTAGAGATATTTATGTTTGCTTAGATTAGACGACTTACCTATTCAATCAACTATTGGTCAATGGCAGGGTATAGATAAATGTTTGTGTTTCTGTAAGAATTGTTATGATAGTGTAGTTGAAGATGTTACACACTTTATGTTTGTCTGCCCAATGTATAATCTGATAAAGAGATATGGATTTTCTGATAACCCTACTTTTTATTGTTATAAGTTACTAGTTTGCAGTAAAGATCATGAAATTATTCCAAATGTAGCAAAATATTTTAAATATTGCTTGTCTCTCCACATTTTATGATCATTGTCACTTTCATTATATCATTATATTTATGTTCAATGATGTACATGGGCCGATGGCCTAAAAAACGAATAAACCATCATATCCCATCAGTGTGCGAAATATTTTCCAAATTTTGCTAGCTGTCGGGCTAGCTATGCCTGAAAGTTATGCCCACAAAATAACTCACTCGCCCGAAATTTGAATGTAAAACTAAGTAAAAGATTACAAAAATAGATGAGAATAAGATATTGTCCGCATGACACTGGACACTACATCGTTAAGCTGCTAATATTATGAACATTTTTATCAGGCCATAATCTTGCATGATTTAAAAGTGTATTATAACTTAACGAGTCGGAGAGAGTGATATATTTACAAAATGACCCCCATGAAAAGTCACTAGCCAGTCGGGCTATTGACTGTGGAGATTTACTGGAACCGACTGGATTTTTATTAGCCTCAGTCTAGCAGGCCAGTGGCTGTTTTGCACACTGATGGGGTATGACATGAGAACTGCCATATGATAATGTCTAAATACACCAGTGAGCCCCATTGATACAGCTCCAGGTTTGATTTAAAGCAAATGTTTGTGTGTGAGGCCATTCGTTATCAACATATGCATGTATAGTGTTCTGCAGATGAATCTGTAGCTGTTGTGTTGCCACAGACAATCAGCTATACACCATCGAGGTGCGAACAGGCATCACGCCTGTCTGGTATCACCATGACGACCGTGGGGGAAAAGTGATGGAGGTCTTCTGTAACTACACAGTCAACGGCCGTGACGGCAGAGGGCTGGTGGAGTACTTTTACAGGTAGGTGTTGGGACTACACCATCAACAGCTTTGATAAATATTGACATCCAAAGTTTATACATTATCCACTCAAGTGGATCCAGAGCTTAGTGAAAATTATTAGTGCATTATTGAATTGTTCATGAACTAATCACTCAGTTGGTTATTTTGACAGGGATTGTTTGGAGGAAGAATTTGTAAAAATGTTTTTATACGTATACTTTCCTTTTGAAATATGTTGTTGTTGAACCTTTTTATTTATAATGTCACACGTCTGTACCAGCTGACTGTCTTAGAATGATGGCCACTTAACTCTGAAAGTCTTCTGCCCACACAGAAACACTGATGGCCCCAGCTACACCCAGCAGACGTCTCACAGGATGCTGACAGAGCCCTCTAGTGAGGAGACTGTGCATGAAGAGGGCAGCCTCATTCTGACTTTCACCCATCCTAGCTGTGCTAGTTCCCATCTTGTAGGAGGCAAGGGCTCCCAACTGGCTCTCCTCTCACAGGTCCAGGCCGAGGTGAGAGACTGAGTCAATGTTTTCGGAGTCTGGTCTGGGCCGGACCGGGGTAAATTGCACGAGCAACAACTCATGCTTCTTGAGTGAGTGAGTGAGTTTAGTTTTATGGCGCTCAGCAAAATTCCAGCTATATGGCGGCAGTCTGTAAATAATCGAGTCTGGACCAGACAATCCAGTGATTAAAAACATGAGCATCGATCTGCACATTTGGGAACCGATGACATGTGTCATCCAAATCAGCAAGTATGACCACCGATCCCGTTAGTCGCCTCTTACGACAAGCCTGGACACAAGATGATTAATTCTAACCCGGATCTTCAGGTGTCTCATGCTTCATGCAGTTACTTTATTTCACACCATTACCCAGGTCAAACATTGTGACCAATGACACTCTGAGGTAGGTCACACAGTATGGCCCTTGTTGTCAGTCTACATGACACACTTTAAACCAGACACAGCACACACTGAAAACACCTGAACCTCATTACCCAGCACCAAGGTCAACATGGGTGCTTCGGACCTTTCCTTCCCTGAGAACCCCATGCTTATGGTCAGAGGCTTGCTTCTCCTTGTATTGCATCTTAAGTCATTAACAAAGATATGACACTTTGAACCCAACAAGTCCATGGGTATCACTTCCTTCTGTTAAGGGCTGTGGTGGGGTAGCCCAGCGGTTAAAGCATTCGCTTGTCACACCGAAGGCACGGGTTCAATTCCCAACATGGGTACAATATGTGAAGCCTATTTCTGGTGTTCTGCTGTAATATTGCTGGAATATTGCTAAAAGCGGCGTAAAAACTCACTCACTCCTGTTAAGGCATACCTCAGTGGAGCTCCAGGTTAGCTCTACAGCATAACCTTGCTGACTGTGTGAGGTCATACCTGGATCAGGGATAAGCTCTGTGATTTAATTCATTCTTTCCATATTTCCTGAAATAAATGACTTGTTGTCAAAAGTATTCCCGCCCTTCTCTGTTTATCTAATGGTCAGTCACTAAATGTAATGCTATCTCCTGCTCCTTGCCCTGTTTCTCGTCATGATATGGCCGAAATATTGCCGATGTGACGTTAAACAATAACTCACTCACTCATTCCTTGCCCTGTTTCAGTTGAGCGTCTCGGTGCCGAGCGGTGTTTGTGTCACGCTAGCAGCCTTCAACAGACAGCTCCAGGTTAGTCCATGCATACCTGTTGTAGGCACTTGGAATAATAATATTTATATTGTGCATTTATCCATGCACATTGCATGCTCAAAGCGCTGACATATTACCCCTGGTCAACGAGTACAGAACACTCCCTTTGGAGAATACAACCGGTCGCCTGTCAGGCCCTCAAGGTTCAAATTCAGACTACCATCGTATCATACAAGGTACCCAATTTTACTGCTGGGTGGACAGAGGCAAGTTTGAACAAACTCACTTGCCTAAGGTGAGACCACATGTATCACATGTGCTTCGTTGTGGGGCAGGACTGAAGTCCTAGATACTCTCAGGAGTCAAGCTGCCAAACACGGTCACCCATCCGAGGACTGTCATATGTATGTCATATGTCATCCGAGGACTGGAATGTATTTAGAAAGTTTAAAAAGTGCATTTTTCAATTTTATTTGTTTAAGAGTGCCTGCCAGTATGATTTATAGTTATGTGCAGAACTTAAAATGTTGTGATGCTCTCCCAGAATATGTCAAGGTCATCTATCGACAGTCTTTAGTGATTTGTTGCTGCCGATAGTAGATGGTAATCCTGGTCAATGATTAAGTGGACAGTTGACTCAGTACTTCATTAAATTTAATGTCTTTGTGTGTGATACATTTCGGCTTCATAATCCAAACAGTGAAATAAATGTGTTTCCAGTCATCATGATGTATGTGTAATTTCCATTTTCTATTTCCCAGTTTAACGATTGTCTGGATGTATCCATTGAAAACATCAAAGGCTGTATTGTGTAAGTATTCATCAAAGACATAAATAAATCATGTAAATTCAGCCAATGTATGCTCTCAAAATAGCAGTATTCTGTTGTGCATTAGTGGAAAAAATATAGTCTTGTTCGTTGTGAAGCATAAATTTTAAATTTCTGGACCATCTGTTTTTTTATTCAAAGTTTGCTTTTCACTTGCATAACATTATCATGTTTTAACCACTTCTATGAATTATGTTCATATTGTGCAGGAATTAGAATATTTCCCAGAGATCCAGAATTAACTGGATTTTGTATTGTCCAAGGACCATTTGGTGTTACATGCCCTTATTGTATACCGGTACACAAATATCATACAGTACCCCAGACCTACCAACTTCTATTTTGTAAGAAAGAAAATATCCTCATCTTTGGTCATGTGAAACTTAAGCCTCTGTCAGGTTTATTTCATGTAAAGCAAAGCTGTTTCTTTTGTGCTACGTACCCTGTCAGGTAATCACTGTGAGACTTCATTAAGGCAAGTCCAAATAACTTTATATATCCTCAAAGACTGCGTCACTATTCAACATGTATGCCCTCTGGTTTGATTCACTGCAGACTCTTATTTTGAGAAATTTCTTCATCAATGAGATAGATCTCTAATGAAATTAATTACCGTATATTGCAGACATTGCAACCATGACAAACTGTCCAGTGCCTGTTCGGACACAGTGGAGCTTTTTGCAACCACACCCATCTGTGAGAGCGTGAGGGCAGCCATCTTGGATAGCCTAGGCTCTCTCTTCACAGAGAGTTATGAATCAAAGAGATTTGCTGTCAGATCCTCAGCTGCAGGTAATCATTGTGCTACACTGAAGCAAAATTGTATGAGAGGTCTTTATTTACACTTCCTACTTTGCGGTGAACTGAAGCAGAAATGTGTGAGAGGTTCTTCGAGTGTCTACATCATTACCTTGGTTAACCTGTCTGTGAGGCACTTGAAGGTTAAGTCATATATATGACCATCTTATCCCACCAGGTACCCATTCACTGCTCGGTGAACAGGGGCGAGACCACATGTGTTGTGTGTGCTTCGTTGTGGGGCAGGATTGAAGTCCTAGAAACTGTCAGGAGTCAAGCTGCCAAACACTGTCACCCATTCAACGAATCTCTGCACTTAACTTCAATTGATTTGTGACCTGGCTCTATGCACAAGGACCACACACCACCACGGATAGCCAGAATACCTTCAACCACATTTCGCTGTGATACATGTACACATGTTCAGCATGTAACTATTAGTCTGTCTGTTGTAGGGGAGGATGGCAATGAAGCATCAAGTGCTGGGCAGATGGAGACATTCCTGGGTGTCACAGGGACCAGTGAGGTGGGTGATGGGGGCCAGTGGGGTGGGTGATGGGGGTCACTGGTTTGTGTTGGGGTCAGTAAGGTGGGTGATAGGGGCCAGTGGGGTGGGTGATGGGGTCAGTGGGGTGGATGATGGGGGGGGCAGTGGGGTGGGTGATGGGGGCCAGTGGGGTGGGTGATGGGGGTCAGTGTTTGTGTTGGGGGTCAGTTGGAGGAGTGTTGGGGGTCAGTAAGGTGGGTGATGGGGGTGGATGATGGGGCCAGTGGGGTGGGTGATGGGGGCCAGTGGGGTGGGTGATGGGGTCAGTGGGGTGGGTGATGGGGGCCAGTGGGGTGGGTGATGGGGGTCAGTGGGGGTGGGTGATGGGGGCCAGTGGGGTGGGTGATGGGGCCAGTGGGGTGGGTGATGGGGGTCAGTGTTTGTGTTGGGGGTCAGTTGGAGGAGTGTTGGGGGTCAGTAAGGTGGGTGATGGGGTGGATGATGGGGCCAGTGGGGTGGGTGATGGGGGCCAGTGGGGTGGGTGATGGGGGTCAGTGGGGTGTGGGTGATGGGGCCAGTGGGGTGGGTGATGGGGGTCAGTGTTTGTGTTGGGGTCAGTGGGGTGGGTGATGGGGGTCAGTGGGGTGGGTGATGGGGGTCAGGTGTGGGTGATGGGGGTCAGTGTTCTGTGTTGGGGTCAATGGAAGGGTGATGGGGGTCAGTAGGAGGAGTGTTGGGGGTCATTGGAGATGAGTGATTGGGGGCATTGATTTGTGTTAAGGGGTCAGTGGGAGGAATGAGAGAGGGCAGTAAGGTGTGTGATGGGGGTCAGGTGTGGTGATGGGGGCATTGTTTTGTGTTGGGGTCAGTGGATAGGTGATCAGCGGGGTCAGTGGGGTGGGTGTTGAGAGTTGATGATGAGGGTAATTTGTTTGTGTTGGGGGTCAGTGATAGGGGTCATTGGTTTGTGTTGGGGGTCAGTGGGAGGGATGAGAGGGGTCAGTAAGGTGGGTGATGGGGGTCATCAATAGACTCACTAAGATGAATGTTGTGATGTGAGTTTTAACTGTTGTCTTCCATAGATTCTTGATGCTGTACGGAAATGCTGGGCCTCTGCCTATACATTCCAAGCTGTGGAATACCGCAGGTGAGTGTTAACTAAAAGAAAACCAGTTTGCTTTTCACTGTGTGTTTGTATGCTCTTTTTATCCCCCCGGCATGTTATGCAGGGGGATATAGTCGTCGCCTCGTCCGTCTGTCCTACGTCCGTCTGTCCTACGTCCGTCCGTAATCATTTTGTTTCCGGAGCATAACTCAAAGACCGTTCTATATTTTTCAACAAAAATTGGTAGATATGTCAAACATAACCTAAGGTGGTGCCTTTTGCTATTTACAGATTATTGTCATTTTTATTTCTCTCGGTTTCCATGGAAACATTTTGGACTTAGTCTTAAATAGGGGAGGGCTTCGTTTCCGGAGCATAACTCAAAAACCGTTCAATATATTTCAACAAGACTTGGTAGATATATCAAACAGAACCTTAAGTGGTGCCTTTTGCTATTTGCAGATTTTGGGCATTTTTTTTTTTCCGGTTTCCATGGAAACGATTCGGACTTAGTCCCAAAAGTGAGGGACGGGCTTCGTTTCCGAAGCATAACTCAAGAACCGTTCAATATTTTTCAACAAGACTTGGTAGATATATCAAACAGAACCTTAAGTGGTGCCTTTTGCTATTCACAGATTTTTGGCATTTTTATTTTTTCCGGTTTCCATGGAAACGATTCGGACTTAGTCTAAAAAGACATCAAGCTGGACTTTAAGTAACTGTCAGATGATTTGTTCTTTCAAATATGTGGGGGCCGGGGGGATATGTCATCTTCTGATGACTCTTGTTTTATATAGATAGGCATCAAATTTCTTTCATCTTTCACTGCACATCTGTATCCTGAAACACTCTGGAACTCAGTAGTTTCACACAACACAATTTGAAAATAACACCAAAATTGCTGAAAAATGCTGGTAGTCATTTTGTGCCTCTCATATGGAGACTGCAGAGTGTCAGTGGATATCATGAAATGAGTAAAAGTATTCACAAACTGACATATAGTTCTTTCCACTGCTGCCTGTGTAATGTAAGCTCTTTCAGAACCTTTACTTGACTTTTTAAATGTCCAGACAACATGGCCAGCCAATCAGGACAGCTGTGGGTGTGGTCATACAAGAAATGGTCCAATCAGAAGTCTCAGGTAATTTCAGGCAGTAAATAGTTAAGTATCAGCCTTGTAATTTCTGTGGTAAGCCCTCAGTTCATAAGAGTCATATGTATTGTATTAATCAATGGTACCTTACATTGGTAGATGTTTGTGGTTAGGTCCACTGTTTGCTCTCACTCCTTATGTTCCACTGTGAACACTGTTTGCTTTTATTGTGTTCACACTCTTAATCTCCCTTATGTTCCAATGTGAACTCTGTTTACTTTTATTGTGTTCACACTCTTAATCTCCCTTATGTTCCAATTTGAACTCTGTTTACTTTTATTGTGTTCACACTCTTAATCTCCCTTATGTTCCAATGTGAACTCTGTTTACTTTTATTGTGTTCACACTCTTAATCCTCTTATGTTCCAATGTGAACTCTGTTTACTTTTATTGTGTTCACACTCTTAATCTCCCTTATGTTCCAATGTGAACTCTGTTTACTTTTATTGTGTTCACACTCTTAATCTCCCTTATGTTTCAATGTGAACTCTGTTTACTTTTATTGTGTTCACACTCTTAATCTCCCTTATGTTCCAATGTGAACTCTGTTTACTTTTATTGTGTTCACACTCTTAATCTCCCTTATGTTCCAATGTGAACTCTGTTTACTTTTATTGTGTTCACACTCTTAATCTCCCTTATGTTCCAATGTGAACACTGTTTACTCTTTTTGCGCTGAGATGTTCACACTGTTAATCTCCCTTTTGTTCAGAGGTTCACACTGTTTACTCTTCTTGTGTTCAGGTGTTAACGATGTTTACTCTTCTTTTGTTCAGGTGTATTGTTCACAGCAGATCCCATCACAGGTAGCACCAGCAAGTTGACACTCAATGCCAACTTTGGCCTTGGAGAGGTAAGGGAGATAACCATTGTATGTTTTAGATATTATCTGCATAAAACTGTGAACACTAATCATTTCAGCTGCTCACCATAAAGTGCTGAGTGACATTACTTAACTGTACCTGGGTTCATTGGGTGTCGGTTCAAATCCCACATTTAGAATTATTATGATCCCTGGTTTTTCAGCACCGCCCTTTGGTTGTCAAGTTTTACTAATATAAATGTATGAATTACGTAAGTTTAGGGTGTATCTTCACGAAAAATGGAAACCCAAGTCATCACTCACTAGAACTGCTTGATATGACAAAGCTGCTGGTAAAACCATACTCACTCTCTCAGTACACACTCACACAAACACAAACCCTCAACCTCCACACCCTGACAAAGAACCCCCCCACCCAATTCCTAAACCCTTAGGCCCAAACCTCAAGCCTTCAAACATTCAACCTTGTCCACCCCCTCACACAAAACCAAGAATCCTTTATCCTAAACCCTGAGGCCTAAATTTCAACCCTCAAAACATTCAACCTTGTTAAAACACGCGCCCACCCACGCACGCACGCACGCACGCACCAAGAACCCCCACATCAAAATGCTAGACCATCTCCCAATCCCAGCTTTGTGTACCTCAGCCAGAGAGTGATAGTAATCACTGACTCTTCTTCTCCCAGTCTGTGGTGTCGGGGAAGGCTGATCCGGACACCTTCACGGTCAGACGGAGATGGGGGGACCAACTGGACATCACAGACAGACATCTCGGCAAAAAGAACATTATCATGGTTATGACAGGTTTGTTTGTTGTCACCAACATTAGGATATTGGTCATATTGTCTTGTTGGGGTACAGATGGGGTCACAGACTCTGGACTTCCCATCCAATACAGTTACTTAAGGTTCAAAGTGAGTGAGTTTAGTTTTATGCCGCTTTTAGCAATATTCCAGCAATATCATGGCGGGGAACACCAGAAATGGGCTTCACACATTGTGCCCATGTGGGGAATCGAACCCGGGTCTTTGGCGTGACGAGCAAACGCTTTAACCACAGGCTACCCCACTGCCCCCTTAAGCTTTAGAGTGCTGGAGTCTTATTCTCACCCCATCTCCACAGGACTGGTGATAACCTGAATTATACCATGTTTGACTGCTACGTTCTGAGTGAGTGAGTGAGTTTAGTTTTATGCCGCACTCAGCAATATTCCAGCTATATGGCGGCGGTCGCTACGTTCTGAACCTCAGGTAGGAGGTGCATAAAAATGAAATCATTAGTTGGTGTGATTGCATGATGTTGTATAGGTCTATACACTAAAGTCAGTTTTACAAAGGGGGCGGTGGGGTAGCCTAGTGGTTAAAGCGTTGGCTCGTCACGCCGAAAACCCGGGTTCGAATCCCCACATAGGTACAATGTGTGAAGCCCATTTCTGGTGTCCCCCGCCGTGATGTTTCTGGAATATTGCTAAAAGCGGCGTAAAACCAAACTCAGTCAGTCAGTCAGTTTTACAAATAGTTTCCCTGTGACAGGTCATTAAAATAAGCATGGGTTTGTGAGCTTTGGAAAATGGACAAAGTTGTAGGAAGTGCAGTGATGAAGTACTTGTGACACCTTGGTCGCACAAGTGTATATTGGCAACACTTCCATGGCTGATAGCTATGAAGCTAGACTTTGTCCAACTTCCACTTTTGTGGAAGCTGGGGTGGCTGAGTGGGTTAGGTGGCTGACTTTGTGTGCTGGCTTTAGGCGCCTGACTCGGAGAGTGTGGGTGCATATCCTGGGTCAGACTCAACCTAACAAATAGTACTAGAATCTGTACTTTACTCAGAAAATATAATCCCAAATATAACATATGTTATGGCAAATGTGTTCATGGTTTGTACTTACCGTAGATATTCAGGGTTTGGGCTCAACCTATGTCTATACATGTTCAGACAGCAGTGGTGTTGAGGAGAAGAATGTTGCTGCCGATGCTGCAGTGGCAAGTCTCTCAGATGACGATGTCCTGCGACTTTGTCACACTGGAGTACAGGTGAGTGAGTGAGTGATGGATAAGTACAGGTGAGGGATGGATGGGCACGGAATAAGTAAACAGTAAGTTTGAAAGTTAGATATTTTCACATTGATTGTCTGACAAGATTGTCACTGACAAGAGAACATTACACATCGCATTATGTATGCAAGTACGTGTCTACTGTCAGGGTGGCCCTGTTGTCTAAAGTGCTGCTGTTTAATATACAGAGTTATGTCCCTTAGGTATGACAGGAACATATGATCATGGGTGAGAATCATGGTCGTCATGATGCCGTCCCTCCAGGCCTTCATCCCATGTCAATTCAGACAAGTAAAATACTGTCCAATCTGGTGTTATGCCACTATCACTTACATCAACATGATTGTTAATTTTTGTAAATGTCTATCATTTATCATGCGGATTTCCTATTTCACAGTTGGAGAAATATTTTGGAAATAGCCGAGATGTTGAATGGGCAATGGCTGAGAACAAGATCTTCCTTCTTCAGGTTGATTGAATTATTGACTTATTATTTTTAGACAATTCAAACCCCTACATCTGTTAGTTCTCCAGGTAAATTGAATGATTAAATTAATATGTTTAGACAGTACAAACCCTTACATCTGTTACTTCTTCAGGTAAACTAAAATTATTCACTTATTTTTTTAGACAGTACAGATCCGTTAAATCTGTTGTGATCAGGTAAATGGAATTATTTAATTGTTATTTTTAGACAGTACAAACCCTTACATCTGTTACTTCTTCAGGTAAATGGAATTATTCACTTATTATTTGTAGACAGTGCAAACCCTTAAATCTGTTACTTCTTTGGGTAAATGGAATTATTCACTTGTTATTTGTAGACAGTACAAACCTTTACATCTGTTACTTCTTCAGACAAATGGAATTATTCACTTATTATTTGTAGACAGTACAAACCTTTACATCTGTTACTTCTTCAGGTAAATGGAATTATTCACTTATTATTTGTAGACAGTACAAACCCTTAAATCTGTTACTTCTTCAGACAAACTGAATTATTCACTTATTATTTGTAGACAGTACAAACCCTTAAATCTGTTACTTCTTCAGGTAAATGGAATTATTCACTTATTATTTGTAGACAGTACAAACCCTTACATCTGTTACTTCTTCAGGTAAATGGAATTATTCACTTATTATTTGTAGACAGTACAAACCTTTACATTTGTTACTTCTTCAGACAAAATGGAATTATTCACTTATTATTTGTAGACAGTACAACTGTTACTTCTCCAGACAAATGGAAATATTCACTTATTATTTGTAGACAGTACAAGCCCTTAAATCTGTTGTGATCAGACACTGTCAAAGGGAATGACTACATGTTGTCTGTAAGGGAACTGGACTTGAAATAACAATTTGGGATGAACTTGTCAGGATATAGGTTGACTGCAATGGATGCTTTATAGATAGAAGAAGAAGAGAGGGTTGTAGTGGGTGTAGCTGGTCATTGTCTACAGCTTTATCTCATGTTACTGGCCAGAATCACATTGAGATTACCTGCCCCTTCATGTTGACACTCTATGATATACTCACTCACTCGCTTGCTCCTCTCACTCACAAACAAAAGAACAAATGAACAAATGCTCTCACAAATAAACGAACGAATGAACGCACTCACTCATGGTTCTGTGATGCTGTAAAGACGACAGTAAAACTGAGTTTTATTTTTGAATCCAAATCCTTGGAATAGAATTTGTGCATATCAAATACTTACCTGATTGGTGAATTTTTTCAAGTCCCGACCAATCACAACAGCTGACCAGGAGACAGAGGAGGAGCTACTGCATGAGTTTGACAGCCCTCTGGCAGCTGACTACGAGCTGCTCACCACAGGGAACATAGGGTGAGTCTCATAGGCAGGTCACAGTGAGGGGTTAAAACTCCCACTGGAACTAGCTTACTAACGGTATAATTTACTGGGTATTCTACCTGTGAAGATCCGGGTCAGACTCACTGAATTGGTTGACGCATGTCATTGTATCCCAGTTGCATAGATCAATACTCATGCTGTTGATCACTGGATTGTCTGGTCCAGATTCAATAATTTCCAGACCGCTGCCATATAGCTGGAATATTGCTGAGTGTGGCATAAAACTAAACTCACTCACTGTACTGGGTATTCTGGTTGTAAAGCTGGTCCTCGGATCGGTCCACAAAGTGATCATCAGACTTTTGCAATGTCGTACTAGATCTAATGACACAACAATGGCAGTCAGTACAGCAATGAAATGAAAGCAGAATCATTTGATTCACATGCTGATGAGCTGCATTTGCAGTTTAGACGATGTACCTGTTTGTCCACTATTTGCTGGTTATTCAACTTAGCCAAAAGGTGAATGAGTGCCGACTACTACGTCTGAGCAAGGTGTCTCATTTGGCTGGCACTATAAAACAGGTATTGGTCCAAACTAGGACAAGCAGACGCATATGTCCCTACATTGCGATGGGATGGTGGGGTTGCCTTGTGATTAAACCCCCCTCGCTTGTCACGCTATGGACCCGGGTTCGATTCCCCACATGGGTACAATGTGTGAAACCTATTTCTGGTATCCCCTGCTGTGATATTGCCAGAATATCGCTAAAAGCAGCGTAAAACCATACCCATTCACCCACCCACCCTGTTTTTCAAAGCGTTGTTCAACATCATTTCACATCTCATCATGTGCTTCTGTCTTGAAAGGTCTATAACATTAGTATTGAAGGAATTAATATAGCGTGAGTGAAACGTCTCAAACAACTGGATCATGTACTAAAACGGGCGTTGTTTCCTGCGTCTAGGGAGATGATGCCCCACGCTATGACCCCCCTCACCTGGAGCCTCTTCTTCCAGGCCATCGACTACAGCCTACAGGTATGCCCATCTACATATAAGGACTTGTGTCGGAGGGTGGCCACAGGGGCCCATGTTGCCGTGATGACACTCACTCATGCTGTCAACCATCGGAGTGGCGGGCCTGTGATTGTGTAAGGGGCGGTGGGGTAGCCTAATTGTTAAAGGTCACATGCAACCAAAAAATCAAACATAATTAAAACACAATTATCACTTCTTCATGACATATAATATGCACTGCTGATTATGAAAAAACAAATAAACCAAATTATAAGCGTATAATCGCAAATCAAAAGTGCAAAATTTTGTACTTGGGTTTACCTCCCTCGAAACGAAGCAGCCGGGATACCGAACCCAGTCAGAGCGGGTGGGTGTGCACTCAAGTGTAACGGCTGGTTCATTAGCAGATGCCGCCTGCGCTGCTCATTGTGTGTGTATATATAGACAGTTGGGATTTGTAAATACATGATCATTTTTTGTGTATAACATTTTGCAATCAACAGACATCATAACATGTCATGTGTTCAAGTATCACACCTGCCTGTCTGTGTAATTACATAATGTGACAGAGACCTAACTCGGGCCATAAATCAATGCGCTTTGTTTATGGTGTATAGCCCGATTGGTGTTAAGTTCAAATTGCATGTGGTCAGTGATCGCGAGTTGTGTATTGAATATTGTCATTAGCAGACAGGCAGGCAGACACACAGGTGTCAATAAAACAAGACATTGAATTTTGTCTGTGACAGCGACATATCTATATCTCAGTTAGAAATTGTGTCAACTCTAAATAATGACATTGCTTTTAAGGCATCGAACTGAGAAAGTGACTCGGTAAGAAGAACGGTGGTGAAATAGACAAATGAAATTATATAAACAGTTTATTTACTGTCATAACATATAAAAAGCTCACTTCGTGAGATATCAACATTATGAAAATAGCTCACACCAAAGCCTTCACCAAGTATTCACCAGAGAGCCCGCTTCCAAGTTGCGCTGAACCTATTTTGCTGTGCATCGCAGCTATGAGCGCAGCCCAGCTGTTGAAACTCGTATTCCCAGAAAAGTCTGGGGAAAAATTAGTGAAACGCTTGAACCTCGATTTTGCTCGCTTTTTTCATCGCGTTATTTTTCAACTTTATAAGTTGAATTTGCATTTTTGACGCTTTGTTTCGGTAAGTCCATACCGAAAGGTATCAGAATCTGCAAAGTTGTGTTTTACGTTGCATGTGACCTTTAAAGCATCCACTTGTTATGCTGAAGACCAGGGTTCCATTCCCCACATGGGTACGATGTGTGAAGTCCATTTCTGGTGTCCCCTGCCATGATATTGCTGGAATATTGCTAAAACCGGCGTAAAACCAAACTCTCTCACTCACTGACCCACTGTAATTGTGTACAGACTTCCTGCAGCATAGGACAGCCTTCTGTCACTGTTGTGAGTGTGGGGCTATATGTGGATTGCATGGCTACAATGGCTGCTGTCTAAGGATAGTATGTAGGATGATGACCAGATTGAAAGGCCAACCCTCAGTTGTTTATTGAGAATTGTATGATCTCCACCGATATAGTGTTCTATTAAAGGATGTAGAATCTCCATAGCTGTATCCTTTTATTGACGGTGTACTCAACTACTGAGAATGTAGGGTCTTCACTGTGCACTCCTCTATTGAGAATATAAACTCACCACCGATATAGTCCACTATTTAGTTTTTACTCCACAATTGAGTGGAGTTAGATCTCCACGGTTGTAGACCCCTTTTTGGTGTGTAGAATCTGCACAATGTATGAATCAGTGCTTGTGTACTCTAGTGTTGGGAATTGGTAAAAATCTCAAAATTGATGATTGGTCCATTACAACCGATCAATCATCTAAAATAATTGGTTAGCATCATTTATCAAATGTTCCTGTTATCTATGTTAATGCACGCAAAAAATAATAAAGAAAAAACATGGAGTAATTTGGGTTTTTCCAAATTGCACAAAATCCATTTGCAAATTTCGAATATTTAAAGGAAGATTAGTATGTTAGGAACACAGATTTCCTGGATTCTTTAAGATAAATGCAATCATGACTTGTAAGGACCTTGTGGTGCTTATGAAATGTAAACTTAATGACACAGACAAAACCAACCTTGTGAAAAATGTTGTTGATGCAAACAAGTGTTCCAAGATTGGTTGCGTTCGATTATGAGAAACCATGTTCGATTGCTTGGTCGTTTAGTCACTGCGACCAATCTTCGATTATTTCAATTAATAGGACCACCACTAGTGTACTCCACTCTTCAGAGTGTAAGATCTTCTGCTATTCTTCCTCCAGGGTTTCATGAAGGGCTGCGGGGCACGGCAGAGGATTGCCACCGTCAACAAGTCTGTATATTCCTGCTGCAACCACCTGTTTATAGCCATGCATGTGAGTCAATAGTCAATTAATCATGTGTGTTTGGGAATGTTGGAGGCTCAAGCCCCTTGCCACCTCCTTTGCCTTGTGTATAATGCTCCTCACCTCACCTCACCTCACCTCACCTCACCTCACCTCACCTCACCTCGACTCGACTCGACTCGACTCGACTCGACTCACCTCACCTCACCTCCACTCTCTTCACCTCTCCTCTCCTCACCTCACCTCACCTCACCTCTCCTCACCTTACCTCACCTCACCTCACCTCACCTCACCTCACCTCACCTCACCTCACCCTCACCTCACCTCACCTCACCTCACCTCACCTCACCTCACCTCATATGCTAGATACTCATGCTGTTAATCATGGGTTATTGTATTCAAAATTCCTTGGCAAGATTCTATTTTCATGGAGGTATGTTCTGTTGTAGCATGTGGACGCCCTGATTCTGGCAGCAGCAGGGACCAAGAAGGAGATAGCAGAGTTATCTCTCCTTGGGATGACTCTCCCACAGCTCAAGATCGAGGAAGTAAAGGACTATGTTGGCAGGAGCACATCAAGCTTTGGGAAAATTATGAACTTCTTCAATCTCCTTAAAGTATGTTATGTCTTTCTGTAAGCTGCATGTTTTAAATTTAACAAATACACCTTGATATAATGGATATTATTCATTCATGAACCATTACATTTGTAATTTTTCATAGTTCTTTTTGGTTTCTTTAACATTGAGATTCTCAGCAGAGTGGATCTGTGTTACCCAAAGCTTGTCATAAGAGATGACTGACAGATTTTGGTTTTACGCCGCTTTTAGCAATATTCCAGCAATATCACGGCGGGGGACACCAGAAATCGGCCTCACTCATTGTACCCATGTGGGGATTCGAACCCGGGTCTTCGGCATGATGATCCAACGCTTTAACCACTAGACTACCCCACTGCCCCCATAAGAGATGAATGACAAGGATAAAGGCCCATTTCACAAAGCAATCCTAGCTTTACATTGGTCATAAGTCTGTGTTATAGGAGTTACGATAGGCGCTGTGATAGTTATATCACTACCATCACTTTGTGAAGGGCCCATTTGCTAACACTGTATGACAGTGCGCGATACAGCTCATTGTGTGTTATAGTATGCAATAGTGTACATCACTGACGCTGTTCATCTGGTCCTTATGTAAACCTAATCATCCACTGTGAAATAACTGTGATATTACTGGCTACAAAGCATTTGCTAAAACAGCTCTTAAATTGTGGCAGACATCATCGGACGGCAACAAGTACACGAGGATCTGGGAGAAGCGTCTGAAGACGTACAGTGTGGGCGTGGGATGTGACCAAGCCGAGGCGCTGTATGCCGACATTCACAGCCAGTTGAAGGTCTACTGGGAGGTCAGTACACCTTGAGAACTTGAGGTCCCACGCCACAAAGCTTAATTGTACAGCTCCTAATTCTAATCCCATATTTAAATGTAGTCATTACATTTGTAGTGCTCCACTGTCCAGAACGGGTACAAGGGGAGTGCATTCCCTTTTTAATCTTGACTAACTAGAAACATATTTACGATGATACATTAATTAGCACACACACACTTTCAAAATTGCTCTCAGAACCGAAATACCAATCTTGTTTATTCATTCATGTTTCTAATTAGGCTCAGTTTTCATGAATGTCCTATGACAATCAAATCTTGTCGTAGGTATGGTTGTACACGCTGATCAACAGTTCCCGCTCAGGAAGTTGGGCCACTATCCTCATGTCTGTGCTCACTCAGGGGAAGGGAGGTATGTGTTTGTTGTGGTGACGTAATTTCTAGAGACCCCAATAGAATCTAGTAACTTCATGAGTGAAGAGTCCCCAATAGAATCTAGAATAGTAACTTCAAGAGTGAAGAGTCCCCAATATTATCTAGAATAGTGACTTCATCAGTGAAGAGACCCCAATAGAATCTATAATAGTAACTTCAAGAGTGAAGAGTCCCGAATAGAATCTAGAATAGATACTTCATCAGTGAAGAGTCCCCAATAGAATCTAGAATAGTAACTTCATCAGTGAAGAGACCCCAATAGAATCTAGAATAGTAACTTAAAGAGTGAAGAGACCCAATAGAATCTAGAATAGTAACTTCAAGTGTGAAGAGTCCCCAATAGAATCTAGAATAGTAACTTCAAGAGTGAAGAGACCGAATAGAATCTAGAATAGTAACTTTAAGTGTGAAGAGACCCAATAGAATCTAGAATAGTAACTTCAAGAGTGAAGCATCCCCAATAGAATCTAGAATAGTAATTTCAAGTGTGAAGAGACCCAATTATAATCTAGAATAGTAACTTCATCAGTGAAGAGACCCCAATAGCAACATCAAAAGTCCCCAACATTATCTAGAGGCCCCAATAATAACTGCTAGAGTCCCTGATAGCAACTTTTAAAGTCCCCAATAGTATCTTGAGACCTCTAAACTTCTCAGAATTGCAATACTAATTTCTAACGATCCCAGCAGTAACTTCTAGGCAACTCAATAGTAACTTCTGGAGATCCCAGTAGTATCTTGCAATTACATTAGATGAAGAACAGTTTAGGTTTTGTTTAAAATGAAAACAATGTTAGTTAATGGGAAATCATTACTTAAATGCACCTTTACAATTATTTACAAAACTGAACTCTATACCCATTTACCCTTGTAACTACATAAAACACTTGGTGTCCTTGATTCAGCTGAAACACTGGAGGGGCCACAGTGGTTAAAGCATTCACTCGTCACGTTGAAACGTGGGTTCGATTCCCCACATGAGACAATGTGTGAAGCCCATTTCTATTGTCCCTTATTGCTTAAATATTGCTAACTGCAGCATAAAACCAAGCCAGGTGGTTAAAGTGTTGCTCGTCACACTGAAGACCTGGGGCTCCTTTCACAAAGCAACCTTTACTAAGGTTAACCTTAACTCCCATTCTTTAACATTGCACTAAGGTTACCTTAGTGACTTACGATCACCTTAGTGCTTTGTGAAAGGAGGCCCTGGCTTTGATTCCTAATATCAGTACAATGTATGAAGTCCATTTCTCATGTCCCCCTTTGTAATATTTGCTGAAATATTGCTGTAAGGTCTAAAACCATTCCAAGTTTCTTCCTGTCATCTCCTAAGTGTGTCTTGTGTGTTCAGAGTGGCTGATGGAGCACTATGGAGACATTGCCATGCTGTTGTCTCAGTGTACGGACGTGTACAGTGCCGATGTACCGTCAGGCATGCAGGTGAGGCTGTACCTGATGAATGTGTTCCGATAGATGGATGTTAACTTCTTCAAAGCCAGATATGCTCAATGTGTACGAACCACTTCAATCTTGCTCTCTGTAGTATTTGATATAATTTACCTGTATATAAATGGAATGTGTGCAATGATTTCTCAGTGATGTTCCTGTTGTAAGTGATGTCGCTTCTGTAAGCAATGTTTCTTACATGAGTAATGTGTCTGGTGTAAGTGATGTTCTGGTGTAAGTGATGTCGCTTCTGTAAGCAATGTTTCTTACATGTGTAATGTGTCTGGTGTAAGTGATGGTTCTGATGTAAGTGATGTTCTGGTGTAAGTGATGTCGCTTCTGTAAGCAATGTTTCTTACATGAGTAATGTGTCTGGTGTAAGTGATGGTTCTGATGTAAGTGATGTTCTGGTGTAAGTGATGTCGCTCCTGTAAGCAATGTTTCTTACATGAGTAATGTGTCTGGTGTAAGTGATGGTTCTGATGTAAGTGATGTTCTGGTGTAAGTGATATCGCTCCTGTAAGCAATGTTTCTTACATGAGTAATGTGTCTGGTGTAAGTGATGGTTCTGATGTTAGTGATGTTCTGGTGTAAGTGACTTTTCGGGTACAAGTGATGTTTGTGATGTAAGTGATGTTCCTGCTGTAAGTGATGTCTCTGATACAAGTGATGTTTCTGTACAGAATCTGGCCAAGGAAATCGCAGCGTCAGGCCTGGTCAAGGAGTTCCTGACACTGTCAGATCAGGTGAGCTTCCTTGTTTCACTGTTTGCAAAGACAATTATAAACATTCAGTGTATAAGCAGCAGTGTAAGATTCAGATCCATATAGAATGGTAGATCCTTATTATGATTCCTCACCAACCCCCATACCCATTTACTCACTCAAGCCAAGCCCTGAAGAAGTCATCTATGTGGGTACAGAATAACTGATGGGCTTTGTTGTTTTAAATTGTACAAAAATCAGTGGAAATATGGTGAAAATTTTTATTGTTATAGTTTTGGTTTAAATAGAATGTTATTCCTTTGTGTTTGTAAGTATACCTGGTCTGATACCTGTAATCCACTCGGTCAACCAGTAGTTCTGGCAGGTGTGAAAGTGACAGGTTATGATTCAAGTAGGTTGTTACAGATGTACAATAACATATGTTAGATGTGTCAGTATCTGTGAAGGTATTGATGTGTTGGGCAGGACTGTGTGAAGATGGTGAATTCGGGGAGACATCCAGAAATACAGAGGAAGTTCTCTGACTTCCTTGACCATCACGGACACAGATGTATCCGAGAGGTGAGACAGTCACAAACAGATCTTGCAATGCTATCTTGATATCCAAGATATCCACAACAAAGCAGGTGTGATACACATGGCCTCACTATAGGTCAGTGAGTTTGTTCAAAATTGCTTCTGTTCACCCAGCAGTAAATGGGTACCTGGTGGGATTAAACATGTGACTGTTAACCTTCTAGCGTCTCACATACAGCTTTTGTGAGCTTTGAGCATGTTTATGTTTGTAAATAGCGCCATAGATATGCAGTGTTATAAATATGTTTTATTTTCTGTCAGTTCATCAAAATGTGTTACTTATAAACATAGTTTATTGTTTATTTCTTTGATCTAGATGTACCTGTTGGAGTCATCTCATTGGACATCATCTGTGAGAAAGTGGAGGAAAGTGACATACACATATAGTGAAACTATACGACAAGAAGCATTTATGACACTTGTTCTACATCTAGTTTATATTGTCTGTGCTAATGTTTTCAGGCTGAGATGCGAGAGAAATCATGGCAGTCAGAGACTGAAAAACTCATCAAAGTCATCAAGGTCAGTAAGGGTAGACAACTCTGCAATATCAGTTCTCAGATTTCCAAGGAAAGAATTTGGAAAATAATCTGAATACAAAATGTCTTTGAAGTTTGAGACCTATTCAGTTTTGAAGATAATAATTGATACTGATAATAATGTAATGACAAAAATATACTGTTTAATCTTTTCAAACAACCATTTTGTGAATTGAGTATCAAAACTTTACTTAGCAATGTCCTTCTTTTCAGACGATTCTCCAAACCAAGTCCTATGACTCCAAACCTAAACCATCCGAGTCTGTGTCCCAGATCATTGCCAAACTGAAAACTCCTCTAACATTCTTCCAAAAGTAAGTAGTTACTGTCAAGTCCCACTTGTCGACCCCACCACACACACACCTCCCCCAATATCTTATGAATAAATGACAATAGTAAATGGAAAATCTAGTTTGTATTTAGATAATCAAGATGTAAGCAGCTGAAGAAACATATTTTAGTACACTAAATAAAATGAACGAAGGCACATGACCTCCTTTAAAAATAAAATCAAGATCTTTTATAGAATAACAGGTAGATTTATGGTAAGGATCTTATATGATATTCTTAAGTAGTTAATTGTATATATTCATGTGGATGTTTGTTAAGAAGTCATCCAGGAATGTTCCTGACTGACCATGGTGTTTTTGCAGACTGATATTGAGAGGCCTGTTGCCGAAGGCGAGATCCGCCGTTGGGGCGCGAGAGTGGGGCAAGGTAACCGAGATGATACATGGAAATGTACTGACACACTAACACAGATGTACTGACACACTCACACAAATGTACTGACACACTCACACAGATGTACTGACACACTCATAGATGTACTGACACACTCACACAGATGTACTGACACACTCACAGATGTACTGACACACTCACACAAATGTACTGACACACTCACACAGATGTACTGACACACTCACACAGATTTTCTTACATTCATCCAAACATAAATCGCTACTTACATTATCCAGGACTGGAGTTTGTGTGCTGGAATGGACTGGAAATTACTGGAATTATTTTGAGGCAATGGCCATATAACTGGAATACTGCAGATTTTGGTGTTAAAGCAACATACATGCCCTAACATGATATTGCTGATGGCTAGCATCTTAGGTGAAGGAGAGTTTCAGTAAATGAGATGTAACCCAGCTTGCTTATCAATCAGTCAGTGTTGTGGTGTACGATGTTGCAGTCTACATCAGTGGTGATGTCTGAGAAGTTCAAGCAGGCATACTGGAGACTTGCGTCCCTCATGGTGTCAGAGGTGAGTGATCACAGCGCCTGTTCATGGACTCTCACACCAATAGAATATGCTGTTAATGAATGATTTGGTTGTTAAATCCTCAGAATTGGGTTTTGTATTTCGGTCATCAGATAAGGATATATTCATTCCTTTGAGAAACACAATTGTGGAAGATAAAAAGAATATTTGTGAATTTCTGGCTCTAGCAAATTCCCAGCATGATTGTTTCTGTTTCTACCTTCTTCACATTCAGATAATAACTATTGTTCTGATCTGAATAACATGATTAAACATCAATTCCATAATGTTGATGAAAAGTAAGTATTGACTAATATCAGATAAACAATTAGGTACTTACCATGAGTTTATTTCCCAAACAATAATTTGGCAGAAATTAAAGCAAGATTTACCGTCAAACAAGAAATATGAGTATAGTCTGCTAATGTTTGTTCCATCTTCCGCTCAGGGTCGTATTCCGGATGAAGATCTCCTGTTCTTCCTCACCCACCAGGAGATCGGGACTCTCATCTCCACCCACTCCGCCCGCCTCATCATCAAGTATGTATCCGATACACTTTAGCAGGTTAAGTGGTCAAAGGGTTAGTTCTTGTAAGGGTACTACAGATCTGTACCCCAAATACTGATTTGTTCACTCATCAAAATCTGAACACACAAGTACCCTCACCTGACAATATACTTAGCAGGGGGGTTGGGGTAGCCTAAAGGTTAAAGCGTTGGCTCATCACGCCGAAGACCCGGGTTCGAATCCCCACATGGGTACAATGTGTTAAGCCCATTTCTGGTGTCCCCCGCCGTGATGTTGCTGGAATATTGCTAAAAGGGGCGTAAAACCAAACTCAGTCAGTCAGGCAATATAGGCATGAGTGAGACAAAACCAGTTTCGGTTTCAACTTGTCCAACCATGCTTGTTTTTATTGTTAGTCTAGACTTTAGTACAGTACAGATTCTAGTACTTTGTGGGGTTGAGTCCCATCCAGGATTTGAACCCTCAGCCCCAGAGTCAGGCATCTAATCGCCAACACACAAAGTCAGCCGCCTAACCCACTCAGCCACCAGGACTTAAAACATTTCTAAATGTCATTGTGTAATCATAACATTGCCTTAGTTTTGTTAGCTTTATTTCTTTGCTTGGTTGCTGCTTTACACCACACCCAGCAGCAACACATGAAGATCCGGGTTAGAATTGGTCTTCAGTAACCCATGCTTGTCGTAAGAGGCGACTAACAGGATCGCTGACATGGTTGACACATGTCATCGTATCCTAATTGATTGATGCTCATGCTGCTGAACACTGGATTGTCTGGACCAGACTCGATTATTTACAGACCACCGCCATATAGCTGGAATATTGCTGAGTGCGGTGTTAAACAACAACCAACCACACCTTGCAATATAAATATATATAATTCAGCTTTATGACAGAGATCTGTAAAGAATTTAGTCAGGATTAGTTTAGATTTATTTAATCCAGTGATTGGCAAAGTTCAATCTGTGCAGATGGGATATAATGACATGCATCAACCAAGTCTGTGTGCCTCAAAGCAGGTCTTACATGAGAAAAGTCAAACCTCAAAGCAGGTCTTACATTGGAAAAGTCAAACCTCAAAGCAGGTCTTACATAAGAAAAGTCAAACCTCAAAGCAGGTCTTACATTGGAAAAGTCAAACCTCAAAGCAGGTCTTACGTGGGAAAAGTCAAACCTCAAAGCAGGTCTTACATGAGAAAAGTCAAACCTCAAAGCAGGTCTTACAGTGGAAAAGTCAAACCTCAAAGCAGGTCTTACATGGGAAAAGTCAAACCTCAAAGCAGGTCTTACATGAGAAAAGTCAAACCTCAAAGCAGGTCTTACATGGGAAAAGTCAAACCTCAAAGCAGGTCTTACATGGGAAAAGTCAAACCTCAAAGCAGGTCTTACATTGGAAAAGTCAAACCTCAAAGCAGGTCTTACATGAGAAAAGTCAAACCTCAAAGCAGATTTTACTTGAAAGTTAAACCTCCCGATGTATGTTAGAAGTCACTCTCTGTGAGCTCCCTGAGAGAAGAAAACCTTTTGGGACGACATCACCGCAGATTTGTAAGAGGTTTGTGGCAAGATATCTACAACAGTCAGTCAAAACTGTGGGGATATTAGGTTTATAACAGTAGTACCAGTAGATTATAACTTTACTGATTGTATGTGTATAACAGTAGGTGTATAACAGTATGTGTATAACAGTAGGTGTATAACTGTAGGTGTATAACAGTATGTGTATAACAGTAGGTGTATAACAGTAGGTGTATAACTGTATGTGTATAACAGTAGGTGTATAACAGTAGGTGTATAACAGTAGGTGTATAACAGTAGGTGTATAACTGTATGTGTATAACAGTAGGTGTATAACAGTAGGTGTATAACAGTATGTGTATAACAGTAGGTGTATAACAGTATGTGTATAACAGTATGTGTATAACAGTAGGTGTATAACAGTATGTGTATAACAGTAGGTGTATAACAGTAGGTGTATAACTGTAGGTGTATAACAGTAGGTGTATAACAGTATGTGTATAACAGTATGTGTATAACAGTAGGTGTATAACAGTATGTGTATAACAGTAGGTGTATAACTGTATGTGTATAACAGTATGTGTATAACAGTAGGTGTATAACAGTAGGTGTATAACAGTAGGTGTATAACTGTAGGTGTATAACTGTATGTGTATAACAGTATGTGTATAACTGTATGTGTATAACTGTATGTGTATAACAGTATGTGTATAACTGTATGTGTATAACAGTAGGTGTATAACAGTAGGTGTATAACTGTATGTGTATAACAGTAGGTGTATAACTGTATGTGTATAACAGTAGGTGTATAACAGTAGGTGTATAACTGTATGTGTACAACAGTAGGTGTGTAACAGTAGGTGTGTAACAGTATGTGTATAACAGTAGGTGTATAACAGTAGGTGTATAACTGTATGTGTATAACAGTAGGTGTATAACAGTAGGTGTATAACAGTAGGTGTATAACAGTATGTGTATAACCAGTTGTGCTGTCTCTGCAGGGCTGTCAGGAGGAGACGTGTACATTCCAGGCAGATGACTCTCAGGTTCCCCAAACTCAACATCGGCCACCCTGTACCTGTGAGTTGTTCAATCCCAGAAGCTCCTTACAAAATAGTCTTTGGAGATAATACACCAACCGATTGTGATAAGTCAAGTCAAACATCTCTATGTGCATGTTAGCACCCTCCTCAAGGATCACTTGCTGAGGGGATGCTAACCAGCGTATACCATGTGGGATATGAGCACAATTCACTTTACACGAGGATGCAGAACCATTACTGACTGACTGAGTTTAGTTTTACGCTGCTTTTAGCAATATTCCAGCAATATCACGGCGGGGGACACCAGAAATGGGCTTAACAAACACATTGTGCCCATGTGGGGAATCGAACCCAGGTCTTCAGCGTGATGAGCCAACGCTTTAACCACTAGGCTACCCCACCGCCCCTGCAGAACCATTAACCAAGTCTTACTCCAGTCTCATCTGAATGTCCAACCTCAGCATGTCAATGAGGGGGCGGTGGGGTAGCCCAGTGGTTAAAGCGTTCGCTTGTCACGTCCAAAACCCGGTTTCGATTCCCCACATCGGTACAATGTGCGAAGGCCATTTCTGGTGTTCCCCGCCATGATTTTGCTGGAATATTGCTAAAAGCGGCGTAAAACTAAACTCACTCACTCACTCATAGAGTGTCATTTAGAAGTGTAACAAGTTGCTGATATGATGGACATAAACACTGTTCTGGTATAATGGTTCATAACACACTACAGACAAGCTGTGGATTGTAATATTTCTTTGTGTCAACAGTCAGTCAATTCCACAACATCAGATTATTTTCTTTTCTTGTGGAAGGAGTGTAACAAATACAGTTTTTAAAATGTCTACCTTCAACAGGTATCTGTGTTGATGACAAGACTTTCTATGTTTCTGTAGAGCATGTCATGATATCAATGTCTGTACCTAGTGTTAGGAATTGGTTAAAATCTCATGATTGATGATTGGTTCATTACAACTGATCAATCATCAAAAATAATTGGTTAGTGTCATTTATCAAATTTTCCTGCACAAAAGCTTTTTGGATGTTTTTGCAAATTTGCACAAAATGCATTTGCAAATTCCACATCTTTACCAGTATGTTACGAACATAAATTTCCTGGAGTCTTTAAGATAAATTCAAAGATGACTTGGAACAAGCTTGTAGTACTCATGAAAGTCAATTTAATGACACAGACAAAACCAACCTTGTGAAAAAAATTCTTTGTGTTTGATTATTAGAAAACACGATCTAATGCTTGGTCGTTTAGTCACTGCGACCAATACTCGATTATTTCAATTAATAGGACCACCACTATCTGTACCACCTGCTGAAAAGTAGTAATATGTCTCACTGTAAGCATACATTGTTTTCTGTCTGTAACCAGATCGATGACAGCAAGAGAGAGGCCTCTGTGACCAGTGCTACTGATGTACTCAAAGGTGATGAGGATATTACATACAAGCTTGGGATAAACACAATCTGGAGTTTTTCCTATACCATATTTGAATGTTCTTGCATTCCATCTTTGAATGTTCTTGCATTCCATCTTTGAATGTTCTTGTATTCCATGATTGCACAAAGAATTGTAAGATATTTTCTCCACTATGTATGTGTTTTTAACCTACCACTAGCCAATCAGATCACAGCTTGCCCATTTGGCCCTGCTCGCTACATTTTGCAGGAGTTTGGCTAATTTAAAGTGTGTGATGGACCATCTGTCCATGGACTTCTTGTGCACTGTGTATTTATGAATGTAGGATCTGTTAGTGTCTACAGTGCCAGTCAATAAATTGCAGGCTTACTCACTACATTAAAAGAAAAGAATAATTTCTAGTTGACTGGCAGTGAATCAGTCAGACTTAAAGTGTGGGTGATTTGTTATGAGCTTCCTTTCAATCTGTTATCAATGGGTGATAGAGTGTCCTGTAAAATCGCTGGTGGTTAGGGTTGGTGAGGTTCATAGTAAGTGAGTGAGTTTAGTTTTGCGCCGCACTCAGCAATATTCCAGCTATTTGGCAGCTGTCTGTAACCAGACAATCCAGTGATCAACAGCATGAGCATCGATCTGTGCAATTGGGATACGAAGACATGTGTCAACCAAGTCAGCAAGCCTGATCACCCGATCCCGTTAGTCGCCTCCTACGACAAGCATGGGTTACTGAACATCAATATTCTAACCCAGACCTTCACTGGTAGGTGAGGTTCATAGGGATCAAATGTGTGGATAGTCCAGGGAATGGTGAGGACTATATGATTGTTGAGATTGCTGGGAGTGGTAAAGCTGCTGAGGTTGGTTCCTTGGAGTGGTGACCCTGTAGTCAATGTCGAGGTCCTGTGGGTGGATACATTGCTCAAATGGGGAGGTTGCAGGGGTGGGGAAGTTCCTAGGAATGGGGAGGCATCTGGAGATATCTATGAGGGTTTCTGTGGAGCAGTAACCATGGTAACACTGACTTCTGTATCCAGGTATGCCAGTCAGCCAGGGTGAGGTGCAGGGTCCGGCAAGAATCATCACCAGGCTTGAAGATGCTGGCAGTATACAGGTGAGAACATGATTGTGTGCAGATCAGAACATGAATGTGTTGTATACAGGTGAGAGTTAACCTATGACCTGTATACAGGTGAGAATATGCTTGTGTGCAGATCAGAACATGATTGTGTTGTATACAGGTGAGACTTTACCTAAGACCTGTATACAGGTGAGGACATGCTTGTGTGCAGATCAGAACATGGTTGTGTTGTATACAAGTGAGACTTTACCTAAGACCTGTATACAGGTGAGAATATGCTTGTGTGCAGATCAGAACATGATTGTGTTGTATACAGGTGAGACTTTACCTAAGACCTGTATACAGGTGAGGACATGCTTGTGTGCAGATCAGAACATGGTTGTGTTGTATACAGGGGAGAGTTTACCTATGACCTTTATACAGGTGAGAACATGCTTGTGTGCAGATCAGAACATGATTGTGTTGTATGCAGGTGAGAGTTTACCTATGACCTGTATACAGGTGAGAACATGCTTGTGTGCAGATCAGAACATGATTGTGTTGTATACAAGTGAGACTTTACCTAAGACCTGTATACAGGTGAGGACATGCTTGTGTGCAGATCAGAACATGATTGTGTTGTATACAGGTGAGACTTTACCTAAGACCTGTATACAGGTGAGAACATGCTTGTGTGCAGATCAGAACATGATTGTGTTGTAGACTGGTGAGAAGTTACCTAAGACCTGTATACAGGTGAGAATATGCTTGTGTGCAGATCAGAACATGATTGTGTTGTATACAGGTGAGAGATTACCTAAGACCTGAATACAGGTGAGAACATGCCTGTGTGCAGATCAGAACATGAATGTGTTGTATGCAGGTGAGAGTTTACCTATGAACTGTATACAGGTGAGAACATGCCTGTGTGCAGATCAGCACATGATTGTGTTGTATACAGGTGAGAGTTTACATAAGACCTGTATACAGGTGAGAACATGCCTGTGTGCAGATCAGAACATGATTGTGTTGTATGCAGATGAGAGTTTACCTATGAACTGTATACAGGTGAGAACATGCTTGTGTGCAGATCAGCACATGATTGTGTTGTATACAGGTGAGAGTTTACCTAAGACCTGTATACAGGTGAGAACATGCCTGTGTGCAGATCAGAACATGATTGTGTTGTATACAGGTGAGAAGTTACCTAAGACCTGTATACAGGTGAGAACATGCTTGTGTGCAGATCAGAACATGATTGTGTTGTATACAGGTGAGAAGTTACCTAAGACCTGTATACAGGTGAGAACATGCCTGTGTGCAGATCAGAACATGATTGTGTTGTATACAGGTGAGAAGTTACCTAAGACTTGTATACAGGTGAGAACATGCTTGTGTGCAGATCAGAACATGGTTGTGTTGTATACAGGTGAGAAGTTACCTAAGACCTGAATACAGGTGAGAACATGCCTGTGTGCAGATCAGAACATGGTTGTGTTGTATACAGGTGAGAGTTTACCTATGAACTGTATACAGGTGAGAACATGCTTGTGTGCAGATCAGAACATGAATGTGTTGTATACAGGTGAGAAGTTACCTAAGACCTGTATACAGGTGAAAACATGCTTGTGTGCAGATCAGAACATGGTTGTGTTGTATACAGGTGAGAGTTTACCTAAGACCCGTATACAGGTGAGAACATGCTTGTGTGCAGATCAGAACATGAATGTGTTGTATACAGGTGAGAGTTTACCTAAGACCCGTATACAGGTGAGAACATGCTTGTGTGCAGATCAGAACATGATTGTGTTGTATGCAGGTGAGAGTTTACCTAAGACCCGTATACAGGTGAAAACATGCTTGTGTGCAGATCAGAACATGATTGTGTTGTATACAGGTGAGAGTTTACCTAAGACCCGTATACAGGTGAGAACATGCTTGTGTGCAGATCAGAACATGAATGTGTTGTATACAGGTGAGAGTTTACCTAAGACCCGTATACAGGTGCTGTTGATCACTGTATTGTCTGGTCCAGACTTAATTATTACATTACAACGCCACCATATACCTGGAATATTGCTGAGTGTGGTGTGAAACTCACATGTATCTTGTATGATCCCATGTGTATATGCCTCACAACAGTATAGATGTTGGTTTCTATGGTAACAAGAGTGTGTTCCAGGCTGGTGACATACTGGTTGTGATGTGCACGGATGTTGGTTGGTCTCCATATTTCCCCCTAATAGCTGGACTCGTCACAGAAATGGGCGGGCTGCTCTCTCACGGTAAGCACATTTGGTACCTTGTATCAAACAGTAAACACATTTGGTCCCTTGTATCAAACAGTAAACACATTTGGTCCCTTGTAATCACATGGTAAACACATTTGGTCCCTTGTATCACATAGTAAACACATTTGGTTCCTATTACACTTGGTCAAACACATTTGGTATTACACATTTGGTCAACAAATTTGGTTCCTTGTATCACATAGTAAACACATTTGGTCCCTTGTATCACGGGGTAAACACATTTGGTTCCTTGTATCACATAGTAAACACATTTGGTCCCTTGTATCACATGGTCCCATGTATCACATGGTAAACACTTTTGGTCCCTTGTATCACATGGTAAACAGATTTGGTCCCTTGTATCACACAGTCAACACATTTGGTTCCTTATATAACATGGTAAACACATTTGGTCCCTTGTATCACACAGTCAACACATTTGGTCCCTTGTATCTGGTTCAAGCCATGACTCTCCACAAGAGGAGGAGACATAAAAACTTTAGAAAGAGAATATTTAAATCTGTTCAAGTATATGAGATTATAACCTGACCTGCTGTTGTTTTGTTAAAGGAGCGGTGGTAGCACGAGAATACGGAATCCCCTGTGTTGTGAATGTGACTGACGCAACTATAAAGATAAGATCAGGTGAGCTATATCCTCAATACATCATGTAACAATGTCCTTAACTAGGTGTCATTTCTGATTCTGATGAAGAGTCAATCTGCAACATCTGTGACTTGTAGTCAAATGGTGTGTTAATACTCACAAAACAATTACTATGACTCCTTTAGATAAGATTGTTCACTTTGTTAGATAAGATTGTTCACTTCTTTCACGGCACATGAACTTTTAGTCCAAGATGTCACAATTCTTCTATAAGAGTTGTAAACACTATTATTGCACCTGAACTTTAATAAATCTACAATGTTGTTACATATTGTTTAATAACGCCGCGCTACCAGAACTTTTTATCGGCACTCGGTCACATGACCAAAACAAAATGTCGGCTGTCATTCACAACACATCTCGAAGTCAACTGTTCTTTGCTCGGTTTAATCGTAATAGCATTTATATAAAAAGAATATTATGTTGGTTGAAGTCATTTGGTCCCTTTTTCATACAACCTTGTTTATTTAAAATAAATCAAATTAAATAGACTAATGTTGACAATCATAAATGAACTGTATTCATATGTGTGACCCCTGTTATGACAACATAAGGCACTCGTTTTGTAAGTTGAATTCTGAGATGTTATTTTGCTATTGTTGGGTGAGTAATAAATAAAATACTAAACGATGTCCCGTGTAATACCATATTTATGAATCTTACAAAATTGAGAAACAGATCATGGTAGTTAGATTAAGAAGTTAGTGTTGACATTTAAACAGACATGATGACTGTTGAACAGAATTGTTTAGAAAGCTGCCCTCTCGTCATCTGATATTACATTTTGAAAGGGTTGGTCAAAAAGTGGGCGTCATCTAAACTGAATGAGGGTTCGTCAGATCTTGATGACCAGAAGCATCAAAGTAGAGGTGATTGATCCGGAGTGTATTTCTTCCACTGCTTGATTACAGGTGAGTTGTTGGCCCTGGACGGACTCCGGGGGACTGTGAAGAGGCTGAAGCCATCTTACCTGTTGACATCTCCACTGGAAACACCATTGTAAACAAAAAAAATGAAGTGCTAATTTGGAGTTCAGCATAACCACTCACTTTTTTAGAGTGACATTGAAATATTTCTTTCTGGAATGAACAAAAAATAATACAAACCACATGATCCAAATCTGTGCCATAGTGAACAAAGACTTATAACTCCATCGCCTCTGAATATGTGTGTTGCTATTTGTACCAACAAGTCAAGTGAAATCAGTAAGCAGGTGCATCAGTTTACACAAACTGCGATGTGTCTCAGTGTGCTGTACACCCTGCTTCAGTGTTAGGTAGTGGTAATAACTTATATATCTTCTTAGCCGATACATTCAGTAAGTTTGACGAAATCCTTTCAACATTTTCCGACTAACCTTTCAACATTTTTCGACTAACCTTTCAACATTTTCCGACTAACCTTTCAACGATATCGGCCTTGGTTCCTGTCATCGGCAGGCCTTGGCAATCCAACCACCGTTTCAGCTGAACAACTGAATGACAGTCAGTGTCGAGATAAATAAATGTCGCTCCAGGGACGTCATCAGGCATGAGTGATATGTTAAAAAAAGTACAGGTAGAAGCCATGGCGATAATAATATGAAGACAGCTGTCAAACTAAGGTGGCGAAAAACTGCATTGTTTGTCCCTCGACATATTATTGTGCATCACGAGATGCATGTGTGCACACAAACTGTCACATAAGCAATGAAATGGCTTATGGTAGTTTGCACAAAGTCTTGTGCCATGTATGGCTGATTTTACATCTGTAAGTTGTACACGGACTGGTTTCATTTGCTAAGATTAGAGTCACAGCAGCAGTATTGCAGCTGTTAACATCTATTCTGAAGTAAGCCTGAGAAACAGAACTGAAGTGCTTGCTACAAAATACTGATCAGAGTGTTCAGTAATTACCTCAAGAATCACATGCTCAAAATGTGACCAATTTATGTTTTCTTCATGTATATGTAAATATCAAAATTTACCTTTTATTGACTTGGTATGTGTATGTTAATTTTCTTTTATGATACCTTAGTCATCCACATTTTTATACTGTATTTTTGTCTGACAAAGTTATGGTGAAAATTCCAGATGTAAAACAAATGTTGTTTTTTTATCAATATTTCATGTGAGGATAATTAGGCTGTTCAACTCTTTCATACACTGTAGTCTTTCATTTTAGTCTGAATATGTTTGGAACTTAACTTCTTATTACAAAATATTGATCACACTTTTTAATAATTACCTCAAGAATCACATGCTCAAAAAGTGTGACCAATTTGTGTTTTCTTCATATATATGTAAATATCAAAATTAACCTATTATTGACTTGGTATGTGTATGTTAGTCTTCCTCAATGATACCTTAGTCATCCACATTTTTATACTGTATTTTTGCCTGACAAAGTTATGATGAAAATTCCAGATGTAAAACAAATGTTTATATTTTTTTTATCAGCTAATCAATATTTCATGTGAGGATATATAATTAGGCTGTTCAACTCTTTCATACACTGTAGTCTTTCATTTTAGTCTGAATATGTGGGGAACTGAAGTGCTTGTTACAAAATATTGATCAAACATTTTAATAATTACCTCAAGAATCACATGCTCAAAAAGTGTGACCAATGTATGTTTTCTTCATATAATGTATATGTAAATATCAAAATTTACCATTTTTATTGACTTGGTATGTGTATGTTGGTCTTTTTTTATGATACCTTAGTCATCCACATTTTTATACTGTATTTTTGTCTGACAAAGTTATGATGAAAATTCCAGATGTAAAACAAATGTTTTTTGTTTTTTTATCAGCTAATCAATATTTCATGTCAGGATAATTAGGCTGTTCAACTCTTTCATACACTGTAGTCTTTCATTTCAGTCTGAATATGTGGGGAACTGAAGTGCTTGTTACAAAATATTGATCAAACATTTTAATAATTACCTCAAGAATCACATACTCAAAAAGTGTGACCAATGTATGTTTTCTTCATATTATGTAAATATCAAAATTTACCTTTTATTGACTTGGTATGTGTATGTTAGTCTTCTTTTATGATACCTTAGTCATCCACATTTTTATACTGTATTTTTGTCTGACAAAGTTATGGTGAAAATTCAAGATGAAAAATAAATGGTTATTACATGTTTTTTAGCTAATCAATATTTCATGTGAGATAATTAGGCTGTTCAACTATTTCAGACATTGTAGTCTTCTAGTTTGGTCTGATTATGTACAGATTGTTGTAATATAGCACAGATATAATGTAGCGTTAAGCCAAATATACTCAATAAAACAGAATTGCTTGTATGTTAGATGTAGGGTAGGTGAAATATATCAAAAGAATTCAAAGTACTCTGTGTGTGTGGTTTGCTGGACCTCTGGCCAACTGTGTTATCTTTATTTTTATACTCTTTTAATCTTGGTGCTTTCAATGTGCTGAAGTGCTGAAGTACCTGTAGGTCTTTTGACTTGATATAATAATAAAATGTGAAAGTGTTTGGTTTTATGTGCAAATACATTCAGAGATTTAACATATGTTATATTTGGGATTACACTTTCTCAAAAGCGGACCGAACTAACAAAAGCGGACCGAACTAAAACTACTAAACATATAATACTCAATGAAACACTTATCATAATCAAAACATCAGACCAAGTATGTGATTTTTTTGCAGAATTTTTGTACTAAAAATAAATAAGTTGTTTAACAAACTATCATTAAAATTTTGACAAAGTTCACTATTTGTTACGAGGGAGGATTGCAAAGAGAGGAACAGCCAGGTGTACGTGGAGCACATGCACAAGTGCCGACAAAGTTATTGAATCATTTACCTGTGCTGTGCTGTCATCATCCTTTCTCGCACACCTGGCTGTTCCTCTCTTTGCACCCTTCCCTCGTAACAAATAGTGAACTGTGTCAAATTATTAATGATAGTTTGTTAAACAACATTTTTATCTTTAGGACATAAATTCTGCAAAAAAATCACAGAGTTGGTCTGATGTTTTGATTATGATCAGTGTTTCACCGAGTATTATATGTTTAGTAGTTTTGGAGTTAGATTGCAATTCATCAGTCCGATATTGAGCCAAACGGACTATAGTAAAGTACAGATTCTAAGTACTTTTGTTGGGTTGATTCCCATCCGGGATTCAAACACACACCCTCAGAGTCAGGCACCTAATCGCCAGCACACAAAGTCAGATTCCTGTTCAGAGATTGGTGACAGAGAATTAAGGGAGACCTACACAGACCATGTTCCACACAGCTATAGTCTCATTAGTTTTCAGGGCGATACAGCTTTTTGAGAAAGAATGGGGAGCACACTTCATTTTCAGGAGCGTTTCAATGGTTATTAATAAACTTTCAGGACAAAAGAGGGTTGCGCACCCCTGCATACCCTTCTGGATCCACCTATGGTTTTAGCTATTTATCAGTGGTATACTCTGCTACTGCTCCTTGTGGCTTAACACTCCTGAGTGTATATCATTGTGGGGGATTGGAGTATTTCATGGTTCTTGTAAAAGACCTAAGGTCTCAGTGTATTGTCTTCTGCATGGCACGCTGAAGTGAATCTGCTTGATAACAAATCAACCATGTTTTAAACTCATATATTTTATTGCAACTTCATATTCATGTATGAAAATCTCTTTCAATATTGAATTCCAATATAGAAATGTAGCTGATTTAGAAATGTTCCTGGAGACCAGGTGTCATAGACAAGTAGTTACTAGGACACCTGAGCTTCATGAAGAGTGAGTGTGAGTTTAGTTTTAGGTTGCTTTTAGCTATATTCCAGCAATATCACAGGGAGGATTGACACCAGAAATTGGCTTCTCACTTTATACCCATGTGGGGAATCAAACCCGGGCCTTCAGTGTGATGAAGAACACTTTAACCACATGGCTACCCCACCGCCCACTTCATGAAGAACTGGTACATTTCATGCATTTGCACACATACATACTTTGACGATCGTACACGTTACTTTGCACTGATAATAGATAATATATTCATTCGTGACCAACTCGTGTTATTCCGGGACAAGTCGAATAGCAGTTAGGGAAAGGGGCGAGTGGTGACGAATGATAATGTACTGTGTAGGACATACCGTAAAGTGAGTGAGTGAGTTTGGTTTTACACTGATTGTAGCAATATTCCAGCAATATCACAGCGGGGACACCAGAAATGGGCTTCACACATTGTACCCATGTGGGGAATCGAACCCGGGACATCAGTGTGACGAGCGAACGTTTTAACCACTAGGCTACCCCACCGCCCCACATACCATAAAGCACATCGGTTGGTTTGTTGTTGAACACAGCACTCAGCAATATTCCAGCTTATGATGGCAGTCTGTGAATAGTCGTCTGGGCTTATATTGGCACACAATGAAAACAGTGATTGTGTTATGACTGAGAGAGTGAGTTTAATTTTACGCCACACTCAGCAATATTCCAGCTATATTGCGGCGGTCTGTAAATAATCAAGTCTGGACCAGACAATCCATTGATCAACAGCATGAGCATCGATCTACGTAATTGGGATACAGTGACATCCAAGTCAGAGAGCCAGACCACCGATCCTGTTAGTCGCCTCTTATGACAAGCATGGGTTGTTGAAGATCTTCACGGGTGACTTTGTTATGAAGTCTCAGACGACATCTCGTCATCATTGTGTTGACTGTTTGAGTCAACTTGCAAGAAGGCCACACAAGCTGCAAACAGATTATTTGACACAACCTAAATGTAGAGCTTTCATGAAATAGTGTATGAAGTGAGGTTAATGGGGGTTTAACGCCACGCTCGGGATTATTGCACTTACATAGCGATGTGTATGCAGCTATCTGTGTGCGTGTGCGCGCTTGGAACAGCGGACTAATTCCTGTTTTGCAGCTCTTACCTTTTGAGACACTATTTCTCTGCATGCGCATGTTCGTGTGCTATCTGTGTGCGTTTGCATGCGCGCTTGGAACAGTGGCCTAATGCCTGTTTTACCATTGAGACACTATTTGGACTATGTCTGGACCAATGCCTATGTTATAGTTTCAGCCTGTTGAGATAGCGTGCTGCAGTTTAACATTCCTGTTTTTAGCCAGTCAGTCATTGCTCTTTCCCAGTCATGCCAAACGCCAGACAGGGTATCAACAAGTACCATTATTTAATATGACAGGGTAAGGCCATCCTATGACCCACACTACACAGAGACGCTCGGTCCTTTGGACCATGGAGGCGATCCTATCTCCCACAATATACAGAGAGGCTCCGTCCACTACACCACGGATGCGGTCAAATAGTTCTGTCCAACTTTTTCACTTAATCAGTAGCGGAGTACAACTCTAATCAGTTCAAAACTCTATCTCGTCTGAGTCTGATGAAGGAATGTCGAGAGGAGGGCAGTACTTGATAGGGCAGCTGGACGGACAATCGAACGGACATTCTTGAATATCCAGCGGAATTCGACAATAAAACTCGTCTCTAATATGATGATTATATTTCAGAAACTCTTTAAGTCCGTCAGGTATGGGGAGCTTGTCTGATTTTGAACTAGGTGATCTTCCTAATATTTTGAACATTTTCCCCCCTGCATATAGTTTTTAAACTCCTTGGCTTGCGACTCTCGTTTGTTAACCAGGCACAGACTTCGGGCATCTGAAATATTGCAACAGGCCATTGTCTCGACCAGATCCACCTTTCGCTGAAAAAGGAAGGCCTTATATCAACTAATAGCTTCACTAGGGAAAATAGTTTCTCGTTCAGTGCCATGTAGAAGTAAGATGGCTTCCCGCGCAGTGTGTCGATGCTGCAGCCAGAGTGAACGAGAGTAATTGCACAAGCTTCACTATGGAGTTTTATTGCCTGTTCTAAGGGTGTTTCCTTCCATTTGTACCTCTTGTCAATCTTGTAGCCATGTTGAATTAGTATTTTCACCATTGCTGCATTGTGGTGTTCAATGGCGATTGCCATTGGTGTAACGCCATGTGTGCTCTTGGCATGGATCTTGATCTGGTTTTCCAGAAGCACTTCGCAGATGTCGTAGCGCCTGTATGCGACGGCGTAGTGAAGGGCGTTCAGGTTGTTGTCTGTCCTTGCCTGGATGTTGCACAGGGCGTTGATAAGGCCTTCACAAATTGTCTTGTTGTTCAGTTGAACGGCCCTGAAAAGGTTTCAAAGAGTGGTTTCAGTCACTGAAATATTGCCCCTTGCCACTGAATCGAAACTGACTGAATATTTTCTGAGCAGGCGATATTATCTGCGCTATAAAAGTCAGCCATTAAGAACGTTTAGGACGGTTCCCTAACCAATAGTACGTTAAGGAGCTACATATACGAGTAATCATCAGTTTGCGAAAAGTAAACGCTAATACGACGTTAGGTGAATAATATTCACGAGCAAAGAGTTACAAATCTAACTTTAAAAACACCTTTTACTATTTTTTCTGAAATTTAAAATCCATCCCTACCAAACGGTATATGTTTTGTGAAAATATTCAAACATTTAGGTTTGATCTCCCTGTATACTATTTTTACACTGTGTTAGCTGTCTTCGTGTGACAAATTCATTTTGTTCCAGTGAGCCATAAAAACCCATCTGTTTCTCAGTTTTCTCATTCAGAAAAGACAATGTTTACAGAATGCCATGGAATGGATTATATAATTGTTATGCGCCTCCTTTTAGAGACATGAATATACGACTGAACATTTGCCAAGGACTAAAATAGTCAGCCAAGGGTGTGGTGCTAAGCAATAAGAAACCCTGCCCCCATTAAGACCTCTGAGACCCGGTATATTAATGGTTGGGACCATATTCGATTCTATGTTGAAAGGCCTATAGAAATCCTCATAGGTGTTGTCGTACTTGATCAGCGGCGTTTCCGCTCCGACGCCAAAGCCGAGTCTACGCATGTTGACGTCTGCCCCATGATGGATGAGAAGCTGAACCACTGCCCCCGCGTTGCTGATGATGGCTCGAAACAGAGGGGCACTGCCTGAAGAAAAGCAGGCAGGAATGTCACATGCCCGTTAAAGTATTACCATCTCCTTGTCCAACTCGTTCACCCCACACCCACCTGTCTCCTTGTCCAACTCGTTCACCCCACACCAACCTGTCTCCCTTTCCACCCCACACCCACCTGTCCAACTCTGTTCACCTCACACCCACCTGTCTCCTTGTCCAACTCTGTCCACCCCACACCCACCTGTCTCCTTGTCCAAATCGTTCACCTTCACATCCACCTGTCTCCTTTTGTCCAACTCTGTTCACCCCACACCCACCTGTCTCCTTGTCCAACTCGTTCACCCCAAACCCACCTGTCTCCTTGTCCAAATCATTCACCCAACTCCCACCTGTCTCCTTGTCCAACTCGTTCACCTCACACCCACCTGTCTCCTTGTCCAACTCGTTCACCCCACACCCACCTGTCTCCTTGTCCAAATCATTCACCCAACTCCCTACTGTCTCCTTGTCCAACTCGTTCACCTCACACCCACCTGTCTCCTTGTCCAACTCGTTCACCTCACACCCACCTGTCTCCTTGTCCAACTCGTTCACCCCACACCCACCTGTCTCCCCTTTGTCCAACTCTGTTCACCTCACACCCACCTCTCCCTTGTCCAACTCGTCTCCTTGTCCAACTCGTTCACCCCACACCAACCTGTCTCCTTGTCCAACTCGTTCACCCCACACCAACCTGTCTCCTTGTCCAACTCGTTCACCCCAAACCCACCTGTCTCCTTGTCCAAATCATTCACCCAACTCCCACCTGTCTCCTTGTCCAACTCGTTCACCCCACACCCACCTGTCTCCTTGTCCAAATCATTCACCCAACTCCCACCTGTCTCCTTGTCCAACTCGTTCACCCCACACCCACCTGTCTCCTTGTCCAACTCTGTCCACCCTCACACCCACCTGTCTCCTTTGTCCAACTTCTGTTCACCTCACACCCACCTGTCTCCTTGTCCAACTCTGTTCACCCCACACCCACCTGTCTCCTTGTCCAACTCTGTTCACCCCTCACACCCACCTGTCTCCTTGTCCAACTCGTTCACCCCACACCAACCTGTCTCCCTTGTCCAACTCTGTTCACCTCCACACCAACCAGTCTCCCCTTGTCCAACTCGTTCACCCCCAAACCCACCTGTCTCCTTGTCCAAATCATTCACCCAACTCCCCACCCGTCTCCTTGTCCAACTTCGTTCACCCTACACCCACCTGTCTCCTTGTCCAAATTATTCACCCAACTCCCACCTGTCTCCTTTGTCCAACTTCGTTCACCCCACACCCACCTGTCTCCTTGTCCAACTCTGTCCACCCTCACACCCACCTGTCTCCCTTATCCAACCTCGTTCACCCTCACACCCACCTGTCTCCTTGTCCAACTCGTCCACCTCACACCCACCTGTCTCCCTTTGCGTCCAACTCTGTTCACCTCTCACACCCACCTGTCTCCTTGTCCAACTCTGTTCACCTCACACCCACCTGTCTCCTTATCCAACTCGTTCACCCCACACCTACCTGTCCTTGTCCAAGCCGTTCACCTCACACCCACCTGTCTCCTTGTCCAACTCTGTTCACTCCCACACCCACCTGTCTCCTTGTCCAACTCGTTCACCTCACACCCACCTGTCTCCCTTATCCAACCTGTTCACCCCACACCCACCTGTCTCCCTCTTATCCAAGTCGTTCACCTCACACCCACCTGTCTCCTTATCCAACCTGTCCACCTCACACCCACCTGTCTCCCTTGTCCAACTCTGTTCACCTCACACCAACCTGTCTCCTTGTCCAACTTCCGTTCACCCCACACCCACCTGTCTCCTTGTCCATCTCTGTTCACTCTCACACCCACCTGTCTCCTTATCCAACTCTGTCCACCTCACACCCACCTGTCTCCTTGTCCAACTCCTGTTCACCTCACACCCACCTGTCTCCTTGTCCAACCTCCGTTCACCCCACACCTACACCTGTCTCCTTGTCCAACTCTGTTCACCTCTCACACCCACCTGTCTCCTTTGTCCAACTCTGTTCACCTCACACCCACACCTGTCTCCCTTATCCAACCTCGTTCCACCCTCACACCCACCTGTCTCCTTGTCCAACTCGTTCACCCCACACCCACCTGTCTCCTTGTCCAACTCGTTCACCTCACACCCACCTGTCTCCTTGTCCAACTCGTTCACCTCACACCCACCTGTCTCCTTGTCCAACTCGTCCACCTCACACCCACCTGTCTCCTTGTCCAACTCTGTCCACCTCACACCCACCTGTCTCCTTGTCCAACCTGTCCACCCTCACACCCACCTGTCTCCTTGTCCAACCTGTTCACCTCTACACCCACCTGTCTCCCCTTGTCCAACCTGTTCACCTCACACCCACCTGTCTCCTCTTTGTCCAACTCTGTTCACCCTCACACCCACCTGTCTCCCTTGTCCAACCTGTCCACCTCACACCCACCTGTCTCCCTTGTCCAACTCTGTTCACCCCACACCCACCTGTCTCTTGTCCAACTCCTGTCCACCTCACACCCACCTGTCTCCCTTTTGTCCAACCTGTTCACCTCACACCCACCTGTCTGTCTCCTTATCCAACTCGTTCACCCCACACCCACCTGTCTCCTTGTCCAAGTCGTTCACCTCACACCCACCTGTTCTCCTTGTCCAACCCTTCACACCCCACACCCACCTGTCTCCCTGTCCAACTCTCGTCCACCTCACACCCACCTGTCTCCTTGTCCAACTCCTGTTCACCTCACACCCACCCACCTGTCTCCTTCCAACCAACTGTTCACCCCACACCCACCTGTCTCCTTATCCAACTCGTTCACCCCTCACACCCACCTGTCTCCTTATCCAACCCCTCGTTCCACCTCACACCCACCTGTCTCCTTGTCCAACCTGTTCACCTCACACCCACCTGTCTCCTTGTCCAACCTGTTCACCTCACACCCACCTGTCTCCCTGTCCAACTCTGTTCACCCCACACCCACCTGTCTCCCCTTGTCCAACTCGTTCACCCCACACCCACCTGTCTCCTTGTCCAACCTGTCCACCCCACACCCACCTGTCTCCCCTTGTCCAACCTTCACCCCACACCCACCTGTTCCTCGTCCACCCCACACCCACCTGTCTCCCTTGTCCAACTCGTTCACCTCACACCCACCTGTCTCCCCTTGTCCAACCCGTTCACCTCACACCCACCTGTCTCCCTTGTCCAACTCTGTTCACCCCACACCCACCTGTCTCCTTATCCAACTCTTCACCTCACCTCCACCCACCTGTCTCCTTGTCCAACTCTGTTCAACCTCACACCCACCTGCTTGTCTCCTTGTCCAACCTCTCGTTCACCCCACACCCACCTCCTCCCTTGTCCAACTCTGTTCACCCTTGTCCACCTGCACCACACACTGTCCCCTTGTCCAACTCTGTTCACCCCACACCCACCTGTCTCCTTATCCAAGTCGTTCACCTCACACCCACCTCGTCTCCCTTGTCCAACTTCTGTTCACCCCCACACCCACCTGTCTCCTTATCCAAGTCGTTCACCTCACACCCACCTGTCTCCTTGTCCAACTCGTTCACCCCACACCCACCTGTCTCCTTATCCAACTCGTTCACCTCACACCCACCTGTCTCCCTCCTGTCCAACCTTCGTCACCCCACACCCACCTGTCTCCCTTGTCCAAATCATTCACCCAACTCCCACCTGTCTCCTTTGTCCAACTCTGTTCACCCCACACCCACCTGTCTCCTTGTCCAACTCGTTCACCTCACACCCACCTGTCTCCGTCCCTTGTCCAACTCCTGTCCCTCACACCCACCTGTCTCCTTGTCCAACTCTCGTTCACCTCACACCCACCCGTCTCCTTGTCCACCTGTCTCGTTGTCCAAGTCGTTCACACCCTGTCTCCCTTGTCCAACTCTCGTTCACCTCACACCCACCTGTCTCCTTGTCCAACTCGTCCACCTCACACCCACCTGTCTCCTTGTCCAACTCGTTCACCTCACACCCACCTGTCTCCTTGTCCAACTCGTTCACCCCACACCCACCTGTCTCCTTATCCAAGTCGTTCACCTCTCACCCACCTGTCTCCTTGTCCAACTCATTCACCCAACTCCCACCTGTCTCCTTGTCCAACTCGTTCACCTCACACCCACCTGTCTCCTTGTCCAACTCGTTCACCCCACACCCACCTGTCTCCTTGTCCAACTCTCGTCACCCCCACACCCACCTGTCTCCTTGTCCAACTCGTCCACCCCACACCCACCTTCTCCTTGTCCAACCCGTTCACCTCACACCCACCTTTCTCCTTGTCCAACTCGTTCACCCCACACCCACCTGTCTCCTTGTCCAACTCGTTCACCCCACACCCACCTGTCTCCTTATCCAACTCGTGCACCCCACACCCACCTGTCTCCCTTGTCCAACTCTGTTCACCCCACACCCACCTGTCTCCTTGTCCAACTCGTTCACCTCACATCCGGGTTTCCTGAGAAGAACGTCTGCCAGCTTCTCGCTCCCGTGTTTCGCCGCCCACCTACACGGAAAGAAGAATTAGATACGCACTCGTAAAATATGTTCCTAAAAATGTTCGTAAATTATATTCGTAAATTATATTAGTAAATAATATTCAAGAATATTTGCTCATTTTTATAAATCTACTGATATTGGTCCACATAATACCAGATTATATACTTCAGATTATTGTCCGGATAAACCGGTTATCGCGTTAACGAACCACGTAAAGAGATGGCAGTCGTGTAATAAAGTACTTAGCGAATTCGTCCGTTCCCGATGTATTCATCTGTAAATGGGGTTCATTGACTAACTGGACTTCATTGAAATAATTAGAAAGAACATTTTAATTGCTGATATCATTCCCGAAATTTTGGCAAAATTAAAAATACAAGAACCAAATATTTTTGGTTCAGTTTTTACGAAAAGAACAATTTGCTTGCTGGATATGCTGTACGTCCTTGAAAACCGTCAATCGTAAGAAATAACAAATGGTCAGTCCCTAACTCACCAAATCGCCCTCCTCCCTCTAACAGTTTCGGCGTTCACGTCAGCTGGCTTTTTCAGTTTCAGCAGCAGCCAAGCTGTCTCCTCGTCATCCATCTCACTGGCCACCAACAACGCCGTGGGTTGCAGCGGATCGTCCACGTCCCTCACATCCGGGTTCTGTATGGTCTTGTTCTTCAGCATCAACCTCACCTTCTTGTGGTCCCGCGTTCTCACCGCCTTGAAAAAGTCACGCACCACGGGATCTTGTCTCGGCTTCCGCTGCAGCATTGTCAGATCCTTCATTGAACCACTCGAGACAAGCGATCAGTTCATCAGTGTCATCTTCAGGTGCTCGTTCTTAGTGTTCAGGTGCTCCTTCCGGGTGTTCATGACCTCCATACATGTGTCAGATCCTTCACAAATGTGTGTTCGGATCCTTCTAGTATAAATGTTCGGATCCTTCTAGTATGAATATCCAGGTCCTTCTAGTATGAATATTCAGGTCCTTCTAATATTCAGGTATTTCTAGTATGAATGTTTAGGTCCTTCTAGTATGAATGTTCGGATCCTTCTAGTATGAATATTCAGGTCCTTCTAGTGTGAATGTTCGGATCCTTCTAGTATGAATATTCAGGTCCTTCTTATATTCCGGTATTTCTAGTATGAATATTCAGGTCCTTCTAGTATGAATGTTCGGATCCTTCTAGTATGAAAATTCAGGTCCTTCTTATATTCAGGTATTTCTAGTATGAATATTCAGGTCCTTCTAATATGAATATTCAGGTCCTTCTAGTATGAATATTCAGGTCCTTCTAGTATGAATTTTCAGGTCCTTTTCGTATGTGGTCACGTCGTCGAAGTATGTGATCACGTCCCTAACTTATGTGTCCTCAAGCCCACCAAGCCCATTCATGTATACCGGTGACCCACCTTCAACCTAGTCCTTTACCTGATCGTGACCATCCATCAGAATCTCAGCATGTTCCTGAGATAAAAATGGTGAATACAGATCAGTTAAAACAAATGACAGGAGCAGTGGAGAAACTACTTGTATGAGCAGGAAAGGTTCAGGAGAGCTCAGATAGTTTTATCTAAGATAATAGTATGTTATTATAGGATATTTTAGGACACGTTTTTATACAGCGCTCGTATCCACGCAACTAGTACATGCTCAATGCGCTGGAGTGTTCCTTGATCAACGGATGTCTTTTTTCTGGTATTCTTTTTAACCAACTGAACTCCTTGGGGAGTATTCAACTAATGCAGCATGTTAAGCGCAGCGAGTTTATCACACAGCCTCATCCTCACAAGCTCACAAAGTCAGCTATCTGACTCACTCAGCTCCTTCCACAAAAATGAAAGTCGAACTACTGGAAGTCTAGATCTAGATTATGTGGAAGCTGCGGTGGCTGAGTGGGTTAGATGGCTGACTTTGTGAGCTGGCGACTAGGTGAATGACTCTGAGAGTTTGTGTTCGAATCCTGGTTGTGACTCAAAAGCAAAAGAATCGGTACTCTACTAAGAAAGTGTAATCCCCAATATAACATGTGTTGCATGTGACCACTTCCTAAATGACATTAGATATTGATAGTTTCATCCAGGTTTGTACACGGGCCTTGCTAGTCGCTAGACTAACATCTTATAGGATAACATCAACCATTCCTAAAGTATATTCATAAAGTGTAATTTAAAGAAGCCCAGATAGTTTTTTTTTTTTCAGAAACTGTGGCAACCTAGACTTGCCACATATTCTAGACCTGCATGGGCTGTATTGGGTGTATGACAAATGCTATGGAAATGGAAACAGAAGCTGTATATGTATAGTACAAGAAAATTTACACTTATCGCCTTATGATCACACAATGCCCGAGTCCACCCAGGGCACGTTTTTTCTACGTGTGTGATACGTTTCTGGTGTATTGAACCAGCTTGTGAAACATACATTTATACACATGAAGTCACTCGAGCAATCCTTGAAGAGGCGAGTTTAGAAGACATAATGAAGCACGATAATAACCTGTATAATAACCTATATCTCCGTGACGGAGCGCAATGAGATACTGTTGCATGTACTACACAGTGTTAGAACATCTACAATATATCGGCGTTGAAGCTGAACAATATCATTATGGCAACCATGCGTGCAAAACATTAATCAGCATTGGTGTATATACCAATATAGATACCAACATAGGTATAAATACCGGCCAGATATATACACAGATATATACTGATGAATGTAATCTTTAATGCATCTTTAACAATGTATGTCTTTTTAAAGAAATAGTCCATTGACGGGTTGATAAACACCAATTTGTCCTATTTGTAAAGACTTCTATCTGTACTGGCTTGGCTAACTGGCTAGTGATATCGTTGTCTTTATTTGTTTCTCTGTTGATGTTGTTGTTTTTTGTTTGTTTGTTTGTGTTTATCGAATTTCAATAAATAAATGCATTGTGAAATAAATAGTTTGAAATGCTAAAACATATTGAAATATAGTAATATATTACATGCTTTTTAATTTGACATGCCTTAAGACAGTTTGTTGTTAAAAAGAACTGTATTTGACCAAAAAGCGTCATCGTAATCTTAATAACCCGGAAAACCCCAGTGCAAACTTAAGTTAACAACTGTTATATCCTTATCAATTAGATAACCTTTGAATAACCATTTTGGGTTGGGGTTTTCAGTTTCAGTCACAGTCAAACATGTGTAGCTATTTTGCCCGAGAGTTAATGTCGCTTTTTCCTTCTTGACATAACTGTACAGTCTTGATCTATTGTGACACATATGATGATGGGGCTTGTATTAACAATATACTCGTGGCCGACATTCGACTGTGGGCACATACAAGTTTTGAAAACAGACCCTTTGACAGTGTTAATTAGTTCTTACCTTGTGTAGTCTGTCATGAAAACGTATGTATCCTCGACCGATTAAGCAATGTCACTGCACTAATCCTGTACAGAATGTGGGAACATGGCAGATCCAACTCAAATACATGCACAGTAAAAAGAACGCGTTTTGCATCTTTACCGGACGGTAACGTTGCCCCTTTGAACAGCGGTTGGGTATACCCGTAGTGAACATTGCATGTGTATTAGAAATCTATGAAAGGATTACAGCTTGAGAGTTACCTGCATACAACAGACTTAATAGTGTTGTAAGGAGGCGATTATCTAGGCAATCATAATCAGCTATGTATTTCATTGTGAATACTACAGCATGCGTTAAAGCATATAACACCACACCTGTTATCATATGTAAACAGAAACGGACTTTATCGGTGACCAGAAAGATTAGAATGACACAGCCTAGTGAACATTACCTGTGCCTGTCGTCTCTAAGACAGAATTTGAAAGAACATGGTGTACATACATCCACCTTGTCGCACTCCAATATACCAGTATAACCTCCAACCTGCTGTGGGCGAGCATACCCGCCCGTGTTTAGAAGGCCGTTAAGCTACGACATTTTAATAAACGCTGTTGTAAAGCCGTTAGGGTCACGACACAGAGGTGAGCCACATACAGTTGGAGCTTACAGTCATTGGAACAATGATTGAGTTTCCAAGCGTGTAATATACAGGGACAGGTTGGGTGTTAAAATAAACACGCGTCCTACCTATAGCCTAGCGACAATACCCTCTGCAGTCTTGTTTCCTCGGGTGGTTTCGTAGCTTCAGGATTTCGTCGTGGAATATACTGCTATAACCAATGTCAACTCATGTTATAAATTCCCGACTGTCATCCATGTTTGCTAGGAAACTTGAACTGCTCGCTCCTACCTTTCACAGCGTCCTTAGCGATACCTAAACATTTCAACCGCTTTAACTGGAGACTTCACAGCAAGCCATAAACTGTACACGTAGTGACAGCGGGGTACTTAGTTAAAAATCTATACATTCCACTTGTCCTGACGCACAACTTTCACCACGAAGTGATTGATTTATCAATGTCGTTTTCGAATAACGACACGTAGTAACTGTTTTTAAGTATTAAATAGTTACATGTACTTCGACCGTTTATGTATAACTACCCACAAACAGTAGCTATATCCAGGCAGACTATATAACGCCCTATTGTAGATTATCCCTGCTATATCAAAATATACTCAACCAAAAAAGTTAAAGACCACCCAATTTTCAATATTAAAGTATATAATAGTTAAAACTACTACTACTAATATATAATTCTTAAATATTCAATATTGGGGTGGCCTTTAACGTTTTGTTGTTGAGTATATGTTAGTAAACTATGACATGTGTTGACACATATCACATATCTCTCACAGACTAGATGCAGACTTATGTAAAGGACTTGGTACAAAGTTTTAGAGACTGGGTATACATTTATGCAACGGTAATGACAAACGCATGTCATACAGAATCAGGACACTGTCATGTCAGACCGGGGGATACACGTATGTTAAACTGAATGGGGACAAGCTTGTGTTAGAAGACTGTGTGCTCACCTGAGTCAAACATACTGCGGATAGACTGGGGACTCGCTTATGTCAGACAGACTGGTGACATACGTTAGCAAGACAGAGAATACATTTATGTCACTCAGATTATGGGCACACGTATATCACACAGACTGGGGCACATGCACATCAGAAAAACTGGGGGCACACTAATATCATGCAAACTAATGATGGAAAGTGTCAGCATAAACCATGGGTAGGATGTGCGAACGTAAACCAGTGGTAGAATGTGTGAGTACAGACGAGTGGTAGAATGTGTGAGTACAGACCAGTGGTAGAATGTGTGAGTACAGACCAGTGGTAGAATGTGTGAGTATAGACCAGTGGTAGGATGTGTGAGTGCAGACCAGTGGTAGGATGTGTGAGTATAGACCAGTGGTGGAATGTGTGAGTATAGACCAGTGGTAGGATGTGTGAGTACAGACCAGTGGTAGGATGTGTGAGTACAGACCAGTGATAGAATGTGTGAGTATAGACCAGTGGTAGAATGTGTGAGTACAGACCAGTGGTAGAATGTGTGAGTATAGACCAGTGGTAGAAAGTGTGAGTACAGACCAGTGGTAGGATGTGTGAGTATAGACTAGTGGTAGAATGTGTGGGTATAGACCAGTGGTAGGATGTGTGGGTATAGACCAGTGGTAGGATGTGTGGGTATAGACCAGTGGTAGCATGTGTGAGTATAGACCAGGGGTAGAATGTGTGAGAATAGACCAATGGTAGAAAGTGTGAGTACAGACCAGTGGTAGGATGTGTGAGTATAGACCAGTGGTAGAATGTGTGAGTATAGACCAGTGGTAGAATGTGTGAGTACAGACCAGTGGTAGGATGTGTGAGTATAGACCAATGGTAGAAAGTGTGAGTACAGACCAGTGGTAGGATGTGTGAGTATAGACCAGTGGTAGAATGTGTGAGTATAGACCAGGGGTAGAATGTGTGAGAATAGACAAGTGGTAGAATGTGTGGGTATAGACCAGTGGTAGGATGTGTGAGTATAGACTAGTGGTAGGATGTGTGAGTATAAACCAGTGGTAGAATGTGTGGGTATAGACCAGTGGTAGGGTGTGTGAGTATAGACCAGTGATAGAATGTGTGGGTATAGACCAGTGGTAGGATGTGTAAGTATAGACTTGTGGTAGAATGTGTGGCTATAGACCAGTGGTAGAATGTGTGGGTATAGACCAGTGGTAGGATGTGTGAGTATAGACCAGTGGTAGAATGTGTGGGTATAGACCAGTGGTAGGATGTGTGAGTATAGACCAGTGGTAGAATGTGTGGGTATAGACCAGTGGTAGAATGTGTGGTATAGACCAGTGGTAGGATGTGTGGGTATAGACCAGTGGTAGAATGTGTGGGTATTGACCAGTGGTAGGATGTGTGAGTATAGACCAGTGGTAGGATGTGTGAGTATAGACCATTGGTAGGATGTGTGAGTATAGACTAGTGGTAGGATGTGTGAGTATAAGCCAGTGGGAGAATGTGTGAGTATAAACCAGTGGTAGAATGTGTGGGTATAGACCAGTGGTAGGATGTGTGAGTATAGACCAGTGGTAGGATGTGTGGGTATAGACCAGTGGTAGGATGTGTGAGTATAGACCAGTGGTAGGATGTGTGAGTATAGACCAGTGGTAGGATGTGTGGGTATAGACCAGTGGTAGGATGTGTGAGTATAGACCAGTGGTAGGATGTGTGGGTATAGACCAGTGGTAGGATGTGTGAGTATAGACCAGTGGTAGGATGTGTGGGTATAGACCAGTGGCAGAATGTGTGAGTATAGACCAGTGGTAGAGTGTGTGAGCATCGATCCATGACTGCGTATCACCATCTTGGTGACGGTTTCTCCCACATGTCAGTAGGTATCTTTGTAAATTATAACAAAAAGCAGTTTCTTCCGTAACGTGATGTAATCATGACATGTTATCACAGAACCAGTGACATTTAATCATAATTACAAGAATACGTAATTAATGATCCAACAATCAAACAGTTTATAAAGCTGTTCCTTGTTCCCAGTGTCGTATTTACATTTCATGACGGATCTTTCCAACTGGCCTTTCCTTTGTAAATCTAACAGAAATGTTCCTGGAGGATCGGGTTGGTTTCCTTCTAGCGTCCTGTTCTCTCGTGGAGTCTTTCACAATGGATCTAACACCAGATGTGACCTTCAACTTGGTTCCATTCTTATCTGTGGCCTTGGCTTCACCAAGTTGTCACCGGAAGCAGAGGAGTATGTCTTAACATGTGAGATATTGGTTAGAACCTTGTCCTTAGACTTTCCTGTATAAGGTCTTCGAGTCTTCCTTGGCTGAACTGGAGGACTGACGCTGGAGAAACTGGTCTGCTTATTGCCAGAAGTGTGACAGGTCGGAGGGCCAGTGTGGCGCTGGAGAGCTGCAAGCTCTTCCTCCAGCTTCTTCCTCTGCTCCACCTCTGCCTGCTTCTCCTTCTCCCAGTCGTCTGTCAGCTTCTCTTGCGTCTGCCTCAGTTCCCGGACCTCAGCCTGCTCCATTGTGCAACTGAGACGATAGTTGAAATACTCCAGCCTATAGTCCTGTCTCTCCGACTCAGCCTTCAGCATTAACACGATCTCCTCCCGGAGTTGTCGGGCCTGTCGCTCGTTCTCCTCTCTCAGCTTCATAAAATGAAATATTGTTGAGTGCAACGTTAAGCATAATTAATATCAGGCGCATAGCAAGCCATTTTTTCGTGTATGTCCGATAAGTTGCAAGGCTATTTATTTAGATAGTATTCAGGGCTTGCCAAACCTGTTTAGCAACAATCATGTAAGCCCGGGCTTTTTTTTATAATGGTAGCGACGCCCCTGAATGTGCAGCAAGTTCAAACTAAAAATCTGTTCAAAACACATCGTCCTAACTGGGGGTGAGACGGGTAATCCGGATCACAGGGACGGGTGGGTAATCAGTTGGCCACGGGTACCCGTCTCAATACCCGGACCCGTTATGATCATGTGACTAATAGATTAAACAATGTAATATGCTATTCTTTCATGATTAACAGGTTGTATTGTCTTTGAAGATTTAGACATAATTTACAGTCACTTCTTTTGAATATAATACATGGTTAAGATATTGAAAAACTAGAAATTTTAGCCTCCGAGCTAAAAAATATATTGCCATTTCTTGCAAATTTGATGTCAGGAATTAACATAACGGGTATCCGGGTAGGGTAGGGAAATAGGGGGGTGGGGCACCCGGGTAGAAAATTTGGACCCGTCCAAGCTCTAGACCTAACACAGCAATACTCTATACAGAAAGCGATGCACGTCCACAGCTAGGTTTAGTTTTGTATTTTGGCAGCACAACAACGTTGAGATGTGCCCGGACTGCACGCCACTGGCAGCGAAGTGACTGGCAGACGGTCGTCTTCTGATGAAATCCGGTTTTGTCAGTACAGAGCTGATGGAAGACAGCATGTTTATGAGATTAAACGACAGTGTGCTGCCTTCAAAAAGCCATGCCACATGGTAGAGGATGTGCTATGCAATGGCAAAGAATGTGTGGGCGGGAGATAACTCAGTTCCTACCTAGAGGATAACATTGAATGCATCACGAAACAAAGCATTGATGGCGTCATCGGCAAACATCATAACACATGTGTAAATATTTCATCGATCCAATAATTTATCAAGGAAACCAAGTGTTAACAAAGAATGATATGTTAAACATTATATATTATGTCAGTTGCATTTTATGGTTACCGTTTTTAACCGACATGGCATTTAATTACTTGTACAAAAGAGATATATGTATAGTGATCTATATATCACAGCATTTGTTTATACTAATCATCTGTTCTCTATTATTTATTAGGCATGTCATCTGATGTGAAACATATTGTTGTCGATAAAACGGGCAGAAAAAAATATATTTTCAGGTTTTACTCATAGAAAGAAATATATTGTTCGTGGGATATCTCCTGAAACAAAATATGCTATGACAAAACTATTGATCTGGATGAAACTGGAAGACAATAACTTGTTTTCAGTTTTTAACCAAAGAAATAAATTTCTGCTGGGTACGCGGGATGTCCTGAAAAATATGTCACAGCAAGAGCATTATTTGAAACAAAGACGAAAAATATTCATCCGCATTCTAATGATGTACGCTGTTACTGGACACCCTCAGTGTCAAATTGGGCAAGTTAAATATGAAAAGACGGAGCCCAACTCATGTAAAGCTGAGCAATCCTCACCCTCCTGCCCAGTGTTCCATGCGGAGTCATCACAGTGACGGAGTGTATAAGCCAACCTCAACAAAATCAGTGACGTCATAGACAGACACAGTGGAAATGACGTCATAGAATGGTTCCATGACAACGTTGATGGTTCTCAGCCAGTCGCAGACAAAACTTGTTGGTGTTCAGACGTACCCCTGTTCTTCCAGTTTATTTGCTCAGATCAACACTTCATCTCTGTATTGGGTAAGCAGAACCAGTTTAATGTCTGCAAAGTGATGGGAAATCTGCCATTTTTCACATTTCACATCCAAATATGGTTCGGCTCTGAGAACATGCGTCCATAATTCATCCATGTATATTTCTGATTGATTTTATGCATAGCTGCAACATGTATATTGAATAATTTTCAAAATGTCTGATTCCTTTGACGCATAGCTACAAGAAGCATATTAGATGTATAAACCATTGCGTATTCTCTTGATGATCTCAGTCATTGTGTCCGTAAATTAATTAGTTCTGCGTGGAGAAATTACATATGCATTATTAATGCATATATTCAAATTTTTAAATTCACATTATATTCACCATTGTCCTGCAGATGAGGATGAATCCACAAGAACGGCTTAAGAGTAGGAAACTACTCTGCCCCATCCTCGAGACGAACGAGCGTCAGTCTAACCCTCTCAGTATAAGAACCCCAGAACTGCATCACGATTTACTTGGTAGGAACGTCTTCTCTTTTTTTTTATGCAAACTAAACAAAATTCTAACAAATAAGTTCAGCTGTATGGTTGAAATAATTACAGTTTTGAAGTAATAAGTTTCAAACGAGGACCAGTGATGCCTCGAGCTGACAAACATCCAACTTTTCCTATAAAACATGCATCTTTAGGAAAGTGTCAGCCTACCTCAAACGTGGAATAGGTTTAATTGTGTTTGTAATATATACTCATGTGTTTGTAATATATACTCATGCCAATAATGGTTGTCACCCCCTTCAATTTTGTTAATTGGAAAGGGGTGTGGGGGTGGGGGTGTGAGGTGTGTGTGGGTGTGTGGGTTGGTGGGGAGGGAGGGGGGTGACAACCATTATTGGCATGAGTATATATTACAAACACAATTAAACCTATTCCACTATTTCCAGGTCAATACATGGACCTAAAAGCTCAAGTCGGAGATTTGGAAGAAACGTAAGCGCTGTTTCGACTCATGCCTTCTTGTGATGTCATCAGTCACAGAAGTTTATATCATTGAAATATATTCTAGACATGATAAATAGGCTCAGTTTAGTATGATAGCGAAGTTCTTTCGATGTGACCCCATAAGTTGAACATTTCACCCGTATAATCTTATTCTCTCAAAACTGCAACTATAGAACATGGCAAAATGATATCTGAAAACGTTATATACGTTCATCATTGCCCATTTTGGTGTACCCGGCTCTAATGCAGCTGCAATGTTTCTCATGTAGGGGGGGAAAATCTATCCAGTGATGATGTTAGAAAAGTGCATCTCATTGTAATTTTATAGGCATAGATTTTGTGAGCTATAAAAATATGAGACATCTAACATGTCGGACTATGTTTTTCAGTCTTCTCGATTACCTGTTCAATGAGAACCAGACTGACTAACTGAGTTTTGGTTTTACGCCGCTTTTAGCAATATTCCAGCAACATCACGGCGAGGGACACCAGAAATGGGCTTCACACATTGTACCCATGTGGGGATTCGAACCCGGGTCTTCGGCGTGACGAGCCAACGCTTTAACCACTAGGCTACCCCACCGCTCCAATGAGAACCAGAAGCTGAGAGAGGAGAACGAGCGACAGGCCCGACAACTCCGGGAGGAGAACGTGTTAAGGCTGAAGGCTGAGTCGGAGAGACAGGACTATAGGCTGGAGTATTTCAACTATCGTCTCAGTTGCACAATGGAGCAGGCCGAGGTCCGGGAACTGAGGCAGACGCTGGAGAAGCTGACAGGCGACTGGGAGAAGGAGAAGCAGGCAGAGATGGAGCAGAGGAAGAAGCTGGAGGAAGAACTGGCAACACTCCAGCGCCAGTCTCTCACACCTGTCACACTTCTGGCAATAAGTAGACCAGTTCCCCCCAGCGTCAGTCCTCCAGTTCAGCCAAGGAAGACTCGAAGACCTTATACAGGAAAGTCTAAGGACAAGGTTCTAACCAGTATCTCACACAAAAGACAGACTCCTCTGCTTCCGGTGACAAGTCGACGAGGTCCAAAGCCACAGACAAGAATGAAACCATGTTGAAGGTCACATCTAGTGTTAGACCCATTGTGAAAGACTCCACGAGAGAACAGGACACAAGAAACCCACCCGACCCTACAGGAACATTTCTGTTAGATTTACAATGGAAAGGCCAGTTGCAAGAATCCGTCATGACACGTAATGACAACCCTCGCGACAAGGAAAAAAACGTTATAAACTGTTGATCCTTGAATTATAGATTATTGCATTTGTATAAAAGAGTGATTACGGTTAACGCTGCTATCTTCTGTTATTCTTTACAAGGTGTAACGGCGCGCACTGGCCTGTGGAAATCAGGCTCCAAGCAGTCACTGGCTGGTATGGATATCATCATCACATACATAGAGGGGCTTGCATGGTAAACCAGAGACCATGTAAACTTAGCATACCATTGTCGCTACCTTGAAGGACTGGTCTGAAATATTCGGATCATAAAATCAATGAAAGTTATAATATAACGTGAAGGTTCAGCTGTGTTTAGAGACTTAAATCTTATCCAAACAAAATTCCTGTTGTCGGCAAATCGATGTCGTCCCGGCCATTTCACGTACACAGAAGTTGTGTGGGTGCGATCTGTGGGCGAACAAATAGAAGATATTTATGTTTTGTCGTTGAATAACACGTTAATCTCAACAAGTGACCTGACAAAAGTTATATTTTCATAGAAGAGATAAACTTACTATATGTATGTTTTCACTGACCGTGTGACTTAATCTGAAAATCACAGTGTCAGTCTCGCTTACCGATTGCATATAGGTCCCACAAAAAGAGTTTTTTCGCCAGAGTGTATCGATTTTCTTGTATCTTCAGATAAATCTTGTGTATCATCTCAGAAAATAGATTCAAACTTAAATCGCCCTTTTCATGTTGCAGAAATCTCAGCATACTGAATCAGTAATTAGGTGTGGGGTTTTCCCCCTTGTTCTCTTGGCTTCAAACTTCATAAGTAGAATTTTAAACGAGGATACTAATTTACTATCACTGTCGGCTATTTATTTAATATTTATAAAATTATGTTATCAATTATTCTCATTACTCTTCCGACCATACAAAAGTTTAATTAAATATCCTCTGAATTCTAAACTTGAGTTTAATTTCTATCACAGATAGGTATTGTTTTTAAAAAAGAAACCTGTTAACCAAATGATAACACTAAAGACTTGAGTTAGTGTAGGATGCTTTGCCCATCACGTCAGGATTATCATGGGATGACGTGATACACCTGGCTCGGGAATGGTCAGTGACATCGGGCAAGACCATATCTATATTGATCTTGTAGAGTCAGCCATCATACTTGCAGAGTGGCCAGTTCTGACTACAGGGAAATACAAATCGTTTTCTATGGAAGCGTATTAGTGTCAAAATCTAAATACATGTATCTACGTATAGATGAAAGTATCTACTTCGTTGATTGAAGTACGATCTATGAAGATGTAAATATATATCTCATTGTCACCAAAGCAGATGGTAAAAGAAAAGTTGTCTTATGACTGATCGTAACATTTTAAAGGTAAAACGGGGACGGTGGGGTAGGCTAATGGTTACAGCGTCATACTGAAGACCCGGGTTCGATTCTCAACATGTGTGTGGGCGGTGGGGTAGCCTGGTGGTTAAAGCGTTCGATCGTCACGCCGATGACCCGGGTTCGATTCCCCACATGGGTACAATGTGTGAAGCCCATTTCTGGTGTGCCCCGCCGTGATATTGCTGGAATATTGCTTAAAGCGGCGTAAAACCATACTCACTCAACATGGGTACAATGTGTGAAGCCCGTTTTTCTGTAAAATATGTTCATTTCAGAGACTAGATGTTAGTCTAGTGTTACCCCTGCCGTGATATTGCTGGAATTATTGCTGAAGGTGACGCAAAATTCAACTCACTCACTCACTTATTTGTCTTAGCGCTGACAGTGATCGTAACTCATCCCATACTTTAACCAGAGACCATATCTATTATATGGTCTCTGCTTTAACACTGACCTATGATAGTGACGGCGCTTTCTGCAAAGGGAGACTGGGTGCACTGGAAGAAGCGCTCGTTAAATCCTCAGTATCGATCTCTCGTCTGTGGGCCTCCACTGGTCATAACTTGTGTGGTTAGAGAAAATCGTTCTCCTTTGTCACATACACGGTACATAAGCTGTGTCACTGGTCTCCAGCCACATTGGAGAAGTTTATTTTTTTTGGAAATATTCACATTATATTTGTACTTCATCTACTGCAGTATGGATCTATATATTGGATCGCAACACATATTCGTGTAGTATTTCGTGCGTATGTTCAATGTGTCGCTACGCGTGGCATATACGCTTGGATATGGGAACACATCTGTTATCGTTTGACATGTCCGCCCCATCAAGAGTGTTAGCCCATGCAGGAACTGGCTGTATCGACGTGAGGAAAGATAGAGCGCCACGCGACAATCTCCTCGTGTGAGGCAGGGCAACCAGCTGAAGTCTCAGATTACTTCTCGCAGGGGAACACTCGCTTGTTAAAATACCAAAGTGATCAGATCCATACGAATATTACAATTAAAAGAAGCAATATTAAGTATATTCCACCCGACAATCAAATGTTCATGATTTGGCGGGAATCTGACCCCTCTTAATTTTGGACATTGAAATCACATAGTTTGGAGAAAAACAAATACGACAAAATTAGTACAGTTGTTTACTTGCTACATTAATCGAAAAATGTAACACTAAATTTGTTTAAGTTTGTCGTCCAGACATGAATTCTCGGCTGACACGATCAGACGAAATCGCAACCGTCGTGCTTCTGCCACTCCATATTTCCGAATGAGGCTACAAGGTCACAGTGACCTCGCTAGTTATAAATAGATTGAATTTCCTCTCACGGCCAGGCAAGCCTCGGTGGCCAAGTGGTAAGGCGTCGGTCTCGTAAACCGAAGATCCAGGGTTCGATCCCCTGTCGGGGCTATTTTTGTGAGAGGGTTTTTATTTTCACCTATAATCCACAGTTTATGGAGAATTTTCATTAACCAGGAAATTGATGTTCCTCATAATGTTTCCTGAGCTAAATAACACTATGCAAACGTCAAGAAACACCTACACCTGAGTTTGATTCACCAGTTTAGAAAGATCCCATTGATAATTTACCACAGAATATGTCTAAAATATATCAGATGTGATTTAATACTTGAACAATTTCAACACAATTAATTCATTTAAATAATTATCATAAACATTTCAGCTGAAATGGTCAATTAACAAACAATTCTGTCTCTGTAGTGTTGACAAGATCATGGAGATTATCAGCAATGTTGATTTTTCGATTAGGGTGCATTACCTCCACATCTTCAAACAACTATTTAAATAATTTAATTATCACTGATTGGTAAAATGTTCACAAAACATATTATTTTGTGTTTGTGTTTGACTGGTATTGTAATCTTTATCTCAACTGCCACCAAAATTTAGCATAGTTACTTCATCACATATATACTGGAACAATTATAGTAATTGTACAGACCCACCCTTCTCAAAAATCCTTATCTGACTCTGGTAAGAGTAGGTTTTGGTAATGTGTCCATGCCTGGGTCGTAAGTTTAGCTGGTATTAATCCTAAAACTTGTGCATGCTTGTAAATTTGGAACAAAGTTATTAATTTTGTAAAATTCCAACAAAATTATGGAGACTGTCAACCTGGCTTCTTTTGAGAGCCATTTACATGACAAACACGTTCTCATTCTTCCCTGCAGATGATATGGCTGAAAACAAATTGAAAACCTTACTTTCTGCAGCTGTTTAATGTTGCTCTCAGCAATATGCTAGCTTAATAGCAAATTAATGCCTGAAACAGACAATACAGTGACAGTTATTATGAGCAATATGTCATCCAAGAACCAACATCTTGGTACATTGTAACAATGAGTGACCACTGGAGTCATTAGGGACTGTTCATAATTTATGGCTAGGGGGTGATGGTGATTTTTATGGAGAAGCATGTACAATGTGAATGACCCCCCCTAAAATTTAAGTACAAAGTAAGTGATCCACCCCTGCATGTCATGTACAAAGTCAATGACCAGCCTCCCCCTTTTCCCTATTTTTAAAGCATAAATATCCTTAAGTACAAAATTTCTTAACCCCCAATCCCCCCTAGAAACGTGTACAAAATTGATGACACCCCCACCCCCATGAAATTTTAAAAATCATCACCCCCTAGCCATAAATTATGAATGGTCCCTTATGGTCTTGTGACAAGGATAGATTGGTAGACACCTATTGTAACCAAGAATTAAATTACTAGCCTATGTTATGTTATCAAAAGTGGAGTATATGAAACCATTCTTTTGTATGGGTTGACTAAAATGAAATGTTAACAAATTAAAGGTGTTTTGTTTTGTGTTAATCTGGTGATTCAGATAATCCCAGTTACTCCTTTTAAACTGTTGTCAAAGGGCAACAAGTCCAAATGAAGAGTACAGCAATATTTCACAATGACATAACAAACACTATATTCTTACATATGACATGGTATATATCTGTAAGAGTGATGATAATTCAATTACAGTGTTTATTCAGAGACTGGGATTTACCAAAACCACAGATAATGTAAAGTGAAAAAGTTTATCAGTTTTCCCAGAGCCCAAATGATGTATTTGTCTGTATTAGAAAAACAGCTCTGTGTACAAAAGTGCAGATTCATGACAACTTTTGGGTTATATGTGTGTTTGCCAAAATCTGAACCTCATGCATATGTCAAACTAATAAAAAGGGTCAAAATACGTTCTTGTTTTTTTTCATCACCTAATTTAGAAACTCAAGCTGTCTACCTCTTTTGTCAAAATGGATGAACCTGTCCATTCTGAGTATTCTGGTTGTACATTTGGTACCCCTGTAAACTTCTTACCCAACAACATCAGGTCATACCAGACACACACTTGAAGGTATATGGGCATCTGATAATCCATAAATACAAAAACATCTTTAAGAAAATCATTTTATTCGTCCTTCTATTCTTGAAAAATTACATCTCAACAAAATCAATCATCATTCACTCATGTTTGTCAAAATTTCACTCAAATGACTCAACTAAAAGTATCCAGCTGTATGTTGAAAAACAAAGATGGAGTCAACCTTCATGAATATCCTGCACAAAGCATGATTCATTCCTTAAAACCACACGACCTGACACACAATAAAGTTTTCACTTGACCAATCATAAATGCATACATTAAAAACCTTAAATTTCAATGACATTATTCTCATGTTTACAACACTTTATTCTGTTGCCATGGCGATACAATGTATTTCACAGCTTCTCATGACAATATCTACTTGATTAAAACCATAAAGATTCTTGGTGCAGCTGCTTCACAGCTGTTAAGTGAGTGAGTGAGTTGTGTTTTACGCCGCTTTTAGCAATATTACAGCAATATCACGGCAGGGGAACACCAGAAATGGGCTTCACACATTGTACTCATGTGGGGAATCGAACCCAGGTCTTCGGCATGACGAACAAACGCCCTAACCACTAGGCTACCCCATCGCCCCAAACACAGCTGTTAAGTACTATAGATCTCCAAAATAACAAAAGTTACAGGTCCACTCATCATCTCGTACATGATAAATAAATTAACATAATGTTGTTAAGTTTGAGGGGTGAAACGGTAAACCGTGGTATTAGTAGAACCACGCTATTTTGCCTTCGGTTCGGTATACCATAATGCAATCCAAAAATTCGGTATTTTCATTTTTTTGTAACGTTATTTCTATCTAGTCATAAAATGACAGTTTTTTTCATTCAAAATAAAGATTATGGTTATTTTTTCCATGTCATTAGACAATGTAAGGTTTGGCTCGTGTCAATTTTCTGCATTATGATCATATACCAACTGAAACGGTCTGAACCAAAGACCTTGTACCGCAACATGTACCGTACCATGACAGCGTACCGTTTAACCCCTATTAAATATCTGTATTACATATAACTATCATGAATACATCATACAGATTTGTGCTGATTAGTGAGTCAGATGCATGTAGCTTAGTTCTGATATAGGAATATACTGAAAACAAATGTTATACTAATGACAAACAAAATACATGTATTTGAAAAAATAATAACCATACATAACAAAAATCAACAATTAACAAATCTGATAATACACTCTGGTGTATTATCACTAATATACACTCTGGTGTATTATCACCATCGTATCTTTCAATAGCAGTTTCTATTTCCAAATACCATTCTGTTGGAAAACACCCAATCTGATAAATCCAGTGTTGCATCTACCATAAGCAATAGGTAAGCATACATTTACAGTGCAAAGAGCAACAAAATGATCAGGAAACAATCTCTACTATAAAAATAATGCGTTCAAAAATGTTTTCCCCAGTCTTTAAATCTAGGAGTTCCCTAAATTTGTATTCATCAACTATTATGAACAAGTCCCCCTTCTGACTTCTTTGCTGATTCAAACACAAACTCCCATAATAGGTTAACACTTGCCCTTACAGCTAATGCTGTTCCCCAAAATCTTAGCGCTAACTCATTCATAACTCCCATTCTTAATACTGACTTACGACAGTTGAAGCACGAAGATTGTTTTGTGGAAACGAACTGAAGCTCTAATGATCACTTATAGAGGCACGGTATTGAGCATAAACAATGAATTTAGGAGGTTCACTCTAAATAAACAGCATATATTCAGTCGTTTGGCTTTGGAAATAAGAAAATTAATCAGAAAGTACCCGATCCATGTGTGCTAACAATATGTAGAAAGTTATTTGGTAAACAGCACTTCCCATAATATTGTTTAAAGTGAGTAAGCTACAAAATATACTACTCAAAAGAAAATAACATTAACTACAGGAGTTGTGAGCGAGTTTAGTTTTATGCAGATTTTAGCAATATTCCAGCAATATCACGTCGGGGGACAACTGAAATGGGCTTCACACATTGTGCCCATGTGGGGAATCAAACCCGGGTCTTCAGCGTGACTGGCGGACACTTTAACCATTAGACTACCCCACCGCCCCTTACAATGATATGAAAGCATCAGGTGATCCTTAACTTCCTTTGAGCAGTATGGATCACTATCAGTGTACAGTGTATTAAAACACTGAGCATAAACTAATTTGAACAGCAGACAATGCTCATTTACCTCAACTTACCATATTCATTCCCAATGTTCAAGATGAGATGCACCATGATAAAAAAATAATACATACCAAATTCCAAGTTTAATATATAATTGTTGAGTGACTCTTCCACTGTTAAGGTTGTGACTAGGCTATAATGCTGCAGATAAATACGACTCATGGAAGATCTTCATGATGTTGGCAATGTATGCTAATGTTGGCAAAGAGCCTTCAAAGCAGTTTCGGAATAATACTAAATCCCTCTTTTAATCCCTCCTCATGTACCTCTCACATGTTAAGTAAAAAAAACCAAGTTCATGTGTTATTTCAAACAACAATAACAGTCAAGTCATGTGAATTACTGAGCATTGAGGTTATTAATGTTAAGGAAAGGGGAAGCTCCTAGTTAACTGATGTGGGTCTCAACACATTGAAAGATATTCAGGTATATTCTGCTATGTCTGAATGTGGGAGACAAGCCCTCACTGGTTGATTATGGTATGGTTGAGACAAACCAAAGATTATAATCAGGATGAATTGACCATCGGATCCTGGATGCCAGGGGATGCAACTCTGCACAAACAAAATGTCACCCCTGTTGTAACTTCAAGACCCCGATGAGTGCAATACGTCCCCACTGGACACACATGGTTAGAGTTGTCTAAGCGCCAATATTGTAAAATGGGTCAAGGTCATTGATGCCATTATCATGAGCAGCACTGGGACAGGCTGGTCATAGAGTTACCAATTATGATCAAAACATATATCCAACGTCACACAATCAATAATGAAGTTAATTAAAAAGTATGTACATTCCTGAAGCTCATGTACTCAACAATATAATAATGATGTGCACACGTTATAATGTACACATACCACACTCAATGTTTGCACTCAATTCAATCAAAGTAACCTGCATGAATAAAAATATAAAGCAAGCCACTCAATGACTCATTCATAAGCTCAAAATATATGGATATACCAGTTGCTAGTTGAGGCACTTTGTTTGTGAGGAGATTAACTTAACAAGCTCTAGCACTAAAAATAATATCCACTCAAATAAAAATTGTGCACCGTTATTAAATTGGCTACCATGTTAATACATAAAAAGCTATTACTACACAAAAATATGCCTTGTTTATAGGAAAATATTCAATAAAAAATATGCCGTGATACATAAATTATGTCTTCAAACAATGTCCCTGCCATGAAACGTTTCCTGAACAGCTAAGTCATGGAAGTGGTTTGAAGGTATTATGCGGAGCAGGGCAAAAGGCACCGACCATTTTATATGCTTTCTGTGTATATGCTCGTGTAATGATGAAGAAGAAATAATTTCCCCTTAAAAAAATTATAAGAAAGATTCTCAGACAAGAACAGCCTTAAAAAATTTACGCTGGTGAAAAAAAAAGTTTGGCTTTGCCTTACAAAGAAAATACAACCAGTGCCCCCAAACCAATCCCTGTCTAATAATAAAACCCCATGCTTGCCCCCTTCCCACCAATATAAAATGATCGGTCCATTTGTGTGACCAATATTGATAATCTATATCTTAGTATGAGGTCCCATTGATCTAATCTATTGAGTGAAAAAACAACTAAATCCTACCCAAATATATACAGTCAAATCCCGATGAGTCGAATCGCTGGGGACCAAGTAATAAATTCGACTTATCGATGTATTCGAGACATATTTATGTCTATGAGGGTAGAAAAAAAGATGATCCAGTCCTAATTCCTCCGCCTAACAGGGCCACCTTATCAGTTTCAGTCTGATTAACACAGACAGTGATTTCCGTAAAATCACTAATCTGCCTTTTGAACTCACCCGTCAATGGCGGAAAGGTGTGAGCCACGCTGGTTTGTCAATTGGATCAGTTTGCTACACCAATCAACTTCTCATTGACTGACTTCGGCTTATGTATTCAAGATTGCTGTTGTTTGAATCTCATCGTACCAAATTTCCTTCTCGAGTCATCGTGTGTATTTATGAGACGAATTCGTGTAACCGGTAATCAAATGATGACAACTATAACAGGGAATGGTCGACCGACAGGTACTTCGAGTTATGCATAATATTCGAGACACCGACATTCGACTCATAGGGATTTGACTGTATACTTAATTGCAACCACATAAAAGTGCTTAATCATCTTCCGTGTGATACACCCTAAGGACGCAATTTTGCAAAAGTACTCCAAGAAAATCTCACTGATCATATTTTTTATGAATGTCTAAGTATTAATTCAGACAATCCTTTGTATAGGAAGATTCAATAGTTTCCCTCCTCAAAAAGTCAGGCCTCCAATATGAGGTCTTACGGTAAGTGGGTCACTTAGCACTAACATGGACAATTAGCCTTAGTGCTAAGCTTGTTCTGGCAAATGAACCAATGAGCTGGTTCGATGGCATAATTAAATACTATTCACCCGACAACATCTCAAAGCAGTCAGTTACATGCAGTCCCCACCTGGACAAGATGAATATCCCATCAAGTTCCAATCACATATTATGAACTGGTCTTGATTGAGATTGTCGCCTTCTCTGGATGGATTGTTGGATTGATATGGCTATACAAGAGGAATTCAGAGAATGAAACAAATACATCAGAACTGTCAGAGAAACTGGAATGTAATGAAAGGTGAGATCCCACCCATACACAATGACTGAAACACCCAATGATACAAGACTGCAGCTTATTCTAATAATTTGGAAATGTCTGCTGCAAATTCTCAGATTTAATTTTTCTTTGATTTGTTCATAATTCATCATACACAATTCAGGACAGCATAGCTACATTGTAGGTAGGTTTGGTAGTATTGCAAGTTACAGATTTTCTCATTAGGGCTTATTTGATTACCATTACCCTAAACTACCAATACAAAGCAACTGCTTTACTTGACTATGCTCAGAGTTATAGTGTTGGGATCGTCCTTAATCAAACATATTCACTGTTTGGCAATGGAAAATACTGGATGATCTAAAAAGGAATCCACATTAGAGGCATATGGAAGATGGAGGACTTAGTTGCATCAATGTTGTTATTGCAAATTTGGCCCAGAATCATCTATTTGTGAACACAAGTCGATCTCATTAACCAGAGCCTGTTGCTATAGAAACATTTTTTAAAACTCCTGATTACTACGTTATTGCTAATTCCTTCCTACCTGATCAAAGTGGAAGGAACCATAATCATCAAGATTGGCATATGCAAGTAAAATTGCTGCTTTGAACAGTGTTTCAGTACATCACAGCGTGTCAGCTTGATACAGAAAAGATGCATGTTGTAGGCATCAACAACTTTGATAAAACTGTGAGCACAAAACAAGGATCATAATAATCAGGATTCAAACAAACAGCAGATCCTGATAGGGCTAAGGGATACAACTCAGCAAACTTCTATACTCATCCAAAAAATTAAAGACAAACCAATATTTACGTATATGGATCATAATATGAACTATTAAATACTTTAATATGAAAATTGGTGTGGTCCTTAACATTTTTTGTTGAGTATATATCCACTGTGCCCTTGTCTAGGTTATACATGTGCTATTGAGTAGGCTCAAGTGGACAAAGCCCCAAATAGACAGGTCAGGCAGATATAAGCTGATAACACCTCCAACAAAACAACAATAAGAATCAAGCCGTGAATGTGAACACCATAACACATAGAATCACATAAATGGGTAAGATGTTAAAGGCAGTCAAACATTTACACCAGATCACAGTGTCAATGTAGAAACCATCAGCAATGAAGGGATTTCATATTCATTATTTGCATCAAGAGATTACCACCAGGCTCCAGGCCAGATTACATATTATTTCCATATACTCAAAACTGGGAAAGGTAGGTGTACGTGTGGCATGATGATTGAAGTGAAGACAGTGACGTATCTGAGGATGGTGATGTCTCACACGACGAATCCCTGCTTGAGTTGGCGAACTCCACACAGTAAGGAATGCTCTATGACAGTTTCTTTCATACATCAACAGTAAAAGTTTCTTTGTTGCCAGCAAGTTTTACCCGATTAGGTGAACCAAGTAAAGGTAGTGTGTTTGTCATGGATCTGAAAGGACAGTCAATGTTTCTCAGGTGATAACAGAAAAGTGAACGAAAGGTGGGTTATCACAAGTTGCTTTAGTGGTTGCTTGTCTAACTCCCAGATTTCGGTCGTCATAACGACGTTGTGCGAGAGGTGGGGTTTTTCGGTAACACTGTGTCCATGCACTTCTGAGCTTCCTGTTTTAGGTCCTGAGCTTCTGTCTTGATCTTACCAATCACCCACTCCATAGCCTGTCGTCCCTGGCAACACAAAAAACCCATCATTTTAACAAAAAGAAATAAAGAGAGAGTGAATTTAGTTTTACTCCACTTTCAGCAATATTCCAGCAATATAACGGCAGGGGACACCAGAAATGAGGTTCACACATTGTACCCATGTGGGAATCGAACCCAGGTCTTCAGCAAAATGAGCAAATGCTTTAACCACTGTCCTGAGTTTGGAAATATGTCAAATTACTTGTTGTTTAACACCACGCTCTGCAATATTAAAGCTGCATGACAGCAGGATGTAATAAAAACCATGTTTCATTTGAACAACGATCTACAGCGTCAGAATACCATGACAACCAAATTACTGAACCAAACTACCCAATCTATACATACATGCGTACTAACATTTGTATAGTGCCGATATCCAGCTCAGCTGCTCAAAGGCGCCTTAGTTTTCCCTTGATCACTGGATGTCAATCTCAACGGCACATCATATTATCAATCTCAACTCCCTGAGGAGCATACAACTCTTGCAGCCACTAGGCACACCGAGTTAATGTGTCTTTCCCATCCTAACGAGGTACCCATTCAGGGCTGGGTGGACTGGGACACATAGTCACAGTACTTTTTCAAAGTTTACTGCACGTTGCTGTACCAACAACTAGGTGTTTGCACGCATTCATGTGGCCACCATCTGGTCATATACCAATGGATTTGTGGGTTCTTTTAAGTGCACAGGGTTGTGTACTGTACACTAGGGGTTGTGACAACACTGAAAGAGTCTATTAAGTCAACGACTACACCTGACTAGTATTGATTGGCACAATAGGACAAGATAAACGGCGTTTGAAACAATGAGCAGTGTTTTCCATCAACTTCTTTCGGAAACACCAGAATGAGACAGCGATGGTCAGTTGACTGGTTAATCTGTATTTGTTGCTTGACATTTTAATGAGAGTGCAAGTTCCACCTAGTAAATTATTCTTGTGGTGTGCACGATGTACCTAGTTAATTATTCTTGTGGTGTGCACGATGTACCTAGTTAATTATTCTTGTGGTGTGCACGATGTACCTAGTTAATTATTCTTGTGGTGTGCACGATGTACCTAGTTAATTATTCTTGTGGTGTGCATGATGCACTAGTTGTGATGAACACAGATCACTGGTTCTGTTTTTTATTAAGTAACCAAAATATTTCTTGTGGTGTGCACGTTGCACAAGTTCTTTTTTTTCATGTTCTGCACGATGCACCTCGTTATTAATTCTTACGGAATGCATGATGCACTAGTTGTGATGAACACAGATCACTGGTTCTGTTTTTGATTAAGTAACCAGAATGTTACAACTGGGGTGTAGGTTATGGGATAGGATCCACAATAGACGTCTTTCTTACCTTTCCTGCATTGTTAGATATAGAGTCTGTCATGACTGTCTCGAGGTAGCTGCCCAGCGGAACTCCCTTCACCGTGACAACAGCCTCCTGGTGCAGTGTGGTCCTGGAAGTCAGCACAGGGTTACGGTGAGTGAGAGAGAATGTTTTTTACGCTGCAATATTCCAGCAATATCACAACAGGGGACACCAGAAATGGGCTTCACACATTGTACCCATGTGGGGAATCGAACCGGGTCTTCAGCGTGATGAGTGATCACTTTAACCACTAGGCTACCCCACCGCCCAGGGTTAACATGAAATGGTGGGAGACATTGAGTGCGTGAGTTTGGTTTAACACCGCTCTGAAAGCATTTCAGCTACATCACAGTGTGTCAGCTTGATGTCTGATGATCACTAAGTTGAAACCCACAGGTTTGGGAATGGTGCAGGCAAACCAGGATTCAAACCTAAAATTATTGGTTCTAGTAGAAAGAAGGAATGCAACCATGCACTGCAATTTCAACACCAAAGACAACCGAGTCTTCCAAGTCCCCAGACGTCTTTCAGAAATCACAAATCTTCAAAGGTCATGCAGGTATTCAAACACATTTAGGAAATATATCCAAATGAAGAAAACCAAATACATGAGGCATTAGGTCATTCTTACTATAGATGATCTCCATTCTTACACGATCCCTAAATAACGATCATTCTGGTTACAATACATCTGTATATAAGCAAGCCTGACCACCCAATCCCATTAGTTGCCACTTAAGACAAGCTTGGGTTGCTGAAGACCAATTCTTCACATGTGATACTGTATCAGCTTACCTTGTTCGGTCTTCAGGGTGTGGAACATAGGATAAGTACTCATCCACAGTCACCACGTTGCAGAACGTCAACTGTAACACAAGGACACAACTATCACATACTGTCAATACATTGCAGGATTATTTATGATTCCAAACTAAGTGCCCTTGACAGGGAAATCTGGATTTTCTTTGGACAATTTCATTTTCAAAAATTCAACACTGCATTTAATATATGTAAAAAAGCATTAAACATCTTCCTCTGTATTGGTCCAGTTATCATTGATACGTAGTTACATCTATGAAGTCATAACGCTAATCATAAACATAACATGCTCCATGCCGGAACTAGGGCGTGAGTGACTGAGTTTAGTTTTACACCGCATTCAGCAATATTCCAGCTATATGGTGACGGTCTGTAACAATCGAGTCTGGACCAGACAATCCAGTGATCAACAGCATGAGCATCGATCTGCGCAAGTGGGAACCGATGACATGTGTCAACCAAGTCAGCGAGCCTGACCACCCGATCCCGTTAGTCACCTCTTACGACAAGCATAGTCGCCTTTTGTGGCAAGCATGGGTTGCTGAAGACCTATTCTACCCTGGATCTTCACGGGTCCCGGAACTAGGTGAGCACCTACCATTGAAAATGATGTCAAACCACACACTGCAGTGTAATGTAAAATATACACTCATTATTCCCAGTATTCTGTGATAACTTTAAACTTAACACTCATGCTCTAGTGTTTATAGCTGTTGTGAGTGTTGATGAGTGAGTGAGTGAGTTGAGTCCCAGCAATATCACTGTGGGGACACCAGAAATGGGCTTCACACATTGTACCCATGTGGGGAATCAAACCCACGTCTCTGGCGTAACGAGCAAATGCTTTTTAACCACAAGGCCACCCTACCGCCTCTTTACAGTTATGGACAGTGGCATGAAATATGGTTTCAAGCGTGCCAGGTATGGCTTTAGTGTTATACTATGAACAGGGGTATCACACCACAAGAAGCAAACTCTAGCACAATGCATACAAACTGCTTAAATTTACTATTTACTAGGGGTAGGTATTGCAGAGAATTTTCATACTGCAATATATTGCGATGCGAAAGCTTATATTGCGATATGTATGGCAATATATTGCAAGAAGTTTTTTTTAACAATATACTACTAATGATCAAGTTAACGCTTTATTTATACAGCTAAAACACAACAAAATCACTATGCTTCATTAACCTTTAATAAAAACTTTTAATCATGACAAAATAAGAATATAGATAATATTTAAATGTAATTTTCACCACGATATCATTCCCACCACAATGACCACAATCATCAAGGTTTCTGAGTGTTACGAAGTTTTCCGAATACAAGTCAAAATACCGGTTTTCTATCAGCGTATCGCAATACATATCGCTTTCATGTCTGAACCGGTTTATACCGGTAAACCGGTTATATTGCGAAGTCCTACTATTTACCATGCCTATATTATAATCAAAATGTGATTTGACCAATGATACATGGTGCTGGAATCGTCCCAACCAAAAATGCAAAAACTAAGGAAACCTTGATTTACAATATCACCCACCTGTAAATTTCAAGACAAATAATGACCAAAATGCTACTCAATTAGAACTGGGAAGCTGATTACCCTCAGTAACCATGGTAACACGACTCACGTTTCTTGTCCTCATGGTGAGTGTCCTGTTGGCTGTGTCCACTTCGGAGTGCTCACTGGCATAACACACCTGGTCCATGCCAACAATCTGTGGGCAACAATAACATATATGGCTATACTACCACTCAACCCAGCTATTTCATGTTTGCCATAAACAAATCCATCCTGAACCAGGTAACTTGTGACAAGCAGGAAATGCAGGCAATGGGAGGGCAATAAAGCAAAATGTTGAAGAGTACAGTGTTGTGCCGTGAGCAGGGGGCTTGCAGGAATCATGCAATATTTTTTCACATGGCGCATAAAATGTCTTACAGCACGTCCTGTGTCAAAAGAACCTACCTCCATAGAAAGTTATCATTTATTACTATGCTGTGATTAAACTCGTGATTAAACATATTTCCTGTCTGCAATACCTGAATTGGGGACCCTCTAATCATACATGTGGAGGCCCTTGAGCCCATATTTTCCAAAACCTAGAAACAACACTGCACTCTGTTAACAGATGTGTTAACAGACACCAAATTCTGGTATCTGGTAGGATGAGACAGTTATACAAGTGTATACCTTCAGTTAAGAGGCATAACAATATCACAGAGCAGTGTGTGAAATAGCCACTGGCCCGCTAGCCTGGGTCTAGTAAAAATCTAGCCGTGGCAGTAAATCTCCACAGTCACTGGCCCGACAGGCTAGTGAATTTTCATGGGGTCATTTATTAAATATATCACTCTCTCCGACTTGTTAAGTCATAACACACTTTTAAATCATGCAAGATTATGGCCTAATAAATGATGGTATTTTACCGTTTTGTAATCTTTTGCTTAATTTCTACATTTTGGGCTAGTGAATTATTTTGTGGGCTTGTAACTTTCAGGCATAACCAGCCCGACTGGCAAGCAGAATGTGAAACTATTTCGCACACTGTCACAGAGGCACGATACAATAGTATCCCAATACTAATGCTACAATGAAATTTATCTTGCCTCACACATAAATGTCGTTTTCTGATTGGCTAAACGCTCTTCTATTATTTTCAATGTACCCGCTGGGAATGCCGAATTCATTTGGTACTTCGTAGTAGTAATTCTTTATCTCGAATAACATTGCATCACGTATGATGTATGGAAATTACCGATGTTTTGCGAAAAGCAAATCGATGGAAGGGACATAACTCTAAATTGTTTTTCTTGTCGCCTGGTACTCCATACTATGATCCGATACCCGTGGTTCAAACAGTTCAAAATTACCATTGAGGTGTTCGGTAAGATAAATACGTTGTTCACTGGGTGCTCGGGGCTCATGGGTTGATGTACCCTCGATGATTCTTTATGTTCCCCTTGCCCTTCGGGCTCAGGGAACATAAACAAACATCGAGGGTACATCAGCCCATGTCCCCCTCGAGACCAGTGAACAACTTATATTGTATCCGAATACAATACTTATATTTCATACATTCCTTTTTACTTTAGCAGCTGAATCACAACTGATTTGTTTCTAAATTTAAGCGAATGAAGTAAGGATAGTGGGGCAGAAACATGTAAACAAGAAGGTTGTTGTTGGTTGCTGTTTAACACCACAGTCAGCTACGTTCCAGGCACTCAAGAAGGTGAGGTGAGGTGAAATTGGGCTTTACGTCGTGCTTGAGAATATTTTGCTCATATGACGACGTGCATGCGTGTGTATGTGTATGTGCGGCTGCTTGTACTAGCCCAGACTGAAGCTGGTTTTATAGTGCTAGCTCACTGAGATACCATGCCGCAGTGAAGCATGAATACCCCACTCAGACACATTATACTGACTCCGAGCCGACCAGTCCTTGTTGTACCCATTAATGCCGAGCGCCAGGCAGGGACCGACAAGTACGATATTTTAACGTCTTTTGGTATGACACGGTCGATGATCGAACCCACGACCTTCCGCTCTCCGGGCGGGCGCTCTAACCACTACACCATGGAGGCGGTCCACTCAAGAAGGCCCTTTTAATACTATTTATAGCCAGCTAGGAAATACTAGAGAATTTGCATAGGCTGGTGGTGGTTTAACAGTTTCTGTTATTACTCACCTAATTTCACATCAATATTATGAGTAATGTATCAGTTGTATCACGTTACAAGCATTGTTAATCAATGTATTCTATCATGGGACTCCTGTTTCAATACATTACTGTATCACCATACAATGACAATACTGCAGTAAACGATGTGTATAAGGAACCTGATTATAACAAACTGCTGGACAAAGCAAACTGTCCTGTTTTGTCCCAAATCACTTGCTGTCTATTTTTGTTGAGTGAGTGAGTATGGTTTTATGCCGCTTTTAGCAATACTCCAGCCATATCACAGTGGGGAACACCAGAAATGGGCTTCAGACATTGAACTCATGTGGGGAATTGAACCCGGGTCTTTGGAGTGACGAGCGAAAGCATAAACCACTAGGCTACCCCACCACCCCATATATTCTTGTTGAGATGTGTACAATTAACTAAGGTTATAACAATAAAAAATCAGTGGTACAGGGGTGGAAATAAGTTTAAACTTGCTTGTGTACTCCGGTACAGTGGCACATGTAAAGTCACTTGCCCTGATTATTTTCCCACTATACCAACCGTTTTCTTGCTGATTTTTTAAATAAACGACATAATAAACATTGGAAAGTCAACTGGACACCGGTACAGTGTGATATACAAATTTGCTTGCCCGACAGAAAAAAACACTGGACTCGGACGTCAGGCAATGGATTATTTCCACCCCTGTGGTCCCTTTGAGTTTGACTTAGTTCTAGTTTACTTCTATCGTCTCACAATGCCATCAATGGCATGCATGGGACCAGTTGTAACCTGCCTCCTCAGTGTTGAGCTGAAGCGAGATAACCTACTTTTGTAACCCAGGCCGACAGCCCCCATGATGTACTGAGCAGTCGGTGACTCTTGAGCTTGCCGTCAGGTGTAACCTGTCTCTCCACAACATCGATCCCCTGCACGCTTGGGTTCATGGGATTGGGGTACTTCCTCCATGCTGCCTTCACCACTGTCTCCCAAGGATGGCTGCAACATCACAAAACATGATCGTGTTTCCTTTTTCTTATATCTATAATACACTCATACATCTCATACAAATGATATATCGTGATAACATCAGGGTTACAAATAGCAACACAAACCACCATAATTGCTAAGATATTGGGGTTACTTTCTCTACTGTAATTGTATTACAAATGTGGTCACACTTCAGCATTTCCATGAAGGTGAGGTGAGGTGAATTTGGGTTTAACGTCGTACTTGAGAATATTTCGCTCATATGATGACGTGCATGTGTGTGTATGTGTATGTGCGGCTGCTTGTACTAGCCCAGACTGAAGCTGGTTTTATAGTGCTTGCCCACTGAGATACCATGCCGCAGTGAAGAATGAATACGCCACTCAGCCACATTATACTGACTCCGAGCCGACCAGTCCTTGTTGTACCCATTAATGCCGAACGCCAGGCAGGGACCAACAAGTACCATATTTTAACGTCTTTTGGTATGACGCAGCCAGGGATCGAACCCGCGACCTTCCGCTCTCCGGGCAGACGCTCTAACCACTACACCACGGAGGCGGTCATTTCCATGAATGTCAACTCCGGTAATAGTATAACGCAGCGTGTTTGCATCACAGCAAACGACGTCTGATGGCATGTCTTTATGATAAAGTTATTACAAATGATTATTCAAGAAAACCCTGAATGTTTTTATGCATCTGAAAACCCATAATACAAGGATATGTACAATGAACACTGTTTATTGCAATCCGCACTGTACTTTGCTAGTTTACAACATGATTAACCTGAGCGTAAAAGCGGATTTGTTGATACGCTATTACTGATGACGTGAAGATGTGTGATCGCTGGGCAACTTTTTTAATGGGAGCCACTGATTACCCTGCGTTTTAACTAAATCTGCAGTATTGCAAAGAGCATTATTGAGAGGGATGGCTCCACTATGAAATCAGTGAACCATCTGCAGTCCTAGATAATTATATATATGTAATAGAGGTGAATAAAATATTGCTGACAATATCTCAGTTTACTAGTTCCCTCCCAGTTGCTGTTCAAACATACAGAAATAACTCTAATCTAAAACTGAAGTTGACAAATTTTTGCTAGGTACACACAAAGAGGTTTGGCAATTCCTAAGGTCCTGTTGTCACAGTACACAAGACCATTTCCCATTGACAATGATCAACTAGACAATAATCTTGAAGTATACTTTCTGTTGTGTGAATGTGAAGTTCAGCTCAGCATGTATAACCACTAGTTGTCTGACATTAGTGATAACAGAAGGACGTCATTTCAGAGTAACAACCTTGATGATTATTTCTTGGGGTTCTGCATTAAGGCACCGACAAGTACATGAAAATCCAGCACATACACAATATTATTCACTGTACCCACATCTGTGACTTTGCTAAGTGTTTGGTTGTTTCTTTCAGAACAGCAACATGCATCATTTAATCCATCAGTCCACATGATCAGTGATACATTCCATTCTCTAAAGAAATCATAAAAACATACAGTACTCTGTACTGTTCATTCACAAGACCCTCATATTACATGCAAGGAACTTTAAAACTAATAATTAGGGGTCCCCGAAACCCCCATGTTTTTTAGTTGAGGAACACCCTGCATGATATGGTGTGCCATCTTTTCACCACTAGGTCTGCTGCACCAGCTGTAGCCACAAAAGGCATGCCTGACTTGTCATCACAGCTGTTGTCATCCAATAAAGTGTACCAAGTCAGGACCAGTTGTGAAGGTTTTTATTTACATTGTTTGTGGAGTTCTTCGAACTGTTACATTTTGTATTCAGTTATTCAACAATACTCCAATTATAACATTCTGGCATTCAAATATTCAAGTCTGAGCCAGTTCAAAACAGTGGCTGACGTTATGATTGATCAATAATTCACATTGTTGCAGTATCAGTAAGGTTTTATGTCAGTTTTTTTCAATATTCTAGCAATATCTTGCCAGGGAACACCAGAAATGAACTTCACACATTGTGCCACTGAGGGGAATCGTACCCTTGATGACCACACATTGGGGTATGAAGATAAGCAACCATACAAGACACTCTGCCTTGCCCCATATTAACATAAAGTTGCCTTGTACGACCCCAAACAATCATGGGTACTTAGGAACAAGATCTTACCAGACATCCCCACAGGCCATGTGGGTAGTTGACATACTTTTTGAAAACGGTCTTTTCTTCTCCTTGGCTTTATCCAACAAACTATTTATTTATTTAGCAACAATCTATTCTTTTTTTACAATTAACAGGATTAACACAACTTTAGAGGTTTGGATATTTTCAAGTTGTTCAAATTTTACTACCATCAACAAACTATTCATCTTAGGCATACCTCTCAGTCTCAAGTTATAAAAAAAATCCCCACCCCTAGAAATCAAATGAATGCTCCCTAAAAGCCATGAATAACAACTAAATGTACAAACATAAAATGGTCCTTTCCACTACTTGGTCAAGTGAGTGAGTATGGTTTTACACTGCTTTTAGTAATATTCCAGCAATATCATGGCTGGTGACACCAGAAATGGGCTTCACATGTTGTACCCAAGTGGGGCAGGGGTTGAAAAATACCATTGCCCGACGCCCGGGTTGAGTGGAATTCTCTGGTAGGTCAAGTAAATATCCACATTAAACTTTACCGAGGTACAGTAGTGCCAAATTACTGAAATTGTTTGATATATGTGTTTTGATGATGAAATGCAATTGCTACCGAAGTTTTAATTGTGGTCAAGTGAAATTAATATTTGGTCAAGTGGATTTTGAAAGTTTACTGGACCTGTGTCCAGTAGAGTTTTGAAAAAAATGTCAACCCCTATGGGGAATTGAACCCGTGTCTTCGGCATGACGAGCCAACACTTAAACCACCAGGCTACCCCACTGCCACTGCATGGTCAAGAGGACCAAGAGCCATGCTATCCATATTAATAGGAAGACTAATTCATTTAGTTTGCATGGATTCCAGATTTGATTATTCTAAACATGATCTAGCCAGTTTTTCCACTAGAACACACAGCAGCTGTTCCCTATGACGGACACATGAAGACAGCATTACTTTCAGGTCAGGGACTGAATATAATATTCTCACGCACAATACTAAGTACACAGAAGTGATTAATTTATGGATGATGGGTCATTTCTATCCTTTTATAACAATAAGTCCTAGCAATCACAGGCTAGCATAGATAGCCAAATGAATACTGTAAATTAATGCTACTACTGGCCTTTTGCCAAAAGTGTGACTCAAGATTAACATGTGACTTCCCTCCAGCCCCAGTACATATTATGTAGTAAAGTAGATGTATTTAAGCCATACCCTAATCTAAGCTTTCATTAATCCAATCAAACAGCAAATGGTACCACTTATTAGCACAAAGCAGAGTATGTCAGCAACATTTCACTAATTGGTATGCTGAGGTTTCAACAAACATGAAGGCAGAGAACAAGACAGAGATTGTAGACCTGAGGATGAGTGTGATAAAGCCTATCCATCATTCCATGTGTTTTGTCACCATTTGATGCAGTCGCAAACAGCTAAGAAACTGTTGTATGGGGGAGTCTGTCTTGACTCGCCGGATGTCCATTATGCAATTTCCAGTGTTTGAGACATATTGTTACTGGTATATACTTGCTATATCTGCTGTTCAATAAAGCGTATTAACATGATTAAGGAAAAGTGTTGTTTGCTTTTATATCTAAGCATTTCCATTATCGATTGTAATGCCATCTTGTTTAGTCATTTATATAATAGCAAAGTTTAATTAGTGCGAGCAAAGAGCACTCACATTTTTTGCATGTAATGAAATCTTGCAATAATCTTAAAATTTCCAGCATTTCATTAGAAAAAAACCACATCAAGATATTTATTACACGTCATATGGTGTTTCTATAAATTAGATGGCCTCTTATTAGTCTCAACACGCAACAGGGCATTAAACATCACATTGCAACTGATATGGTTTGGGAACCAGCTAGCACTGCTAGTAGCAGCTGAGAGCAAAATATCAGTTATGTCCTTGAAAGGTCTCACAAAGAAACATTTAAATGAATAGTCGCTGGTCATTACAAAACTGTTCTAGAAGCTCCATGTGAGCATGGCGAGTCTCCGTAGGAACCAGTGTAGAAAAACAATTTATCATTCTTCTTGTCAGTCTCATCATATTACATCTTTTATGGGACTCATATCTGATATTTGACATCAAACCTGCTGCAAAGGTCATTAAATAGTGCCTCGTTAACTAATCTTATGCCTGGAACAACCTGCATTTTACTGAAAACAGCGAATAAATGAAATGATTATATCACTGTGTCTGAAGCTGCCAATGTGTTCCTGTTGTCTTAAAGCCAGCAGATTAGCTGTTGAAATGTTTGTGCCATATTGTGTCTAGATCTTATATTGTGACTTATGTTGTGTGTCTGTTGACTTTAAATCGTGAAAGTTTTTACTTTAGAATTACAGCACTGATTGTAGGGCAGCAACAATCCACTATTAGAAATATGATACATATCATAAATGGTGGTAAGTAAATATGAATATTGGCTAACAAACACAATAACAAGTCAGTTGTTGCAAATTGTTCAGTACATTCAGCGAGGCAATAACCAAAAAAACATCATTTGACATTTTTTACCATGTTGACAGCATCTATTGGAAAGAGTTCCTTCTGTTCCCCCATATTTTTTGTAACATTACCATGCCTGGAGGTCCTTAACATAGGTGGTTCGACCCTATATATTGTAACGAAAGCTTGGGCTTTTAGTTAGTTAGTTTTGTGAGTTCTCTAGTAATTGTTGTGTTAGGTTTTGTTGATACTTTTAGTATATTATATTTTTTGGGATGGGGGAACGGGAGGAAATCTTACCCATTTATTTATCATGACAATAACCAGTGATCACCTTCCTATCAAATTAAGTATAACAGGAGTATTGACTAGTGTCCTGACTGGCATGGATATATTCCATTTAGCATATCTCGTTTTGATAAATAACCTTGATAATACTAAAATTAAAGTTAAAACAATCAAAATAATTACTTCTCATTTCACCATGTCGTCAACCCATTGATCTTTTTTTCTGTATAAGAATGTCCAGTAGCATTTTCTACTACAAATATCAAAACTTTATGAAACTTGCTAAGAGAATTCCTCAAATTACTTTGGATTAGTCTTCAAATTGATAGCTAACCATAACAGTTTGTAATGGGTGTTTGATTGAAAAGAGGTGCCAAAGTAGAAGGCATTTGATGACGTGTTTGATTTGAAATAGTAGCAAACTTAGAGTACCAACACTTGCACACCCTGCTGGGCAGTGTTTGTATCATCCCATTGACAATGCGGCACCGGTTAAGTGCGTGCCGCGTCCAGCTGACAGTGACAACCAGGCACAGATAGTTTAAAGAGTATTCTAGGTTTTCTTGAATAGTTTATGAATACTGACATTATGTTAAATTTGATCACTGTAATTGATCAAATTCAATCAATAAATAACGAGCAAACACTAAAAGTCACACAGAAGAAATTTGCTGCACTACAGGAAAAGTACCAGAAAGGTGGTGAAGGTCGAATGCTTCCTGTCATGGCAACTGAGAAGCACTTTGGGGCTCCAACACGATCTGACAAAAAACAAACAAACGTGAAAGCTTACTCGAAAGTGTGATCTGACGTCCAAATCTTCATAGCGAAAATCTCAATAAACTTCTGTTTCACGAAATTCCAGTCACTTGATTGTCATCCAGTCACGTTTCCTCACCATGCAACCCGGAATCTTACGCAAGACGGAAGTTGTAAACAGCCAGAAAAGTAGTTCTGGGTATTTGCATGTAATTTTATATTTGAAGCCGAAGTTAATATTAAGAAAATACTTTTAATATATTTTATTATCATAAAACATGGCAAGGTGTTTACGCAATATTAATAAATCAGTATTTCTTGTGATCTGAAATTAATTTACACGCCGTAAAGTGTACTTAAGCATGTCCTGATTGGTCTGTTGTACCACTTGCGACCAATCATATTTGTTCACTCATAAGTGCTTCGGAATGGCAGCACCTTGGAAACGGCGACAAGATGGCGTTCTAAACATGAAGTTTTGAGTTTGGTCACTACAGATTTTTTTCATATTGCTTTACAAGAAACAAGTGAGTAACTCATTCAAAATTTCTATGCATCAAACATATTGTCACATTCTGAAGATTGTATGTTTTCTATTCAATCTGCAGTCAAGACTTACTAAGGCGATGCACTTAATTATGTTTCAGATTGTTTTGTTTTTGTCAAGATACACGCTCGTTATAGCTCTATAACCAAACTAATAATGTGATTTGTTGTCATTGGGAATTTGATCGGGCCATTTGTTCATGGTTATCACTAGGATCATGGCAACCATGAACAAACCAAATGAGTCAAACGTACTGGTTTATTCCATCATACAAATATATTTCTTTGTGGCATTATCAAGCACCTGTCTAATGTCATGAAATGAAGTAATTGTTTTTTGAATATTTCATGAATATATATGATAAATTCCTGAAAATAAAACCATAAATGTTTTTCTTCAAACAAAATATGCCAAAAATATCCCACAAGGCTGAAATCAAAGTAAAGAACTATCCACTTAGAACTGTTCAATTGAGCCTGTGAAGGCTGTGTAATTCACATGAAGACACATAGTCTGGTCACACAGATTAAATACACGACTTCTATGACAAGCATGCTATACTAGTGAGTTTTGGAGACCATTTTCCCCATAACCTAATACAGACATTTCTGTTTTAATATATCAGTGTTTGAAATTAATGAGTCCCTAGGTTTAAAGAAAGGCTTAACTGATGAAGCTCCCAGACTAAATGTACTTAATTTGAAACATCAACAAATTTTAACACACTATCCTTTAATTCACTGTATACTTTGATGTTATTTTAAAAGATTCTCAGAATTCTTTTATGTTAATTGGGTTCCAAAGATTATGTACAGCTATCCCTATTTTCCATACAGCTTATTTTGGGGGCATAGTTTCAGAATTCAGTAGAAAAACATTTACAAACATTTACCTCACAACATAATTTGTTTCATTGGTGAAACAATGCCCAAGGACATCAATCTGTTGCTGGGTGATCAAGTGTTCCTATTACTAGCTCTTCTCAGTGACCTGTCATCTCTATGCGCATTGCCATAGAGTAAGCCAGCGATGAAGGGAGTTTTCAATATTTGCTAAACATAGCCTATGGGCGCACATTTAATAGCAAGCGCCAATTTATGAAAGCACTTCTATTTGAAAAATATTTTATATTTCGTATTCAAGTTAATTTAAAGGACTAAATGGACGATTAATGGTAACCAATAATACATACACATATTTCTATATTTATTCATTTGCATTATAATGCACAGGAATGGAGTATATCGAAGCTGCACACACTGTTCCAACATCTACTGTCTTATCTACCATGAGACATTTTGTGCAGTAAATTAGTTATTTCTTTTGGCCTCAGATTTGTAATGAAAACGAAGAGAAAGATAAGTGCTGGGGGTCAAAGGAGAGCTGTACCCCCTTCCTGTGTATTTTACAAGACAGGAGCTGAAGCTTTTGGCATTCTCGCCATATCGGCTCATTCCACACCCCTTTGTATATTGTAGATTACTGAATGGGATAAGTGAGTCAAATGACATCAGGATCATTTGTAAAGTGTCTGTAGATTAAATCACGAGACACCATATTCATCTGTACTTTTGTACATGTTGGTGACCTATTTATACCTTTCCGTTCATTTCCATAACTCTCAGGCACGAGTAGAAATATTTGCAAATATTGCAGCAGCATGGACATAGCTCAGACTAGCTTATAACTGGTCTAAAACTTTGGTCATTTACCCTTATATATGGCATTTATGTTGCCATAAGTGCCATTCATGAACTCTCATTCATGTGACAACATCTGATAACTACTATTAATCTCTTCTTTCGTTTTTGGTCATAGCACAATGCCTCTTGGGCCGTTTGGTGAGGTGGTTGGTACCACTGGTACCCTTGAATCACTTACACCAGCAGCATTGCAAGAATACAAGACAAAAGTTATAGCTCCCCGGAATCCCAAACTCATCAAGGATGACGACCCACAACATAAGGTAATACTGTGTTTCCTTCATTCTTTTCCTGCCCAGTGGTAATCTGACAACCAGTTTTTGTAAATTTGTTATCATTTATGTAACAAAATTCACAAACACTTATATAGTTACCGTAATTCATTTGAATAATTTAAGTTTATGTTAGTAGGTAATTGATCACATCCAGTATTCAGCAAGCATTATATTTGTACAAGGTTTCTCAGTTAGTAACTGTACATTTATTAGAGGAGGATGTGGAGGGGTGAGATTGATCTTTGGACTGTACCTTATTTTGTTAACCCGACCATTTTATGTCACTATTTTTGTCAAGTTACCTGAAAATACACGTAACATAACTTTCACCCCTCCCCCTGCCCTCCTCACTACAAAACTTGGACAGTCCCTAAATGTTCAAATGTGGCAAGTAAAAGTTTCTGTGTAAAACCTAAGAATATTAGAGGGTACTTACTATTGTGAATACTAATGTTGATAAACATGATACATATTCTGTTTGATTGTTTGCCTATTTCAGCTGGACATGGAAGTTAAGGTAGCATATTGATATTTGTACAATGAGTATAATGGTAGAAGGTCTTTCAATAACTTTATTACTAATACTTAGCATTTCAGTGGGTGATTAGTTGTCTGGTGATAACTGAATCTAAATTACTGTCGGAAATGCCAGAAAACACTCTTTTCTGGCTTCATCTAATAAATACAAATCACAGGGCTATTTCATAGCACATGTCAAAATAACATATCTACTTAATATATCCTATGTGACACTGTGATCACTGGTAGACTGAAAAGGTTCTTTTACTGGCTTTTGCTTTTGAGACAACCCTTTCATTTCTGTTTTCTTTATCGTTGTGTAGGCTTGTTCTTAGGATAAACTCTCTTTTCCTTCTTCTCCCCACCTCTCTCTCTCTCTCTCTCTGTCTCTTTCTCTGTCTTCCACATTCTTCACCCAGCCACCCGGGTGACCCCAATGGCTATGGCCGTGCAGATGTAATTCGGCCCATGTAATGCAAGCCATATCATGGGAACAGTGTTTGCAAACCAAAGACAGTGTCATTTGTAGGGATGCCACGATACATTGATACAACGATGCATCAATACTTTGTCTAAGACAAATTATTATGGATACAATTATGGATACATTCAAAACTGTATCAATATTTAGTTTTTAAAGTATCGGTTTAAATTTGTTTATGTATCGTTTACATTTTGCAATTGTATCATGTTTTTTTTATGTTATGAGAGTTATAAATGATTATTTTCCATGCACAAAGATGGGAAATTAAACCTTTTTAATCTCTGAGAATAAAAAATGTTGATCTTTTTATGGACAATTATAAAATATGTGATATTAATGTTCAAAATGTAACTAAATTTATGCAATAATGCCGCGAAAATAGGTATCATGATACATATCGAATTGTGACATGGATATCGTGATACGTATTGATTCATGAAACTTATGTATCGTGACATCCCAAGTCATTTGTTAGTTTGTTAGATGCACATGGTTCATGAAGACTACACTATTCGTAATATTTTTAAAATGGAATTGCATGCGCCACCACATTTTTTTCATCGATCTCCCCCATCATCAGAATAAATCTGAACTTGCTGATTTGAATTATTCTCCTGTAAAACTGTTGATAGGACTTCTTGTATCTGGAATACTTCACACCACAAGTCAGGTAGACAGATAGTTTTGGTAAAAGTAACAGCGTGTGACACATTGTCTTGGTCAAAGAGTCAAAAATATTTTTTCTCGCATTCCGACAGTACTTCAGTTAACATAGTCCAGGTGAAAAGGCCATACAAGTGTTTTATATTCTCATACAGTGTCCTTTCTGTTAGCCAGATCATAGATTTCATTGTTTTAGTGGCCTCATATGATAGTACAGTCATCCCTCGCAATAACACAATAATAATTGTACACTATTAGATCTAAGAGGTAGTCTTATCACACAAGTTTTAGCTGTTTATACCTGGTTCCAAACATACTTACAACCTTGTACCTCCTGCTTGTACTGGAGATCACTAAGGCCATACTTATCATATTTGGGATTTTATGGACAAACCTCACATCTTATGTGAATGTAAATAATTTAATTTGAAACATGGTATTTAACACGAACTATGGCTATTATGAACTTATTTGTTGTGTAATTGTGATAAATTTGGTAAATGTCATATGAGGTGATCTGAAAACTATACTTAAATCAACTCTGACTACTTATGATTTTTATGAAGTTTGCATCTTGGTGAATAGTGCAAGAAGTGGGTTGCTACGAACCTATCTTGGTGAATAGTGCTACGAACCTAATGGCAAAAGGGGCATGGTTGTCACATTGTCTTCTGTGAACTGAAATTACTTGATCACCAATGAAAAGACAGACTTATAAGTGTATCTATTCCCTTGGCCTTAGACTAACGCTTAGTCTCTGAATATATATAATTTTGATAGTAACAAGCAAGCCCATTTAAATTGAAAAGGAGCCCCAGGGAGACCAGAGATTCAGTAACCTGAGGAAATCTAGACTTGCTTTATTTAGGGCTTTAGCACTGCAGATAGGGCTTGACAGTAGGGAAAATAATGTGGTTCAGGGACTGTGAGACAGAATACCTTGGCCTGAGCATAAGATACACCAATCATTATTTCAGCAGTTTGGGTTTAGATCATGAAAATGATCATGAAAATGATATAATATTTTGTGATATTAAGATTTTCATTGAGGTCTTATATTAATGCTTCTATGGGATGGTCTTCAGTAGCAATTTCCACATTGTCATTCCTCAACAGGTTTGTCTACACTATATTTCTCAATCAATGATTGAGCCAGTACATTGGTGTCACATAGCAAATGTTAGTCAGCTGATGAAACAAGGCTGTGTATAGCCTATGGAAATCAAAGGCGACCTATATCATGCATGAACCTTGTGCAAACCCTGGTGTTGCGTGACATTACAGCAATATGTAGGGCACATGTTGTAGCAAGGAACATTGACATGAAATGTGTGATGGAAAATATGAACTTAGTTTTCCTCTTGCAGGAACCAGACCATCATTGTTCATGACTACTCATGGATGATGGTGGAATGTCAATCCATGATGTACTGATAGTGTTAATAAATAGCTTAATGCAAATAAATGTACAAACATGGTCAGTGCAGGATTTGAAAACACTGCTGCATTTCTCCATCACATTGTGAAGTATTGACGATGCTGTACAAATTGATTGAACTTTTTTGGTGAGTGAGTGTGTTTAGTTTTAGGCCACACTCAGTAATATTCCAGCTATGTGGCAGCAGTCTGTAAATAATCAAGTCTGGACCAGATAATCCAGTGATCAACAGTATGAGCATCGATCTATGCAATTGGGATATGATGACATGTGTCAACCAAGTCACCGAGCCTGACCACCTGACCACCTGATCCCATTAGTCACCTCTTATGACAAGCATGGGTTTAAGACCTGGGCCTAGATTTTCGAAGCGCGCTCTTAGCGCTAAGATATTCGTAAGTTAATGTTAAGAGAGTTTTCGAAAATCTAGCCCTGAATTCTAACCCGGATCTTCACGGGTTGAACTTTTTGAAGGCAAATAGGATATTGCTTTAAATAATCTGACCCTTTTCAGTAAACTAAAACTGCCTGGTGAGCTAACCATGCCTTGCCTAGACAGTAGGATATTAGGTTGATTTAGACTTGTAGGTGTAGCATCTCCATCACCAGTAGTGGCAAGTAGTTTTGTTTTTGTTTTGTTTAACACCACACACAACAATATTCCAGTTGTCTGTAAATATTTGATCTGTGAAGTTAAGATGCAATGACATGCATCACCGAGTCCGCGAGCCTGACCACCTGATCTTGTTAGTCACATCTTATGACGAGCAGGTTGCCGATGACCAATTCTAACCTGGATCTTCACGGGTAGTGTTAAGTACTCGGTGTTTGGAATACCATGAAGAAACACTCTGTGTTCATATGTATAAGTTTTTTTGTAAATATCTCTTCATCCAATGACCCAATCGATCTTAAACTGTGCAAGTGGATGTTTTGTCAGACAACCTAATCACATTGTATGCATTTGTATTAAAGAATCTGTCTATGTAACTGTCAACAAAATAAACAGCAGAATGCTTGCAGAGGGAGGGAGCCAATGACCTGTAACAGCGGCAGTGTTGGGTCATAAAGGTCAATGCACGTGCAGTTCATGATAGTTACCTGTGCAAAGCACAGTGATAGACCGTTTGGATCATTCACATTGACTACTTCTAGCTGTCATCATGAAAGCTTATTCAGATGATGCTAAACGTTTAATTAGAAATGTGTTGAATTTTTTTAAAAAGAGCAAATGTAGCAACTTTTGCTCTTTGCATTAAAAGAACATCGTGCTAAAAATTGTGAAAAATAAACCAACAACCAATAAACAAAACCTTGTACAAAAAGGTAGGCATCCAAAGTTAGATTCGTTTGACATCAGGGTCATCAGAGATGTCATTCGCCGGCTATTTGCAAAATTTAAAGATTTTAACCTACAGAATAATTCTCACTAATGGGTTTTGTGGTTAATGTTGAACAACTCAGAGAAACAAACTCCGTATGATGGTTAACAGTTGGCACTCACCTTACCCTATTCACGACCTGTGACACCTCTTCATACCTGTCACGTGCACAGCTGACCTACATTGATGAACGTTGACCTTTATGACCCAACACAGACGCTGTTACAGGTAATTGGCTCCCACCCTCTGCAAGCATTCTGCGTTCTGCTGTTTATTTTGTTGACAGTTACATAGACAGATTCTTTAATACAAATGCATAAAATCGGTGATTTACAATGTGATTAGGTTGTCTGACAAAACATCCACTTGCACAGTTTAAGATTGATTGGGTCATTGGATGAAGAGATATTTACAAAAAAACGGGTCCACATGCATTTCATGCCAAACTATAGTCCTGGGTGAAGGATTGTTGGTTGTGGCTATGGTCAGTTTGGTGTTTATTTAGTACAGTGCATTCCTTGGAATAATTTTTTTAAGCTATAGAAATAAAGAATGCATCTTTAATAAGTATTTCATCACTTTGAAGCTCATTTGGGCTTTGCCAAATGTAAAATGTCTGTGCATAACTGTCTTCCATTGTCACCTGGGTTAGAAATCTTGTGATATTTTCATTAGTCTGCAGAAACTTTCTGCCACAGAGTTGCCATATATACTAATACTAAGAGTTGTAGTATGCACATAAATGTCACTAGTCCTTACTGATTATCGCAGAGGAGGATGTTTGTGATTTCAATTGATTTTAGGTCAAATGGATGGTTTCTTCATCGGCAACAGTTGCAGAGTACAATTATATGCATGGAGTAGTATTGTACAAAGAACTGAACAAGATCATAGTTGAATAATATCAACATGCACATGACATCTATTTCATTATTTCAAACATAGAAACAATAATTTGATTGTGTTGGAATATAGTAACACATGAGTTCAGTGAGTCTGATGATAGACCTGGGAAAAATCCATTGTTCCAATGTTGTCAACAAACTGAAAATGGTATTTGGTCAAATTGCAGATGACTCCAAGCAAATTCCTATTTGACATGTCAATGGACACTGACCAGAAGCTGGCCAATACTCGGATGCGGATCCCTCGCAAGGTGGAGCTGCTGGACATGGGAGAAACATCACTACAGAAGGTCAGTGTCGGATCATGTGATGTGCTCTATCTAAATATATGGACATTTATATCTGCCTGTGAATAGATATTTTGGAGTGTGAGTTGATATTTTGTGTCACATCAGCAATATTTCAGCCATATCGTGACAGATATTTTAGAAATATATGTAGCAGGTTAAGGGGTGGTTCTGTTCAATGAAGACCAAATGCCTGCTGGGATGTGAGTTGTGACTTGTGCCACTACTTTACTTTTCAAACATATAGTTTGTTTTGTTTTCACCCTGTAACATAATAACAATAATCAATAAAACAGTCATATCACATCTGTACTAATAGTAGATTACACATAAAAGGTACAATTACTGATAATAATCATATATACCTATCACAATATATTCATTGTAATGCAAATTACTTGAACTGCATCAATTCCAAGAAAGTAATAAACATAAGTAATAAACACATGCAGTTCACAAAAAGGTATTATATGGATTAATTGCAGCAGCACAATATTACCGGTACAATAGGGAACACATATCTGTGGCAATGAAAATACATGAAATATAAACACATTAAAAGGATAAAATACCTACCAAATATATGGTACTCAGGTGATATTACATTGTCCACCTTAGTGAAACAGCATGTCCATCTATAAGTAATAACACACCATTAAGTATATTACGCTAACCTATTCTTATATCATAATGAAACATATCACTCTATAAAACAAACCTACATAATAAATATATACATATACCTTACAGCACAACATTATCAGTACTGTGATATTCTTATAAATATACACAATAAACAGTTGTTAAAATAATATGGTATCTCAAGTGGCACAGACATTACATGTACCATCAAGTAGACAACATGGCCGACAAAGATGGCCTCTAAGCAGGCAAACATGCTTGTGTGTCACCTGACCTCATAAAAGATTACAATTATTACAAATAAACTTATAATGAAAATGCTGAGGCAGTAAACATGAAAATCATGCCTATAAACACACAATATTTGACTTACACTGTATTCTTAAAACACATTCATACCTTCACTTCACACATTTAATATTATAACCTAAGCAAGAATAATGTTTATGATATAACTAGTAGTTAACAAAAATTACATCCTACATAATATGTTAATAATTAAGTTAACTAACCTTAGACGGAGTGAAGTTGTAGACCAAAGAGAAGAAATCAGACGTCTGTCAAAAATATCACGTACGTCATATGTAAGATGCTTCTCGTGCGGCTGTATGTGGTAGACTGACTAAAATGTGCTGATGTTAGTAAAGAAGAAATCATACAACATAAAACTGACCAATCAGAGATCAAGGAATAGCTTGCCCTCTGAGTTAAGAACAAAAGAACACACTGCTCTCCCACAATAATACAATAGGAGCCCAGGTCCAGCTTGGGGTAATCAAGCTGGAGACACTAAATACCAAACATACTCTAATAAAAACCTAATCCAATAAAACTACCACAACCAAACTGTTTAAAAATGATACCGTATTTACACAAATAAATAAATAAAATGTAAAATATGACACTGCCACATATATGGCATAGTATCCATGTAGACAAACTATGTCAGGGCATATGTCACACATGTATAAATTAGTGAGTGAGTTTAGTTTTACACTGTACTCAGCAATATTCCAGCTATATGGTGGTGGTCTGTAAATAATCAAGTCTGGACCAGACAATCCAGTGATCAACAGCATGAGCATCAATCTTTGCAAGTGGGAACCAATGACATGTGTGAACCTTACCACCCGATCCTGTTAGTCGCCTCTTACGACAAGCATGGGTTACTGAAGATCAATATTCTTACCCAGACCTTCATGGGTGGTGTAAATTACTATGTAACATCAAACTATATTATCCATAGTAGCATGGATAAATTTTCCCTTCGGTAATTCTGAATGAGTATTTAATATTTTTATTCATGCTAATTGACTGGTTCCATTATTTATCAGTCTCGGAACTTGACACGTCAATAACACTGATGAGAAGCTGAGCAATATTAATAAAGGGTGCAAGGGACTTAAGTTATTTATTTCCCTATCACAATCAATCTGTTATGTTAATAATGGTAATAAATAATGATATGTAATAACAATAAGTTATGTTAATTATTAGTTAATTCATTGCGGGCAGATGATCAGTTGTTCCTAGGCTATTCTGCAAACAATAATGATGAGCATAGTTCTGTATACATGGTCATAATCATAAATGATATTGTAGGCTTCAATAACCCATGGCTGATATGCATGAACTGTGGATAAATGAAGGCAGTGTAAGGTCTTTTTGTGTGACTCATGTATTGTGTATGTATGTTGATTACAATTTTCGGTATTTTCAGTTTTCACAAGTGAACATCGATGAGCCAATGTTCCAGCCATTTCCATCGGAGATCTACTTCCAGAACTTCGAACCTTATGACACATATGAGATCCCATTTGTACTTAGAAACAATGATAAGGTTAGCATCCGAGTCAGCGGAATATTGTTTTGGTTTCGTGATTCTCTGAGATAAAGCTTTTTGAAAATGAAGATATGGCAAGAAACATACTGTCTTAATTCAACTGAATCTGGTTTCTCATGATTTGAATAAGTTTTGAAATATGTTATCTCAATATCATGGGACATGGTTTAATAGTACTTATCTGTAAATTGTAATTAGATTTGAATGAGTGAGTGAGTTTAGTTTTATGCTGCTTTTAGCAATATTCCAGCAATATCACAGCAGGTGGACACCAGAAATGGGCTTCACCCATTGTACCCATGTGAGGAATCAAACCCGGATCTTTGGCGTAACGAGCGAATGCTTTTAAACCTCTAGACTACCCCACCACCCCATAATTAGATTTGATTGTGTGAAGTACTATGAATTGGAATTTGCTGCAGAATTCTGCAGGTGGTCCAGATGACTCTCTGAACATTGATGCAGATGCTGGACCTCTTATTTTCAAATGTGTAGAAAAATGCATAGTCTTGATTGTATCTAGGACTGCCAACGGGCACTGTTGTGTATATCTCTGTGATAGTTTGGTTGTTCTGTAACTACATGAGCTTGTACTGTTTTCTTGATTAATACAGGTGCCCCGCCTTGTAAAGGTAACACAGGCCAATTCTCCATACTTCCAAATAATCAGCCCCCATGATGTGGGTCACAAGGTCGGGCCTGGCCTTCCTACTACCTTCAAAATACAGTTCATGCCGGATGAGAAGAAGGTACATCCTTTAAAAATCTTTACACAGTTTTCATGCATGTTCTTTTTTACAGTTGGTTGGTTGGTTGGCTGTTTGTTGTTTAACACCACACTCAGTTGGTTAGCTGGTTGTTGTTTAACGCCACACTCAGTTGGTTGGCTGTTTGTTGTTTAATGCCACACTCAGTTGGTTGGCTGTTTGTTGTTTAATGCCACACTCAGTTGGTTGGCTGTTTGTTGTTTAATGCCACACTCAGTTGGTTGGCTGTTTGTTGTTTAATGCCACACTCAGTTGGTTGGCTGTTTGTTGTTTAATGCCACACTCAGTTGGTTGGCTGTTTGTTGTTTAACACCACACTCAGTTGGTTGGCTGTTTGTTGTTTAACGCCACACTCAGTTGGTTGGCTGGTTGTTGTTTAACGCCACACTCAGTTGGTTGGCTGGTTGTTGTTTAACGCCACACTCAGTTGGTTGGCTTTTTGTTGTTTAACGCCACACTCAGTTGGTTGGCTGTTTGTTGTTTAACGCCTCACACAGTTGGTTGGCTGTTTGTTGTTTAACGCCACACTCAGTTGGTTGGCTGTTTGTTGTTTAACGCCACACTCAGTTGGTTGTCTGTTTGTTGTTTAACGCCACACTCAGTTGGTTGGCTGTTTGTTGTTTAACGCCACACTCAGTTGGTTGGCTGTTTGTTGTTTAACGGCACACTCAGTTGGTTGGCTGTTTGTAGTTTAACGCCACACTCAGTTGGCTGGCTGGTTGTTGTTTAACGCCACACTCAGTTGGTTGGCTTTTTGTTGTTTAACGCCACACTCAGTTGGCTGGCTGTTTGTTGTTTAACGCCACACTCAGTTGGTTGTCTGTTTGTTGTTTAACGCCACACTCAGTTGGTTGGCTGTTTGTTGTTTAACGCCACACTCAGTTGGTTGTCTGTTTGTTGTTTAATGCCACACTCAGTTGGTTGGCTGTTTGTAGTTTAACGCCACACTCAGTTGGTTGGCTGTTTGTTGTTTAACGCCTCACACAGTTGGTTGGCTGTTTGTTGTTTAACGCCACACTCAGTTGGTTGGCTGTTTGTTGTTTAACGCCTCACACAGTTGGTTGGCTGTTTGTTGTTTAACGCCACACTCAGTTGGTTGGCTGTTTGTTGTTTAACGCCTCACACAGTTGGTTGGCTGTTTGTTGTTTAACGCCACACTCAGTTGGTTGTCTGTTTGTTGTTTAACGCCACACTCAGTTGGTTGGCTGTTTGTTGTTTAACGCCACACTCAGTTGGTTGGCTGTTTGTTGTTTAACGCAACTCTCAGTTGGTTGGCTGGTTGTTGTTTAATGCCACACTCAGTTGGTTGGCTGTTTGTTGTTTAACGCCACACTCAGTTGGTAGGCTGTTTGTTGTTTAACGCTGCACTCAGCAATATTTCCGCTATATGGCAGCGGTCTGTAAAAAACTGAGCCTGAACCAGACAATCCTGTGATCAAGAGGATGAGCATCGATCTATGGAATTTGGATTTGATAACATGTGTCAACCAAGTTATCATGTGTTTTTATTTTTAAGTTTTAACAAGTTTTGGATATGTTTTTCAGGACTACACCCATGAGCTGGTGTGTATCACAGAAAGAGAGAAGTTTATTGTGCCAGTGAAGGCGATCGGGGCACGAGGGATCCTGGACTTCCCTGATGAGATCAACTTCCCAATCTGTCCAATCAAGTACCCAAACTCAAAAACGCTTCTCATCAGGAACATTGGAAACAAGGATGCTAAATTCACCCTCACTGTAGACAAGTAAGTACGCAAGTAAACACTGAGATTCCTGAGTCCATCAGTTTTCATTTGGTTTTGTAAAATGTGTTGAATTTGATTTAATTTTTATTAGTAGTATTATGTGAAATAGGGTTAAAGATTATTGTACTTGTATAGTGATGTGAATGAGTGCTGGTGCAGGTGTGTGTGTGTGCAGGTGTGTGCGCATGTATGTGTGGCTCCTTGCCCTGATTGTGTTTGTTTAGTATGTGCATCTGACCAAACCAGTGGATTTCATTAGACTCACATAGGCCTTTGCTTCAACAAAAACAAAAGTGTTCCAGTGGTATTATAATCCTCAACTCCGTCACGCATGTTCAAATGAAACCATGAAACTTGGTATTTGCCAGTACTCACAAGTTGTCTAACTCGCTGACTTGGTTGACACATGTCATCACATCCCAATTGCGTAGATCAATGCTCATGATGTTGATCACTGGATTGTCTGGTCCAGACTCAATTATTTAGAGACCACCATATAGGTTAAATATTGCTGAGTGTGGTGTAAAACTTAACTCACTCACTCACTCATTCACTGGAGGTCAACTTTTGAAGTAAATTCTGTTAAGAATGAACTATGTGGGAAGCAATGATTGGCAACTGAATCTGTTTTTTTCAGACCCTTCTCAGTAAATCCTGACATTGGCGTCCTGCCTGTGAATGAGAGTATGCAGGTGACCGTTGACTTTCAGCCCCAAGAAGGAGGTGACCACAAGGCAGACCTGGTGCTGCACTATGACACAGGTACACACTTAACGCTGTTATACTCTTATTGATAATCTTAGAATTCCATTGGTTCCATCTGGACCATGTGATGAATCAATTACATTTCAATGTAGATCCGCAAATGATATATCGGTATTGACCTGTCATGAGAATAAATTAATGATTGTCATCTGTTAGATTTAAAGTTGGCAGCTGGTAGTAACATTTCACGTTTCTCAGGTTACTATGATGAAACAGGACAATGAAAGGCTTCATGAAAATTAAAACTGATTTTGGTGTAACAAAACAAATAAGATATTGTGGAAACAAGACTCTCAGACCTGACCGTTTTGGTGGTCTGACTGACTCTTCAGGGATCGTGTCTCCAGACCTTGCTCTCACATAACAAACTTTGTATACAGTATACATATAGGCAAGTACACATTCCATGTGGCAGGCACACCTTACACTAGTATGAAACACTGTAGACAACCTATGGTGGTAAGAAGTATGTGAAATATTCACACGATACATTGGCAGTCTTCTACAAAAAATCTAGAATGATTAATAATAAAAGGGATTGGGAAAGGCAGAGGCCATGGGCCATTTTGCACATTTAAAAAATGGCCCATTAAAATTTTGAATTTTACTATTGATACAAGGGCAGTGGCCCATTCTAAATTCAGAAAATGGCTAATAATTCTGAAAATGTCCCATTGTCAAAGTTCTCTATCCCAGTCCCTGCGAATACAAACTCAATTTCTAAAAACATTGCCTATTTTAAAAACATGTTTGTCTGTATGATGTTTTATGTCCAAATTCAACTGATGTTCACTGATGTTATTCCCAGGAGAGGATGTGTTTATATCCTTATATGGAGCTGCCCAGGACTCCAATGTCAGACTTGACAAGAACTCTATCAGAATTGAAAACACATTTATCTCCATGGCTAATGAGAGAACTGTGACGATCCACAACCGATCAGACGTCATCGCCACTTCCACTGGTCAGAGTTTGCCACGCAGGAAGAAGAAGATCAACACAAGCTCATGTAAGTTCATCTTCATCACTGCTCTGTTAGATGCTTATAGTCTGCTTTTACTGGTTTGTGGATCTGTACATCATTGAATGAGTTAGTAATTGTTGCTTCACACTGCATCAGCAACTGGGCAGCTCTCCATGGCAGCTGTTACCCAAAACAATGGGTAACCACAATAATTAAGATGTCACCAAGTCCATTCAAACAAAGTGTGGAAGAATGTTATGCACTTAGGGACTGTTCATGATTTATGTCTGGGGGATGATGATGATTTCATGGAGAAGCATGTACAATGTGAATGACCCCCTAAAATGTTTGTACAAAGTAAGAAAATGAATGTATAGATGGAATATTGCTGAGTGTGGCATAAAACTAAACTCACTCACTGTTTAACTGAAATGGAGGTAAATATTATTAGAGAACTGTGACTTTTTAGTTTGTATTCTTATATCATCTTAAACAATAAAATATGAGGTCATTAAGAAAAGGTACCTCAAAGTGTTTATTAAACCTTAAAAACCTATCCAAAGACATTGTTGACATATTTACTATTGGAGGGGCGGTGGGGTAGCCTAGTGGTTAAAGCGTTCGATCGTCACGCCGAAGACCCGGGTTCGATTCCCCACATGGGTACAATGGGTGAAGCCCATTTCTGGTGTCCCCACCGTGATATTGCTAGAATATTGCTAAAAGCTGCGTAAAACCATATTCACTCACTCACTCACTACTATTGGATACCAGTAATATGTATTTTACACAGAAATATCTGGTTAAGTTTATCCCTCCCTTAAATGTTATGTCACTGAATAATGGTGAGCTTCTGTTATTGCTAATCCCAAAAATCTAACATGTGTATGGCCATGATCAAGTAGTACAGATTTTCTTAGCCTGTTATAATTATCTTCAATTACTTTTTGTCTTTCCCAGCAAAGCTTGTAACTTAAACCTTATTTGTGTGATGCAGGCGTCAGATTGACCTTGACAGAGAGGAAAGGATGGACACTGACCGTTTCCTGGATGAGTGTGTGACTGACCCCACTCTTCGGGATAAGCTGTCAATCCTGGGGAGGACCTTCCAGAACAGGAAGAGGGTGAGTGGTGACATCCTTCTTGGGCACAGACCAGGAAGATACACCTACATTTCCTTTACTGCAAGAAACATGTCATTATTCAACACACTGCACTTAAACTGTACTTCTTGAACCACAATTGTTTTACATTTTGTCTTGATAATTTTTCATTGTGTTGATTTAATATTTCTTGATTGGCTTAAGGCTGTCCTTAATTTAGTCCATGAAGGTTTTATAGTTTATGATGGTATATTCTTTTGGTGAAATCCAAGTTACAAGTACATACTATCTTTTGACCAACATTTTACACTTACAGATTCAGCTGAACTACTTTGGTCACTATTTTACCACTGTATAAAAGTTAATGGTGTAGTGATGGTGAGGTATTGTTAGATGAAATGTGATTGTGCCTCTGATGACGACTTAGTATATAAGCTGATTCAGCCCACTGGTAATGATGACATGTTGATTACAGATGGTATCAGATGACAAGCTGTTGTTCAATGATGACGTCATCAAACTTGAGCCCGTGGAAGGGGACATTTGGCCCAACTCCTCATTTAATGTCAGCGTCATCTTCAAGCCACGAGAAGCTAAAGCATACACACATACTGCATTCTGTAACGTCACCGGCAGAGAGAGCAGGTTGCCATTGCGTATCCGTGGGGAAGGCATCGGACCCAAAGTGGAATTCTCATTTGAAACATTGAACTTGGGAAATATATTTATCGGCTCCACCCACACATATGAGGTAGTCCTTGCCAACAATGGAGATATTGATGCTATATTCAGTGTGATGCCCAAGTCCACAGTGTTTGGGCCGTGCTTCCAGTTTAACCCCTCGAGGGGATTGTCATGCCTGGAGGACATCAGGCCATTCAGATCAAGTTCAGCAGCCCCTACCTGGGAGACTTCCAGGAGGAATTCCAGTTCCAGGTTGATGGCTCTCCAGAGCAGCTTCAGATCACATTCATGTAAGTCAAGTAACTGGATATATGAACTTCTTTGAGTGGCATTTTAGAAGTTGGGATGTACAATATTGAACAGACTAAATGGATAACAACTTCTTTTATTTCGTGAGTGCATTCCTGCCTTACAACGGTACAAGAATCTGTATCGAAACATCGCGTTCACTCCCGTGTGGTACAAGAATCTGTATCGAAACATCGCGTTCACTCCCGTGTGGTACAAGAATCTGTATCGAAACATCGTGTTCACTCCTGTGTGGTACAAGAATCTGTATCGAAACATCGCGTTCACTCCCGTGTGGTACAAGAATCTGTATCGAAACATCGCGTTCACTCCTGTTTGGTACAAGAATCTGTATCGAAACATCGCGTTCACTCCTGTTTGGTACAAGAATCTGTATCGAAACATCGCATTCACTCCTCTTTGGTACAAGAATCTGTATCGAAAAACATCACATTCACTCCTCTTTGGTACAAGAATCTGTATCGAAACATCAGCGTCAAGAATCTGTATCGAAACATCGCGTTCACTCTTGTTTGGTACAAGAATCTGTATCGAAACATCGTGTTCACTCCCGTGTGGTACAAGAATCTGTATCAAAACATCGCGACTCCTCCTCTTTGGTACAAGAATCTGTATCGAAACATCGCGTTCACTCCCGTGTGGTACAAGAATCTGTATCGAAACATCGCGTCACTCCTGTTTGGTACAAGAATCTGTATCGAAACATCGCGTTCACTCCTGTTTGGTACAAGAATCTGTATCGAAACATCGCGTTCACTCCTCTTTGGTACAAGAATCTGTATCGAAAAACATCACATTCACTCCTCTTTGGTACAAGAATCTGTATCGAAACATCGCGTTCACTCCCGTTGTGGTACAAGAATCTGTATCGAAACATCGCGTTCACTCCCGTGTGGTACAAGAATCTGTATCGAAACATCGTGTTCACTCTTGTTTGGTACAAGAATCTGTATCGAAACATCGCGTTCACTCCATCGTGTTCGGTGGTACAAGAATCTGTATCAAAACATCGCGTTCACTCACTCCGTGGTACAAGGTCTGTATCAAGATCTGTATGGTAAACATCGCGTTCACTCCCGTGTGGTACAAGAATCTGTATCGAAACATCGTGTTCACTCCCGTGTGGTACAAGAATCTGTATCAAAACATCGCGTTCACTCTGTGTGGTACAAGAATCTGTATCGAAACATCGCGACTCACTCCCGTGTGGTACAAGAATCTGTATCGAAACATCGCGTTCTCCCGTGTGGTACAAGAATCTGTATCGAAACATCGCGTTCACTCCCGTGTGGTACAAGAATCTGTATCGAAACATCGTGTTCACTCCCGTGTGGTACAAGAATCTGTATCGAAACATCGTGTTCACTCCCGTGTGGTACAAGAATCTGTATCAAAACATCGCACTCATTCCTGTGTGGTACAAGAATCTGTATCGAAACATTGCACTCACACATGTGGTGAATCTGTACAAGAATCTGTATCGAAACATCGCACTCACTCCCGTGTGGTACAAGAATCTGTATCGAAACATCGCACTCACTCCTCTTTGGTACAAGAATCTGTATCGAAACATCACACTCACTCACATGTGGTACAAGAATCTGTATCGAAACATCGCACTCACTCCTGTGTGGTACAAGAATCTGTATCGAAACATCGCACTCACTCCTGTGTGGTACAAGAATCTGTATCAAAACATCGCACTCACTCACATGTGGTACAAGAATCTGTATCGAAACATCGCACTCACTCCTGTGTGGTCCAAGTGTGGTACAAGAATCTGTGTGGTACAAGAATATCAAAACATCACACTCACTCACATGTGGTACAAGAATCTGTATCGAAACATCGCACTCACTCCCGTGTGGTACAAGAATCTGTATCGAAACATCGCACTCACTCCCGTGTGGTACAAGAATCTGTATCGAAACATCGCACTCACTCCTGTGTGGTACAAGAATCTGTATCAAAACATCGCACTCACTCCTGTGTGGTACAAGAATCTCTATCAAAACATCACACTCACTCACATGTGGTACAAGAATCTGTATCGAAACATCGCACTCACTCCTGTGTGGTACAAGAATCTGTATCAAAACATCGCACTCACTCCGCAGTGGTACAAGAATCTGTATCGAAACATCGCACTCACTCCTGTGTGGTACAAGAATCTCTATCAAAACATCACACTCACTCCTGTGTGGTACAAGAATCTGTGGTACAAAGAAACTCCTGTGTGGTACAAGAATCTGTATCAAAACATCGCACTCACTCGCATGTGGTACAAGAATCTGTATCGAAACATCGCACTCACTCACATGTGGTACATGAATCTGTATCGAAACATCGCACTCATTCACGTGTGGTACAAGAATCTGTATCGAAACATCGCACTCACGAAATAAAAGAAGTTGTTATCCATAAAGTTTGTTCAATATTGGGTATATGAATTCAAAATAAAGTCTCGTCTGGTTTCTGTGGTGGAACTAACAATGGCAGGGTTTCTCGTTGTACCCAGCACCCTAAGCTTCTATGCACCAACTAATGTGCTAGTATTTGGTAGTTACACAGGTTTGTTTTCAAGCCTCTTCAATATTATGCAATCGTCTAGATCAGAGATGTCTGGCCCCATGTGACAATTACAAATTCCTACATATAAAATGTAAAAATCACTATATTGATATTAATATGGTTTAATCAAATGTGATGCTTTAGTCAAGGTGACTTGTACTGCACGGATGATAGGGTCAATAAACATGCTTTTGGGGAAGTTTTTGATTTAATTGTTAATGGTCTTTCTTTTTTCAGCGGATCTGTGATCGGGCCTACATTTCAGTTCAATGTGCCAAAGTTGAAGTTTGGTACAGTGTCATACGGGTTTCTGAACACCCAGTACTGTACTCTGATGAACACTTCCCTCGTCCCCATGACCTTTCACCTCCGTGTGCCAGGGGACGGTACAACCGATAGTATATGTAGTACCAGTGACCTTGACACCACCCGTAGTGAGCTTGGCCCAACAGGAGTAAACTCTCCAAGAGAGTTTGAGATTGTTCCATCAACAGAGACAATTCCTCCTCAGAGTGAGATCAAGGTGACAGTGAACTTTGTATCCAACACAGTCAAGAAATACGATGTGTCGTTGGTGGTGGATGTGGACAATGTGGGAGAGGAGATCCTGACTCTACCAATACAGGCAAAGTGAGTAAGATTAATACACTGTAGTCACTCACACTAATAACATAATGTGGATTCCAAGTTAGAAAAGGTCCCCAGCAAGCAATGCTGGGTGGTGGACTGGGTGGTCAGGTTTGGTGACTTGGTTCATAGTGTGTCATCATATCTTGACCGCATGGGTTGTTGCTCATGGTGTCACTCATTGGATTATATAGTCCAGGCTTGATCACTTACAGGCCTTTGTAGTATAACAGGACTTGTGCTGAGTGTGCTGAAAGTGTTAAACTTTCTATGACACTTCAGTTCCCTTCAGAACAGAGTACAACTTCACACCAAACATGGTCTTTTTTCAACACAGTGATCTTAGAGTCATAACCCATATAGTGTTGATATGGTCATAGTGCTACGATTGTTTGGGGATCTTGTAGCTGCTGATGGAGATACTTTGAGGCAAGAGCAACATGAGTTGTCCATATTTACACTACTGTTTGCAAATGATGACTTGACTACAATATATCAGTCAAAGTAGGACAAATCTGCCTGGCAGTTTGCAACACGTACAACAGCTCAAAGAAACTCCATATTTGCTATTAACATTTTAGACTGTTAATGACGTTCAAGCATGTTGACCATTACAGTCAGTTTTTTGATAAATAAGATTTCACCAATGACAAAGTATTATTTATTACCCACGTGGCGTATGGGTAGTTGCATACTAATCTCGTACGTCACACAAGTGTCGTATCGCGTTGACCTGTGTCGTAACGACTTGACCTGAGATTCTAATGATTTGATTGGATAACCGATGACCTCTCAATTAGGTCATGTTGTGACGGAACTACGTTTTCATTCATAACAAACACGTGAATTCATTCATTCTACAACTTATATGCATTGTGGGAATGTAAACATTGCGAACGTTGCCGTATCGCTGTTTAATTGTGAGTCGAACTGAGACATTATATACGTCGAAAAACATAAACGCAAAGTTTCCACCAGTGATGTTAGCCGAGTGAAGCAACTGAAAACTACGAAACAGGGTGGTACGGAGTAGTTTAATGTAGGAGTCTGTACGAGGCGATGACAACTGACATGCATCGTGACGTCGGTTACCAAGGAGGCAGACAAGCAAGGCGTAGTGACGTCATTAAAGAGTGACCTCATGCAAAAAGTGTACTACAGAACAACATTCTTCCACAACCTTTTTATGAAACTGGTTTCGGTTTGAAACCATAACAATAACAAAAATACGCTATTTTGTCAATTTAATGCATGTAAGATGTGGGTAATAAATAAAATACCACACTCGGTCTCATAACATACGAATTATACGAAACTCCACAACCATGATTAAGCACTAGCAGGTTTTGTAAAGATATTCTTGTTGAATAGATGTGTGGTGCCGTCAATAACAGTTCTGACTCCCATCCTGGACTATGGACGATGCTTCCTCCGCCACCCCTACGAACATCGCATCAAACTGCACAATGACATGGATCTTCAAGCCAAGTATGAACTGGTGCCACAGAAAAACATCATACCCCTAGAAGGAGCTCCCATACTATACCAGAGCCCCCAGACAAAGGTATTGTGACCAGTTTAGGTTTTCTTGCCTGATATAGATATGTTCTATATGTTCTGCTGGATATTTTTGGGTCTGAGGCATCAGCTGCAATAAGTACAAAGAAACTGCATATTATAATTTTTTATAAATTTCTTGTTGATTGATTGGTTTGGAGGTAATATTTTGAATGTGATAATGATAGCAGAACCTTTTAGGATATATCAGTGACAAATGAACTGTACACATTTGCAATGATATACACAAATAAGTTGTGCTTGTATATTTTTGACTGAAAGAGAGTTTATCATGTTGGAAATGTGCATTTCCCCAATGTAGTATCTTATATGTCAGTTTACAGCTTAGGAGGCTTGTCTGAAGCCCAGTTTGTTTCAGGCAAGCATGCTGTAGATAGTGTGTTAACTCTCTATATAATCATACCAACAAAGATGTCTCAGCTAGTTAACTCAACAGTGTCTGGCAAACTGGAGTGTTGGTGATACAAATTGCTTTTTTGTGTACACGGTGTAGTGTGTTGTTACACAAGCTGCTCTATCACAGGGCATCATCCCCCCTCACAGTGTGATGGAGGTACCGCTGCTGGTGGAGGTACAGGCATTGGAGGAGCAGGATACCCCGGTCTACGTCCGCATCTTCGGCAGTCAGGAACCTCCCCTGGTAATAACCTGTGTCTTCGGCATGACGAGCAAATGCTTTAACCACTAGGTTACCCCACCGCCTTTCAAATTCAGATGTTACAGAGTTCAGTGTTGCTTAATAATTGAGGAGTTGATGGGGTCAGATGGCCTAGTGGTTAAGGCATTCACTTATTGTGACAAAGGTTTTATTCCTCAAATCGTGGATGGGACTCAACCCCAAAAGAAGTAGAATCTGTACTTCACTGAGAAAGTGTAATCCAAGATATAACAAATGTTACATCTGACCATTATATACGCGGCATGGTGTATTCATGGATTCTTCACATCGGTACAACTTGTGAAGCCCATTTTCTCATGGTTTAGCAGGAATATTGCTCAAAGCAGAATAAACTCAAATTTACTCACTAATAGCCCAGGTCCATGATTTAATGTTAACACGGATCTGTGTATTTGTGTAGTCAGTTTGCCACCTGTCTGTGTACTTTCAGCCTGTCCATGTGACATGTATCGGGGAGGGGCCGGTGGTCCACACCACACCTCTAGAGCTGGACTGGAACGTTGTCCCTGTACTCACAGATGTACCCAATGTTGTAACTCTGGCTAATGAGTCTCTCATCCCAGCCAGGTTCACAGCTCACATGGTAGGTTGTTATCATTATGTTTCTTCCTTCTACTAGATCTATTGACACATTGCTGCAGCATAGGCGGCCCAGTGGTTTGTTTCTACAACTCAGAGTATTGAGTTGCTTCCCTTTTAGCTACCAGGATCTGCTGTTTGTAGGGTTTGAATCCCAGATTTGGCCTCGATTATCATCAGTGGTCTTTCAACGTCATACTTCAAAGTTTCACTAAAACAGTAATTGTCTGTGTTAGAATAGGCCTCCAGTAACCTATAGATTTAAATAACAAATAAATGAGCACCTTTCCATACTACTTAAGAAACAATACAGTTATATCAATTGTGAGTAACTGATTGTACATTGTTTGGTTTGTTTGATTAGATGCGGCCAAACACTGTGTTCCGAGTGGAGCCATCAGAGGGTGAGATAGCTCCAGAGGAAATAATACAGCTGACAGTAACAGCACATTTAGATGACTGTGTCAGGTGAGTGATCTGTTTTCTTAATAATATCATGAAAAAAAAACAGAAATTCTGAAAGCTGGTGCACTCTTTTTTGTGATTGCAGATCATATGTATGTGTGTGTGATGGTGTATGTATGATTTTAAAGTACATATATATGTATATAGGTTGTGTTATCTTTTCTGTTTTGACTTTTAGAATTGCATATAAAATACCTCATTGAGGCTAATTTTGGTAATGTTTCTCTTTTTCAGATTCCAAGATAAGTTACAGATCAACTTCCTGGAGAGTGAAGCTCGGCTCATCCCACTGACTGCGTATGGTCAGGGTACGACTATCGTGTCTGACCCACCACTCACAACTGTCCTCAACCTCGGACCGAACTTCAGGTATGTAGATTCCTCCATATTTTGATTACTGCCAGGCTTAGTAACTTTGTTACTTGCATGTTATCCTGCTCCAGTGATGGGGATTTTTGCCTAGAATATCCATCGTGTCTGGACATTTCTTTACAAACAATTATATTTGTCAAGTATTATTAAATGCAATGTTAACATCTGTGAACTAAAGACAGTCAGAGGACAGTGAAGCCTCTTTCATTCGTCCTCAAGTATGATGTCTTATTGCTAATCAAAAGGAATAGTGACCTTTTGAATTTCATGTCATGTGTTTTTTTCATTTGCCCTTAGTAATCGTCCATTGAACAAGACATTCAAGCTGACCAATCGTGGTCGCCGCCATCAGCAACTTGTATGGAGCACAGAGGGATTTGGACCTATCGGCAAGGCCAAGAAAGAACTAGCTGCTTACAACCCTCTTGATATGAAGAACAGGGTAGGCCAGTGGTGATAGTTTCTATATGTTCATCAGCCACTAGTCAAAAGCCCGAGCCTTGTAATGTTTCTTTTTCTTCAGCGATCACAGCCAAAAATCATTCATATGTTAACACAAAAATCTACTGAAAATGATGCCAAGTCAGTTGAAATGTATTTTTCACCGAGTGTGTTGTAGAAATAGTTGCTATTTTAGTATTAGTTCAGTTCTCAACATGGACACAGTCTGAGCTGCTAGTTCATTTGAACTGAAGATGCTGTGGGTCCTGTACATTGAGGCTGAAATATACTATCGCCTTTACCCTGGAAACATTTGGTGGCCAAAGAAGATGTTTGTTATTGTTTATTCTTCTGTGTTTGACTTGGCAGAACAAGCCACCTCCAGCAGAGCCAGCTATGCCTATCTTCAAGCTCAGCCCCAACAGGATGGATCTGCCAGCTGGGGATACAGTCGAGATGCATCTAGAGGGATTTGTAGACAAGTTAGTGGATTTAGACAATGTTACAGTGTCACTTGTCTCATTGTTACCAGTACTTGTTATAGAATATAGATATAGAATGTCAATGCAAAAGAATACCCACTCTTGCCTATCCTCAGAAACAAATTCCATTTTGCGTGAAGGGAAAAATAGTTGTGATGATTATATGAATGGATCATTGAAAATCAGTTATACACCAGGCTATGGATAGTCTTTGGAAGTAGTACATACAAAACTGTCCTTGCAGTACTGTGGACATTTGTTAGAAAGGGAGTGAGTGAATTTGCTTTTACGCCGCTTTTAGCAATATTCCAGCAATATCACGGCGGGGGACACCAGAAATGGGCTTCACACATTGTACCCATGTGGGGAATCGAACCCGAGTCTTCGGCGTGACGAGCGAACGCCTTAGCCACTAGGGCTACCCCACCGCCCCGATAGAAAGGGAATGTCATCCATCTGATTTGTACCCTTGGGAAGATCTGAGTAACAACTGGCCTCCACCAACCCATGTGTTGTGTGAAGAGATTAATGACATTGGATGGTCAGACTCACTGACTTTGGTTGAAACATGTCATTGTATCCCAACAGTATCGTTTGATTGTCATGATGTCAATTTTAGGATTGCTATATTCAAGACTTGAATATTACAGATCTATATTGGATAGCTGGACTAGTGCTGATTGTGGACATACAGCAAACGTACAATAAACAGATTATTAGATGTGGGATATTACAAGGTGTTACATTGACAGAACCATCATGTATTATATAATATTTTTCAAGAAATTCATGCAGAACATGATAGTTTTAAAATGTTTTCAATCCCTGTAGACCCCAGTTTGTGAGTGAACGTCTGTTGTGCCATGCCATCATTGGGCGACAGGGAGGCAAGGAGCTGGTGATGAGAGTTGACGTGTCCACAGATTTCATCAGCCCCCTTCTAGACTTCTCCACCAAGAGTGTGTTCTTCAGGGTGGACAAGGTTGGTGATTCCACATACATGGCACTACAGAGTTGATCTGACGTTCACTATTGTACAGTAAATTCACCCACAGAAGACACCACTGCACTACCATCCCAATATGCCGTTGTTAACACATAAGAGGATAAACTGTTTTCTTGCTTATATCACATCGACATACTATAAATGTTCTTCTACCAAAATGGTTAAGTTAGTCAAGTCCATCCTGCCAGTCATAACTGCTGTCTAAAATAAGATCAGTTGGTTACAATGTGTGACCTTGCTGATTATGATCCTACTGTGATGGATCATGTACCTCAACCACTGTTTGCTTCAAGTATTTACAGGCCTCTTGATATACAATTGATTATCACTGACTTTGTTATACAACATGCTCTCTCATTCAATGTATTTCACTACTCTGAATCCCTGTGAAGATCTGGCTTGAATCTTGTCTCCAGCATGTTTTTCCCATAAAAATTAGGGTCATGAGGCTCATGATGTCAATTTATGGATTGTCTGGTCTCCTTTTGTACAGAATTACATCATATAGATGAATTTATACTGAGTGCAGCATTAAACAAGCAACAAAAAAAAGCACTACTCTTCATGTAATTCTTGTCAAGTAATCCTATTTCTGTAATCTGAATTTTCACCAGAAAGTTAATGACGCTTGTGTGATTCACTGGGTTCAAACTCTCCTTGCAGCAGGCTGGCGAGGACATGAACATGGAGACCAAGCAGCTGGCCATGAATAATGTGTCCAGTCTGCCACTGACCACAGAGCTCAAGCTGGAGTATCCCTTCAGACTGGTCCAGGAAGATGGTGTCGAAGTCTCCGAGATGGTCAGTAGTCATGACAATGTCAGTGTTAGGTGTTCCACACATTTGCTCTGTAGGAATTGTCAGTGATCTCAGACACAGCCAAATGTAAAAAGTGCTGCTCAGTTGAAGATATGAGTGTTCTTTCCTTATTACAACCTTGATTATCCTGTGTATCAGATCTTCATTCTGTTAGGTTTAAATACCTCGACCATCTGGCCACCATGGCTTCCTTCAAGATCCTTCAGGTCCAGGATGTTTCCTTTACAGTCTGGAGATACAAACTTCTGGATAGGTCTTCCCCTCAAACAATCATATACAATGGTGTATGGTGTATGGTATGCTTATATGTTTTTCAGGAGGTACACCTTGGAGTCGGTGAATCATACAATTTGAAGATTCGTTTTGATCCAGCCTACAAAGATGACCTTCACATTCGCACAATAGACGAGGTTCTACATGTCACATACAAGGAACACCCACATGTTGTAAGTAAACCAGGAAATGAATGCAATGTTTTCAGGCAATAAAACTGTGTTATTGTATAATATTAAAAAAGTATATTGAAATGGAAAAAAACAACAACACCTGCATGACTATAGCACATCATACACTCTACTGCATGTTTTATATGCATTTAATGCTATTGGCAGAGAAAATCAGTCAAGACATGAGTTGTTGAAAATTTTAAACATGTAAAATTTTTCTCTTCTTCTTGAGGTGAGGTGAAATTGGGTTTAACGTTGTGCTTGAGAATATTTCGCTCATATGACGACGTGCATGCGTGTGTATGTGTATGTGCGGCTGCTTGTAATAGCCCAGACTGAAGCTGGTTTTATAGTGCTAGCCCACTCAGATACCATGCCGCAGTGAAGCACGAATACCCCACTCAGACACATTATACTGCCTCCGAGTCGACCAGTCCTTGTTGTACCCATTAATGCCGAACGCCAGGCAGGGACCAACAAGTACCATATTTTAACGTCTTTTTGGTATGACGTGGTCGGGGATCGAACCCGCGACCTTCCGCTCTCCGGGCGGACGCTCTGACCACTACACGATGGAGGCGGTCTCTTCTTCTTGAAGATGACGTTGATGTTGTGAGGCAACTCATTCTGTCTGATGGCTGCTGCATACTGAAACAATCTGTTTCTGAAAGGAAAGGTTTTTATATGTGTAAAATATACAAGCAGATATTGCAAATGATAACACTGAACATCACATTGCAGGATTACATTGCCCTTCGTGGAGAAGTGTACTTCCCCAATTTGGAGTTTGAGAAGTCAGTTGTAGACTTCGGCTGCATCCTCAATGACACAGAGGTGACACGCTACGTGAACATCACCAACAACAGTCCGATGGAGGTGAAGTACCGGTGGTCATTCCTGATTGGCAATGAGCCATGTGCCGTCATCAACCGTCCACCAAAGCCTACGAACGACATCATTATGGAGGAGAACATGATGGACGTTGTGGAGGAAGAGGTGGAGGGAGAGGAGAGAGTTCAGGTGGTGATTGATGAAGGGGCCAGGTCAGATGAGGAAGGACAGCTGGAGGTGAGATGATTTTCAGCGTTGTCAGTTTGTGTGTTATGTGCATGATCCATTGTTTGTAGGATAGATGGTAGAGTTGTTTTGGTTGAGCCCTTAAAACATATAAGGCCTTACATATTTTTGTCAACTTACGAGACCTATAATGGATTACAATTAGGTACCGTTCATAATTTATGACTAGGGGTGGGGGGATGGTGATGATTTTAGGAGTGATTTTATACATCACAACAATGTATGGTAAGGATTTACAACTTCTTTAATATTATAAATGACATGCAGGTGGGGTCACTTACTTTGTACATAGAATTTTGTGGGTGGGTGGTGGGGGTGTATTCACATTGTACATGTTTCTCCATAAAAATCACAATCAATTTTTCCTTATCCTGACTCATGCTCTTTTGCTTGTCTTCTTCTTCTTGCGAACATAGTGGAACACTTGTATCTCCTTATTTGAAGCTCCCTTCAAAATAAAATCACTAATTGGTACTCACCACGAGTTGCTCCCCTTTGTCTCCCCTGGCGGGAAAAGGTGTCGCCACCCTCTGGCCATGTGCTCCACTCTCTCCTTCTTCGCCCAGTGAGCAGGATGTGAGAGCGCCTTGTGTCTCCTTACACACATATCCTTTGATAATCTCTTAGTTTTAAGGGGCGGTGGGGTAGCCTAATGGTTAAAGCGTTGGCTCGTCACGCCGAAGACCCGGGTTCGAATCCCCACATGGGCACAATGTGTGAAGCCCATTTCTGGTGTCCCCCGCCGTGATGTTGCTGGAATATTGCTAAAAGCGGCGTAAAACCAAACTCAGTCAGTCAGTCAGTCTTAGTTTTTACCTCTCATAGGTTACTATAGAGGTATAGCTAGTATCCTTTACTATTTGTATTGATTAATTATCGTATTTCTACTGTTTATTCACGTGTATTCGTGATTGTTCAGCTAGCTTTCACGTTCATGAAAATCTGTGCGATTTGTAGATTACGCTTTTTCTGCCTCCGATCCACATGTAATATGCCCTAGTTGTTCTCACTGCGCGTTTAATTCACGCGTTGCAGTTACTGCATTAATTTATCTCATTCTGCATTTAATAAATATCATCTTTAAGTCCTTAAGACGTGCTGCAGATAGATCACGCGAAAACAAGGGGCAAAACATGGCAGAGAGTCCAGATATTCCTTCCAGTCAGCTGCTTAGCCATGATCGACCCTCTCCGTCTGGTGTTCTGCTAGAGACCCCTGCGGCAGAGGAACGTGGGGCGGAGTCCGTTACACTCGAAGAAACGACCGGCCTCCCCAGACATCCCGTCATTGCAGACTAAGTCTAAGAGGGCTCTCATCGTCGCCTCAACGCAGATTGAGGACACCTAGGGCAGCGCAGACTTCCAAAGGGAAATCTCGAAGAAGACAGCAAAGAACTTTCTCAGCCGAGATCGCTCCAGCAGCAGAGTTGGGCCTCTACACGATGATCAGCCGATAATCATCCCCGACTTTACGGCAGAAGAAGCGACCGGTGTCAGCGACTGTGACTTCTGCAGAGATCTCCATGCAGCCTGATGCCTCTACACCGGCGTCAGACGCCATTGATGTGAACCCCATCGCAGAAAAGATTTGGCGACGGCGACCACAGATCATCCCAGAAGACATGATGCGGCAGATTATGAACATCATGGAGGACCACTACAAACTGCTTAAGCAGGGTCCGAAAGCAACGAAGGCTCCAACGTGAACAGCACCCCAGAGGCACCCCATCAACGAGTAGCAGCCAAGACGATGTCACCTTCGCGAAGGAAGTCCCGCGACCACCTTGACGTAGGACCTAGATGTACAGCTTGCCGAAGGCCTTCGGCCAGCGGGAGGGAGATCATCACCATCTTCGATTTCATCTCTAGATATGGACTCAGACCATCAGACATCACGGAAGCCTTTCGCTAAGGTCATATCATCGATCCCGGACCGACGCCAAATGAAGCTGCAGCGAAGGCATTCGCGAAGGACATATGATTCCAGATCTTCATCGTCTAGAAGAACATCGGGGACTGCCGAAGAGCCGGGCGAAGCTATCAACATTCACCTCACAAGTCTCCTCGAAGATCATCCCATAGACGATCTCCACCGTTCATCACCAGGTCGATCACCCATCAGATCTCCACATAGAGCGCTACAAGTCAACTAGATCGCCACAAACCTCATCAGATATACAGACAGCTACACGCAGTCGAAGAGCATCTACAATTTATTAATGATGATGGTTTTGAGGATGATGGAGGAATCATATTTTCTGATGCAGAGATACGGTATTGGATGGTCAATAACCTAGATCTCACATCACCATCTAAAAGTGGCAATACAGCTCAGACGTTTTTTGATGAAGGAAGATGATCCAGATGCAATCACTCTACCCCGATCGACCCGATTAGGCAGTGCCACAGAATCTAGATGCAGCTTTCCAGAAAGCTACACGAAAGTTCAGATACCACATCTACCCAACTTTCAAGCCAAGAAGTTCTCCACGATAACATGGACTCCTTCTACAAGGCCCAGGACATCGATGAGAACTATAAGATCATCAGCGATGTAAAGAACAAGATTTACAAGATGGATGATCGCAAGTTGGCTCATATAGAAACCATGACGAAGACGTATGTTCTTTGGGTTAAATAGATCTAGGGACGATCAATGAGACTCTTATTACTAGATTCGAGGATTCCACGACGGAAAGATGATAGAATGATTTATTCTGCCTTACTTATGCAAAAGAAAGATCAGCAGTTTTAACGGATCATCTTACATCTGTTTCAGCAGCACTGACCTTAGCTCGTCGTCAAGGCCTCCTCACCTCCTGTAATTGGGGAGAACTTTACAGCCCCACTTTATACAGCCCCTGGTCTTACAACATCCATCTTTGACGGAGAAATCGACAAGGTCAGCCAAGGAAGTCTCTAAGGATTCCAGGGAAGTCCTTATATGATTAGATCGATGGACACACTAGCCAAGCGTCATTCGTCCAGACTTCACAAAGATACTCAGGCAGATCTAAGTTCACGGGCCTACAAAGAGCAAGAGACAGGAAGATAGCCAGCTCTAGAGGTAAAAGATTCTTTTCAGTCTCGCCCATATGGCAACTATAGAGGAGGATCAGGAAGAGGCAGGACACCCAGAGGTTCCCGCAATTATAGACGCTGAAACACAGGTTCGGAACGACTGGAGTCTTCCACCCCCAGCCGTTCCAGTACAACCAGCTCAAGTGGGTGGACGCCTCCAACTACACTGGGAAAACTGGGGAATACTGCAAGATCCTTACGTCTCCAACATTATTCAACACGGATTTCGTATCCCTCTACAGGACAAGCCTCCGCTGACAATCAAACCCCCCAAGTTCGATTTACAAGCTCAACAACTACCAAAGATAAAAGAGGCTGTCTCATCACTCCTATCCAAACAGGCCATAGAAGTAATAGATCAAGCAAACGTCGAACCAGGTTTCTACTCCCCAGTTTTCCTAGTTCCCAAGAAAAACTCAGTTACGCCAGATGATTCGTCCTATGGACTACATGGGCAGCATAGATCTACAGGATGCCTACTTGCACATCCCCATTCATCCCGATTCCAGGAAATACCTACGATTTACTCTAGAAGGGCTACATTACCAGTGGAAAGTACTCCCATTCGGAATATCATCAGCCCCCTGGCTATTCACGAGGATAACGAAACCGATTATCAAATTTCTACATCGTCAAGGGCTACGCAGTGCGTTTTACCTCGACGACGGGATACAAGTAGATCAAGATCCACTCGCGCCTCAAACTACAGTTAAATTACATCATAAAGCTACTAACACAACTAGGTTGGTTAGTAAACTTACGCAAGTCGGACCTAGTACCATCGCTAAGACCTACAGTTCCTAGGTATTCGATTCATCACAAATCGCAAACCGTTATTATGGTACCAGAAGACCGTTGGCTCAAGATACAACAGACCATTCCACCAGCTCTACTCTCTCCGCTACCACTGCGACAATGGCAGAGCCTACTAGGTCTTCTCACATCAGCCCAAGACATGACTGTCACAGGCAGATTACAGTTCACGCCCCTACAGGTCCTCATCAACGCACATCTCAACGATGTACAACCATTCAGTCTACCGAAACATCTCAGACCACATCTACTATGGTGGACCAAGAAATCGAATGTCTGCGAAGGGATTTGTTTAGCAGAGCAGGAATACAAAACCCATCTGTATGTAGACGCGTCACTCCAAGGTTGGGGAGCTCATCTCACCAACCACACGATATCAGGGTTATGGAATCAGCAAGAATGCAAACTCCATATAAACAGTCTAGAAATGAAAGCTGTAATCAACGCCTTTCTACATTGGAGCACATTTACAAAATGCGCCTAATGATCCATACAGACAATTCGACAGTGGCGTTCTACATAAACAAGCAAGGCTCAACGAGATCGATGAACCTTTTGAACCTAAGCTTTCAACTGTTCGATTTAATACAAGATCTAAATCTACATGTCAGAGCAGTGCACATTCCCGGAGCCAGAAATATACTAGCAGACGCTCTCTCTCGGCCTCATCTACCATCACCGACAGAGTGGATGATCAACCGGGAAATTTTTGCACAGATAATCAAGCAATTAGGAGGCGCCGCTAATAGACCTATTCGCCATAGCGATTCAACAATCAGCTACCGACATTAGTGTCACCAGTCCCAGACCCCAAGCTTGGGGCAACGGACGCTCTAAGTCTATCATGGGAAGGCCTCAATGCGTCACAGCGTTTCCGCTCACGCCAGCAATAATACCTCAAGTATTACAGAAAATCAGACAAACACAGAGCCTACAACTCACTTTGGTCAGCCCTACTGGCCGGCCAGAACGTGGTTTCCATACTAATTCAAGAAATCGGTCAACCAACACTGGAGCTACCCAAGCTGCGCAAACCTGTTAATTCATCCTCACACCAAACAAGTGCACGGAAACCCAGCAATGTTCCAACTACGCATTATGGACTGTATACAAATGTGTTTAAACAAGAGAGGATATTCTGCCAGGGCGGCAAAAGCAGTCACGCTTGCCTTACGTTACTCAACTCGTGGCAATGCATCGACAAGTGGCACAGTTTCAAAATTATGCAACAAAGAAAGGGTTTACAGCAAGAGAGGCTTCACAACCTCAAGTGGCAGACTATTTGTGTTACCTACGCCAAAACAAACATTTAAAAGGTTCAGCGATATCAACATATCTTGCGGCAGCTCTGTAATCACCATGAGAACGGGTGTCAAATTGACAAGATCTCCAGAGTTACTGGCCTTACTACGAGCTTTCGATTGGAGGACCAAAGCGAAGTTCCACTTCCAGCTTGGGATCTGAATGTAGTGTTACAACACCTCACGAGTGAGGTCTATGAACCCTTGGAATCGACAAACTTTGAATTTCTCTCACAGAAAACATTGTTTCTGCTATCGCTAGCCACAGCAGCAAGAATGTCTGAAATTCACGCCTCTGGATTACTGAGAGGATACAGTTTGATGACAATCATAACACAGCACACCTCGGATTAAGATGGGATTTCATTGCAAAGAATCAACTGCCAGGTCAACCAGACAGATTATTCCACATCCAGGCTAGCTATCCTCTATTCTCGGATCACAAGATACACAAGACCTATCACTGTGTCCGGTAGAGCTCAAAGTTTATTTACTGACGATCCAAAACAAGGAGAAGATTTCTCAAGCGTTTATTCATCCCATTATCGCCTCACGATCAAACAGAAGTGTCACGGACCACAATATCTATTTGGATAAGGACTGTCATTCTCCGTGCCTACAAGGCAGCAGGCTTGGACCCACCAACAGCATCAAATCCACATGAGATCAGGGCACTGGCCTCTACCCTCGCCTTCTACACGGTAACTGTTCCTTGAACACGATTATGGAAGGATGCTATTGGAAATCTAACATGGTATTTGCTAATCACTACCTAAGAGACATCACTACAGAAGATGTCTCTGGCATTCACCATTCTCGACCACTGGTCCCGGCTCAGCAACTGACAGTCCCTCGTGAGGCGTTAAAATATTAGCCTCACAAGATTAATATGTATTTTATACATACTCATCTAGCTTATAACTCTAAGGAGTTTTAGGGCTATGTATATATGTTCAGCTTAAGTATTCTACCTTAAGCATATACTTGATATAGTCAATTTCAGTGCCTCTATCAGAGTCACCTATATATATATATATATAATTTATATGTATTGTTCAATATATTCATAATGTAATTCCCCTTTAATGGCTTTATATAACCTATGGTTTTCTTTATACAGGAAACATCCTAAATCTAAGGCTTCATGAAGTTCCCCGTGGGGATATTACAGTATATCTATACAAAATCACTAATTATAAATCCAAAGTATTCTGTTACCCACCTCCGTTCAGTAGGATGCTACAAGCAAAGAGCATGAGTCAGGATAAGGGAAAATATGTAATTTTTAGAGTAAAATTGATATTTTATACTTATCCTGACTCATGAAGGTTAACCCTCCCATCCTCCCCACATAACACTTTGGATTTCCCTGTAAATTCAAGTGTTGGGCTCGCTAAATCAGGAGAGAGTGGAGCACATGGCCAGAGGGTGGCGACACCTTTTCCCGCCAGGGGAGACAAAGGGGAGCAACTCGTGGTGAGTACCAATTAGTGATTTTATTTTGAAGGGAGCTTCAAATAAGGAGATACAAGTGTTCCACTATGTTCGCAAGAAGAAGAAGACAAGCAAAAGAGCATGAGTCAGGATAAGTATAAAATATCAATTTTACTCTAAAAATTACATTTTGTTTTCTGTATATCTTACCATGTTAAATCTTGTCAGTTGTTTATTTGTTAGTAATAGTACTAATCTGGAAGTTGACTCAAGACCATCTTGTTTTAATTGTTTTGGCTTACAAACTTTGCAAACTATTTTGGCTAACAAACTTTGCAAACTAGCTTTTACAAAAATTTGGCCTTATTAGTGATGAAATGTGTGAAATTTTGACTGAAAATCAATGGATATTTGTCGTAAACACATTTAAAAGTTAGGTCCTCAATTGCTTAGAATACTGTAGGGATACAAGGAGCCCAGGTCACCCTGTTATTTTGAACACTGGTGAGGGAAACAGCTTGGTTATTTGAAGAATTAGCATGCGTAGCATCACTAGTGAACAGCTTTTGTTGAACACGGTCACATCCCTGTCAGTACTGCACCTGTAACTGCACCCACATTGTGTTGTTAGACTGACCGGAACTGATCAAGGACAAACAGGATGAGCCTCGGGACAACCGAGAGGAAGAGGAGGGGGATGACAGACCAGTTTCTGTAATGTCAGAGGAAGAGCTGGAGAAGGTGGGTGGTGTTCACCTGGACCTAGTTCCACGAAACAACAGTTGTTAGTCTGTGTTACATATCAGTGTTAAGATCACCTTGGTGCTGTGATTGCTTTGTGGAATGGCGCAATGAGGAATAGGGGCTGTATATTGTTGTGTGTCAGAGAAGTAGCATGAGCACTCAGGTGACATCAGTTCTGGTTCATCAGTTGATGTATATCCAGCTGGTTGCATTTATTGTGGTGTGTAGGGGTGGGTATTGCAGAGAATATTCATATTACGATATATTGCGATGCGAAAGCATATATTGCAATATGCATTGCAATATATTGCATGAAGTATTTTAAACAAAAAACTACTTATAATTCGAGTTACTGCTTGATTCATAGAGCAAAAACACAACAAAATCACTATGCTTGATTAAGCTTTAATAACAAATTTTAATCATGATAAAATAAAAATGTGAATAATATTTGGCACAAATGAAACAAGGAAATATCCGAAGATTTCCGAGTATTACGACGTTTTCCTAATGCATGTCAAGATACCGGTTTTCGATCAGCGTATCGCAATACATATCGTTTTCATGTCTGAACCGGTAAATACCGGTAAACTGGGTATATTGCGCAGCCCTAGTGGTGTGTCTCCTGTACCTGTCCCTAGTTAGTCTGTCGTCATATACCTAGGTTACACAGCCCTTGAACATATACACTGCAGATTGTGTTCTCTTGTAGTGTTTGTTTACTGTAATGTGTAGAGGTTGTTTTAAACAACTGCAGGAATATGATTTCATTCTGTGGTAGCCCTATGATATCTACTCCATAGATCAGCTGGCTGTGCTGGCCCACCGTGCTGGTTGTATACCAGGGTATATGATGATGATGATGTAACTGACAAACTTTCACACATACATACACGAGCTACACGTGTCACTAGTAGAATTAATGTGATTTACAAGCTGAATAGCTTCGTACACCATGAGACTGAAGGTTGATTTGTGTATGTGCATGTTCAACATGTACATCTTGGAAAACTAAAATAAACCAAAATGCATTTATTATAACTAGTTGATAAGTTACATAGTGTTCCACTATGTAACTAGAAGAAGACAAGTTGAGTCAGGAGTTATCAATTTTATTCTAAAAATTACATTTCAGTGAAATATTTGTGTCACAATTAGATCAGTCTTATGACAGCTGTCATTCTCTCGGGATCAAAACTCAAACAGTGAACATTTATGATGTCCGAAGTGACATCACATCACCTATCACATCTGTCCAAGCTGACCAATCTACTTGTATATGTTTCTTCATGACAGTGACTGGCCAATCAGATAGCTGGATTCTTCACGGCTAATGATAATGTATTTACAGGGTCAGCTGGAACAGGAGGCTCCCCAGAGGGAGGGGTCAAGAAGGAGGACATTGAACGGCTTGACCTCCATAGTCGCTTCTCACTTCGTCCAGAGGAGGAAGATGCCCTCAAATCTAACCGAGTCCTTACAGCTCTATTGGAGCGGGACCAGGAGGCCATCACACCCATTGGAGTAGAGGAGGTGAGGACAGACACACTCTCCTTTTAATAAGATGAATATTTTGTTGATAATTTGTCACAGGGGCTGTTGGTGATAGTTGTAATTTGCTGGATGGTGTACAAACAAAGAGTAAGTTAATTGTCTTCTAAAAATGATGTCTTATACTTTCAGGTGTTTGATATTTTGCCCTTGTATGGAACTCTTCAACCTGGAGACACAGAACAGATAACCTTGACCTTTTATGGCCATGCTGATATCTGGGGTCAGGTGAAGGCCATCTGTGAGATTGAAGGTGGCCCAACATATGAGCTGACACTGAAGGGAGAAGCTTCCTTAGTTGAGTACACATTTGACTGCCGAGACATTGACTACGGCAAACAGATGTATGACCAGATGGCGTCAGCTGAAATAACTCTTATAAACACTGGCAAAGTAGGATTTGAGTTCAGCTCTATTGGCATGGATCCCACTCTGGCAAAGAGACCTTTCCCAGGAATACCAATCATGGTTCCTCATTCGGTAAGTATCAAGGTTAGAATTGATCTTGAGTAATCTATGCTTGTCGTAAGCGGTGACTAACGGGATCGGGTGGTCAGGCTCACTGACTTGGTTGACACATGTCATCGTATCCCAATTGCGTAGAATGATGCTCATGATGTTGATCACTGGATTGTCTGGTCCAGACTCGATTATTTACTGACTGCCACCATATAGCTGCAACATTTGCTGAGTGCGGCGTTAAACAACAAACCAATCAGCCCATTCCAGCAAGTCTGGCTGTTATTATCTTATGTTAAATTATGGTAGTTATGATCAACTTGGCATTTTGTTAGACAGGGCCCTAGGTTTGATATTAATTTCTGTTTTCACCTGTCCAAGTAACTAATCTGATACCAAGATGCCACCTGGCTAGTGGTAACAGTGTGAATAGACAAGGAAATGTCTCTAGTCCTGAATTTTACAAGTCTCAATCTGGCAGACTTATGTAAATTATGTTTGTAACATCGCAGTAGGTAATCCCAAAAATCTTAATATATGCTCTTTAGAAATGAAGGACTTGGCCTTCCTGCTGTAATGAGCAATCTGCTTTGATACATTTGCCTCCGGACCGCCTCCGTGGTGTAGTGGTTAGAGCATTCGCCTGGAGAGAGCGGAAGGTTGCCAGTTCGATCCCCAACCACGTCATACCAAAAGACGTTAAAATATGGTACTTGTTGGTTCCCTGCCTGGTACTCTGCATTAATGGGTATAACAAGGACTTGTCAGCTCAGAGTCAGTATAATGCGTCTAAGTGGGGTATTCATGCTTCACTGCGGCATGGTATCTCAGTGGGCTAGCACTATAAAACCAGCCTGGGCTAGTACAAGCAGCTGCACATACACATACACACGCATGCACGTCGTTATATGAGCGAAATATTCTCAAGCACGACGTTAAACCCAATTTCACCTCACCTCACCTCACCTCACATTCACCTCGCATTTGCCTCGCACCTTTTATACTGCTTTCACAGTAATGTCATCTCTGCTTCAGGGCTACATTGAACCTCTGAGTGAGCAGAAAGTGACTGTCAAGTTCTTGCCCGGAGTACCAGAGAAGTTCCACAAGAACTTCATGATCCAGGTAGCTCACTTCGAACCTGACATCATCAACTTGTATGGCGAAGGCGTGTTCCCCGGATATCTCTGGATCTCCCAAGGTTCAAGGATCCTGACCTCCACTATGATCTGATGTTGAAGGAGGCCAAGGAGAGCCTGACGAAGGGGGTCAGGAAACTGGACCATCATGCATCAGAACGACCCACCAGCGCTCTCACCTACATGCGCTCACACAGGATGACTGAACATGTTGTCCAGGTAGACCAGACTGTTATTGGATGTGGAATTGTTGTTCTCAATGTGTATTTGTGTACTGTCAGTGATAGTCAGATTTGATGTGAAACTGGTTTTAGTTTTTATCATTTCTCAAGAGATTGTGTTTGGTTTTAATTTGAAACATTTGTTCTGACTTCCTGTAAAATCAGGGGGCTGTGGGGTAGTCTTAGTGGTTGAGGCATCCGCTCGTCACGCCAAAGATCCAGGTTCGATTCCCCACATGGGTATAATGTGTAAAGCCCATTTCTTGTCCCCCACTGTGCTAGTCCTGAATATTGCTAAAAGCGGCATAAAACCATACTCACTCACTCAGTGTAAATTCAGAGAAAAGCACTTTTGACTTGTTTTTGCATCACTATTATTGATATATTTTTCTGAAAGAAACTTAAAAGTCAAAGAATAAACATTCTGTTAATGATTGTCACTGTTATACAATGACTTTCATCCTTCCAGCACGAATCGGTACCCTCTGACCTTGAGCTCCAGATGGAGGCTGAACGTATTGCTGTACGGGACTTTGCCCTAGAGCTACAGCAGGGGTCAGCACGAGCTGACTTGTATGAACTAACACCACCTACAAGCAACGAAAGTCGAGACACACATGCTACTGGTGACTCCAAGAGAAGCAGAGGGAAGAAGATGAAGATGAAGTAGGTCGCCATGGATTCATTCTGCTGCTTAGTTCCTGTTCGACTCAGTACTAATATTTACACAAAACCTGATCTACAAGGAATATTGTGTAATTTGAGTGAAGGAATGCTGTACAATTTTTCTGAATAGGGTATTCCCTTCCCTTTGTCCATAATTTGATGTATATTGCCATTCTGTCTCATGTTAATTTGTATTTTGCTGTCCAGGCCCCGACTGCCAGAGTATATCCTGGACTTTGGCCATGTTGTGCTGGGAACTGTGAGGACCCATGTTGTCCATGCTACCAACACCGGCTGGTTCCCTCGCGTCCTTCCAGGTGGAGCGGGATAACATCCACCACCATGGCTTCCACATAGAACTGGACCGTGTCCGCAACCTGCCAGGTGCTCCTGACCATGAGACTGTAGACTTTGTTGTGTCCTTTGACCCTAGAGGAGCCAATCTGCAGCTGGGGCAAGTGGAGACCATCGTTCCTATCAATGTAAGTATCTGATGAAAAGCATGGAAAGCAATTTCTTTATTGTCCCCCACCGAAACACGGAACGGGGGACTATGTATTCAGCGGGGTCCGTCCGTACGTATGTCCCGATTTTTGTTAACGCGATATCCCATGAACCGTTGTACCCAAGACACCAGTTGGTTTTGGTGACCTTGACCTCATTTTCAAGGTCACCACTGCACTTTGACCACTTATCAAACTCTTGTTAACGCGATATCTCATGAACTGTTGTACCCAATGTCTTCAAATTTGGTGACAGCCTACATTGGGAGATCACGTAGACACCATTTGATTTGGGTGACCTTGACCTTATCTTCAAGGTCAGCACGCCAATTTGACCACTTTTCAAACTGATGTAAATGTGATATCTCATAAAAAATTGCATCCAATGTCTTCAATGTTGATAGCCTACATTGGGGGATTATGCAGACACCAGTCATTTCTTGTATGTGACCACCCAAAAAAAAAGTAGTAAATATGTTATAAATATTTCATTCTTCTTTAGCGGCGGGGGACATTGCCACATTAGTGGCAAACACTTGTTAGTGTTGTTGTGTGATGACGAACAATGGCAGGTAAATATTAGCCCATTGCTGCTTCTGAAACTTGTAAAATGTTTGCTGTCTTTGTTCAGATTGTTAATGGACCCCAAGTAGCCATCTGCCTGCGGGCCAATGTAACGATGCCTGACATGGAGATATCTGATGATATGCTGGACTTTGGGGATGTTCGGTGTGGGGAGTGTAGAGTGATCACTGTACAGCTTCACAACCACCAGCAGGTGCCCTGTGAGTGGAACTCACAGCTCTCAGACAAGGACAGAAAACAGGTCAGTGTAGGGGAGCTTAGCTGCTCAAGTGCAGTGGTTGCTTTGTCTAAGAACTTTTGGATCAAAGGAACTTTTGCCTTTAATAGATTAAGACAGATGTTGATTGAACAAATTTGGTAATACAGAGTTAGCATTGTTACCGTCAAGTATATTTTCCTGGCATCATTGCAATCCTATTACAGAAAACATGCAGCCAAAACACTTTGGATGAAATATGTCACAAAGTTTGTCACAAAAAACATTGCCAGTTATTTCAACTAGATAATGTTGTTACTGCTGGCATAGTCACATATACAAGCAGTTGAAATGTTTCAGATTTTGAATAGTTTGTGGACTTAGGAATATTTGAGATGTTTGACATCTAAATGTAGTAATTCTAAAAACAGTACATAATCAGGAATGACTGTATAGTTTTAATGAAAATCAAAAACGTTTAGCATGGTATATGATAACACAATTTGGAGTAGGCTCCTCTGTAACAGAAACAGCAGAAGACTTAAGTTTTGAAATATAACTAATTGGACTGCTGTCTGGCAGTCAGCCATCTTTGTGAAACGTTGAAGTTGAATCTCTGTTTACAGGCTGACCGCCACATCCCCATGCATCTGAGACGTAAGCTGCGGCAGGAGAAAAAGAAGCCACAGCACTATGAGATCATGCCCCCCACTGGGATGCTGATGCCGGGCCAGAGGACCAATGTACAGGTCAAGTTCATGCCTACCGAAGAGGTCAGTGTTTCACAATTCTTTGTATAACTTTGTGCCACTCTCTGCTTCTGTGGACTACTGACTGTTACGGTACTTTGTGAACAGATGAACCCTGTAGGGATTCTGGGTTAGACCTGTTCTGGTCATAAGAGGCAACCTGATGTACTCAGTCTTGGTGACTTGGTTGAAAGTGGGGGGCGGTGGGGCAGCCTAGTGGTTAAAGCATTGGCTCGTCATGCCGAAGACCCAGGTTCGATTCCCCACATGGGCACAATGTGTGAAGCCCATTTCTGGTGTTCCCCGCCGTGATATTGCTGGAATATTGCTAAAAGCAGCGTAAAACTAAACTCAGTCAGTCAGTCAGTGGTTGATAGTGTGTCCTCAGACAGCGTGGATTGTTGCTGATAATATCAATCACTGGATTGTCTGGCCCAGACGAGGTTATTGACAGACTGCAGTCATATGGGTGGAATATTGCTAGGTGCAGCATTAAAACAATAGACAAACAATATTGATAATGTCCTCAAAAACATTGGTAGAACTTTGAGTCTCTGTTAATAGATACACATTATTCGCTGTTTCAGAAATGCTACGAGAATCGTATACCGATCAGGATTTCTCAGAGCAGTCAGAGGATCCTGTTGCTTTGTCGAGGTCAGGGCCTTGAGCCTCGTCTTGAGTTTGATCGCAACCTGGTTGAGTTCGGTCCCATCCTGCCTCACAGCAGTGGAGATGAGCAGGAGATTGTGGTGAAGAACCCATGTAGCTTCCCTATAGAGTTCTACAACCTGGAGTGTGACGAGGGCTACCTGGAGGAGGAGAAGGTGCTGCGTCTCATGAAGGGGTATGACGAGTACAACACCATACTTCTCCCTCCTCGCAACCCCGGTGACAAACTGCCACACGAGCTGCTCGACCACTATGATGGTAAGAAAGAATGAAGCACTAATGATCTCTAACTTTTTTCTTTCATTATAACTATAGTTTGCTACACGTCTTTTGAACAAATATTTTGTAGAGCAAATGAAGAAATTGGAGGAAGAGGAGAGAATCAAGAGGGAAGCAGAGGAGGCAGCTGAAGCAGCTCTGAGAGAACAGGAAGAGAGAGAGAAAGAAGGTCAATCTTGTTACTCTTTCCATTAGTGATTCCGGTTAGATTCACCTAGATCATAAGAGGAAACTACAGGGAGGGTTGGATGTTTAAAATGTGTATCCTGGATGAGTGAGTGAGTATGGTTTTATGCCTCTTTTAGCAATATTCCAGCAATATCACGGTGGGGTACACTAGCAATGGGCTTCGCACATTTATTGTACCCATGTGGGGAATCGAACCAGGGTCTTGGGTGTGATGAGCAAACCCTTTAACAACTAGACTACCCCACCGCCCCGTATCCTGGATGATTGTGTGTTGATAGTTAGTTGATACATATTGTCTCATACTGTCAACGTTTGATCTACCTGGCTGAGACCCTGTGGGTTTAGAATTGGTCTGCAGCAACCAATGTTTGTCAAGAGGTAGCTGAAGGGCTCAGGTGGTCAAGTATGATGCATCCCAATTGGGTAGGTCGATGCTCGTGTCAGTTATTGTCCAGGCTCAATAATCCACCAACGACTGTCATATACAGTCAAATCCCGATGAGTCGAATGCCGGTGTCTCAAATATTATGCATAACTCGAAGTACCTGTCGGTCCCGACCATTCCCTGTTATAGTTGTCATCATTTGAATACCGGTTACACGAATTCGTCTCATAAATACAACGATGACTCGAGAAGAACATTTGGTCCCATGAGATTCAAACAACAGCGATCTTGTATACATAAGCTGAAGTCAGTCAATGAGAAGTTGATTGGTGTAGCAAACTGATCCAATTAACAAACCAGCGCGGCTCACACCTTTCCGCCTTTGACGGGTGAGTTCAAAAGGCAGATTAGTGATCTTACGGAAATCACTGTCTGTGCTTATCAGACTGGAACTGATAAGGTGGCCCTGTTAGTGATAGGGAAATCATTAGATAAACAAATGCTTAGGCTTTTTTTTCTACCCTCATAGACATACCTATGTCTGGAATACATCGATAAGTCGAATTTATTACTTGGTCCCCAGAGATTTGACTCATCGGGATTTGACTGTAGCTGGAATGTTGCTGAGGCAGATGTTAAGCATTTAACAAACAATCCTGGTTGAGTCACTTGTATCCACATCTGTAGCACTCAGAGAAACAGGAATTTGAGTTTGCGAAGAGTGTATATGGGGAAAATAGTGTGATGCTGTATGAACAATTTTATCTGTCTCTCGTCACAACAGAGCATGGTGATGAGGAAGGCAAGGAGCATGACGACACAGAACAAGCACCAGCCATTGTCATGACAGTACCATCTCGGGAGATGACACCCCGGGAACCACCACCAAAGACTATTTCAGATGAAGAGGAAAAGATTAAGAAAGATGAATCTTGGAAGGTACGGAAACCCTTTTTCCAAGTCTCTTACCAGTGCCTAACTTGTCATGGATGGGAGGATGTAATAGTCAACCATGTTCTCATGATTATTGGAGGAATCATCTTTTGTATTGCAGAAAGAGACAAGGAGAACACAGTTGGTGTTGGAGAGCTGGAAATCACTCCAGTGTCTGCTGCCATTGCCCGACATCTTGGTATCGACCTTACTCCTGAAGGCAAGGCGGCTCGGAACCGACGAGGCATCAGTCTCATTGTACATGGACCACCAATGTCAGGTAACTCCCAGGATGAATAACTCAATATTACAATACCTGTTCAGTTCACCTTAGTCGAGATTACATTTGTCCTGAAATCCCAGTTTTTGGATGGTCAGGTTTGAAGGTCTTCCTACAAAGTGTTTGTGCAGAGGGCATTGCTTGATATGTATTAATTGTTCATTTCTCTTTAAGTTGATTTACTTTAAAAGTTAGAAGTCTGTATGGCAGTTTCATGAAATTTTCATCAATGTGTAAAACCTTCTCAACAATCTTTTAAAGTACAATGAGTGACTATCTTGTGACTATAATCAACTTCAGAATCAGAATCACCAACTGCAGAAAAAGTGCTGATGTAAGGTGTAATTTGAGAAACAGGCTGATGATGATCTTTGCACTTATAACTATACAGTCACACATGGAAATCCCATCAACTGATGTTTCTTTTGCAGGCAAATCCAGCACAGTGGTGATGCTGGCCAAACGCTACAAGGCAGCCATACTTTCTGTAGATGGGGTTGTTCTTGAGGCCATATCCAATGGCAACACTCCATCGGGTCTCAAGGCCAGGGAACTGTGTGCTGAAGCCGCCAGAAGGAAGGCCGAGGAGATCAAGGGCTTGGAGCCAGATGACCCTGAGAAGACTAAGGCAGGAGGTCTGAGTGTGGAGGCTCTCACTGCCCACACACAGGGAACCGGTAAGTGCCTTAAACCATGGAACGCTGGCCCCCAAAACAGACTGCATTGATATAATAGGAAACATTAAAACTTGAGAATGTCTCATGTAGAAATTTCATTGTTTTAATTCTAGGAAAGTGAATCCAGAGAGGTCAGCTTAATTACTGTTCCTTTTCCCATGGTCAGCAGAAATGGTGGAGGGCCTGCTGTTATATATTTGTCAGTGTTGCTATGAGCTACACTGTAAGCCTGTAGAGTTTGGGTTTTTCAATCTGTCTTTGAATGTTTAGACATGCAGAATTTCTGTGTTGTGACATACCAAAGGAGGGTAACAGCAGCTCAACTGGGGACTGTCATATTTAGTTCCAGGCAGTGGAGTGGTAGGTGGAGCAGCCTCCATGGTTTCCAACAGAAAGACAAGCACCATCTCTGAACAGAAAGGCAAGGAGAAGCATCATGGTGGCAGTGTCCTTGGAGCCAAGACTGGAGTCAACACATCCTCCGTAGATGGAGCCACAGGCAGTCAGGTAGATGGTGATTTTTAATGCTTCGTTTTTAAAGACTTGGTTAATTTAGAGAATTCTCCTTGGTATTGTTTTAGCCATTTATTCTCAGGGCACTGTCTCATATGGAGTCGAATCGTGTTATCTCAGACTTGGATTTGTCACTCATGGTTGTGTCAGAAAGTCCAGTCCCTGTTAGGTCATTTGGTAATAAGGTCAAACCCTGGATAACAATTTCTCCAGTCCCAACGAGTTTGAGACAATACAGTTCCACTGTATTTGCCTCAGTTTCAGATTAAGGAATCAGTTTCAGTTTTCAGATTAAGATATAGGCAAAAAGTTGGTACTCTGGCTGAGCCAGATCCAGGGGCTTTGTAAAGGGTGGGGTGCAGAGTATCAAAGTTTCAAAGTGAGTGACAACAAATGATAAACGGACTGACATGTGTTGTTGCTTGAAGTACTTCACCCCTCCTTGCTCTCCAGTGTGCCTAAGTGGTCTGCCCAATGAGTTCTGGTTAAACTCTGTGGTAGTGAGATTGATGTGTTGTATCATGCAGGTGCCAAGTAGTCCCCCACCCCTGGCAGCCCCCATTGCCCGCCGTCTCAGTGTCAGTGCTTCGGTGGCTGGGGAGGAGGGGCTGATGAGCTGTATCCTGCCCGAGGAGCTGCTGGTGGAAATTCTGGCCGAGAGATGCAGGTAGGTCAGCCTGCAAACACTTGTTAGAAACAGTAACTGTCACCCAACAACTGCAAGGTTCATCTTCTGTATGAATCTTGAGATTTAGGTCACATATTTAACTGACTAATAGAAAATAGACATCGTTTATACAGGGACATGTGTGGTGATAAAGGTCAGAAAATATCACATGTACCGTTGCTTCTCATGAGAGTCAGTTAAAATGAGAATCAGATGACTATGTGTGACCTGACCCCGATTTCTCGAAACAAACTTAAGTCTGAGTTTTGACTTAAGTTCGAATTTTTACTCAAATTTGAGAAAACGCATTTCACATGTTGAACTGAAATTGATATTAAACTCAAACATAGTAGACAATTTGAGTTTGGTGGATAGATTACTTAAGTTGTTTGGGCTTTTTTATTTAAAAAATGCAGTTTAGTTACAAATTCATCTGTTTCAAATTGTCCAACTCAGTTTGAAATTTGAGTAAAACTGAAGTTTGTTTCGAGAAATCGGGGCTTAGTCATCACAACACAGGGGTATAGATAGTTGCTCATGCTATCAACCACTGGGTTGTCTGGCCCAGACACAATTATGGCTTAGATGTTGTTCAGTTCATAACTAAAACAGCTTTTACTCACTCTGTGGTACATGTATATGGTACTTTTGTCCCCACAGCTGGATGACTGCCATCGGGGTGTGGTGTTCGATGGCCTGGAAACACTGTTCTCCCAGAACTACCTCACCACAACCAATGCCATCCTGAAGTCTCTCAACAACCGTCGCTTTATCTTCTTTGTGACACTCAAGCTGGACTACAACATCCTCAAGGAGCAGGAGAAGAAAGATATGGAAGAGAGAGGTGAGCTCATTATCCAGAGACCTCTACACATGCTGTCAACATGTATTCTTGAACCATGTCTGTCTCTCTCTGCATCAACATTAGACATGATCTTGTCAACGTTTAGAACAACGTGGTCTTTGAATTCGGTACTATCATACATAAAGGGGTAGCCAGGGCCCCATTTCACAAAGCTATCATAGTGCTACGACTGCCGTAAGTCTTTGGTAAAGTATAGGAGTATGGATCATCTTAGTGCTACGATCGATTGGTGAGACGGTACCCAGGGCGATAGTGGCACATGGTCCCGAGTACAGCACCAATTGCTGATAAAGGTCAAGTTAAACCATGTTTACAAATAGAAAATTCAGAATGAGAAAGAGATTGTAGATCTTCAGTCCTTCCCCACACTGAAGCACATGTGGGTTTCTTATACAGTTGACTCTGAAATATGTGTCTGTTCACTTAGAAGTGAATCGGTAGCTTTCTATCACCTCACACCCAGGGTGAGTATCATCTTGTATCTTGTTAAAGGTATCATGTATACTGTCTGTGCTGTGTTACCTCCCTTAGGCATTTCCGAATCTATGATCATGGGTTTGAATCCAAGACTGACTGACTGACTGAGTTTCGTTTTACGCCGCTTTTAGCAATATTCCAGCAACATCACGGCGGGGGACACCAGAAATGGGCTTCACACATTGTACCTATGTGGGGAATCGAACCCGGGTCTTCGGCGTGACGAGTCAACGCTTTAACCACTAGGCTACCCCACCGCCCTTGAATCCAAGAATCACCATGATTATGTTTCTTGGTTTGTTACCATCATACCTGTACTCATGGCTTTTCACCAAAGTGGTCAACATCTTAGACCTGCATCACCCCAGTCTAACACATTTACCAAGTCATTCCCTACAACACTGGGTGTGCTTGTTGTAGAGAACCAGGCACGTGCAGCAGAGGAGCAGGAGCGACAGAGGCTGGAGGACATGTCAGAGGATGAGTACGATGCCCTCACAGATGCTGAGAAGGCTGTTGTGGACAAGAAGAGGCTTGAGATAAAGAAAGAAAGAATCAAGAAGTATGTTTTGAGAGGCATTTACAAGTTTGAAGAACATGAACACATGAGATGTTTAAGGATGAAATGTCACTGCAAATAGGAAAGAAGTTATTATTGATAAATGTCGGTGTCTTCAATAAAGAAGTAGGTGGCAGCACCTATCAACTTATTGCAATTATTAGCAATCAGCAAAGATTCTGTAGAATTTCCCAGATTAGATCTGAAATATCAATAACTGTGGAAATGGTATACAATGGCTGCTTTTCGTGTCACAGAGAAGAAAGGAGAGAGTTAAGAAAGAGCTTGAGGCCATGGAAGAAGAGAGAAGGAGGCTGGAAGAAGAAAGCATGTAAGTAATTATTTCTTGTCCCATCTACTTGAGAAGATATTCAAGTTGTTCCATGCCATCAATAAGATTCTATATAAGCATTAACATTACATTATCTTAGGCAATACAGTATGTTAATAAAGTTAGTGTTGCAAGCTTTCAAGATTTTCACTTGATAATTTGAGTCAATATATTGTCACTTATGCCTCATAGAAATACAGCTTGGTATATGAATTGTTCATGACGTCATTTTTATTCTCTCTTAATGCTGATAGGGCCGTTGTTGCATCTATGTCTGAAATACCTTGGTGAGGAATTTTAAGACTTAATAAAAACAGCATGCCCATGTTCACAGGTTTTCGTATAATCTACAAGCTCCATGCATGAGTTGATTATGATTTCTTCATGTTGTATACACCCCATGGTCTTGTCATGAAACATGAGGGTATTTGTTGCCAATGCTATGCTCCTTCATCACTGGTATATATTATGTACACTTAGCTATGGTGTCACTATTTTCAACTAAAGATCAAGACATAGATGGCCTGGTTCGAGTGATAGGGAAACCACAGCGTGCTCAGATCAGTGAGCACTTAGATTATATCACACAAGTGGCAACACTTCTCATGGTTTTTTGCCCTGCAGAAAGAGAGTGGACTAGGGTTTACTTGACTTTTGTGATCAGTGGGCCCTGTTGATTAGCTTACAATAGACACATTTCATAACCATTTATTTGGTTTGGTTTGGTTTGGTTTAGGAGATAAACATTATGTGTTGGTCAATTTCTGGGTGTTGTTGAGTATTTGAAGCATAGGAATTCATTTTGAACCTAAGGTCCACATGCGTTTTTTCTGTCTGCACTCATTGACATCAAGTGAAAAAAGTACCGATTATTTATACGTATTAATACACAGTGAATAGTCTTGCAATTTCAGCGAATCGAAAACCATTCAGTCATGTTTTTCAACCAATCAGATTAAAGAACACACTGACTTTTGGTTTACAATGTTTAAGGCTGCACTCAGCAATATTCCACCTATATGGCGGCAGTCTGTAAATAATTGAGTCTGGACCAGACAATCCAGTGATCAACAGCATGAGCATCGGTCTACACAATTGGGATACCATGACATGTGTCAACCAAGTCAGCGAGCCTGACCTCCCGGTCCTGTTAGCCGCATCTTACAGCAAGCATGGGTTGGAAGACCAAGTCTAACCCAGATCTTCATGGTCATAATCATGTAGCAATGCAGCCTTTGTGTTCACCGATATGGAAGGTCGTAGTGTACATGGTAGATACAAGCTCTGTGAAGTATTGAGAATCTTATGCTGTGTATCCTTCATATTGATAGTAAATTCCAGTAACACCATCATTCTAAGGTTGTCACATGCTATTTGTACTTAGATTTGAGCATGAAATAACACAGAACCATATATTATTTTATATACTAGTATATTATTAAGTCTTCTTCATTCTTAAGTTGTTCACATTTAGGAGTAGAAAGAGGTACTGCCTGAACAGTAGCTTGCTCAGTGATGACTGCATGACATAGTGATCATCTTAGCATCTGGGGTGATTGGGTAGCCGAGTGGTTGAAGTGTTCACTTGTCATGCCCAGGCACAGGTTCGACTCCACGCATGGGTATCCCCAATGTGTGAAGCCCAATTCTGGTGTCCCCTGCAGTAATATTGCTAAAGGCACCATAAAACCCAACTCACTTACTCATCTTAGCATCTATATGGGCACAATCAGCCATCTTGGAATGATAAACAGGAAACACATATCATTCACTTCACTTGACCTGGAAGGAGATCCCTGCTGATAAGTATTTGTGATGCTGACCAAGTGGAACTGTCATGTTATGTTATGAGTCAGTTCCCATTTTCACCACAGTTTATATGCTGGTATTGCTTTCTCCACATTTAAAAACATAAATGTGATTATTCTTTAGCCAATTCCCAAAGCATATAAATAATTTGAAATTAGAAATTAGAAATATTTTATGTTTTATCCATATGTAGTTTACATACACACTAGCAAAAGTGTTATCAGAGCTTACAAGTTTACAAGCAACAGTTGTATGTATGGGTTGTCATACCTTCATTTCTCATTTCTGACAGGGTTTTTTTTAATTACTGAAACTGCACTATTTATGCTTCTAGGATTTGATGGATTTGCAAATAACCTGACATTAAATATATTTGTATGTGGCATATTGTGCACTTGAGTCCACGTTTGAAATCTAGAATAATGATGATAATGAAATGGTATAGTTGCTGAGACAAGTGTGATTTCCATGGCAAGTTCTCTCCCTTCATTAGACCTTGACCTTTCTTCCAGTAATAAACCAAAGAAAACAAAGAAGGGCAAGGATGCTAATAAGGACAAGGATAAGAAGGGCGTGGCCAGCAAGGCCGCCACCCAGCCGAGCCAGGATCGTGTGGGGCAGAAGTCCCAGGGTGGTCAGCGGCCACATGACAGTGAACACACAGCCAAGGCTGGCTCCAACACAGAGAGACCAGAGTCCCACCAGACTGAGAAGTCTGACACACAGATTGATGACAAGTAAGTTTTAGTGTCATACAGATTGAACAAAACTGAACAAAATTGAACAAAAATATTTTCAAAGAGTATTGGTGATGTATGTTAACGATAACCTCAAGCAGAATTAGTGTTGGAAAAAAATACAAAGAGGTGTCTTTATATTGTGGATGTTGATTTTTGCCAGTAGTATTTGATTACCATACAACTTCTGCTAATAGCGTTTTCTAACAATTTTACTCGCCACATACCTAATTCACCAAAAACAACAACGCTGTCATTTCCAAAGACTTATCTGAAGCCAAACTAGCCCTATCTCCACAAATTATCCCTTCAAACCAATGCTACCCTATGTCCCGAAACTATCTCATCCACACAACTCGCCACACACCCGTCAAACTCCAATGACTTCAGCTTTTCACTAAGCTTCATGTCAACTTGTATGACAGAAAGAAGAAGGCAGGCAAGGATGGGAAGAAGGATGGTAAGGGCAAGGAGGATGGTACTGCTGGTGGAGATGGAGAGGGTAAAGATGCACTCAAGGAAGCAGAGATACTGCTCATGCAGAGGTAAGTAAATGGAGTGTAGTCTGTGCCTCATAAGGTCTGCCATGTTGATTTCAATAGTTGTATCAGAATCCAGTGATCATGGATGTGAATTTACATCCACTCTGGACTATTATCTTTGCACCCATTTCTGGTGTCCCCCGCCGTGATATTTCTGGAATATTGCTGTAAGTAGCGTTAACACTCACTCTTATCTATGCAGGTTCCGCACCTTTGAGCATGCCCAGAATGAACTGACTCATCTCCTTGAGTTCTGGGACAGAACTACCCTACAGATCAAACGTCCCCCAACTCCATCTGAGAAGTCAGAAGAGGATGGAGCACAGCATCCTCCATCAGGGAAGAAGGGCAAGGGGAAAGGTAGGACAGTAATAGCCATTGCTTTGGTCAGCATGGAAGCCTGCAGGCTAAATTTCAAATGAATTGAGTTAACACTGGAGCATTGTCATGAGTTATATTTTCACAGACAAACCATGGGCAAATGAAAACTCATCTTGTTGGAGTATTCTCTCGAACTGATACTAAAACCTTGTGTTTTGTGTGAAAGTGATGTTTCTTTTTTCCAGACAAGCATGACAAAGAAAAGGAGAAAGAGAAGGAGAGACAGAGACAGCTGGAGAAAGAGATGGCAGAGAAGGCTGCTAAGGAGGTGAGTCTTCAAACCCTGTTTGGATTTTTATTGTGGAATGACACAAATGTACTGCCTTCGTTTGATCCAAATCAGTAATGTTTAAGAATTTATCGACCAGTAATATATGAAAGGTTTTTGTACTAATGAACTGAAAGTAATTACCCTCCTCTACTTGTTATATTTTTGGATAACCCTCTCCCCACTTCATGTCCTTTTAATTATTTCCATAACCATCCCACAAAAAGACAAAATGTTGAAAGTGCTTAATATTTTGTTATTATTTTCATAACCATCTCTATAAATGCCAATAAGCCATCCTTCCTTCTAATAGATAACAATCCCCTAGTGGAGACCAGTTAATGCTGATTTCAGAAAAGGAACCTAGTCACAGTTGGCTATTCAGTTTTCAGGGTGAATGATGTAGGACAGGAATCACAAAATATCCAAACATGGGCTTAAAATTCAAAACAGTACATAACATAAACCCATCAAAATCAAGATTCCCTACACGCCAAATACACTTATTGCTCTACAGTGTTACCACAGTCTTGCATCTTCTGTTTCTGTAACTCCTGAACACGTCTGCTGTTCCCTCTGCTGTAGGCTGCTCTGGCTGCAGCTCAGGCTGATGGTGATAGCCAGGATGGTGATCAGATTGATGACCCCAACAAGAAGGTGGAAGATGGAGTTGGAGTACCCAACATCATCATCGACTGCTCAGACAAGACTGTCCACCCTGGGGAGAAGATCATGCAGGGAGAGAAACTGCCCACAGTGGAAGAGGTCAGTACGGGAACCTAACTGGACAAGCTGGTTATATTTTGACACGTTAATGCTCTGTGACAATGAGGGTGCTAGGTAGCCTAGGACTTATGTTTGCTTCTGTCCCTACACAGGTATGAGAAGCCAATTTATGAGGTTCCTCTTATGATATATTTCTAATATTGCTTAAAGTGATGTTAAACACACATCCTCTCACCCACTCACTGATGAGAGGTGTCAATGTTGAATATTATGTAAATTTCATCAACCAAGTAATATTCGCCTTCTTAGATTAAATTCCCTCCTTTTACTGTGTAATATAAGAGGTGTGAATGTAGATACGTATTGCAGAATGTGTGAAGAGGGGGTGAATGAAAATGTTATACATTTTTTGTTTGAGTGTAATGCTTACAATGTAATTAGAGATAGGTATGTTCCTGTAAATAGTCAGTTATATTTAGTCACTAATTGCCATTAATATATTAACTAGTAATTGTAGATATACCCTTGTAAATTGTTCCAATTACATCAAATAAGCTCTTGCTCATAGAAAAATGTTACAAAATTAGCCATTTACTTGAATTACTTTGTACAGTTACTCCTATTCTACGAAAATGTATTCTTTTTGCACGTATTGTACATGGGCCGATGACCTACAAACCAAAATAAAAGAAGAAAGAAAGAGAGTTGTCAATGATTTTGCAAGAATTTCAAGATTTGGAAAAAGCAGAATTTCCCATAAAATGTCAAAGTTGTGAAAAGTGATAACATATGTCAATAACTCCAAATTGTATTAGCTCTTAGGATACCTATAACAGTAACAACACTGCTCTGAGCTAGCAAATTTTTCCATCCCCGGATTTTGTATAGTGGCTTTGAGTCCTGTACTTGGCTCTTTGTATTTTGTGTCCAATTTAATTTCATATGGACTATTGTTATCTCTTTTTAGACTAGTGGGTGAAATCCCATACTGCATAGTTCTAGTATTTTTGGTCGCGATAAATTACTTAACTCCATTCCCATGGTCTGTTTAATGAGCTTGGTAAGGAGGATCCTTTTGTCTCCACAGGTTATGGATGGCCTTGGCCTTGGCCCCAGAGGACCTCCTATCCCACCCCCAGCAGAGTTTGCTGTTGTGCCCTACCCAGTGAAGAGGAGGCCACCGCCACTGTCAGAGTTTGGAGGACGCTACGCCTTCATTGCTGCATCTCCTGATGACCCGTAGGATTTCACATTTTGTCATTTATATACCAGATGATTATCCTGACTGTGATGTTTCAGTACGTTTGTCGTCTCTATCCTCATGGCTTGCTGGAGGCACAGGTTGTCCAGTTTCCATAGTACTGCTTTGTGTTTGCAGAGTTGCATCACTTAAGTGTGACAATCCAGATTTAGCCAACTTATGTTTCTTCATTCCACTATACCTGAGACCATATTCTGACCAAACCAGTGACTGGGTTTCATCTAGGTGGTATGTGTCCGAGACATGCAACCCCTCAGGCAATTGTCCCACTTGAAGATAACATGGTGTGATATAAACTAAAACACTGGTCAAATTGATGTTAAAGCAGTTTCACTCACTGAGTCCTGCTGCCGTGTATTGTTCTGATCGCCTTGAGCTGTCTTTTAATTAACAGACAGCAAGTTTTGACACATAACTGGAGATTGCTACCCACTCAACCCACAAACCATCCTATCTGGAATCGTAAAGACTCTGTCTGTAAACATTTCAGGAATATAGGTGTTGATGAGAAACCCAAGGATATGGAACTGGAGGAGGAAAAGTCTGTGACCCCTGATAAGATCAAAGAAGATCATTCCACACCCACCAAAGGCAAGAGCAAGGGTGGGGACAAGCCCAAGACAGGAACTGCTGAGAAAGGGCGCAAGGGTAGTGCTGATAGGAAGAAACCGGGAAGACGCAACTCCATGCAAGTGCCATCCCCACCCCCTGGGGCAACCACACCCACATCAGAGGCTGATGGACAAAGGTAGGAGCACACTTCATTGTGTACTTAACAGTGTGCAAATATACTACAATACTGAGTGAAAGTGTTCATTTCCCCTCTAAACTTTTCTCTGCTGCAGCACCCAACCACTGCAATGCATGCTGTAGGTTGATGATAGTAGTATTTTGACACATTTTATGGATTTGTGATTTCTTCCTAAAGTCACCAATATCACCAGCTTTCTTTAATGTTTACAATTCAGTCAGCACATGTCCAAAGAAATAAAATATCAATCAAATGCATGTTCCCATTTTCTTCAATCTCAACCCGTATATTTGCATATTCCCAAACATCCCTGAAATAAGAATAGATAAATGACTTCAAGTTCATCAGTTTTCCTTTTATGCAATTGCCCTTGGTGTGAACATCATAACCTGTGCTGTGATGACTTAGCCTATGCTATGGATGACGTAGCCCGTGGTGTGAACATCATAACCTGTGCTGTGATGACTTAGCCTATGCTATGGATGACGTAGCCTGTGCTGTGGATATCATAACCTGTGCTGTGATGACTTAGCCTATGCTATGGATGACGTAGCCTGTGCTGTGGATATCATAACCTGCACTCTACCTTACATTGCCTGACATTGATAGTGAAGGAACTTATCTATACCTCTTCCCCTCTTGTCAATGACCCTATTATAAATATATAATTGAAATATATAACCTATTCCCGTTACTTTCAACTATTTATGCCATCCTCACCCACAGGCTTGTGTTACCGTGATTTACTACAGAATATACCATTCATGCAATATTTACATAAGGCAGGAGGGAACTTCAAGGTTGTTTTCCCAATTTACACTAGTGATAGTTACCTCTATAAGTGACTTACATCAAACACATCAAACAATGTAACTCGTTAAAATCAGATTTGCAAAAATACAAAAACAATCTCCTGGAATTATTTCCTTCATTTTCATAAAGTTGTGGTGTCTCAGAATTGACCTGCCTTATCAGATATTGTATTTGTTTTGTATACATGATGCTAATGATCACCAATGCCCCACCTGCAACAGGCTGCGCTATATATGCACCATATACTCACTGCATGTCTAACACATGTACCTTACAGCACAACAGGAGAACCACCGGCTCTCACTGAGCCTAAAACACCAAAGTGAGTATCGATATAGGGTTTTCCACATCAAGTCTTTCCCAACTTGTTAGTCAGCCAGTCAGTTCTACAGAGAATCTCAGAGCTATGCCTGTCTATGTTGCATCAGTCATAGAGCTGGGATCTCAGTAACTTGTAGGCTTCCTGTAGTTTTCCTCAACATAGCTAGTCCAAGGCCAGTGTTTGATGCAGTGCGGGATGAGTAGGCCTCAGCAGTTCATTGCTTCATATATCTGTATTCTCAAAGCAAGAACACAGAAGATAAATTTTAAATATTTCTTTTTACAATGTGTTAATTAAAACATTATTTTGCTTTCAAACACAAGGGTTTGAGTATGGTTTTATGCAGCTTTAGACAACATTATAGCAATATATCAGAGGATAAGGGCTTCCAAATTTTACCATGTGGGGAATGAGACCCAGGTCTTCAGCATGACTGGAGAATGCTTTAATAACTTGGTCATTCCACTGCCCCTTCAAATACAAAAGTTTGGATCATTTTGCTTAAAATGTTATATGGAATGAAACATGTACAAACTGAATATTTTCAAGTTAAGTGATTTTCCTTCTTTGCTTAGGTGAAAGGTATGCACCTTTCTGTGTCAATTATTCTTGACATGGCAGCTATTCTTGAATACTTTATTACAAAATCACACCTAACAGAAAAGTCAAATTTGTGGGAGTAAAAGTATGAGAAGATTCTAAAGACTGATTAATTTGTTGAGGCTGTAGCACTGCACACTGCCCATCAAACATCACATGAAGTATATTAGCTGCTGACTGTAAGCTATTTGCTAGTGGCTAAGATATAAGAGATACTGTTCTGCATAGTGATCTTTCTGCCACAACTGCCACAACTGCTATAACTCCCATGCATTAACACAGACTTGCATCAGTTGTAACAGTATGTTCACTGGATGGAACGATGCCCTGTTCGTGTTGAAGCCAGCTTGTATAGACAGTCTGTTATGTCTGTGTGCTAGATCTGCAGGTTACTGTTGTCAACAAAGTCAAGATGTGAATGTGGAAAACCCACTTACATGTTGTTTGTTGTAGTATGTTTAAGAAATTGAAGGCTGTTGTCAACTTACTCTGAATATACAGACTTGATTTCAGTGTTTCAGGCAAATATCTCATCATTCTCATCTTAAAAAAAATAAATAAATACTCTTGAGAAGAAACTGTATTTCAAATACACAACTCTTCACATACTGTGAATGTGCCCACCGAAATATAATTGTGTGAAATCATGTTTGTATATTCAGTGTAAACTTTATCAGTGTAATTGAAAGGGCATCTTATTCTCTGTTACCAATTCAGCTGCTTTATATGTTATGTGTACGTTGTGTAAGGTTTGTGTACATCTGTTATTGACCTGTATTTACTGTTATTCCTGACAAGGGTGAAAACCAGTGTTTGGGGGGTCAGTTTTGTGTGTGTGGAACAGGGAAGATAGTGATGACTTCCACTTCTTTATTCGTTTTGATGTTTTAGTCCAGGGGTTGGTATATTTATCAAGAAAGTCATCACCTACCCCTGTATTGAAATGTTAAAATGAAAGTTGATGTTCATCTCATCTCGGATTCACACTCACAAAAACATAACTGCACTCTAGTCTTTGTACTTTGTAATTCTATTCTAACTTTACTACCAGGGTCGTTGGTTTATGGTTATAGTTTGGGGAATTCTGTGTCACAGTGTGTTATGTTCATCTTAAAGAGTTTGTCATCTACAAGTTTTTATTGGTCATATTCTTTCTGTGTATTTTGAGTGGCAGTACACTCTATTGCAAAATCCTCTATTTTTACTTATATTTCACTTAAGGTTTTTACTGTCTTTTTACTAAGTTATAACCCTGACTTATATACTGTATTTTCTTGACTAAAGAGCACACCCAAGCATAATATGCAATCCCTGTAGGGGCAGGGGAGACAATATTTTGGTAAAGAACTTAAATCACCATGCACAGTACAAATATTGTATCAATCATTTCAGTGAACGTTCAACAGCAATAACAAATTCAAACTGTATTGTCTCTAAATCTGCCAAGCATTGCTTCATATGCAGATATTAAAAACATTTCACTTTCCCAATATGATACACATTTTGTGGCAAACTTATCACAGGAAATGTGTAGTCTCTGACATTTCTGGATCAACAAAGTTTGACCTTGAGAGGCCAAAAAAACTTCCTTTTTACAGTGAGAGTGACTTTTCAGTGTTTCCATATATTGTTATTCTTCCCAACAAAGTGTTGCATAGCTGTCAATATCTCTTGATATTTTATTTGCATTGTTTATACTTCAGAAGTATTTAAGATCTTTCAAAGATACAGCTTCAGTCATATTGAATTCTGAAAAGAATCCTCACAATCTCTGTAAAAAACTTGTGTTTGTTCTTCAGGATCACAATATTCCGCTGGGTGGTTCCTGCCAATAGCGAGGTCGTCCTGAAACTCCGCTTCCAGTCTGAGGAACTGGGACAGTTTGACCAGACACTCAACTTTGAGATTGTGGGCACTCGGAGGCGCTACCAGCTGTACTGTCGAGGCGTGTGTGCCTTCCCTACCATCAGCAGGGAACCAAGGTAGGGAGGTTCTCAGAAAGCTTGGTAGATCCTGTCAGAATTGTGAAAGAACAGAGTGTTCCCTGACTTGTTTTCAGTAGTTTATATGGTATTTTCAGGCTCCGACATTCACTGATAAACATATTCGTTCCAGAATCGTTTTCCAGCATCGTAAGAAGAACAAGAAGAGTGATGAGATTGTCATCAAGAAGTATGTCCTCATGACTGAGATATTTGAGTTTGGGCCACTGCTGGTTGGCAAATCTAGAGACAAGTAAGTCCATCTCACTGAGTTACAATTATCTTAGCAAGATGTTGTCATCGTCTTTTCATCAGATCAAAGCTGCAGAAAATGTTTATCCAAAACTACTTTGTGACTAATGTTGCTTAACTGCATCTAATTTGTGACTATAAAGATGTGCACATGTTCGGTGACACAACATCTGCAAGTAGCATCCTCATCTTCTTGTATTTATTTCAGATACAAGGAAGGCAAATACCCAGAGAACATGGAGCAGTTAACAGTTCTCAACACATCCCCACTGGAGGCCGACATCAGCTTCTGTTTCCTCAATGACAGCAAGGCTGAGACGTACCTCCTGGAACCCCCTAACATGGTCCTCAAGCCAGGAGAGTCACAGCCACTCACAGTCTGGGCCTACCCCAAGGCTCCAGGGCAGTACAAGGATGCCATTGTTTGCTGTGTGAGAGAGAATCCAGAGCCTATCATCTTCAACATCTCCTCTGATGGCTTCAGGCCGGAGCTGGAGTTGGACAAGAAACAACTTCACTTTGACAAAGTGCTCCTGCACAGGTAAATATTCCTATTGTTGTCACTAGTTTCCTTCTTCTTATGTCAATTTGGATTTGGATTTTTATGGCTGGGGGTGAGGTGGAGGTAGGGGGTGATCAGGTCATTCTCTTCTTCCTTACTCTTATTGTGTAATCCTAGATTGAGTGAGTGAGTGAGTTTGGTTTTATGGCTGGCAATATCCCAGCAATATCACGGTAGGGGGGCTTCACACAGGTGCCCATGTGGGGAATCTCTTCTTTCCTGACACTTTAACCACTAGGCTACCCCACCGCCCCTCCTAGATTGAACAGGAACTTGGAGTTGGTTCTGTTGATGTATGTTGGTGACTGTACTGTAAAAGTTGCAAAGATTAATGTGAAGTACTGTGTTATGTAATAATACTTCACACTAACAGTGGATTCCTGTGGGTTGAGGTGACAAGACAAATTTATGACTTTCAGGAAGGACACTAAGACCATCTTCCTCCGCAACCCGACCCAGCTGCCAGTGGCGTGGAGACTGAGTGGCTTGGAGAACCTGGGTGATGACTTCACCGTGGCAGCAGAGAGTGGGGTAGTGGACCCCCTGTCAGAGTACAGTCTCAACGCCTTCTTCCGTGCCATGAAGCCTGTACAGACCAGCAAGAAGATGATCAGGATGGAGGTGAGATGCCTCATAGTTTTGGAGCCTTTTTATGCATTCATTTTAAATTATTTAAATCAGATTTTACTTATGGACTAGAAATGATTTCAGCTGAGCTGCATACCTCCAGGGACCAATTCCAGAAAGCTATCTTAGCATTGAGGTGATAGTAACTCCCACTGTGTATTTTGTCTTACAAAGATTGGAGTGCTTAGTTCTCTTTCTGGAATGGGACCCAGGACATAACACACGTTATATTTGGGATTGCACTTTCTCAGTAAAGTACAGATTCTAGTAGTTTTGTTAGGTTGAGTCCCATCCAGGATTCGAACCCACACTTTCAGAGTCACACACCTAATCACCAGCACACAAAGTCAGCCATCTAACCCACTCAGCCATCACTGGTTCCTCAGAATGTTACTTTGGATTTGTGCCTTTCAGTGTGACTGCCTTTGTGGCATAAAAGTAGTCTTTGTATCAATGTTTTCTTGACATTCTTTGTTTGTTGTTCAATGCTTCACTCAGCAGTAGTAGTCCTCATGAAAATGTCAATATGTGCCATTATTTGTTACCTTCCTTCATGTGTTCTGAATCTTATGGGGGCGGTGGGGTAGCCTAATGGTTAAAGCATTGGCTCGTCACGTCGAAGACCAGGGTTCGAATCCCCACATGGGTACAATGTGTGAAGCCCATTTCTGGTGTCCCTCGCCTTGATGTTGCTGGAATATTGCTAAAAGCAGCGTAAAACCAAACTTAGTCAGTCAGTCTGAATCTTATGTTGCAGATCATGGATGTGGACAACATCATGGGTGTGGTCCACACTGAGCCGATCCAGGTCCTGGCTGAGGCCTATGATGTGGCTCTGGACATGAGCTTCCCTAAAGGCAAGTGTTGGAACATTCAACATAGTGGTTATACCCACTGGACGAAGTTACCATGATGGATTTAGGATGTACAGGTGTACCTATTCTGTAAGGGACTGCAATTGGCTGTGCAGAGTTGCATCCCTTGGGTGCACCAGAAACCTATGACTATATGATTTTGGGTTTTGATTCTGGTACGCCTGATTTCTTTTCGAGGTTTGCCAGCACCATACACATGGGTTACACCAACTTGGTAAATGTCAAAGACCCTCATCACTACGGATGTCCATCCTACATCAAGCTGACACATGATATAACTCCATTACTTCTCAAAACTGCATTAAACACAGCTAACTAACAGGAGAGAACATTGACTGTCCCTTAACAGATGGTATTGTCTTTAATTTCTTTGTTTCATTCAATATGAACACAATGACATTGAAAATAACAAATTTTAAACTTTTTGCTATTCTACTATATTCCAGGGACAGATGGAGGACTGGACTTTGGTACAATCCGAGTCTCTGAAGAAACCAAACAGACTTGCAACCTGAAGAACAAGGGCAAATACGAGATAGCTTTCAAGTGAGTAGATTTTAGTCGTGAAGATACTTCCTGGTATCATTCTAATCAAGATCTTCATATTATCAGAAGTGTAAATATTAGTTTAAAAATTGTTTATAAGGTTTAGATAAATGTTATAATGTACCGTAATTCCAATCATAAATTATTAATGTTTCTCTTTGTCAATCAGTTCTGTATATTGTTAACTTCCTTTCTTTATGGTTGAGCTCTATTGTATGTACAAGGTATGTTTTCAGCAATGTAAGGGTTATTAGCTAAGTTTTTACACAATATATTTTCAGCTTCGTGTTTGAGAATGTGGACAAGTCGAACCCCGACGTGACAAGCCTGTTCTCTGTGATCCCCCAGAAGGGCACCCTCAATTCACTTGACCGCCCCACACAGGTTCAGGTGATCTTCAAGTCCTCCAAGGAGGTGACAGTCAAAGACCAGCCAATACTCAAGTGTCAGGTCATCGAGCCGTCACTAGGGGAAGGAGGAGAGATCATCGCCAGCATCCCTGTCAAAGTCTCGGTCAAATCTGTCTTCAGCAAGTGAGTGTGGAAAATGAACAATGAATGGAATATGTTTGATGTCAGCAATGATTTAGTTGTATCAAGCCAATTTAGATTGATGTACGAAAAAAAAACTGTCACTGGTCATAATGATTTTCTATTTTCTATTTTTGTCATTCTTTGTTGTTGTGACTGCCTCCGTGGTGTAGTGGTTAGAGCGTCCGCCCGGAGAGCGGAAGGTTGCCGGTTCGATTCCCAACCACGTCATACCAAAAGACGTTAAAATATGGTACTTGTTGGTCCCTGTCTGGCACTCGGCATTAATGGGTACAACAAGGACTGGTCGGCTCGAAGTCAGTATAATGTGTCTGAGTAGGGTATTCATGCTTTACTGCGGCATGCTATCTTAGTGGGCTAGCACTATAAAGCCAGCTTCAGTCTGGGCTAGTACAAGCAGCCGCACATACACACACGCATGCACATTGCCATATGAGCGAAATATTCTCAAGCCGGACGTTAAACCCAATTTCACCTCACCTCACCTTTGTTGTTGTTTTTAACGCCGCTCCTAGCAATGTTCCATCTTTTTGAGAGCAGCTTGTAAATAACGAATAATACTCAGGTAATCAAATCTGGACCACACAATGCTGTGATTAAACGTTGATATAGAATTTGCATACAATTATATGCATCAGCCAAGACAGCAGGCCTGAAAACCCCATGCTATTATTTTGATCTTACAACAATAATTTGGTGTGGAAGGGTTTTGGAAGATCAGTTTTGGAAGATCAGTCACACTGTTGCTACTTTTGTGAAACCTATGAGTCTGTGTAAGTGCTTGTACCAGGGTCTGTGTAATCAAGGCCTGTGATGTGACCCCTTCATCTGTCACTCCTTGTTTAACTACAGGGATTTTGTAGCATTTCAGGCATCCCATTTGCTCTGTTGGCACCAGATGTGTGAAGCTCCCCACACCCTTAGAACATAAACTGCCCATTCCTGCTGAAGTCATGTCTCACTGACACACAAATCTCTGTCTGGGAAGGGAGTTGTCTACCATAACACACTTAACTGCAACTAAGTTGTGTAATATGCCAATTCCTGCTGGAGTTATTTCCCATTGACAGACAAATCTCTGTCTGGGAAGGGAGTTGTCTCTCCCTAAGAAACTTAGCTACAGTGAGTGAGGATGGTTTTTGTGCTGTGTTTAGCAATATTCCAGCAATATCACGGCGGGGGATACAAGAAATGGGCTTCACACATTGTACCCATGTGGGGAATCGAACCCAGGTCTTCAGTGTGACGAGCGGCCACTTTAACCACTGGGCTACCCCACCGCCCCAACTTAACTACAACTGAAACATAGCAGTTTTATTCCCCACAAACAAACTAACAGAAAAAAAACATTTAAGTGTAATAACAAGACAAATAATTATTTGAAACGTAAAGATGCCTACTAAATGTCCGACCTATCTCCCCTCCCAGATACAACATCCTGCCAATGAACGACATCAACTTTGGCTCCCTGCTGGTTCAGAGCAAGAAGACCCGTCAGTTCACCATCGAGAACAAGGGGGAGTTTGACTTCAAGTACACCATCACCAAGATGGTGAAGGAAGCGCCACACCAGGCTGGCAATGCCAAGAACAGACCGTGAGTATTCTTGTGAAATCTGACCAGAGTTGGGGTGTGCAGAACCATCTGCAGTTGATCTTACACTGCATCACACAGTCAAACACCCACAGAATGAGTCTTACATTTCTATGTTTTATAAAGTGATTGAATTGGGGACTATGTTTAGATTGGAGTCCAGTTTGTGTCTTGTTCTACACAATTTGTTTAATCCAATGCAGAAAAATGAGCCTTTGTGTCTTGTGAGTAATTCAGGTAATCGGTGACAGCTAGATAGCTCAATTTGTTTTGGATACCAAAAGAGTCTCAAGTGAATTGTGAGCAAAGTGTTTTTCAAAAGAACAGTAAAAATTGTATTCATTTGAGCACAAATTATTTGGGCAAGTTTGAAGGAAATGAAAAAATGAGAGTAATGAAAAATTATGTTTTGCAACACTTATGCAACGTAGTGAGTAAGTAGTGAGTAAGTGAGTTAACACCAGTTTGGACAGTATATGATTTATGTCAAGGCATGTCAGCTTTTGTAAGGAACCTGGAAGCGATGCAAGTCCCAAACATTTACTACTTTGGTGAAAACCATGAATACAAGTATGGGGCCGACACAGCAAGGAACTAATTGTCATAACCTGGTTCGGAACCTACAATGAAAGGTTCCTGGTGTGCCGAAAGTACAACACAACACAGATTCCTGTGGAGTAATACATAATTGTAAGCATATTTATCCCCTAACAAAGGCTGTGGATATGTTGAGGTGTATAACCAGTGGTATGTTTGTTCAATGACAGCAGCTGGGTTGAGCCTGTTAGGAAAGTGAGACTGTGTCTCCGTCTGTCTAGGTGAGATGCTGGGCATGTTGTAGGCAGTGCTGCTGTTATGATGTCACTGTGAAGCCACTACAAGTCCAGTATCGCTGTCTGTGTAGCCTGGTCATCACAAGACCTGAGAATTGTCAAACAGATGCAGTTTGCATGTTGTCTTTAGTCCAAATCACACACGTTTATATGCACCTAATCATTTCTTTTAACAGTTGTGTGTTTCACTACTTACATCCTGGTACTGATGCTAGTGTTCATATCATCCAGTGTGACCTGTTCAGCCTCCTCATCTATAAACAATCTGCCCCATAGCTTATCCTGCTGTGTAATAAGCATCATACACATCTATATGTTCATTCATATCATAATGCTGTTTGCATCATTTAAACTCAAGTTTGTTTTCACCATGTTTCTCCATCACCCCTAACTGCATACAAACAGTTTGCTGTGTAATCGCTATTTGTAACCAATGAATCAAACCACACGTTTGTTTGAGAAGGACCCGTGAAGATGCGGGTTTGAATTGGTCTTGAGCAACCCATGCTCATCCCTAGGTGACTAACGGGATCGAGTGGTCAGGCTCGCTGGCTTGGTTGACACATGTCATTGTATCCCAATTGTGGAGATCATTGCTCATGATGTTGATCACTGGTTTGTCTGATCCAGACTGGATTATTTACAGACCGCTGCCATATAGCTGGAATATTGCTGAGTGGGGCATTAAACAACAAACCAACCAAAACCCTTGACAAGGAAAGCAGCGAGTGCTCACATGTCATCACGCATACAGCAGTATATCTCATGAAGAAATATAGTATTTGACATACATGAGTTATACATTGCTTCATTTCTAAGTTTGATTAATGTGTACAAGCATCACAGTTACACTGCCAAGGGGTTGTATGTGTCCACATGTGATGGAGGAACATAGTGTATACAAACTCATGAAGTAACGTGTGTAACAGAATTAAAGGAAGTAATAACATTGATCATTATCAACGTACAAGGTTTAGGATAAGTATACAGTTGCAAACATCATTTTCAAGATTTGTCTGACTGCCTGACTGAGTTTGGTTTTACGCCGCTTTTAGCAATATTCCAGCAATATCACGGCGGGGGACACCAGAAATGGGCTTCACTCATTGTACCCATGTGGGGATTCGAACCTGGGTCTTTGGCATGACGAGCCAACGCTTTAACCACTAGACTACCCCACCGTCCTTCAAGATTTGTAATGTGTATCGGAAACAAAAGACATATATAGGACTATTCTGAGTGAGTGAGTTAATAATTAACGTCACATCAGCAATATTTCAGCCATATCGTGATGGAATTAGAACTATTCTGAATATAGGGATCATGTAAGCATTTATCCTGATATACTCAAGCTTGTGTTATACTCTGCACAACAACTAACCTGCACAAGCTTCTGTCACTGTTGCCTGTGATGGAATGTTCACTAGTTTTGCCAGCATGTACACTTTCTATACTTCAGGCCAGTAAAGGGAGATAAGCGAACCAAGTCTCGAGATGGGTCCAGCTCGGGACGCTCCGTGGCCAAACCGCGGAGAGCTGAGTCGATCAGGTAACTGGGGCTGACAAGATGGCAGCTGTGCCCTGTGTGGATGTGTTGTGGTGACATAACATCTTAATTTACCCAGGAGAGATGATGGATATTTCTAGTTGAAACATCTTTGACCAAAATCTTTACCTTTTAGAATAAGTCTTTAAAACAGTAAAAATCTACCCAGAAGAGATAGCTTTGATTTTAATTTTAACTATTTTTGACAGATGTTGACCCTTTTTAATTCAATTTATTAATCAGTAATAAAGTTTGACTGTAATGAATTTTTGAAATTCTTAATTATGAAAGTCATAATAAACAATGATATGGACTTAGGAGCTCTGATTAAACACTGCATGGTACATACTTTGTACACATAACTCTCTTCACCTCATTGGGCATGCCATATAACCCAATAGTCAGTCTTCCAGACAGTGACTCCAACACAATTCTAAAACAATTTATAAAGTATAGATGGCTTCAGCTCAAGGAATGTCCTGAAGATATGACTTAAAGCATTGCTCTGGGCTCCATTTGGATCTGTATGTGAAATATGCATTATGTTAGAAAGCACACGTAAAATCTCCAAATTTGCATCCATTTGGATTTGATTTTTTCATTTTGTAGATATATTTCATTAAAGATAATTTTATTTTTAATTTAATGTTTCATAACATGGTAGCAAAAATGTATCTTCTCTCTAAGTGATTTTAAAGTAAAATTGTGCTTTATGGCAAGTGATATTATATTATATAGCTATTAAACCTGATGTATTGTTAACCTTCTATTAAATAACTATTGAGTATTCTGGTATAGCTTTTGACTGCTATACACATTTGCATGAATGTTATATAATCTCTGACTAAAAACATGTTGGCTATTACCCTGCACCTTATCCTAACCATCACTTCTTACACATTCTCTCCTCTCTCTCTCCCCCCTGTGTCACCCCTCTCTCATGTGACTGCAGTGATCATAATAGCACGGCTCAGCTTCATGGCTCGCCCACCCAGAGATACTGGCCATACCCGCCCCAAGCCGGCAACCGCAGATTGATTAACTTCAGGTTCTTTGACTCTTGGGAAAAAACTGTTCAGCTTTGTCATTGTTCTTGTCAGTGGACCTTGTGTCGTTGTGTTGTGTGTTGGGTGGTCAAGGCCACATTGTTTGTGGTGACACTGAAATTCTTTAAAATGTTTTGTGTTGTGCATTATTAATTTTACAATTTCAGGTTTGTTTGAATCCCTTTAAATTTCCTAATCTGTAAACTGTTGGGTTTTTTTTCAGCTAGTTACATATTTCATTATTCCATTTATGAACACCAATTGTAAATATTTTGTTGTTGTTTAGATTTGATATATTATGTCTGTTTCCTAGCAGATAGAATTAAGCTTGTTTTGACATTTTGAGAATTTTACTATTTCCAGATATCTTAAGGGGTTCTGTTTCCCATATTCCCATGACACTTAAATATTCATCATTCTTTGAAGGAGGAAATACACAAAAAATAAATATTCATCCTCATTTAAAAGTTTAAGATTTTTAGGGAAGTGTTCTTATATTGGCAGACATGTATTTAGGAGTTTTCATGGATCAATATCATAAGCTTCATTACAGGGACTGACAGTGTGTATCAGTGTCCAGTATGTATCCATGTCCAGTGTGTATCCATGTCCAGTGTGGACCTATGTACTTTATGATACTGATGCATGTGTGTCTGTATGTTACCAGGCAAGATGCTGGCACTGGCCAGTCTCGTCTACAGCTCGGCATGTTCACCATCTTCCCTGCGTTTGGTATCATTCTTCCTAATGGTCATCAGAGTGTCACCGTGGACTGTGTTGCTGAGAACCAGGGCCGGTCAGATGAGGTCAGTTACTGCCATAACTAGGCACCTATGCTCCATATATAAAGGGTTGTTCAGTTGAAGCAACAAAATTCCTTGTGCAGAGTTATGCCCCTTAGGCATGCCGGAAATCTATGTCTATCAGTTTGAATCTCAGATTATGTTTCTTGCTTTGTCAGTGCATTAGACACGCTTTGGGGCTTGACCAAAGTTTTACCATGACAGCTGACACAGGATCAGCTCTAACATCACCTGATTGGTTGGAAAATGTCCCTCAGTAAAGTTGACTGTGTACATTATTTACCACTGGTTTATTACAAGGGCGGAATGCCATTGTGTTAACACTGGTGCAATTTGCTCAATATGTCATATCTATACTCTCACTCACTTAACACCTAATGTATGTCATGTCATCAGGACATCAGTATCGACATCACTGAGCGCGACCCAACAGACCACCAGGGTGGAATCCCATACAAACTGTTGGCAGAGGCTTGTATTCCAGCCATCAATGTTGATGATGTTGGCTCCGTCTTTGAGGAGCACCGCATCTGTAGGAACCTCAGTGTGTGGCAACACTTGAACCAGGTGAGTTGGGCAGCCATATCATGTGTCATAGCTGGAATAATTTCATCAACATTCACTCTCTTGGTTTAAGTGTAATAACTGAGTTACATTAAATGTTTTGTATTCATTTCTTTAAGAATAACATTGTTGATAATTTAAACTTCTGTGAACTTTCACACTGATGTTTTCAGGTGGAGAGTGGTGGCGTCTATGGAGAAGAGGAGAAGAAGTTTGTGTTCAACAATGTCATTGTTGGCCGCCGTGCTAAGGCCAGGTTCAAGATCTCCAACACCAACAAGGTAGTCACCGTATATGTCTTCATCGTTGACACTTAATTACCAGTAAGTGTTTGAAATATGACAGTGCCTCTGCAATTATGAGACTTAACAGCATTTAGTTTGGGCAAACGAAAACCCATAATATGAGGAGGTTATTTTATGTCAGAGATCATGTCATGATGTTGTAGGTTCCCTGTGACGTCGTGTTCACTCTCAAGCCGATTCTCACCAAGGGAGCTCCTAAGGTCCAAGACATCTTTGAGGTGGAGCCAAGCCGGACCCAGATACCCAATCACAGCCACTCTTACATTACCATCACATTCACGCCACCATCAATGCAGGTGTGTAGTATAATAGCGTGATTGTTTGCATGTTTACAATCCACTATTGAACTACCTATTTAGAATTTTGAGTCATCGCCTTTGAAGAATCACTAAAAACAAAGAACATAAATAAATAGTCAGATGTTATTGGTATAATACCATATGACCCGAAGTTCAAAGTTCAGTTCAGGTTTGTTTGGGGTCATAATAATAATGGCATTTGCATTGCGCTCTCCCCACACCATGAAGGTATGCTCAAAGCGCATCTCACATTATTACCCTGGATAACCCAAGCTGCCTGTTTGGCACTAAAGGGGTTATAGTCACAACACTTCTCCCACCGGGTACCCATTTTCTGCTGGGTGAACAGAGGCAATTTTGAACAAACTCTCTTGCCTATGTTGAGACCACATACATCACATTAGCTTCATTAACAAGGGGTCCTATATCTTACAATCTTTACTACTATCTGAGGTGACACAGGTCACTGTTGCTGTTGCCTCCATTTTGCATACCAGAGTACTATGATCATGGGTTGAAATATCAGATTCAGTCTGATAATAATCAGCATCATACCAGTGCTTTTAGGTATATCAACAGTAAGGAAGGGGGCACAGGGAACAGTTGTCTAAGACACTGCAATTATGTATACTTGAAAACTATGATTGCAGGTTCGAATCCCAGTTCGCCATGATTATGTTTTGAGCTTTGTCAGCACCATAACAGCAGTCCTAAGTTTTGTCAGAGAGTGAAACATCTGAGACTTGCCTGACTTTGGGTTTTTCTCCCACCTATCTGGTATGGTGCGATGTAACTCAAACACTGTTCAAATCAACATTAAACCAAACCCAATCAGGACCAACTGTTCATGTAACCAAGTTGTGTTGTTTCAGTCCTACAGTGCCATATTTGAAGCCTCCATTGAAGGCTCAAACCAGAACAAAGGCAGATCACTGGTGTTTGAGGTGTCTGGCGAGGGCAACCTTCCAAGAATCAGTATTTCTAAACCATCCATCAGGAACAAAAGAGGCCAGCCCTTGTTGTTATTTAAGAGGATACTACTGGGGAGAACAGAGGCCCTTCCATTCGTACTGCGTAATGATGGCACTCTACCCAGCAAGGTTAGTGTCAGCTATTGGTTTCATGTACCACTGTAACATTTCAAAATTTCTTTTTAACAGTAGTATCAAATCTTTTATGCACGTTATATACACTATTTTCCAGTTAGAAATGGCTCTAATTATGTACTTGGTATCAATAGGAAATACTGAAGTTATAAGGCATGAAATTAAAGAAAGATACTTTATTATTTCTGACACAACATAATGAAAGTGGAGGGATCAGGGACAGATAACTCTTGTTGGTATCCAAGGATGGGTTGGCCCAGGAGTTCTGTGATATGGGCTCAAAATCTCAGAAGGAAATTGCAACTTGTTTTGTCAGGATTAAGTATATTGTTATGAATATTCAAATTCATATAGACCCGTGAAGGTCCGGGTTAAATTTTGATCTTCAGTAATGACCCATATGCTTGCCGTAAGAGGCAACTAACGGGATCAGGTGGTCAGGCTCGCTAACTTGGCTGACACATGTCATCGGTTCCCAGTTGTTCAGATCGATGCTCATGCTGTTGATCACTGGATTGTCTGGTCCAGACTCGATTATTTACAGACTGCCGCCATATAGCTGGAATATTGCTGAGTGTGGCGTAAAAATAAACTCACTCACTCACTCACTCACACAAATTCATATAGAATTTAGAAACATAGAGTTAATAAAGTTAGTATACAGAATTTTATACTTACAATTTTATATTTAAGTGTGTTTACCAACCTTACTCTTCAGGTTGACATTGATCTCATGGATCCGGAGGAACTGTTCACCCTCAAACCTACTGGTTCAACTCGGGCCTTAATGGGAGATTTCAGCAGTGGAGATGATGGTAAGAGCCACATGGTCATGTATTTGCAGAAATATCTTCCTCAGTTGTTCAACTTGCTTTCATTCAGTACCATCAAATAATATATTCCAGTAGATCCAGAAAACTGGATTCCAGAGACACAGGTTCAAAATGTTGGTTCCCAGTACATTGGTTCTATTCATTGGGGGAAAAATTTGGTTCTCAGGGAAATAGTTTTGGAGTAATGGTGCTGGTAGTGGTGTAATCTAATAAACAGCCGTGTACAATCAATATGGGGAGAAAATGTGTGTGCAGGTGATTGCTGTATCCAGTCAATTTTATGAGACAATTACACACGGTTGTCTTAATCTCTGCACATATAACAATACCAAGTGTACAGTTAATACAACTAAAATTGCAAATCATCTTGTCTGGTGATGTTTTTTTCACAAATTTCACATTCTCACTGACCAAGATTGCAAACAGCAACACAAGCACACAAACAATGCTTCTGACTCCACAGATTCTACTACTGTTGATAATCTGAGAACAATAACAGTACACATCAGTTCAGAGACTGTGGGACATACATGTTCTAACTGCTTGCAATAATGGACTGTGTTATATTATGTTGTAAACGTTCCCTCTGGATTATGGTTGCCAGTTTCCTGTGGAATCACAGAGACATACAGAAATGAAAGAGAATACAATTCTCTTTTGAAAAACTAAGTCATAGCTATCCCTAGTGGTATGCCTAAATAGTACGCAGTTATCTCCCTTAGCCGTGATGTCACAGCATGCTTCTGACTCCACAGATTCTACTACTGTTGATAATCTGAGAACAAAACAGTACACATCAGTTCAGAGACTGTGGGAAATACTAACTGCTTGCAATAATGGACTGTGTTATTTTCAGTATTGCAGTATTTCACTGTTAAGGTCATGTGTTAAGGGGTATTTATATTTAAGATCAAAATATGGTGCTGACTTTATGCAAATGCAATGGTGCCTGAAAACCATGTCTACAGCCCAAGTCTTATGCACTGTCTGGTTCAGAATGAGTTCCAGTTAGGGAATAGACACTGTCTTTGATTTGGGATGATGAAGGCGTGATGAGGTCCTGGTTTCATGGCATGTGTTGTTCCCATCTTACAGCTGCCAGGAAGCGACCACACACTGCCTCTGTTGTGGTAGGTATAGGAGAGGAGGCAACATTCAAGGCCATCTTCAAACCCAAGGCAGCATATCGGTCCCAGGCACAGATCCGACTCTCCGTGATAGACAACCAGTATGAGGACTCTGTCATTCTGCTGGTCGGGGAGGGTTACGAGGATGACATCACTCTTGATAATATACACAGCGTCAACGCTGCTATTGACCCAGAGCATGAAGAGGGCAACATGGCCGAAGATGATGTTGCAGGTAGGATCAGTTGATATTTGAAAGTTACCATGAGTCATTATCTTGCTTCACACATAAATGTCGGTTTCTGATTGGCTGGGCGCTCTTCTATTATTTTCAATGTACCCCGCTTGCAAGCGAGTAACTTTTTCTATGTACCCCGCTGGGAATGCCAAATTCATTTGGTACTTCGTTGTAGTAATTCCTCACCTCAAATAACATTGAATCACGTATGATGTATGGAAATTACCGATGTTTTGCAAATGCAAATCGATGGAAGGGAGATAACTCCAAATTTGTTTTTCTTGTCGTCTTGTCATCTGGTACTCCATACTATGATCCGATACCTGTGCTTCAAACAGTCCAAAATTACCATTGATGTGTTGGGTAAGATAAATACGTTGTTCACTGGTCCCTCGGGGCCCATGGGTTGATGTACCCTCGATGTTTGTAAACAAACATTGAGGGTACATCAGCCAATGTCCCCCTTGAGACAAGTGAACAACTTATAATGTAGTAGACTATTGCCATGTATTTTCTGCTTGATATTGATATCATGACTACTTCCTGGGTTTGTATACACAATGATATCATCACTACTTCCTGGGTTTGTATACACAATGATATCATGACTACTTCCTGGGTTTGTATACACAATGATATCATCACTACTTCCTGGGTTTGTATACACAATGATATCATCACTACTTTCTGGGTTTGTATACACAATGATATCACTACTTCCTGGGTTTGTATACACAATGATATCATCACTACTTCCTGGGTTTGTATACACAATGATATCATGACTACTTCCTGGGTTTGTATACACGATGATATCATGACTACTTCCTGGGTTTGTATACACAATGATATCATGACTACTTCCTGGGTTTGTATACACAATGATATCATGACTACTTCCTGGGTTTGTATACACAATGATATCATCACTACTTTCTGGGTTTGTATACACTATACTTTCCTCCATCCCCTGAATGCATACTAGAGACTGTTATGCCCTTATTCCCTGTGTCCTACTCCCACAAATAATATACCAGTCACAAGCTGAGCATAACAAGCCAATTGTCTCAAGAAGCATTCCTGGTGTAGAGCTCATATGACTTGCATCAGTTACCAAAGGCCTCATTTCATTAGCTGACTGAAAAGAGAACCACTATATTTCTACACTACATACCACCCATTCAGGTGTCCCTAACCATGATTAGATGGAATATTGCTAAAAGCAGCGTAAAATCATTCCCACCCACTAACATAGTGGCCATATGTATTTTGGGTGAAGGAGGAATGGTATGTAATCAAAACCAGTGGGAGATTGAGGACTGTCTTCTGCTTTTATGCATAATATCAGAGAGAGCAGATATCCTTTACCTGTACCTAGATAATTAAAGGAAATTATTACCTTTATGATTTGGGGTCTTTTGTTTTCAGCTGCCAAGCCGAACCTTATTAAGTTTGGTGAATGCTTCATCAATGAACCACGAACTCTGACGTTCTCGATGACGAACCACTCCAAGACAGACTGTGTCCGCTTCCAGTGGCCGGATCAAGTCCCCTCACGTTCTCCCCCAAGACTGGTCACATTCATGCTGGCTGCTCCAAAGACATTGCCGTCACTTTCAAGGCAGAGACACCCAAAACACTCACAGAACAGCAGGTCATGTGTAAAGTCTCCAAGATCACCTTTGAGAAACCTATGGAGCAGGTGAGAATGTTTACTTAAATGACACATTTTCTAGTTTGAGAGGAATTTTTGTCAGATATCACCAGAAATGAGTGAGTGAGTGAGTTTAGTTTTACGCCGCACTCAGCAATATTCCAGCTATATTGCGTCGGCCTGTAAATAATCGAGTCTGGACCAGACAATCCAGTGATCAACAGCATGAGCATCGATCATAACCAGACCGATTATAGAGATCATTTACTGTGTGTTTGTATCACGAGTTAATGATTACTCTATGTTACAGATACCTGACTGGGATGACAGGATTCGGACTGTGAAGTGGGTGGAGAACCCCACCACCCCAAACCCTGCTGACAGGTGAGTGAACAAGAACAAGAACATAATTCACTCACTCACCCCCTGGAATCAGCTTGTTCATTTATATCTGACAACACATGTCCTTCTTCACCCTACCCATCCTCAGCCTATAAGTATTGGCATCACATTGACAAAAGCGTTTGACCACATTTCTAAGTAGAGTTATCTTGGAAGGTGACATCTTTTTCCTGTCCTTCAGAGATAGAATGACATAATATATTTTATTGCCATGCTCCAGTGATTTGTGTATGCATCGTTCTTCTATCACCTATAAATACATATAGTCCAAAATGTGTAGTAAATGTATGTCTGTTGCATAGATCAAGCAGGGAAATAATGTTGTGAAATTCCTGAAGTGATTTGTAGTCTTCTTATTCAGTTTGAGTGTGATATTGATGCAGTGCATGAAGCAGATTCCCACAGGGTTGTATTGTATGTTTGCAGCAGAATCATTGTCGTTTGTGGGATGTAATCTCAGACAGTTGAAACTTGTTCGTGACTTGTTTTGTTGGTAAACTTTGCAAATAAACTGCCATGCAGACATAGATGATGGAGAAACGTTGTGTATGGAGACTACAGAAGGATGTATGTAGTACGATCTCTACCTCTGATATCTGATTCCCATGCAGCACTGCAAAGTCCCAGCCCCCAACACCCCACCAGCCCCGCCCTGCCAAGAAGAAGATCGTGGAGACCGAGCCGGAACCAGCATACACCGAGGTGGCTGATACTGCGCAATCTGTGGAGCTGTTGGTGTCTGGTGTGTCGGACCACTGCAAGTACAAGTGCAAGGCCGAGTCTGTCCACTTCAAGGACACCCTCATGTTCCAGACAAGAGTGTATGAGTGAGTACTTATAAGTATTTGGACACCATGGACAGTTAATTATTCAGCTAGCCTGTAACCTAATCTGGGCTAGTAAAGTGAGTAGCTGAAGTAGATTTGGGGACACAACAACCAGTCCTTCCAGATTTTCTTGAGTCTCAGCCCCAGTGAAATATCTAGATTAGAATTGGTCCTCACCTACTCATACACACATACATACTAACATTTGTATAGTGCCGATATCCAGCTCAGCTGCTCAAAGGCGCTTTGTTTTTCCCTCGATCTGGTCTTCATGGATCACTAGCCTGGCGCTTTAGACAGTTCGCCCACCACACCCACTCATATGTGTCATATGAAGCTACTCTGGGATCAGATCATGTCAGTTGTAGCATATGTGTGTGTCTGTGTCATGCCTCCATGACTGATCCACTTGAGATTGGTCTTCAGCAACTCATACTTGTCATCAAGGCCAACTAAAGGATCAGATCTAGCATATGTGTCTTGATGGGAATTCTGGATAGGTCCCTGCAATCTGTGCTTGTCATTGACTTGTTGCACTGAGTGGTGAAACTCATAACACAGTTGGCTGTTTGTCATTGTACTCCAACAATGTGGATTGTTTGTCATGATATCAATCACTAGTTTGTGATCTGGTCCAGACTTGATTATTGGAATATTACTGACTTAAACATTAGCGTTACACAACAAGCAAGTAAACAGACTATGACCGTCATATATTTCTGTGTCCACCAGCATCACACTGAGCAACAAGGGTCAAGTCCAGATGGACTACAGCTGGCAGGTCGTCATGGACAGCTTCACACCATCTCTACAGCGGGCAGTCACCTTCATGTCCGAGGGAGAAAGACCAGAGTCCAGAGTGGATGTCATCGACTTATCATATGTTCCTTTCTCCATTGAGCCCCAGTTTGGAACAGTCCAGCCTGGGAAGAAGGCGATCTGCACCATCAAGTTCTCTCCCCTGGATGTTAGCGACTACGAGGGCAGATTGGTCTGCAGGTAATATACTTGTTACATCACTGTAGTGTTACTGTGGATCTGTGGGGATTCCAGGACAAATGTATCCCGTGCTTGTCTTCAACACCAACTAATGGCAGTAAGGTGGTTATGATGTGTGAACCCTTTGGGTTTAGAATTGCTCCCAGCAACCCCTGCTGGAGGTGACTCAATGTATCACGTGGTCAGCCTTGGTGATGTGATTGATTGTATATCATCCTACCCTGATGGTGTTGATTGTTGCCAAGAATCTCAATCACAAAATCTCAGACAAGATACCTTGCCGAAAGCATCTTCTTTGAGTGGCATTGTTTAGAAGTTGGAGAGTATTTTACAGACAAACTTTATGGATAAACATCTTCTTTATTTGGATGATGCGACGTTTCGATACAGATTCTTGTATCGTTGTCAAGCAAGTCGTCTACCTTACTCATACTTGCTTGACAATGATACAAGAATCTGTATCGAAATGTCGCATTGTCCCAATAAACAAGATGTTTATCCATAAAGTTTGTCTGTATATTACAGAAAGCAGTCATAGATCTGGATTATTACTGAGTGTGGCTTTAAACAACAAACAAACTACATAATGCATGATCTGCCTGGGTTGTTCAAGTCATCTACAAGGCTTTGATGCCTTCTAATTACAGGCACATGTGGAATATTTCTGTCTGCACATTTGCAACATCACCTCACTTCTGTGAGAACTGTTGGAACTACATATAAATATGAGTGTAACTGCAGAATTGTAAATACAAATGACAACTACTCTCTCTGTATGGTTGATGAAACATGTCACACATTCCACGCAGCATCCCTAACTTGGAGAAGTCAGAGCAGGGCCCAGTGGTGGGCATCAAGGGCCGCAGCATCATGCCGTACTGCCACTTCGAGCTGGCCGACTCCGACTACATCACAGGGGCCAAGCGGAACCCGGAGCTGCGAGGACCGGGAGGAGCACCCCCAGGATCTACCCTGGACCCCAACACCAGGGTCATGGAGTTCAGCTGTGTGGGGATCGGAGTCAGGAGTGTTAGGTAGGTGTGCAGGTAACAGCTGAGTAGGCCACATGCTTTCAGCATGGGTAAACAGCATGTCAAGTGTTTGATCTTGAGAAATGAAACTTGACATTCAGAGTAGTTGGGAGAAGTAGTGTAGGATACCAGGTGACGTAATCAGGAAGATTGGTCCTTCACTACCTCCAGTTCAAATTCAATTAATAATGTTTCCTTTGTGTCTTTTTACATAAATACTTCCTTATTTTAAAATATAAATATGATCATACTGTCAAATGTATTGACCAGGGTCGCTTTCATATGCTGGTTGACATCATCAGTTGAACCTGGAACACCTAGAACAAAACATTTGTGTTCTACCCTGTGCAAGGCCTGCCTTCTTACCTCCTCATTTGAAGAACCTAAACCTTGCATTATGGGGTATGTGATGCCAGTATGTGTGGTTTTAACTGACAGCTGTTTAACCATTGCAGAGAGTTTGGGATTGTCAACCCAACAAGTCACACATATCACTTTGAGTGGGTGTGCGAGGACGAACAAGACCCCAAGATGCCATCGTGTTTCCGATGTTTGGCCCAGAAAGGAGACATTAGGAGTGGTCGCAAGTTCAAGGTATGTTTTGGACCTGATGTTCAGTTATAGACAAATAGCAAAAGATACATATGCTCATTCATATTGAGCTGTATATTAGACATGAAGCTATTGAAGAAAATATAGTCTGAATGAGGAAATTTTCTGAAAAAAGCAATATGATGCCTTTAATGTCAATAACATGCCTTTTAGTTGAATGTGTTCCGTGTTACAGGCTGGGTTTGAGTTTGTGTCTAGTCAGACAGACATTGTTGAGTCGTTCTGGAGGTTTGTGATCCCTGATCAGAACATCTCCGTACCCTTCCTCCTGGTGGGCAACACTCAGGAGCCGGACATCGCGATGGACAGATCCCACCTCAGCTTCAAGTCACTGCTCATTGGTCAGTTGATCCACCTAGAACCTGTTTGACGTCCCAGTTTTGATTTTATTTTGAGTCAGATGACATAATGCTAAATTTGGCTACTAATCAAATACCATGATTTGATTCATCTTTGAAATAAGAGAGTTCTTCACTTGCCATGACTTCGGGATATGTGTCATAGTAGAATGAAGTCATGATAACCTGGATAATCAAAGAATTGAGTGTATTTTTACACCACTTTTAACAATATTCCAGCAATATCATTGCGGGGGGACACGAGTAATGGGCTTCACACATTGTACACATGTGGGGAATTGAACGCGGGTCTTTGGCATGACAAACAAATGCTTTAACCACTAGGCTACCCCACCACCCTGGATAATCAAAGAAGGCTCTACACTGGATATAGTCCTATATATGTTCCACCTTAAGTTAGATGGGATAGATAGGATAGACCATTGATTATTACACTTGTTGTGTTTGTTGATGTACATCAACCATTGATGAAGATTCATGGCAGGTTTGCACCAGTTTTCACAAATAGGCAATCTTCTTTTAACTGATATTGATGTATATTCTGATGAAGCTGACATCTTTGTCACAGGACGGGAAGCAGAGGAGCAGGTGTTCCTCATCAATGGCGAGGACACGCCCTTCAGCTTCTCATTTGTGGAGGACTCATGTCACTCAGAGGGATACTCCGCCCACATCCCGGGTCGAGCCAATGAGTGGTGTCATTCCAGCAAAGTCAAAGTAAGATATCGGTCCACTCTGATTTAACAATTATTAATGCCATGCTTGTCAGAGCATCTTGTCAGACTCAGCACATGTCAAGGGAGAAAATAGTGGTGTCTTCTTTTCACACTGATAGTTTCATCATAAAACCTTATAGTATAGTATCAGTCTTTGATAGTGTAGGTGATGTAGATAGTGTAGGATGTAGATAGTGTAGGTGACATTGGTTACACTGTAGTCTAACGTCATACCTTGCTTGTCTCAGACTACAAATGATTCAATGTATTTCCAATGATCCCGTTGAGTTTTACCTGTCCATCATGTATGCCTGATGCAGCTTCTGACTAAAGTGTGTTGCTATGGTACTGTGTCACATCCTCCCTGTCTCTACCATGAGGTTTTGTCCTGCAGGGTGCCAGTGAGTCTGTTCTTCTCCCCCAACTCGGACAAGGAGGTCAACTTCAACCTGGTGTGTAACATCAGGAAGAAGGTGCAGCCTGTCACCCTCAACGTGAAGGCGGAGGGCTACTCCATGAGCTGCACCCTGCTGTGTGAGGACTCCGCTGGCAACAGGGTTGAACTGTCGGAGAAGGGGCTCAATGAGATCAACTTTGGAGAGGTAGGAACTAATAGATTCTTGTTGATTGAATATTAATTACCGCTTATTTAATTGAATCTTGCACCTGAGTTTACGATAGTCATGCTGAAGAAATGCCTTAACAGGACATGGGTTGAACTGAACAAGGTTTAGAATGACCCCCTTCACTCTCATCTCATCCCCAGATTGAGATCAACGAGCAAGCCATCAGAAACTTGTTCATCCTCAACTCAGGCAAGTTCAACTTTGACTATAAGTGGGAGCTGAACGAGAGATCCACCAAGAGGGATGTTGTTACAATCACACCGATCAGCGGGGGCGTCCTGCATGGAGAGAAACAGAAGTGTATGCTCAGCTTCTGTCCCCCCAGCCGAATGTCTTTAAGAGGCTGTGAACTGGCTCTGAAGGTAAGATGTCCTGATACAATTTGCTATAATGATCTAGTGACAGTTCTGATTAACTACCCAAGGACACAGACCCTTTGGTTGCAAGACATATCTGTCAGTGCCTGTATACAACTTTATCTGTTTGGGACACTATGTGCTACAGAACATAGCAATATGTAATAGAAGACCTAGCTTCCATCAGGCTATAAATGTGTTTGTCATTTGTTCAATGTGCGGCCAAGCTCAATGCAGATCTCATAACTGTTCCATTTCAACATGATAAAGTACCATCATTAGTCTCCTGTCTTAGGGCATTTCCATGAAAAGCCTACCTATGTTTATAGATCTAGTGAACAGTTGGCACAATCTTTCCTCTATTGGTCCAAGTTCTAGTCTACATCTTGAAGTACCTGCAGCCCAAGCATCAGTGTGTTGAAAATAACATATAATCAGGATATGATTTTGCTACATGTGATGCAAAGTATGGATGCCCATTGGATTAGAGCATTTAGCTGTGCTGTTATTAGTGACAAGAATAGGAATATGGAGGCACTTTAAAGTGTATCATCATTTGGTTTGCCTGACACAAAATTGAGTACTTGCAGGTAATCAAGATGTAGCTGATATGTTTCCCGACTGGCATAAAACAACATTCATCTCATTACTGTACTTGATATTCATTTAGTCCATGCACATAAATTAATTATTGTTACAGTAGCAGTTAAAAGGCACATTAGTTAAAAGGATTGATGTGACTGATGTTCCTTGTATAGAACTGTTTAAAATGGTATTAAATTCAAACTCATTCACCAGCCCTGTACACATATTCCAGATCTCTCACGGTCCTACCTACCACATGAGTATTCTTGGTCTGGGCGTCACCCCCGGCCTTCACTTCTCCTTCCACTCCTTCAACCTCGGCAACTGTTTCATCCACCGTGCTGGGATGCCCGACCACACAACTACACTCAAGCTCACCAACAAGGACAACAAGGAGATCAGGTAAAGACCACTCTCTCAGACAATCAACTCATGTAATATATGTAACATAGATTCTGTGGCAGCCATGTCGCTTCACACCACACTGTTTCCTGTCTCAGTGATCATTTGAACATCTCCAGGCCACAGTTGCCATTAGCTCACTCAAACATGTCCATCCTCAGTTATTCAGGGTGTCATATCTCCATTTTATTTATTATGACAAAAACTGTACCTATTCTCCACCTTTGCTGTGTTTTGGAAGTGACATCACCACACCCTTCTCTACTATCTGTAACTATGTAGAAAATGTATCTCTTCGGCATTGTGCCATGCAAATAAGGTTCAAAACAAAGAGGTGGATGGGTCCAGGATTTATATCATAGTATAATGGAGATATGATGCATGGAGAATGGCTTCATCGTGAAGGCCATCATTAAGCTATATAAATTTAAAACTGATTGAATTAATAGAAACAGGTACCTGTATTTATAATATTCTTTCAGATAAAGTGACTTGAGTTTAGCACGGAAAAGTGTTTCCGTTACACCAGAGTGTGTCAGCTTAATGTAAGAGAAAAGCCAGATCTAATAGTGAACCCAATGAGCAAAGATGTGATGCTGACATGCCTAGTAACAAACTTGGGGCAAAATGGAGTTAGAACCCATGGTCTAAGGTTTCTGGTGTGCCCAAGGGCCACAAGTCTGTACATCAAGAGGCGGTGGGGTAGCCTAGTGGTTAAAGCATTCGCTTGTCATGCTGAAGACCCGGGTTCGATTCCCCACATGGGTACAATGTGTGAAGCCCATTTCTGGTGTCCCCTGCCATGATATTGCTGGAATATGGTTAAAAGCGGCATAAAACTGAACTCAATCACTCACTCACTGTACATCAAATTGTGACACCTTCAAACAAAGACCTGTCATTAGGTGTGCTGAATGATGTTAAATATGGTGTACTAGAATTGTGTCATCCTTTCCTTCCAGCATCGACTGTCTCTATGAACCAACCAATCATCTGCATCACAACTTTGAGGCTGGAGTCATTGCTCCAGGACAGTCAGTTGATGTGACCTTCACCTTCTATCCAAGGGAGGCAATGAGATACCATGAGGTGGTCACATTTGAAATCAATGGTCTCTCCAAGCAAAGTGTGGAATTTGTTGGACAGGGAACAGAAATGAAGGCAAGTTGATGAAAGTGTATCTTGAACAATTAAAACTTTGAAAAGGGTGTTTTAGGGTTGTACTTTTGTCATCCAGATGTATTTCCTAAATGCTGATTAGAATGCATAAATACATGTATATGAAAGATTTCCAGAAAATATAGAACTACTTGGTACAGTTAAACATATACGAATCAGTTTCTTCTTTTTCTAAACCCTTTCTGTTTAAAATTCACAGATCGAGGTAGCAGATCCAAAACACAAGATCGTCAACCTCGGTCCAAAATATGTTGGTGATGTTGTGAAGAAGTACATCCCCATTGTCAACAACAGCCCTGCTGCCATCACCTTCAACCTTGCCCTGACCCCCACAGCCCCTGCCCTGCAGCAGCCAGAAGTCCTCAGTATCTCCCCCACCCAGCCCATCAGACTCAGTCCCAGAGGGGGCACCTGCAAGGTGGAGATTGTCTTCAAACCCAAGTCTAGGATACCACAGTTCACAGAGGAGGTAGGTTCACCTAGCTCTTGTCTTTGTATCGTTTGAGGATTCTGGGTTAGAATTTGTTCCCAGCAGATGTTCTGTATAGAAATTATTCCCAGTATAGAAAATGTCCAATCACTTCATATCTCAATGTTTACAGATAAATGGTCAAAACTAGTTGAATTGTTTTAGATGCCATTTGCTGTACAGAGTTACGTCCCTTGGGTGTGCCAGAATCCTATCACCTAGGAGTCAGATATATGATATTGTTTCCCCTCAGCATCAAGCTGATACACCAACATATGATTGACATACTATTCAACATGGTGTTAAGGCACACTGACCTGCTCAGTTGATAAATCATAATGTATAAAACAATGAAGATTAATAATCACTGTTACATTTTTGTCCTCCCTTGTGTCCCTTGTAGGTGATGCTGGAGTGTGCTGGGCTGTACCAACCCCTGTTTGTGGTCAAGGGGTCATGTCTGGGCATGGAGATCGCCCTGGACACAGAGGGTATTCCGTTCGGCACCGTTGTCCAGCGTAGTCAGAGCACCCGCAAACTGGTCATGTGCAACACTGGAGACATGAACGCCAAGTGAGCAAATATTCATTTAGTGTCAACAGGTCCAAACATCAACACAGATGTATGTCACTAGCAAACCATGCTATTGATATTGCTTCATCAGTTTGCATCCCATTATGATTCCTGGGAAGGAAAGGTCCCCACGATCTCATGTTTGTCAAAAGAGCTGACTTATGAGGAAGGGCAGTAACAGTGTGTGATGTGGCTGCACCTGTGTTCATCATTGCTCATGCTATTGACCATCAGTCTACCTGACCCAGTTTTTACCACAATAAAGCTGGAATATTGTCTATAAAACAAGATTCAAGTACTCATCACTTCACAGAGCTGCTCTTTATTTCAGTTTGTTTCTCATATTCTTTTATGTGTTTTCACATCTATTAGAGATTGGAATTATGGCCAATAAGTTTTGATGAAAGTTTAAATCTAGCTTGCCTTATTACAGATTCCGGTGGGATACAAAGCGTTTCAAGCCTGACTTCTCCATCAGCCCTGCAGAGGGCTACATCACGTCAGGTATGGAGGTGACTTTTGATGTCACTTTCCACCCCCAGGAGGTCAATCAGGACATCAGATATGACGTGAGTGTATCGGTTTAGTTGAGGATTTGTCACAAGAATCAGGATAACAGTAATGTGACATTAACAAAACTGGTTGTTATGAAAACAAAATCCTCGAAAGGTTCATGGAATCTTCTTTTTTGCAACAAGGGGTAGGCATGGGCATGTCATCTCTGAATTCAGCATGCAGATGTGATTGGATCATCATGGCTGAGATGTATGATTGCTCCCCACTACAACATGGATGGATGCTCGCAATATCAATCACTGGAATGTCTAGTCCAGGTTTCAGTGTTTAGATGCCACCATCATAAGCTGGAATATTGCTGAGTGTGACATTAAACAACAAAAATACGAACACTGTGCAGAGTTATACTCTACTTCATTTTAACCAATTAATTTCAGATTCAAAATCTTTCCGTGTTGATACAGTACTATATCATCAGCATATGTCATTTTATTCTCTAGAAACTACGTTGTTTCCTGGATGGAGGTCCCCACAAACCAGTGACCTTGACCCTGACTGGCATGTGTACTGGAGTGGGTCCCAGCAAGGAGATCCTGCACTTTGCCACCCATGTGAGACAGAAAGATACTCGTAGCATTGCCATTGCCAACCGAACCAATCAAAACTGGCTGCTCAAGCCAGTCGTTGACGGAGAGTTCTGGACAGGACCTGTCACCATAGCTGTAGAACCTCAACAGACCAAGTCCTACGAGCTGACCTACAAACCCTTGACCATGACCACTGAAAACAAGAGGCACACAGTAAGTCTGAAACTGAAAATTTGTTGGTTCTCTTTTGAAACTATGGAAGACAAAGTATTTTATCTTATCTCCTTAAGCCTCAAAGTAATAGCCATGTTTGAAATAAAACAAGATGAATTTCTTGACTGAAATGAAAGCTGCAGATAAGTCAGGCTATGTTAGAAGATGTTATTTGCATTCATATCTATTTCCCTCTTTACATTGTCCATTTTTTTAGACAAGATGAAAGTTGATATGATGGTATCAGAATGTTATTAGCCAACTGACTTTGAGTTAGCAGTGTTTCATCACTGAAGGTAATGTGAGTGTTGTGTGTGGCAGGGTACAATCTTCTTCCCACTACCGGACGGGACAGGACTCATGTATAATCTGACCGGAACAGCAGAGCCTCCGAAAGCAATGAGCCTCCGAAACCCAGCGGCATCCAGCGAGATGTTCCGTGTAAGACGTCCTACGTGGAGATCATGCCTGTACATAACTGGCTCAAGAGGCCACAGAGGTAACTGAGAAATACAGATCTGTAACCATAATAGTCCTCCTTTTTGTAGAAGTAATGTAAAACAGACCTAATGTTGTCAGTTGAACCACGTAGAACTGTAAAGAGGGGATTAACACAACCGGCAGGAAAATGTCTACTGTGTTCTTCTACAATTCTTTACTTCATGTTAGTTCATGTAAACTCTGTTACTTTAAACTCAAGTCAATGTTATGACTGTCCAATGGGACACTTCTCATTAAATGATAGTTTCCTTCAGAATGAGTTGGGGGTTCTGTCATTGTGCTTGTGTTTGTAACATAGCTTTGCCCTAAGCATTCCAACATCCAGGAAAATATTACCTTTGACTTTCCAAAATAATGTACAGCCACCAGGTGGATAGATCCACTTTACCTGCAGTTTTTATTCCTGTAAAGGTGATTGCAATTTTGCCTAATGATATTCACATCCACATGTACACCTAACGTGTGTTGATAAAGGACTGAAGGTTTTGACACTCTATCAGCATACAACATAGCAAATTTCCCCATAACTTGTGTCCAAGAATAGGCAGTGCTTATTGTATGCCAGTGAACACAATACACAATATGGTCTACAAGACCACCAAAGCCACTTACAGACTGACTAATGTTTGGAATCTTGTACAGATTCCGGGTGAAGACGGAGGCCATCAAGCCTGACAGGTTGGACCCTGGCACCACCGTGAAGGGCATGGAGTACATGGACGTCCCAGCCAACAGCAAGAAAGACTACAAGCTTGCCTTCTACGCCTTCAGGGAGGGAACCACTACACTCAAGGTACAACACCTTCACAGATGACCTACTTCTGTGTCTCTCTCACCTGTGTCTCACCTTTGTCTCACCTGTACAGTGTATTTCTCTTATATTATTTGGAGTAATATATTTTAACTCAGCTGGGCTGATTTTGCAAGTGAACTTATGTTATTTGGTGCTTCATCTTTTTCTGTATGCAAACCTCAATATAGAATTGATATGCAGTGACACTGTCGAGAATTTAGTTGTTTTTCCTTAGATTTTAGATATATTCAACAAATGCAAGGTCAGACTGTTAAGTTTGATATCAGGAGGATGGGTCCATGTGATAGTGTGACCTGTTCACAATGTTGGATAATGTTTCACTTCACCATACCATCTAGCTAGTCAGTTTAGAGGAGAATGAAGGGTTCTTTTTTAAAGTTTATTTGCAGAAAATATAGGGCATGAAACAAGGAAATCATATAAAACTGGAATATATTTTCAAAATGTGTTCTGGCAGTATTTATTGTACAGCACTTGGATGGTCTTCTACACTTGGTGACATAATTGCCCCTGATACAATGAGGAACAAATGTGAAACTATTTAGTCCTCACAAAATATAATCCTTTTTAAAACAAATGTGAAACTATTTAGTCCACACAAAATATAATCCTTTTTAAAACCGTACTCACTCAAGATACCCAAAATGGTGGTAAATAATACATGCAATTACATTAATTACAATTTTTTAAACATTGCTGCCTGTATTCCAGGTGACATTTGTGAACGAGCAGACCAATGAATACCAGTATTACGAGGTGACATTCCGTGCCACCAAACCAGGCGTTCTCTCCTCCATTGACCTGTCCACCCCAGTGAGACAGAGTGTCCACCACACGGTCAAGATAGACAACCCCCTCACCTACCCCGTCACCTTCTCCGTCACCTGCAACATCCCCGAGGTCCTCATGCCCACACAGCTGCAGATACCGGCTCAGTCAGAGGTGAGTGTTTCAGTTAGAGGTCTCATGACAGTGATTCTTGTTAGTCATGTGTAGATGTAATACTTTTGTATGCTCTGAACTTCAGGAATACATACCATACTTCCAATGCTCTATTGCCCTGGACCTAAATTTTCGAAGCTCTCTTAGAACTAAGATAGTCGTAAGTTAATGTTAATGTATGGCACTTACGACCATCTTAACAGTAGGAGAGCTTTGAAAATCTAGGTCAGGGGTAGTCCTTGATTAGAGTAGACCCTTAGCAGTCTATGCCTGTCAGGCAACTCAATGGTTTAGGTCAGTCACGGTGACTCAGCAGATTGTGTCCCACCCTGTGGAGGAGAATATTGGGGAGATATAGCTTATAATGTCAATCACCAGTTTGTCTGGTCCATAAGATTATTACATGCTGCAGTCATATTGCTGGAATACTACCAAGTGCAGCATTAAAACAACTTCACACACCGCCACCATATAGCTGGAATATTGCTGAGTACCATGTTAAGCGGCCTTCACATGGCAAACTAAAGTTTGACAACACATGTTGTCAAACTCAAATTTGACAGTGTGAACATACCAACAACTCGCCACCAACACCAATTTCACAGTTGTCAAACTGTTGTCGAGAAATAGGATCGGTCTCTATTCTCACCAACTTTTCCATCAAACTTTCGGTGTTGTCAAACTCGAGTTTGACGAGTGAAGAGTTGTCAAACTCATGTTGTTCAGAAACAACCAATTGCAGTCAACGAAATTGTCACATGACCGCACCAACAGAGACATGGCGCTCAAAATGACACGAAAGTTTGACAACATGTGTTTGACGGGTGAAAACGCGAGTTTGACAGCTTTTAACATTTTAACAACATGTGTTGTCGAACTTTAGTTTGCTGTGTGAAGGCCGCTTTGAACAACAAACAAACAATATAGCACACATGGGTCAAAGAATGAGTGGTGACTGTATAAATTATGGATGACAAAAAAACGCTCAGTTTTTTTATGCAGAAATTAAATCTTAATACTGCATCAGTAAACAAAGTGCAGTCTTTGAATTGTTGATTATTCCAGGGGCGCTTCAACTTTGAGTATCAGCCATTGAAAGCAGGAGACGTTCAAGGTCGCCTGGAGTTCAACTGCAGTGACCTTGGCCTGTACATGTATGACCTCAACCTCAAGTCTACACAAGGTGGTCCAGAGAAAGCACTGTACTTCCGCACTTGTCTTGGACAAACACAGATTCAGATGGCCAAATTCTTCAACTTTGCCAAACAGAAGACAGACTACGTCTGCAAGGTGACTACACATTCAGAATAATTAGGTTCAGCCTTGATGTAGTATATATGCTATTGCTATTTAATTGTGACATTAAGGCTAGGTCCTAAAGGAATAAGTGATTTTTAAAAAAATTGCCAGAAGCCTCAGTGTTTTAAATGTGCCTTCGGTGTAGTAAGCTAAATTGATAATAGACCTTATTAGTGTTAATATATACTGATGCAGAGTCATGTTCAGTAGATCATGAAGATAAAACTGCCCCTGTTGTTATTTCAGGCGGATAACCCGGACTTCCATGTGGACAAAACACTCACTGCCGCCCCGGGCTCCACTGGCGGTACCGAGGTTGCTCTCGAGGTCATGTTCGAGCCGTCAAGATTGGGAGAACACCGCAGTGTGTTAACAGTGTCCTCACCAATCGGAGGAGAATACACCTTCCCTCTGTTCGGCACATGCATCCCTCCCAAACCTCAAGGTCCCTTCATAGTGAAGGCCGGTTCATCCACACCCATCATATTCCGTAACGTCTTCAGCAGCAACACTCCCTTCACCTTCCAGGTGGACAACGAGCACTTTGGTCTGGCCAAGCAGGGAGAGACCATCAGAGCTCACAAAGATCATCGGATCATCGTCAACTTCGACCCTGGCGAGAGTGGCCCTAAGGCTGTGATGATGGGTAAACTGACCGTCACATGTGCTCGGTCAGCTGGTGGCAATTCTAGCGTCCAGTGGGTCTTTTACTTGAAAGGGTTGACGCCATGAAATGGACATCTGTGATTGACATTGTGTAAATATTTTGTTTCCTGTTGTTAATAGTGGCTATAATTATTGTCTAAACATTCCAACTCAATTCATATGTTATTTATATGATACAAATGTTCTGTACAGATTTATTTTTCATACTGTGATAAGATAGGAGTGGAAGTGTTCCAGTATATATTTTATCTTTGTCTGCATATACCGCAAACACTGCACCCAGTTTGAGTTTCTAATATTACTAGAATGGACATGAAAAATGTCTAAACAATCAATCGAGGATTTACTTGTTGATTATATACAAAAGATAAAATGAACTTTGTTACTGATTGCTATTGTGTTACCATTTGTTTTACACTTATGTATTTGTTATTGAGAAAATATTTGTCATTGCTTGAACATAAAAACGACCTGAAGACATTAACAGTTTCCCCAAAGAGATTTCATGAAAAATAAAATAAAAAGCAAGACAGCAGAATTCATGGATCAGCAATATACAAAAGTCATTTCTTTTCACTAGTGACAGTGAAACAATTTCACAAAAATTCAAAAACAAATATTTGTCTCTGTAAACAATAAACAGTGACAGAAGGCTTATGGTCAAAATCCGTCCATGCTGAAATGATATTGTTTCACAATAAAATGTGAAAGTCTTGATGGTCATTTAGTACTTGTGACAAGTGCATCATGACGAAGCATCTGTGATATGTTAATCATCAAATATTTGTACATTTCTGTAAAATATTAAATATATTTCCTGAAACTCTGTGTTATTCATTGTATAAATGCGTGGTTCAGCTTTTCACACTTCAAACTGCTAATCATTGTCCATGGGTGAAAGTGTGATCAGCATAACCATATAACAATTAAACGTCTTCATAGACAGATATCCAAGTAAAACACAGACAAGATGATCGAATCTGAATGATCAGCGTTACAAGTGTCCTCTTCACATCTGTCGTCCATTTGCAGAAGGTGTTTTCAAACGAACCTCACAGTCAAGGGAGTGTGTTAGGTTTTCCGCTGCTGTTACCAATGTTCCAGCAATATCACTGCCGGGGACACCGGAAATGGGCTTCACACATTGTACCCATGTGAGGGATTGAAAATGGGTCTTCAGTGTGAGACAAGCGTATGCTATAACCGTTAGGCCCCTCACAGTCAAGAATATAGCACTTATGCAGCGAAGTGCAGGCATGTGTATCAGTGACAGATTCTACTGGTCAGGGCTTATGCCTGTACAGTACAACCAGAACTTATTGAGAATTTAAGATGGCAATTTTTCATTTTTTTTTCACTCATTACTCACGTATTAAATGTGAATATTAGCAGAACATAACTCCAGATTCAAAGACAGGTGCACAGTTAGTATTTTGTCAAGTCACCATGGGCAGCAATGCAGGCTTCAATGCGGTGGGGCATACTACTGATCAAAGAAGTTAGAAAGTCGTGGTCCATGCTGTCCCAATATCGGACCACCTCTTCTTTCATTTCAGCAATATTTGTCAGATTTTTCTTATTGACACTTTCCTTCATAAGTCCCCAAACATTTTCTATTGGATTTAGGTCAGGGCTATAGCTTGGCCAATCTAATAATGTCATATTTTGGGTCCGAAACCAGGCCTGTGAATGCTTTGAACGATGTTTTGGGTCGTTGTCCTGCTGGAAAATACAAAAATTTCCATAGAACACGTGAGCAGATGGAAGTAAATGTCCCTCGAGAATATCTGTGTACCGCTCACTGTTTGTATTCCCCTTCAAATACACAGAGGGGCGTTGCCCCTAACACAGATATGCCACCCCACACGTTAAATTTCGGACTGTACTTTGGGCGCTGATACAAAGGTTTTTCAGTTTGTTTGGTCCAGAATGTCAGTGTATTAGGAAACAGCCACACAGAACTTTCATCTGAGAAAATCACATTGCCCCAGTTAAAATGTCTATGCTGTAAGCACCAGTTCAACCTCCCTTTGTTCAGGTTTCATGATCGGTGATGGAATTCCTCGATTTTTCTGCCAACCCATTGCATGCTGCTCAGTTCTAATTGTCTCCTTATAGACAACCACAGTTACTCTATCAATCATATCCAGCCTTAAGTTTTCTAAACTCCTTCGTTTGTTTTTAGAAACAAGAATACCAAGCCACCTCCTGTCACCGACAGTCAATTTTCTAGGCCTACCTGCGCCTCCCTGGTGCTCAATGCCAGTGTAGGAAAGATGTAGAAAATCTAGCCTGTCCACAGGACTGGCTGGTCAAATTTTTTACCAGTCCTGCCAAAATCTAGCCTGTCCTCCAAATATAAATAAAACACCATTTCAAGACTTGAAACTGGTTTGTTTTATTTTAAGCTATAATTTAATATGCACACACAGAGCTTGGACTGTTAAATCTCTCCTAGTGGAATCATCTGATTATTCTAGTATCCTTTGGCAGTAAATATTCAAAAAGGTTATAATATAATAATGATTATGTCATTGGTTTGCTAAAACTGACCCGACATGAGGACGGACCAGATTGTTTTTTAACCCGTCCTCCACAAAATTCACCCTTCTCGGACGTTGGGACGGGCTATCTTTCCTACACTGTCAATGCCATATCCATTTGCAATATTTTTCAAAACACGATAAACAGTGGACAAAGGGATGCCTGTTCTACTTAATTTAACGTTAGCTGATCTGATGTCCTTGTTATAATACTCTAAAATCAACTTCCTCTTCTCTAAATCATCCATACTGAGGATCACTGAAAATGTCGTCTGCTAGCAAGTAAACAAAGGGGGGTAACTCTTCACAAACTAATGAAAACGGATTAACGGAGTTGTCTCTCTTGAAAGAAACCAAGCACTTGATAGCTGGTCAAGGTTGTTTATACTAGAAATCAAATTAAACATATTCCTAAAATTCTCAATCATTTCTGGTCATACTATAAATAGTGCTAGCCCACTGAGACACCATGCTGCAGTTCAACATGGATACTCCACTCAGACACAATACAGCTAACCAGTCAATGTTGTTGTATCCCCTTCATGCCAAATATCAGGCAAGGTAACAAAAATACCATCTGTTAATGTCTGTTGATAAGAGGTGGCTAGGGGATTGAACTGCAACCTTTCACTTTCACTTTCAGAGCAGTGGCTCTGTCCTCTGTCTATTAAACCAAGGAAGATGTCCAATTTTATAAACCAAATCCCCAAATGTGAAATGAATCACCTTGCACATCTTTAGGAAGGTATTGGAGGTGAAAGAAAATTGATCTGCCAGGATTGATTCAATCATAGAAATAGAGAAGAAGTTCTTCTCTATTTCTATGATTCAACATTAAACACAATTTCATCAGAACAAGAAGAAACTGCAACATGCAAACCAGAAACAGCAAGACATCAACCTGATGGAACAAGCCAGAATGAGAAGGACATGACACATTGACTAGCTGAGGCTTAACTGACGTGTTAGTATAATCATAATAACCTTGTTTTCTCACTAAGCCTAATTTCATTGCCACAATAATGAACAAATACATACAATCAGCAGCCATGTTCACAAGACAAATTCCCTTCTTCAGAATAGACCGCCTCCGTGGTGTAGTGGTTAGAGCGTCCGCCCGGAGAGCGGAAGGTCGCGGGTTCGATCCCCGACGGCGTCATACCAAAAGACGGTTAAAATATGGTACTTGTTGGTCCCTGCCTGGCGCTCGGCATTAATGGGTACAACAAGGACTGGTCGGCTCGGAGTCAGTATAATGTGTCTGAGTGGGGTAATCATGCTTCACTGCGGCATGGTATCTCAGTGGGCTAGCACTATAAAACCAGCTTCAGTCTGGGCTAGTACAACAGCCGCACATACACATACACACGCATGCACGTCGTCATATGAGCGAAATATTCTCAAGCACGACGTAAAATCCAATTTCACTTCACCTCACCTTCTTCAGAGTAACATGAAAAAGTTCCTCTTTGTGCAGGAAAAATGTCACATTCAATAGTCTCTCTCAGCAAACTGTTCTTAGCGCTTGATAATTTGAATAATCTATTGACTTCGTTGTTGATACCCAAATATGGGGTGTCCTCAACTGACAACTGTTAAAAATGGCAAATTATTGGTATGTGAAATGCTGGCACGTCATTGAGTGCTACTGCAAGAGATGTTATACATCGACTATCAACCAGAAAACATCAGCAAACCAGTGACAATGATCGACAATGAGTGACAACTTTGAGGGATGATACACCCCTTCTCAAAATCACCACATTCTTCCATTCATGGCAAGTAGCCTGTTAAACAGAACGGCCCAATACATACACTTATTGATACTTATGTGATTTCATGAAGACTGTATGCCAGAATCTTGCAAATGACCGCACGTTGTTAAAGCGTTTGCTCGTCACGCCGCAGGCCCGGGTTCGATTCCCCACGAGCAGGATGGGTGAAGCCCGTTCCTGGTGTCCTTGTGAAGCCCGTTCCTTGCTGAATGCGGCGTTTAACAACAAACCATTCAACACTGCTAAAAGCGTCGTAGAACACAACTCATTCAGACTGAAGTAAATGATATATTTTAGTGTAATATTTTTACGGCAATATGACCATAGTCATTATCACGACAACATGCGTCAGTTTTTGTCATGTTTGCTCCTCTGAATAATCTACAGGTTTTCGCTCTTTTTGCGTTTAGAGTTGCCATTTAAAAGTGTTTGTATTGGGGGTCCCTGTATCCAGATAGTAAGTTACATTAAGGTTTCTTAAGTTTCTTTCACTATGGTTTATGGTAACACATTGATCCTATGAAAACTATGGAGTGTTGCGATATTTTATTCATTGTGTATATATGGAAAGTAGCAAATACTTGCACTTTCACCGATAGTTTAGCAGCACATCTACTTTTTGGACTTGTAATAAGAAACACTTAGATTTGGTTTCCTTTTGGTTTGGTTGTTGTTTAACTTCGCACTCAGCAATATTCCAGCTATATGGCGGAGGTGTGTAAATAATCGAGTCTGGACCAGACAATCCAGTGATCAACAGCATAAGCATCGATCTACGCAACTGGGATACGATGACATGTGTCAATTAAGTCGGCAAGCTTGACAGCCGGATCCTTTTCGTCGCCTCTTACGACAAGCATGGGTTACTAAAGACCAAACATAACCCGGATCTTCAGGCTTCTTCAGGTGTCAGATACACTTAGAAAGACCATCAGCACATGTGTAAGGTAACACAATGTAGTTATACACAGTGTGCAGTAATATGAACGTTATAACACATGTTAATCCAATTCTACCATTGGTTTATGCTCACACACTCTACCACCGGTTTATGCTCACACACTCTACACCTGGTTTATGGTGACACATTCTATACCACTGGTTTATGCTCACACATTCTATACCACTGGTTTATGCTCGCACCCTGTTTACAACTGGTTTATGTTGACACTTTCTACCACTGGTTGATGCTCGCACACTGTATACAACTGGTTAATGCTGACACTTTCTACCACTGGTTTACACTCACACATTCTGCCACTGGTTTACACTCACATTCTACCACTGGTTTATGCTGACACTTTCTACCACTAGTTTATACTCACACAATCTGCCACTGGTTTACACTCACACATTCTGCCACTGGTTTACACTCACACATTCTACCACTGGTTTATGCTGACACTTTTTACCACTGGTTTATGCTCTCACATTTTACCACTAGTTTATACTCATACATTCTGCCACTGGTTTACACTCACACATTGTACCACTGGTTTACACTCACACATTCTACCACTGGTTTACACTCACACATTCTACCACTGGTTTAGACTCACACTTTCTACCACTAGTTTACACTCACACTTTCTACCACTGGTTTACACTCACACATTCTACCACTGGTTTACACTCACACATTCTACCACTGGTTTATGCTCACACTTTCTACCACTGGTTTATGCTCACACATTCTACCACTGGTTTATACTCACACATTCTACCACTGGTTTATACTCACACATTCTATACCACTGGTTTATGCTCACACATTCTTCCACTGGTCTATACTCACACATCCTACCACCGGTCTATACTCACAGATTCTATAACAGGTCTATGCTCACACATTCTACCACTGGGCTATGCTCACCCATCTTAACTCGGATCGCGTCAGATACTCTTAGAAAGACAATAAGCTCAAGTTAAACGTTACACAATGTAGTAAAACTGTGTGCAGAAATAACAACGTTATAACACTTGTTATTACAATACATACGTTTTAGAAACAGCGATGTCATCACAGTGCGGCACTGAGCGGTATACAAAGCCAGTTGTGTGCAAGGCACCATGAGGGTTAAGGGTTGTAACCACGCGTTTTAATCCTATACAAAATACTTGATTTTTCAAAATAGAAATGTTCATGGAATTCACGGCAGTTTTGACAGTAGGCTGCTAGAAATATTTAAATCTGGTTAGCGATTATCCGTGTGTCTTCAATACATAACATTGTATTGTGAAGTGTAATGTGAAGAGACGGAGCCATGCTCACCTGAAGGTGTACAGCGAATACTAACAGTGACGTCATAGACCGAAACAGTGGATGTGACGTCATAGACAGAAACAGTGGATATGACGTCATAGAATGGTTCCATGACAACATCGATGGTTCCCAGTCAGTCACCGACAAAACTTGGTGGTGTTCACACGTACATTTGTTGCTCTTGCGCAACTTCAAATTTGTTGCTGGTCTGTGTCTGTTTGCTCAAGTCTTCATCTCATCCAAATATCAGGTAAGAAGGCAGAATCTGAAACCTATAAACTGAATCACTGCGTCTTCTGCTGATGTTCTCTGTTAGCGATTTATCCATAACTTAGGTCTGGGTGATTTAAATCGCTGTCTGCAATGCAACTATTCAAATTCAAAGATTCCAATTTAAACTATTTTGTCCCACAGATGAAGATGTATCCAGAAGAACGGCGGAAGAGTAGGAAATTACTCTCCCCCATACTCGAGGCGAATGAGCGTCAATCTAACCCTCCCAGTCCAAGAACTCCAGAACTACATCACGTTTTACTTGGTAGGAAATTCTAGTCCTGGTATAGTGAACAGAATCAATGCAAAACAGTCATTTTGTTCACCTCATTCACAAACAGTTGAACAGTGTCCTGTGTTTGAATTATTACTTTAGTCTATATATCCAGTTCAGTTACCAGGATATACTTCTACAATGTCTTACTTTAGTTATTTAATCAAATACCAATGTAACCCCGTGCAGTGATGTTGTAAATAATGGTGATTCAGTTTCCAACTCCTTTGGTTCATTTCTGATTAAGTTTTCGAAATAGCCGCTTATGTTTACCCCTTAAAAAACAATTGAATAGCGTCTTGTGTTTGAAGTATTATTTTTATTTCTCTTGACAGTTCAGTACATGGACCTGAAATCTCAAGTCGGGGATTTGGAAGAAAGGTAGACACAGTTTCGATTCATATTTTCTTGTCGTGTATGTGACAGCTGCTGAATACTGAAATTTAATCTAGACCTGACACACGTTATTATTTGTCAGTGATAAGACGTAGCACCATGTATATAGGTTTACAGTTACTTCCCCGAGAATCACATGTTGCGCATGGCTGTACTTGGAGAGGGAGGGTTTTCCGTACCATGGCAGTCACATATACATGCTTTATGAACGTTACTCCAAAAATTAAGCGTCTCAATTTCAAACCAAAGTGAACCCAAAGCAGTGAATGAAAGAAGTGACTGTATTTCAACAGCTTTGTTCCTGTAGAATTTCAGTCGGGGAATCTGAATCTCAATCTTTGACTCTTAACATTCGGGTTGCCACAAAGATCCCTTAGTTTCAAACTCACTTGTAACACTGCAAGATTGTGCCACAAAGATCCCTTAGTTTCAAACTCACTTGTAACACTGCAAGATTGTGCCACAACTATCCCTTGGTTTCAAACTCACTTGTAACACTGCAAGATTGTGCGACAGAGATCCCTTAGTTTCAAACTCACTTGTAACACTGCAAGACTGTGCCACAAAGATCCCTTGGTTTCAAACTCACTTGTAACACTGCAAGATTGTGCCACAAAGATCCCTTAGTTTCAAACTCACTTGTAACACTGCAAGATTGTGCGACAAAGATCCCTTAGTTTCAAACTCACTTGTAACACTGCAAGATTGTGCGACAGAGATCCCTTAGTTTCAAACTCACTTGTAACACTGCAAGATTGTGCCACAAAGATCCTTTAGTTTCAAACTCACTTGTAACACTGCAAGATTGTGCACTTGTACAAAGAGCCCTTAGTTTCAAACTCACTTGTAACACTGCAAGATTGTGCGACAAAGAGCCCTTAGTTTCAAACTCACTTGTAACACTGCAAGATTGTGCCACAAAGATCCCTTAGTTTCAAACTCACTTGTAACACTGCAAGATTGTGCCACAAAGATCCCTTAGTTTCAAACTCACTTGTAACACTGCAAGATTGTGCCACAAAGATCCCTTAGTTTCAAACTCACTTGTAACACTGCAAGATTGTGCGACAGAGATCCCTTAGTTTCAAACTCACTTGTAACACTGCAAGATTGTGCCACAAAGATCCCTTAGTTTCAAACTCACTTGTAACACTGCAAGATTGTGCCACAAAGATCCCTTTAGTTTCAAACTCACTTGTAACACTGCAAGATTGTGCGACAAAGATCCCTTAGTTTCAAACTCACTTGTAACACTGCAAGATTGTGCCACAAAGATCCCTTAGTTTCAAACTCACTTGTAACACTGCAAGATTGTGTGATAAAGAGCCCTTAGTTTCAAACTCACTTGTAACACTGCAAGATTGTTCTTCATAGTCATTATGCGTTTGAGACCCATTGACAGCAGTGCTCGGATGTTTCTTGAAATGCAGATCACAGGCTGCAATGTCAGTTTAGTTCAGTTAGCCCCACTGCTGAGTCCATGAGTGAGTGAGTGAGTGGGTTTAGTTTTATGCCACTTTTAGCAATATCACGGTGGGGAACACTAGGAATGGGCTTCACATATTGTACCCATGTGGGGAATCAAAACCAGGTCTTCAGCGTGACGAGCGATGCTTTAACCAATAGGCTACCCCACTGCCCCTCCCAACAGCTGAAGCAAATGTCATGTCCTGCAACATTTCCGCTTGTAGATTTGGGGCCAAATATCATCCTCTGAGCAAACCTAGGTAAATCCCCATGAACTTGAATGTAGTTCCTGTTTGCACCCTAATTTGTACCATGCCATCTGGCTAGGCTGTTTAGACGACTATGAGGAGAGTCTCATTTTTATTTTATTTACTGTAAATAAATGGTATGAATCAAGATCAGATGAAATTGGAATTTATTTACAAAAAATTGTTATGCATGTAATTATTGTACAGTGGTGGGCCGTTATTTTTCTATACTGGGTGGCATAGTCAGTGGCGCCTGAAACAACTAGAAAAAAACCCATGAGATTGTCACTGTGAACAGTGGCTTATTTTGAACACAAAAACACTTGTCTTAGGAGGCACTACACGTGTGGGGCAGGACCAGAACTGAATTGTTGAATGCGGTCTTCCATCCAACCACTATCTGTGACAAAGTAACTTAACTTCTCTTGATTTGTGACCTGTGCCTTGTTCATTGGAGCACATGGCACCACATACTCATACAGTAACTGAGTGTGTTACATCACAGCTGGCATGCTATTCCTGTGATATGACCTGACTGGACTGGGCAAGTAGTGGTATAATTCATTTATCATATAAAGCTAGTGTTATAGAGAGTACACGATTGGATCTTAGTGAGACTGGAGATGTTTCCAAGCAATGTCAAGAAACTGACATATTTTCAGGAATAGGATGATGGGTAAAACATTCTATAAAACCTATTCACAACTTGGTAACAGGAGGATCTGGCACTTAAATGCCAATAATGTTGATAATTGATATTTAATTGTAACCTATAGTCTGTAGCACTTGTAGTGTTTCCTAGGCAAGTCACTGTTTAAAGCAGGGGTGGAAATAACCCATTGCCCGTCGTCCCAGTCCAGTGTTTCTTTTCTGTTGGGCAGGCAAATTTGCATATCATGCTGTACCGGTGTCCAGTTGACTTTCCAATGTTAATTATGTTGTTTATTTAAAAACTCAAGAAGAAAATCGGCCTTTATAGTGGAAAAAATATCAGGGCAAGTGATTTTACATGTGCCACTGTACCGGAGTACACTAGCAATTTTAAAGTTATTTCCACCCCTGTAAAGTGTCATAGTTGAATATGTAGGCAATATGTCTAGCAGTAAATGGGTACTCTGAAGGATAAGATGGAAGTGTGACTTCTCGTGCCTCACTGGCAGCTAGGGTTGTATACTTTCCAGGGGAGATAACTCAAAAGCATATTGGTCCACTGTTAAAATGGTATGCACATTGAACATACCCAAGTATGCAGTCTCATGATGAATTATTCCACAAAGAAGTCTGTTGCAATGGTAATCTGATGCTGTCGATACTTTTTGAAAACACTTAATTACCCCTTTTTTCTGGAGAATAGGTTGAAGAATAGATGAAGTCTGATCAACTTTCAATAGAGGGCCCCTTGTAAACCAGTCTGTCACACCAGTAACTTGATGGTGCTGGTATCTGTTTGAGCAATCGAACACCGACATCAGTAACACCTGAAGTCAGTACATTACTACCTAGCTCTTCAAAGTAATGACACTCCCGACCATGGCTGTATGGGGGAGCCAGGACATCCAGAAATGCCGCCATCCCATCTACTGGCAGAATCTCATGGTAGTTCCCTTCTCTAGGAGTCAGGAAGCAACAGTCATCGTTGCCGGTCACAATCAAGTCCTGATGCAGACGGACAGATTTCACCACCCTAGGATTTTCCCCCAAATGTTGGAAATGTGGGCCTCGAATGTCTTGATCCTCAGTTTCAGTGAAACTCCTCAAATGAACTGAGCCGTGAAGGACTTTGCACAGGCCGTACATCCCCGGGTGATCATGCAGGGGGATTGTACCTGATGGTTTAATCACAAATATTCTCACGGAAAAGATGTCATTTTTATACACATGGATGAACGTTACTGGGGCTCCTCCAGTGCTGTCATTTATCTTCACAGCACTTGAATCAAATTTTAGGTCTTTTGCTTGGATTTTGTTCATTGCTGATACAACATCTTTTAACTGTTCTTCAGAAACAGTTCCTTGTGTTTTATCAAAGCATTTTTTAGCTAGACTTGCCAGTTGCTGTATTGGTGCTGCCATTTTTTCTTTGCTAGGAAACAAAACAGGTCAAATTTTAAATCACCTATCAGTTTGATGCCATTTGGGATGATCAAGAGCAGTGGTCACAAGAATGAATCCTGTATAATCCCTCATTACAGGTATACTTGCATTACATTATGAGTCAGTTCTGGATCTCCTTCCCTGATAATATAGTGCATTAGGACAAAATACAAAAAAACAGTCAGTCTTCTGAAAAATACTATTCCTGCACTGTGAAAAATTTAAACAATATTCTGTCTTGACAGTCCACGGTAGAGTTATGCGCCCTTTGACCACAACAAACTCGACCAACAAACTCGTAGGTAATTTTAGAGTTACCCGCCCTTTGTTTACGACAACTGACCGAATGACAAGAACCTGACCCATGATTAATACATTTCTGGCTATATTTACCTACTGATAATGCCGGGACGCGGTGGCAGAAATGCCAGAAATGGTGTACAATATGTCGAGAATGATGAACCGTCTTTCATAAAACAATTCAAGCAAAGGATCGGGTACAAAGAAGGGCCCACCGTCAACACAAAGGTGGGCTAACTTCTTCTTTGAGTTGGAACTTAGCTGATGTTAGAATAGATGTATTTTTATTACGCAATCAAACCACACTTAGTCTCCCTAATTCAGGAACGATTAGAGTCAGACATATGATAAATGTATGTCACATTGAGATCAAATGTTTTGTTTTATATTCTTTTTCGTTACGGTGGCAATACTTTATCCTTTTTATTCATGTTCAAATCCAGTGTTCGGCCATGTAAACGTATTCCTGAATGAGTAAACGACAACCAATAAGACTAGATTGTTTTACTGTGTCCCAAAAGAAAATAAGTTTAGTTTAATTTCCAAATGTGTACATCCACTCTGTCTTTCAGACAGGCTAGAGTTCTCTCCCTTAGACATGCCATGACTTTTCTCTCACTCTCCCAGCTTCAACAACCTGAGTTTGACTCTGATGAGGATGCACCCGAGTTGGACGATGAGAAGCCCGTGGTTGTTGTCCTCAAGGATGGGGATCTCACAGAAGATCAAGCTGACAATGCCAAGAAGGAGTCAGAGAAAACAGGTATCTTTAGTTAGCGTGCCAACCCCATTCTCCCCTGAATCCAAAATACGATATAATATTTGCTACTATTCTCACCACTGAATCCAAATAATACTTAGTACAAATCAGAGTCTATTTAAAGTCAGTTTTATGAAAAATTGAAAAATATAATGTCAAAAATGAATTATTACTTACACTATTCTTTTTTAATTTTGAATCTGTAACATGAAATGTGATTATATATATTTGCATCCCACATAAAACACGTCTGAATCCTGAATCCCCTCTAATACCCTCTGCACATCATCCGTCATGCATTTGTTGTCCCCAGGTGTAGTTTATGCAACTGAACCTGAAAATTTTAGTTTTTCTCGCATCTACAAGTGTCTGTCCACGGAGTGGAAGTTTGGGGGTTCCATTCCCAGGCAAAGTGCTAAAAGATATACTTGTTGCTACCACATCAGGCAACGATTTCTCCAAACAAACTTCAGATTTTACTCAAATTTCAAACTGAGTTTGACAATTTGAAACAGCTGAATTTTTAACTCAACTGCATTTTTAGAATAAAAAAAGCCCAAACAACGTAAATAATCTATCCACCGAACTCAAATTGTCTGCTATGTTTGAGTCTAATATCGATTTCAGTTTATTCTGGGAAATGCATTTTTCTGTGTTTTTAACTTAAAGGGCCACTGATCCAGAGCAATTTCCGTGGACTGATTGTTGCTTTTGTTATTGTTGTTTCCTGTGAGTACCCAGATGATATCCCATAATTCTTGACTGGTTCGTGACCTCTGCTGCGCTACCAGCATGCACAATTGATAGTATAAGTATAGATTGATCAACAAAGAGGAAATATTTTTTTACTTGATAATATTTCCATCTTCATTAATTTGATAACAAAGGAAAACATTTTGAAATTTAACCATCTGCCAGTGGTGAAAAATGTTAGGACTGAAATATAATGAAGTCACTGTACGTCTTTATATTTTGTCTTATAATACTAATTAGTATATTATCATATTTGTATGCATTTGCAAACCTAATAATATGCACACTATCTGCTTATACTCATTGTGAATTTATAACATGACTGTAATATCTAGACATTTAATAGATTGCCAACGTCGATTATGTATTATTTCACACACACGTTCCAAGTACGATCTAGTGTATGTTGTCTGTCTCATTACACCTCATGGCGAAATAATGATTCTGTATGATGCTACAACAAATGAATAAAAACAAAATGCAAATATTAAAATTAAAACAGACTAAAGTTACAGCAACAATGTCAGGCTATCCTACCTTGTTCGAGGAATGTATCCATCAATATCCACATAAAGGAACGACATGCCATTCACCTTCGGCTGACAAAGAATCCTGCTCCATGTCATGTGTCTTGTAACAGTCTAATATGCGAAAAAGTGATATATCGTTTCAGGTTTTTCACATTGGTGTAGAGTCTGATTGGTCACCCAAGATAGCACACCTGGCAACTAATTGCATGATGTCCGCCATTCTTTAATTTAGTTAGCCAATAATGAGCAATCAATCAATGTTTTGGCGGTTAATCCTTTGAAGGGAGGACATTGTTTTTACACAGGCACTTTACGACAGGGTGTATTCAGTATAGTTTAGTAAATCTACATACATAAACACTACCTTTTGACAAATCCACTGTGCAAGATAAAAGCAATTAATCAATCAGCGTGTTATTGGTTAATCCTTTGATCGATGTTTGTTTTTGTAATTTAGCTGATAATCCCTCTTGCTGCACTTCCATGTGCATATTACATAAGATGTAATACATTTGCCACATCAGACCTTAATTTATAATGTTGAGCATGTACTCCAGACACAGGAAATGCCAAATGGGAACCTTTGTCGGGTACTCTGAGTGGTGTTACCACTAATTATACCTGTTATAAAATCATTAACTGACCATCAAGTGAATGATCACAAATAACGTGTAGGTTAACAACCAAACACGGGTTACAGAAAGGGAGTAGTAATCGCTGTATTGCATGTAAATTTGATTGCCTGACAAAAACTTATAGGCCAAATTTTTCTAGCAATGGCAAGGTGAGGTTGTTTAGTTTACGGATTCAAATACATCAAATGTGTGTTTTTAATATCATAGCATAGGTAATAAACATCATATTTTTACATGACATGATTGAATATCAAGGTAAAAAACACAGAAATAGGATCAAATTGGATCAGTCATTATACCATCCAGGCAGTAGAAAATCTGAAAATGTTTACACTGCTGGGATTCTTTATTACAGTCAGACAAGAACTACCAGGGATATTTTCAAATAACAGGCATCCACCCATCCTAATGTTAGGTTGAAGAAATTCTGTCAAGGTGGACAGTAGCCCAGTGCCCGCCACGGTCGAGTGAGCAGGTATCGACCAGCCTGCATCTTGGGTTCGTAATCAGACTGTTGGCGAGAAACATTAATCGCTCTGGATCAGTGGCCCTTTAAGTCAAAACTCAGACTTAAGTTTGTTTCGAGAGATTGGGGCCTGGCACTTGACATTAAGGGGAAAAACAGATCAGAGTCCATGTATTGTGTCTGAGTAGGGTATCCATCTCATACCTGGATATTATATCAGTGGGCAAGCACAATAAAGTGACACTTGTAGAGCTGACACACGCACACACACACACATGCGCACACATATATCAGTGGGCAAGCACAATAAAGTGACACTTGTAGAGCTGACACACACACACACACACACACACACATGCACGCTCGCGCACGCACACACATGCACATTCAAACACACATGTATGTACACACACGCACATGTATGTACACTGCGGGGGATATTGATGACTTTGTCTTCTTGTTGAGTTGTCAAGGCATTCGTAACAGCAACTCTCCTTTTGAGATTTCAGGTCAGTAGTGGTGGTCCAATTAATTAAAATGATCGAAGATTGGTCGCAGTGACTAAACGACCAAGCAATCGATCATGTTTTCTCATAATCGAACACAGACGATTTTGGAGCACTTGTTTGCATTAAAAATATTTTTCACAAGGTTGGTTTTGTCTGTTACATTTCATGACCACTGCAAGCTCGTTCCAAGTCATGACTGAATTTATCGTAAAGACTCCAAGAAATTTATGTTCCAACCATACTGGATATGCTTTAAAGATATGAAATTTGCAAATGCATTTTGTGCAATTTGCAAAAACAAAACCCTGAAAGAACTACATGTTTTTTCTTTATTTTTTGTGCATTAACAAACATAACCAGGAAAATTTGATAAATGACGCTAATCAATTATTTTCGATGATTGATCAGTTGAAATGAACCAATCATGAATTATGAAATTTTAACCAATTCCGAAAACTACAGGTCAGACCAGCTACGTGCCATGGTGCTTCTTGCACACTGGCTACCCTCTTCTTGCATACAAGGGGTGACGGGGTAGCCTAGTGGTTAAAGTGTAATATCCTAATCACACGCTGAAGCCCAGGTTCAATTCCCCACATGGGTACAATATGTGAAGCCCATTTCTGGTGTCCCCTGCTGTGATATTGCTGGACTTTTGCTGCAAGCGATCAAAAACTAAAGTCCCTCACTCAGTCACTCAAACCAGCATACAAGGTGTAAGCTGCCTGAATGTTAGCCGTCTTACTCCCTGATGGTGACTAGTGGTACTATCAATTGTTAATGAAGACTGATCACTGCCGTGGTGACAGTTATTTACATCAAAAGGGTATCCCAGCAGCTGTATTGTCATAGGAGGCGTAATGATTCCGATGATCAGGCTCAGGATCTTGTTGATTACCTGTAATTCCACTCCAACATTGTTCGATGTTGATTACCTGTAATTCCACTCCAACATTGTGAGATGATGTTGATTACCTGTAATTCCACTCCAACATTGTGGGTCGATGTTGATTACCTGTAATTCCACTCCAACATTGTGGGTCGATGTTGATTACCTGTAATTCCACTCCAACATTGTGGGTCGATGTTGATTACCTGTAATTCCACTCCAACATTGTGGGTCGATGTTGATTACCTGTGTTGATTACCTGTAATTCCACTCCAACATTGTGGGTCGATGTTGATTACCTGTAATTCCACTCCAACATTGTGGGTCGATGTTGATTACCTGTAATTCCACTCCAACATTGTGGGTCGATGTTGATTACCTGTAATTCCACTCCAACATTGTGGGTCGATGTTGATTACCTGTAATTCCACTCCAACATTGTGGGTCGATGTTGATTACCTGTAATTCCACTCCAACATTGTGGGTCGATGTTGATTACCTGTAATTCCACTCCAACATTGTGGGTCGATGTTGATTACCTGTAATTCCACTCCAACATTGTGGGGGATGTTGAGTCGATGTTGATTACCTGTAATTCCACTCCAACATTGTGGGTCGATGTTGATTACCTGTAATTCCACTCCAACATTGTGGGTCAATGCTCATAATATCAATCACTAAACTGTGTTGTCCAGTTTTGATTATTTACAGCCCCCATTGCTTAGCTGGAATATATAGAGATTATTACACAGGCAAATGTGTCATACGACTTAAACGAAACGAGTGTGAAATTTTGTATTTTGCATGAGTTTCATATAAGTCGTGTGGCACACTTACAAGTGTAATGATTTCTTTATTATCCATTTTGTTCATGTACATAGTAAAACATGGTAAGCAAGTGTGACTGCCCTGTTCATTGTTCAATTGTTAAATGACATCACAGACGATGCAATACAGAAACAATAGTTGCTGGGCAAAAGTGATATGTGCACATATGACATACATTGTATATGACACTGGTTATGTTTCACCATATGGGTAATAATGCTGAGTATGACACCAAACAAGCACCATGTTAATGCTACCATACACTTATGACATATCTAAGTTGTTGTATCATTCATTGTTTTCTGTTTCAGCTGCCAGTGTGGATGACATCACCTCGGAAGGCAAGATCACGTTTAAGAAACCTGTGAAGAGATCAGCAGAGTCGGAAACCAATGCAGAACTATCAGTAAGCACAACAGGAAAGAAGAAGAAGGAGAAGAAAGATAAACAGTCATCATCTAAAAAAGTAAAAAACTCCAACTTATTGTCTTTTGGTGATGATGAAGAAGAGGAAGACTGAATGATGTGTCCTCGGTGTGACAGTGTTACCATGGTGACAATAAGATGGGTGGGACTGAATTATGTGCACTCATTGTGGCACTGTTACCATGGTGACAATAAGATGGGTTGGACTGAATGATACACTGACAATAAGATGGGTTGGACTGAATGATACACTCTTGCTTTGACATTGTTACCATGGTAACAGTGAGATGGTATGGATGACTAAAGATTGTGCACTGGATGATACAGTGTAACCATGGTAACCATGAGAAGATGGGGGAAACTGAATCCATGATGTGCAGATGCTCTGATGGTGCTGCCATGGTGACAAGAAAAGAAGGAGACTTTGTGGTAACAGTGTTACCATGGAAAAGAAAACTCTGAGATGTAACAGTGCTACAGCGGAAACAAGAAGCAGTGACCTTGAGATGTGAACTTGCTGTGACTGTCACTATAATTTATCCTGTTTCACTCATCTCTGTTGTTCATCATTGTTGTTCATCATTATGTTGCATTTGTATATTCTCATTCATGTCCCAATCAAGAATGAAGGTGTTTCAGTAGAACTGTTGTTTTTCTGTTTGTCAATTATCAGGAGGACCCAACTCCAGGTCACAATAACATTGGGGGACTCATAATGAGTACCTTTGCATGTAGACTAACGCTTAGTCCCTAAATATACATAATCATGATAGAAACAAATAAACTCATTTAGGTTGAAAAGGAGCCCCAGAGAGACCAGAGAACCTGGGGAAACTTAGACCTGCTTCATTTAGGGCTTTAGCATTGCAGGGAGGGCTAGGCTGTAGGGAAAATGATATGGTTCAGGGTCTTTGAGACAGAATCTAGACTTGCTTCATTTAGGGCTTTAGCATTGCAGGGAGGGCTGAGCAGTAGGGAAAATAATGTGGTTCAGGGACTGTGAGACAGAATCTAGACTTGCTTCATTTAGGGCTTTAGCATTGCAGGGAGGGCTGAGCAGTAGGGAAAATAATGTGGTTCAGGGACTGTGAGACAGAATCTAGACTTGCTTCATTTAGGGCTTTAGCATTGCAGGGAGGGCTAGGCAGTAGGGAAAATAATGTGGTTCAGGGACTTTGAGACAGAATCTAGACTTGCTTCATTTAGGGCTTTAGCATTGCAGGGAGGGCTAGGCATTAGGGAACATAATGTGGTTAAGGGACTGTGAGACAGAATCTAGACTTGCTTCATTTAGGGCTTTAGCATTGCAGGATGTTGCTGGAATATTGCTAAAAGCGGCGTAAAACCAAAACTCAGTCAGTCAGTCCTACACCTAAAGTAAGATTGTCACATTAAAAAGCCATTTGCCAGCCACCATAATGGAGAATACAAGCAATATTGCATCATCCTTCTAACATCTTATAGCTCAACATGGATACAAACTTGACATGCTTGTTCCCACTAAAAACTGGATCAAGAGAATTGATTCTGGTTTTTGACATCTGAGAGCTTATGGAGCCACTAATAGTTTAGCTCCAGTGTATCTCCCAGGATTTACATGGCTCTACCAACCTGACCAGGTATTGTGATCTGCATACCAACAGCAGATGGTTGTGCCACCAGACAATGAAACCTTTCACAGAGCAGGTATGAACAGGTATTGTGATCTGCATACCAACAGCAGATGGTTGTGCCACCAGACAATGAAACCTTTCACAGAGCAGGTATGAACAGGTATTGTGATCTGCATACCAACAGCAGATGGTTATGCCACCAGACAATGAAACCTTTCACAGAGCAGGTATGAACAGGTATTGTGATCTGCATGCCAACAGCAGATGGTTGTGCCACCAGACAATGAAACCTTTCACAGAGCTGGTGTGTGGAATGACCTTCTAGTGGATGTCAGCAGCTTCCGGACACCAATCCTCTTGAAAAAGGAGGTGCGGTGGGGTAGCCTAGTGGTTAAAGCGTCCGCTCGTCACGCCAAAGACCAGGGTTTGATTCCCGACATGGGTACAATGTGTGAAGCCCATTTATGGTGTAACCCGCCGTGACATTGCTGAAATATTGCTAAAAAGCGGCGTAAAACCATAATCACTCACTCACTTTAAGAAGGTGATGAATTGTTCTTGAGCAGACACTCAAGAAAAGATATAACACTATAATATTGAATTATACTAAACTGAAGTACCGTGATGGAACTTTTGGACCCAGCCCGCTCCCAGTCTGATGGTTGATATATACACTCTCTCTGCAACAGTCGGACCCACCCAGGTCCAGTTTGATATATATACTCACTCTGCAACAGTGGGACCTCGTCCAGGTCCAGTTTGATATATACACTCACTCTGCAACAGTGGGACCTCGTCCCAGGTCCAGTTTGATATATACACTCACTCTGCAATAGCGGGACCTCGTCCCACCCAGGTCCAGTTTGATATATACACTCACTCTGCAACAGTGGGACCCCACCCAGGTCCAGTTTGATATATACACTCTCTCTGCAACAGTGGGACCCCACCCAGGTCCAGTTTGATATATACACTCTCTCTGCAAAACAGTGGGACCCCACCCAGGTCCAGTTTGATATATACACTCTCTCTGCAGCAGTGGGACCCCACCCAGGTCCAGTTTGATATATACACTCACTCTGCAACAGTGGGACCCCACCCAGGTCCAGTTTGATATATACACTCTCTCTCTGCAGCAGTGGTTTGACCCCTACCCCAGGTCCAGTTTGATATATACACTCACTCTGCAACAGTGGGACCCCACCCAGGTCCAGTTTGATATATACACTCTCTCTGCAACAGTGAGACCCCGCCCCGGTCCAGTTTGATATATACACTCACTCTGCAACAGTGGGACCTTGTCCAGGTCCAGTTTGATATATACACTCACTCTGCAACAGTGGGACCCCAGCCCAGGTCCAGTTTGATATATACACTCTCTCTGCAACAGTGGGACCCCACCCAGGTCCAGTTTGATATATACACTCTCTCTGCAACAGTGGGACCCCCACCCAGGTCCAGTTTGATATATACACTCTCTCTGCAACAGTGGGACCCCACCCAGGTCCAGTTTGATATATACACTCTCTCTGCAACAGTGGGACCCCCTACCCAGGTCCAGTTTGATATATACACTCTCTCTGCAACAGTGGGACCCCACCCAGGTCCAGTTTGATATATATACTCTCTCTGCAACAGTGGGACCCCACCCAGGTCCAGTTTGATATATACACTCTCTCTGCAGCAGTGGGACCCCACCCAGGTCCAGTTTGATATATACACTCTCTCTGCAACAGTGGGACCCCACCCAGGTCCAGTTTGATATATACACTCTCTCTGCAACAGTGGGACCCCACCCAGGTCCAGTTTGATATATACACTCTCTCTCTGCAACAGTGGGACCCCACCCAGGTCCAGTTTGATATATACACTCACTCTGCAACAGTGGGACCCACCCAGGTCCAGTTTGATATATACACTCTCTCTGCAACAGTGGGACCCCACCCAGGTCCAGTTTGATATATACACTCACTCTGCAACAGTGGGACCCCACCCAGGTCCAGTTTGATATATACACTCTCTATGCAAAACAGCGGGACCCCACCCAGGTCCAGTTTGATATATACACTCTCTCTGCAACAGTGGGACCTCGTCCAGGTCCAGTTTGATATATATACTCTCTCTGCAACAGTGGGACCCTTCACCCAGGTCCAGTTTGATATATACACTCACTCTGCAACAGTGGGACCCCACCCAGGTCCAGTTTGATATATACACTCACTCTGCAACAGTGGGACCCCCCGTCCAGGTCCAGTTTGATATATACACTCACTCTCTGCAACAGTGGGACCCCACCCAGGTCCAGTTTGATATATACACTCTCTCTGCAACAGTGGGACCCCACCAAGGTCCAGTTTGATATATACACTCACTCTGCAACAGTGGGACCCCACCCAGGTCCAGTTTGATATATACACTCTCTCTGCAACAGTGGGACCCCACCCAGGTCCAGTTTGATATATACACTCACTCTGCAACAGTGGGACCCCACCCAGGTCCAGTTTGATATATACACTCACTCTGCAACAGTGGGACCCCACCCAGGTCCAGTTTGATATATACACTCACTCTGCAACAGTGGGACCCCACCCAGGTCCTCACTCATTTGATATATACACTCACTCTGCAACAGTGGGACCCCGTCCAGGTCCAGTTTGATATATACACTCTCTCTGCAACAGTGGGACCCCACCCAGGTCCAGTTTGATATATACACTCTCTCTGCAACAGTGGGACCCCACCCAGGTCCAGTTTGATATATACACTCTCTCTGCAAAACAGTGGGACCCCACCCAGGTCCAGTTTGATATATACACTCACTCTGCAACAGTGGGACCCTGTCCAGGTCCAGTTTGATATATACACTCTCTCTGCAACAGTGGGACCCCACCCAGGTCCAGTTTGATATATACACTCTCTGCAACAGTGGGACCCCACCCAGGTCCAGTTTGATATATACACTCTCTATGCAAAACAGCGGGACCCCACCCAGGTCCAGTTTGATATATACACTCACTCTGCAACAGTGGGACCCCGTCCAGGTCCAGTTTGATATATACACTCTCTCTGCAACAGTGATACCCCGCCCCGGTCCAGTTTGATATATACACTCTCTCTGCAACAGTGGGACCCCACCCAGGTCCAGTTTGATATATACACTCTCTATGCAAAACAGGGGGACCCCACCCAGGTCCAGTTTGATATATACACTCTCTCTGCAGCAGTGGGACCCCACCCAGGTCCAGTTTGATATATACTCTCTCTATGCAAAACAGCGGGACCCCACCCAGGTCCAGTTTGATATATACACTCTCTCTGCAACAGTGGGACCATGTCCAGGTCCAGTTTGATATATACACTCTCTCTGCAACAGTGAGACCCCACCCAGGTCCAGTTTGATATATACACTCTCTCTGCAACAGTGGGACCCCACCCAGGTCCAGTTTGATATATACACTCACTCTGCAACAGTGGGACCCTACCCAGGTCCAGTTTGATATATACACTCACTCCGCAACAGTTGGACCCTGTCCATGTCCAGTTTGATATATACACTCTCTCTGCAACAGTGGGACCCCACCCAGGTCCAGTTTGATATATACACTCTCTCTGCAACAGTGGGACTATATCCACATCCAGTAGGTCAACATGTCTACTTGCAGCAAAATGTTAGTTGTAGCCATGCAGTTTTCTGTCAGTTTCAGATGTGACAATTGTTCTTCTGTAGCCCTAGAAAGTGTGATTAAAGTCAACACCAACAGTATGCTACCATGGTGTGTGTTGTGTATCAATCTACCAGCTAATTATGAACCAATAATTGTAAATCCTGTATGAATATATATATTTTAAACATTTAAATCTGTCTAAACATGGCCGAGTGACTTTTATTCGTATCTGGCACAAACTGAAATTAAAAATTTCTTTGTGGCATCCAAAGAGGGACAGTGCTCTTCAGCCAATCTTGAGCTGAAGCATACTACATACTACACTACAGTACAGTTAGATTTATAGAGGTAGTTTGATATACATTG